TAAGCTATAAAGACCTAGGTAAGACTTATAAATAATAGGTCTTTTTAACTTAATTATAATAATTATAATATAAGCTATTAAGATACCTAAAGCTATATTAAAAAGAGGAAACCACTTATAATCCTTAAAATTATTAAAGTTAAGTACTAAGAGGTCTATTAATAAAGTTATGTATAATTAACTATAAGCTGTATAAGAATAATTATAAATAAATAAGAAAGAAGGCTTATATATAATAGGGCCCTTTAAGACCATCTTAACCTTAGGCTTAATAGGTATTAACTTAATAAAAGTATTATAAAATATTATAAAAAAGCTATTAAGGGAGTATATTATAAGAAATAAAGATAAAGGTAATTATAAGGGAATTTAAAGATTTAAAAGTCAGATATGAAGTAAAAAGGCTAAAGATAAAAGATATATAAGCTTAATAGGTAATATAATAATAAAAGAGAAAAAGAGAGAAAGAAAAAAAGGGGGACTTTATACTTATAACTAAGAGGCTAGGTAGCTAAGGAAGAGTTATACGATTAATAGTAAATTATAAGGCTAAGAAGATTTATAAGTATAAATTATAGTTTATAATATTTTTAAATTATATAAGGCTAAAAGATTATTACTATAAGGCTATTATAAAGTCTTAGGTAATTATTATTAATATCACTTATAGCTAATTTTATTTAATTTTATTATAACATTAAGAGGATATAAAGATAATTGAGATATATATTTTAAAGATTTTGAATTACTAAGAACTATTTTAATATTATTATAATACTATTAGCTAAGGATAGCTACTTAGAGTGGGGAAAGATAATTATAATTATAACTTTATGAAATAATAAGGCTTTAATATCTATATATAACCCTACGTATTATCTTAGGAAAATCCCTTAATAATATTAAGCCTACTTAGCTTTCTTATTTAAGAAATATAATAATAAAGTATAATTTAGTATATAATAGCGCTAATTAGGCTATAATCTATTATATATAAGTATTATAACAATAATTATAATTAATATTAATAAGTATAATTAATACTTATACGTAATATATTTTAAAAATATAATAAATAATAAAATATGGTTTTTAGGTAAGTTAAAGTAACGTTAAGCTATGCCTTTACCTGTAGCTATAGCTAATAGTTAAGAAAACTTATAACTTCTTAGAATAAGGTAATAGTTGTATAATTTATTAACTTAATATTAAGGTTATTATATTTTTTTAATATAATATTTAATACCTTATATTATATTTATATTAAAATAAATACTATTATTATATTACTTCAAGTATAGCTATAATATTACTTTTCTCTTAATAACTAATTATAATCTTATTAATATAACTAAACTGGCCTTAAAGTAAGCTATAAGTAGAAACTATTATATATTATATATATAAATAATTCTTTTCTTTTCTTTCCCTTATCTTTAGCCCTATATAAGGCTATTAAGCTTTTTAGCTTTTTAATAATAGTTTAAATCGTAAGACCCTTATAGCAGGCTAATATTATAGAAGTTAGAATTAGATAAGGTTGATTCACCTTAATAAGGCAATTAATACCTTAACTAAGTAATATAAATACTAGCTATAAGTATCTTAGTAGCTAAATTAACCTTTTTCCTTTAACCTATCTAAAGGAATATATCTTTGTTAACCTTTATAATATATTATACCTAATTTATTTATTAGGCCTGCCTTAAACGTAGCTACTAAAGAAGAGTTTTATATAATATATATAATAATTATTACTATTTTAAAGAACTTCTTCCTTAATTTAAATTATTACTTTTTTACTAATTTTACATTATTTATTTTTATATATAAAGTTAATTAGTTATATACCTTATTATATATATTTAATTGATTAAAATACATTTAATATTTATTAATTGACTTATATAAAGTAAACTTAATATAATTCCTTTAAGTCTAACTTTAATAGAATGTCTAAACATTACTTTTTTTCCTTATATTTATTCTTATTAATTTAAAAGTAGCTTTCTAGTAATATTAGCTGCCCTTATAGATATATTAAGGAGCTAGTTTTTATATATAGCTAAATTTAGGCTTATAAAGGCAGTAACAAAAGCTATTAATATTATCTAATTAAAGAAGATAACTTTCCTTTAAGGCCATTTTTAAGTTTTTAAGACCTAATAATATATTATTAATCTAATTTAATTAATTAAATTAATATAATACCTTTCCTTTATATAATTAATTAATTAAATTAGGCTATAATTAAAATAATTATTTTAAAAAATTAAATTTACCTTTTGATAAGAAATTCTTTATAAGAATAATAAATATTATATATTATATAAAGTTCTTTTTTATTAGCTATTTTTAAAATAGGCATAATAATTAAATTATAATTATAATTAATTATATAATAAATATAATTATATAGCTATTGGCTATTTTATATACGTATTAAGGTAATATAGCTATTATATTATTTGTAAAAAGGGTTAGAAATTCAGTTAGATAATTAGGCTTTAATTAACCTTTAAGTAAAACTATAATAAATAAATTAGATATAGTATTCCTTTAAATAGGTTAAAGGAAAAAGGTCAATTTAGTTATTAAGAGGTAATTCGTATTTACGTTACTTAGTTAAGATAGTAACTATATTATTAAGGTATTTAAGCCTTATTTAGTTCTAATTTCTATATTAATAGCTTACTATAAGGATCTTATTATTTAAATTATTAATAGAAAAGCTAAAATGCCTAATAGCCTAATATAAGGCTAACGGTAAAGGGAAAAAAAAGAAATAATGAACTTTTTAGTAAGGGATAGATTTAGATATATTAACATGACTATTTTTAATTATAGTTTAATTTAGTTAATTAATTATATAAAAAGGAAGTATTATATTAGTTTAATTAATTTAAAATAAGCTATTCAGTCTTAGAGACTTAAAAAGAGACTTAAAAGAAGCTAATCTTCTTTAATTAAATAAAATAGTTTTTTTTATTACCTTAATAAGCCTAAACTTAGCTATATATAAAAAGTAATTCCTTAGTATATTTATAAGGGCAGCTAATATTACTGGAGAGCTACTTTTAAATTAGTAAAGATTTCTAGGATAAATATAAGGTAAAAGCAGGGATTTATAAAGGAATCATATTAAGTTTTAGATAACTTAGTTAATAAAAGTTAAATCTATCTTCATTAATTAAATATATATAGTAAGATATATAACTAATTAACCGTATATATAAGAATAAATAAAGTAAAATTAATAAAAAAGTAGTAGTCTAAACTTAGGAATATATATATTATATAGAGTTTTTCTTTATTAATTACCTTTAAGATAGGCTTAATAATTAAATTAAAATTATACCTAGTTATTTAATAAATATAATTATATACCTATAAGCTATTTTATATAGGTATTAAGGCAGTATAAGTATTATACTACTAGTAAAAAGGGTTAAAAGGTATTTAAGTCAGATAATATACTTTATAATAAATAAATTAAGTATAGTATAATATAAAGGTTAACTAAGGTATAGTCCTTTAAATACGTTAAAGAAAGAAGGTTAATTTAGTTATTAAGAGACGTATAGCTAGTATTTATATTACTTAATTAAGGCAATAATTATATTACTCAGATAAATAAACCTTATTTAATTCTAACTTTTATAATAATAGCCTACTATAAGGATCTTATTATTTAAATTATTAATAAAAAAGCTAAAAAGCTTAATAGCCTTATATAAGGCTTAAGGTAAGCGAAAAAAAAAAAAAAAAAAAAAAATACTTTTTATATATAATTAAGCTTATAAACGTAATATGGAAAGCTACCTTATCTAATTACAAGAGATTACCTTTTTTTAAGGCTATTTTTAAACCATTAAAACTTAATAGCTTATTATTAACTGAATTTAAATTAGTTAAATTAATATAATACCTTTTTTAAATAATTAATTAATTAAATTAACTTATAAGGTTAAATCCGCCTTTTAATAAGCAGTTCTTGATAATAATAATAATTATTATATATATTATATAGAGTTTTTCTTTATTAGCTACCTTTAGGGTAGGCCTAATAGCTAAATTAAAATTATAATTTATTATATAATAAGTATAATTATAGCGCTATAGCCTATTTTATACTAATAAGGTAATATAACTATTATATTATTAGTAAGAAGGGTTAAAAGGGAAAATTAAGTTAAATAATATACATTATAATAAATAAATTAAATATAGTATTTCTTTGGGTAAGTTAAAGGTAAAAGGTTAATTTAATTACTAAGAGGTAATTAGTATTTATATTACTTAAGTCAGACAGTAATTATATTATTAAGATAAATAAACCATATTTAATTCTAATATTTATATTAATAGCCTAATAGAAGGATCTTAGTATTTAAAAACGCTAAAAAGCTTTATAGCCTTATATATGGTTAAAAGTATGGAAAAAGAAAATATAAATTTAAATTAGTTAAGAAATGTAATATTTCTAGCCACTTAAACTAAAACCTATTTAAATTAAAAAAGCTAGAAAAAGCCTTAAAATAAAACTAGGCTTTAAAAGTAAAAGAAATAGCTTTTCTTATTTTCTTCATAAGTAACTTAGCTTAATATCAAGAATAGCTTATTAGTTTAATTATTAAGGCAAAATAAATAAATATGTATATATATATATTTTTTTTTTTTTTTTTTTTTCTAAGTTTGCAAGTTAGCCTCGAAAGGTATATCCAAGCATCTCCAGAGTCTAATATAGTTTAAACATTTATTGCCCCTACAGCCGGCAAAGCTTCATTAAGTCAAATCATCATAGTTAGCTGCCTCAATTGCAGCCTGAACCTAGCTGCACATATGCCAGCTGAAAAGCCCTGCTCATCAGCTGGCCCCAACCTTCTTCCTACAACCCACCTGAAAGGATACCACGCTTCAATCATCCATCACGCTTCAGTAAGTCATCCGACCCGACCCGACTTTCCCTCTTCTGGCCGCAACCGCTAACAGCATCACAGCTGCCCCGTCACGATGCTCCGAAGAAGCCTGCAGGCACCCAGGCCCGACGAGCCTTATCTGACTGAAGGCCATGATGTGATCCCTAAGATCGAAGAAGCTCTTGGGCGAAATAAGGGCAAGGGCGATATGCTGCGTATAATGGCCATGGATATCGGAGAGGCCTGGTTTAATAAGGATGATGCCAGCCGCGTCAGGATGGCGATCTTTGGTTGCGAGATCCTCCTGCTTATATGGTCTATCTATGAGAACCCTCTGATTAACAAAGACTTCCTTGAACGCGAGAAGCAGAAGCTCAAGGATCTAGAAAGGAAGCTATGCAGAGGGGTGCAGCCAAGCAGGAGGGAGAGGGGGTTCCTCAGGGCCCTTAACCTGGCGGCTTGCATGACGAGTGGCTCAAGGATATCCGGTGGCAGGCCAAGGAGGTACTGGAGAAGACCGAGAACCTGTGACAGACAGACCAGGCTGGTCATGGTCTTGGACCACGAGAGCGCGACTGCGCGATGTGGATGGAAGCGGGGTAATCGCGGGGTTTGGAGGAAAAATGTATTGAGTTTTGTGTGAGTTTAGTTGCCTGAAGTCAAAGACCTGAAGTCGTGACTGAATTTGGCGTCGGCGGCGAAAAGAGGATCAAATGAGTCACGAGACAGATCACGTGACCAAATGAGCAAATCAGCTGTAACATCAGTGCACCATCAATATAAACAGGGGATGTATATATATATATGTTTTCCCTTTACCTTTAGCCTTATATAATTCTATTAAGCTTTTTAGCTTTTTTTATTAATAATTTAAATAATAAAACCCTAATAGTAGGCTATTATTATAAAAGTTAGAATTAGATACGGTTTATTTACCTTAATAATGCAATTACTACCTTAACTAAGCAGTATAAATACTAGCTATAAGTCTCTTAGTAGCTAAATTAACCTTCTTTCTTTAACTTACTTAAAGGAACCTTAATTAACCTTTAAAATATATTATACCTAATTTATTTATTATATTTTTAAAGTATATTATCTAACCTAACTTTCCTTCTTAATCTTTTTTTTTTAATAATATAATAGCTATATTACTCTAATATTTATTATATATAATAGCTTCTAATTATATAATTATATTTATTATATAACTAATTATGGTTAAGGCAGCAATCGCGTCATTGAGGCAGATAAACCTTATCTGATTCTGATTTCTGTGATGATGGCCTGCTATAGGGGTCTCACTGTTTAAACTATTGATAGAAAAGCTAAAAAGCTCGATGGCCTCGTACAAGGCTGAAGGCAAGGGAAAAAAAAAAATTAACTTATTATAATTTTAATCTAGCTATTAAGCTTATTTAAAGGTAATTAATAAAAAATAATTTTATATATTATGTATAATAATAATTATTATTATTAAAAACTTCTTATTAAGAGATAAATTTAACTTTATTAAAGTAATTATTTTAAGTTACATGAAAAAGAAATATTATATTGATTTAATAAATTTACATTAATTTAATAGTAAGCTATTAAGTCTTAATGACTTAAAAATAGGTTAAAAAAGGGTTATCTTTTATACTTAAATATGGTAGCTTTTTTTAATACTTTTATAAGCTTAATCATATATAAAAAATAGCTCTTTAATATATTTATAAGGGTAGCTAATATTACTAAAGAGCTATTTTTAAATTACAAAAGGGAGTTTATATATAAAGTTCTAGGATAAATATACGGTAAAGGTAGGGTTTTATAGAAATTCTATTAAAGTTAAAATTAAAGGAATTATATTAAGTCTATTTATATAAGTTAATTAGCAAAAGTTAAATTAATTATAATTAATTAAGTATATATAGTAAGATATATAACTAATTAACCTTATATATAAGAATAAATAAAGTAGAATTAGTAAAAAAGTAGTAATTTAAACTAGGGATAATAAATATATAATTTAGTTTTAACTACCTTAATAACTAATTTAATTAATACTTAATATTTTTATATTTTTATTATTATCAATAAACCTTAATTAGTTCTTATTATTAAGTTATTATAATTTTATATGAAATAAGTAATTATTATTATAAATCTTTCTAAATTTTTATATAATATTTTTAACTTTTTTAATTTAAATAAAATAAAATTAAAAAAGATTTATAATAATTAAGTTACTAGCTAATTACTTATTCATAACTCGTTTTAAAAAGATAATCTTTATTATATTATCTCAATAAGAGCTATTAGTATTAATTATAATCTATTTAAACTTTATTAAGAATTTTATAAATAAAGTATTATTATTTTATTCAAGACTTTATAATTAAATACTAGCTTAGGCTTAAATATTAAGGTATTTATGATTTATATCTTAATAATTTATAAAAATATCTAGATTATATTAACTATTTAGTTCTCTTATAATATAAAAAATAGAAATTACTTACTAAGGCCTTATTTCTAACTAAGAATTCATATAATAATATATCTCTTTAAGAGATTTAAAGTATTAATAATTTAAGATTAGTTTATTATATATTCATTATATTTATATAATATATTCTTTATAATTATTATCAAACTTAAGTAATACTAATAAAGGCTTTCTTTAATATTAAGTTATTATATATCCTTATAAGTATTATTTAAAGAGGCTTGCTTAAGTATTATTTTTAAGATAAAAAAGAATACTTAAAGGAGTAATATACTTATAGCTTTTTTAAGGTTAGGTTTTTATAATCATATAATATTTTATATTATTTAGTTATAAAGCCTAATTAATTAATCTTAAATAAATCTTATAATATCTTGAAATGATTTTTATAAGTATTTCTTTACGGAGGAAGGGCCAAAAAGTCCTTGCCCACGCTAACACTGCGCTAAAAAGGGAAAAGCGGGGTAAAAAGTAAAGATACCTTAAAATTATTAATTTTATAAGGGATAATCCCTGCCTTCTAAGTACTTATTCCCTCCGTTAATATTATTAATTTTATAAATATATACTAGAATTCTCTCTATCTACTCTTAGATCTTTATTTAAGGTAATTCCTTCTAAGCAGCCTCTTACTTATAAATAGCTTTATTTCTATTCTTTAATATACCTTTTGTAGTAATATATCTTTTTATCTATAGCTAAGCAGGCTCTATAGTATTTAAATTAGGCAAATTAAGATACTAAAGAAGCTACTAAACCTCCCTTAAATTAAATATATATTACTATATATAGTGGTTATATAATAGCACCTTATCTTCCTAAATAACAATATTTAGCCTTTCCTTTATATATTCCTTTATAAAAGGAAGTAATTTTAAACGTAAAATAATCTGCTAATATTACTACTAGTTAATACCTCTTTTTTTCCCCTCCCTTATAAGCTTACTAGTCTCCTTATTTTACCTCTAGTCTAGCTTCTTGCCTAGCAGGTTATAAAGCCCTAGCCTTTATATACCATTAGTAATCTTCTACTATATCTTTATAACCAGTTTAAGGGCTTTATTTATTACTATAAGTACAGCTTTAGCTTCCTTCTTCTCCTTTATAATCTCTGGCCTCTAGTAATAATAAGGTCCCTTTTTATTATATAAAAAGGCGGCCTAGAATATAAACTTACTAAAGCCTTTCTATTACTTATAAATATAGCTATAAGTAACTTATTCCTCTACTTTCCTCTAGATCTAATAACCGCTATAATAGTAAAGAAGGATAATAGATATCTTATTAAACTCTATAATAGCCTTCTAGTTTTCTAAGGTCTAATCTTAATAGGCATGATATTATTCTAGTTATTCTTTCCTTATCTTTATTATTAATCTAGGCTTCTTTATTAGCTTTGTTTTCCTATAGCTGGCTTCCTTAAGGAGTAATATTATAATTAATTTAGAAATATCTATTCCTATTAAGCTAAGCTTACTAATAATATTAGTAGCTAGTTTTTCCTATTTATAATAATCCTTACTAATCTTTATAATAATTAGGTCCTTTATCTCTTTTATATACTTAATTAGCCACCCTAACTATAATATATCTTTAAGCTACTTATTAATTAGCTATAGGAATATCTTATTAGGCTTAAAGCCTTAGTAAATTACTCAAATATAGATACTATTTATTATATATATAGTAAGGCCTATAAAGGCGCTGATTTTAGCAGTCATTTTCGCTCCCCCTAATAGCGCCTTTAGCATCACTACTAAAGCCCAAGTCGCAATATTATTTAGCATAGCTATAAGGTAGAAGGAAGAGGAATAGGGAAAAAATCGCTTATAGGGAAGTCTTATATAAATATAGTAGGGTAATACTAACAGACTTTGCAGGGGTTGTTTCCTTAGTGGCTTGACAGGCAAGGACTTTTTGGCCCTTCCTCCGTACTAACTAGTTAAATAAAACTTATTACTTTTTTAATAAAAAGTTATAGTATTTTATGATATTTTCTATTATAATATATTTACTAATATATTACTAAATAATTATTAAGTTAAATCTTAAATAGTATAAGGGATAAGACTTAAGTATAGTTTTAATAATAAATAGGCTTATATTAAGCTATTTAAGATTAACAAGGAAAGAAAGAGAAAGAGTTTACTATAAAGTTTTAATAAGCTTTTATATATAGTAATATATTAGAGTTTTTTTATAAGTATACTAAAGTTTTCCTACGTTATTTTATTAAATAAAATATAATAGCTATAAGGTTATAATATAAGCTAGAGCCTAAATATAATACAATATAGCTAATAATAATTATAATCTTATTAATATAATTAAATTAGCCTTAAAGTAAACTATAAGTAATAATTATTATATATTATATATAATAATCATAATTATAAAAAAGAACTTCTTATTAAAAAGGAAATATAGCTTAATTAAAATAGCTCTTTTTAATTATAGCCTAATTACATTAATTAATTATATAAATCTAAGTTATTTAAAAGATATTATATCTCTAACCTAAATTAATTAAAAGCTATTTAAATTAAAGAAGCGAGAAAAAGTCTTAAGATATAACTAACTTTTAATAATACTAAAAATAGCTTTTTTTATTACCTTTATAGGCTTAAACTTAGCTTAATATAAAAAGTAATTAATTAATATAATTATAAAGGTAATATAGGTATTTTACATCCTCTTTATTATATATAAATAATATATAAACTAGGCTAGTTATAATCTTAAATTATAAAAATAGAGCTAAGGTAAAGGTACGGTAAAGGAAATTTAACGGAATTATATTAAGTTTATTTATATAAATTAGTTAATAAAAGTTAAATTTATTATAATTACTTAAATATATATAATAAGATATATAATTAATTAACCTTATATATAAAATAAAATAAAGCAAAATTAATACAAAAAGTAATAATTTAAATTAAAAGAACATTTGTAATATAAAAGTTATTTAAATTATTTAATATTTATATATATTAATTTTAATAATTAAAAAAATAAAATATTTAAAGTTTAATATTTAATTAAATAAAAATAATATAGCTAAGTTTAGGCTTATAAAGGCAATAAAGAAAGCTATCCTATTTAATTAAAAAAAATATCCTTTTTTTTAGGCTATTTCTAAGCTTTTAAGGCTTAATAGCTTATTATTAATTTAATATAAATTAATTAACTTAATATAATCCCTTTTTTATATATAACTAATCAATTCTCTAGTTTTGTAACGGTTGCACAAGCCGTTAAGCCACAGGGCAAAAGATCGGGCCATAATCGCTATGCAAGCAATTATGGGTGTGCTACAGCTGCCTTATAGAAGCCTTATAGCGCTGTTACGGGCACGAATCGTAACAAGTTTAAATAACTGCTTTTTTACTAATTTTACATTATTTATTCTTATATATAAGGTTAATTAGTTATATACCTTACTATATATATTTAATTAATTAAGTTATATCTTTAAGTAGATTTAACTTTCACTAACTAATTTATATATAATTTAATATAATTCTTTTAATTTTTTTAACCTTACCTTTATTATATATTTATTTAACTCTTTATTTATATATAATAAGGAGGATATAAAGTACCTATTTTACCTTTATAATTATATTAATAAGCTACTTTTTATATGAAGCTAAATTACTTATAAAGGTAATAAGAAAGCTACCTCTTTTATTATTATACCTTAAGGCTTTTTTTAGCTTTTTTAATCCAAATAGCTTTTACTTAATTTAGGCTAGAGATATTATATTTCCTAAATAACCTAGATTTATATAATTAATCAATTTAATTAGGCTATAATTAAAGATAACTATTTTAATGATGCTAGATTTCCTTTTTAATAAGAAGTTCTTTTTAATAATTATAGCTATTATATATAATATATAATAACTTTTACTTATAGCTTATTTTAAGGCTAATTTAATTATATTAATAAGATTATAACTAGTTATATAATAGCCTTAATTAGGCTATAGGCTATTATAAATAGTAGTTATTATAATAGTAGCTATACTTAATATTAGTAAGTATAACTAATAGGTATTTAAATTAGGTAATATATTTTAAAAGTATAATAAATAAATTTTGCATAGTATTCCTTTAGGTAGGTGTTACGATTCGTGCCCGTAACAGCGCTGTAAGGCTTCTATAAGGCAGCTGTAGCACACCCATAATTGCTTGCATAGCGATTATGGCCCGATCTTTTGCCCTGTGGTTTAACGGCTTGTGCAACCGTTACAGTAGGTTAAAAGAAGAAGGTTGATTTAGCTACTAAGAGGTAAACCTATAGTCTTAAGTTATAATAAATTGCATTTTTATTTTAATGATAACTTCTTAAAGTTATTTTTAAATTCTTTACGTAAGGAGAATTAAGCTTTTAATTTATACCTTATATTAATTAATTTTTAAACTACTAAGAAATAGTCTCTTTTACCTTAGGGGAAATTATTAAACCTCTTTAAGAGATATAGCTCCTTATTAAGCTAATAGGAATAAAAGGGATAAAGGCCTAAAAGCTCAAAGACCTTATAGCTAAAGATGATAAGATTAATAAGCTTGTTATTATTATTAATATTTAACTTAAAAACTATACTTCTTTGCATACCTTTTAGATATATAAATATTACAGCCATAAAAGTTTGAAGTTAATATAAAGCCTAATTATATATTCAACCTTATATTTTTATAACTACACTTGTCGATCGGAAAAAGCGGCTGGAAAACAATGGTATGGTAAGCAAGTCTCAAGTACAATGCTCAGTGAAGTACTGCGTGATGGCGCGACCACAACACACCATGTCCGTCTCTCTCTCCCACGTCGGTGCCAGGCAGCTTTTCCACTTGACTGCGAGATAGCACTCTCCATCATTGGATTCATAATGGCCTACGATCTGATCAAAGTTCTTTTCGGGGTCCTCAGAATTGAAGGGCGACGGCTGGGCGGTGTCCTGCCACATTCGTGGCCCTGACCCATCGTCAAAAACCCATAGAAGGCAGTCTGGGCTCGTCCAGTCCGATGAAGTCGCATCTAAAGTCTCTGCACAAACACCATAAAAGACCCATGGCCCAACTTGAGTAGTTACGAGGATGTCCTTTATCACGACGTGGGCAGACCAGGGAGTGCGTATATGGGCACCTTCCTCGACGCATTGTAGGCACCTCAGGGCTGCCATCGTATGTAGCAAAGTTTGATTACGATTTTTATGTTAGAGGTAACTTTAGTTTAGTAGCAGGCATGTAAACGACATTGTTTCTTATAGTCCAAATGCTTTAGGGAAATACCTGTTTATATACCCTACGACCACAGGTCCATGCGATCCGTGTGGGAACTATTGATGGAATGACAGACTAGCTCTTTCTGAGACTGTTTAGGTTACCAGAATTTGAAGTCCCTTTACTTGTATCAAGAGGCTGTTTTCTGGTTCGAGCCTGATTACGTCGTGAAGCTTGGTTGCGAGGCCAGAAATCGCCGCAATCGGACGTATCGGGACGATACGTGGTAAAGCTGTTCCTTCGCCGCTCGCAGTATTATGCAGACAAGGATTCTAGAACACAAGTATTCATTAACTCATCGTAGTGGAATTTGGACGGCCTGCCCTATTCCATCACCAAAGGTCTCTACGAGTTCCAGAAGGCGTAGTAATGGACGTATATAGTATACATTTGGATTCTCCGCTGTATGATGTTAGAGTGCACTTTGACCCAACTGGCATCATACATGAAAATTTATCCCTGCATAGTAAGGAGTCGATGGGTCAGGCTCGAAGTTACAGAAGGCAACAGATATGACATGTATGAGATAAAATTCCATACATATCAACCTTAGGTTGCCAGGACTCACTTCTCCCCTATCCGTGTTGCATCGTTACACTACCAAGAAGAATGAGTCGTTTGAGTGACGTCTTTCCACAGTTGAAATCGACACTATCACTTGGGTTCGCTTTCCTTACTGTATGATAAAATCATACATTCATCCACTAATCATATTATCCCTAATATTTAGGACCACAGCATCGTTTCTCAGGCCTCGAGCAGCTCCACATCAAGTGAAGTTAATCCAGCCGTCGGAGACCTTACTGTATAATTAGGCAAAGACCTTGAAATATACAAACGATTTGATTCACACTACCATCATTGTCTAGGACTGCCCTATATCAACCCAATGTGTTCATATGAGAGGCCAGTTCCTGGAGCAAGTGCGGCACCTGACGGCAACAAGAGGTTAATCAAGTATATATATACATATATAAAACGAAATCCTTTGCGAATATTTGCACACTCGGTTTCTCACACGATATGCACTGACGAAGTAGAACTCCGTTCCAAGCCACTAGTCATGGTCTAAGCTCATAATTATACGGAGTAGGAAGACTCCAGAGTTTCAAATCGGGAGTCACGCCAGGCGATGACACCGTGCTTCTCCCTTGAGGATTTTATCGTTTCATTCTATATCCCATAATCACTTGTGATCCACGATCCAACGCCTCGGTCGTTACAATGCCTCATTCCCCAAACGAAGCGTGCTGCGATTCGAGCCATCTCTACACTCCATAGTGTTGTTATGAAGGAGTGTATGGGAGGCCCGCAGGGATTTGACACTACCTCGAGGGCTCAGGCTCTGCTCGCCAACAATTGGCTGCGCTCGCCTCTTTCCAAAGGTTTACAACAGATGGTGACTTAGGCGGCTGATTAGAAGGCTCTTTGTAGCTTTGACTTGTTGGTTCAAATCAACTAACTGATATCGTAGCTCAACTTCGGTAGGTAAGAATTTTCAGTTATCCGGCCCAACCTTAGTCGCCCTCACAGCCGAAACCCCGGAAGCGGCAGCGTACCGAATCATTGAGCTATTCTGATCCACAATTAGCCTCAGATACCACGCTACAAACGGATGTCGTGAACACTATCCCTCACACGACTGTTAACCAGTGGAACTCAGAGCTTGACCCAAGCCTCCTCCTATTTAAAATCGAGACGCGATACGAATATGCATATCTGATCTTTAGGGGAGACCTTGGTAGTATAGTTGGTCGGAAGGCTTACCAAATAGCAAACAAAATGGAAATCTCTACTTTCTTGTCAAATTGGGGCGCGGCAACAACTAGAAAGCCGACAAAATGATTACAACGCTGCAGATGCAGTAGAGAAGATCACATCAAGACAGTCGACTCACACGCTCCTGTAACAGTCTATTCTACTCTTTACGCCTTCCCAAGGTCCTTGGGCTTTCTGACCCGCACAGTAGCTAACGGGCCAAGTCAGTCAGGCCATCCGGACAACTCTGCTCTCTCAGACTCTTAGAGGAACCAGTTTTCGAGTAAGACCCGGAGGCACGCAGCGACGTCATACCTATGTCCGCTGCCTGTGTTAAGAATATCCATGCCCTCTTTCAGAATGAATAGATCGTCATTATTGAGTTGTTAAATGGCGGCGCTAGCCGGAATCTTGAGCTGGATGCTTAGAACTTGAGCAGCGACCAGTCTGGGATAGGAACACTTTGACCGTTTACTGTTGCCGTCTAAGTGAAGCGATTTTACTTTCCCCTGACTTTCTTATTCTCATGTATCCGGACTGGTAGTCTGAACCCTCTGACTTGCAACATCTGCATACGTTCTGCAGAAGAGAATATCTCTGATCAAAACACTTCTATCCTAGTTTGTCGAAAGAAGAAGCAATGTGGAAGGCACCCGATGACACTGGTCCAGTCAAGACTTGCAAAGCCCCCCTCCCTTACTTGGCCCTTCTGCTGCCTATCTTGTTTGCACGCCGCTCTGAGGTTGCAGTTCATCGAGATTCGACATTCATAGCCAGGGATACGTTCTGGGATGTACCGACTTGCCCTTGGTGAGGCATCTTACCTTAACCCTGTCATCTATGCCCTCTCCCCTAGCCACGATGCAGGACACGCTTGTGGGACGATTTAGTACTTAAGGGAGTGATATCTCCCCTCGATTCTCGTATCCCAACTTCCTTCTTCACCACCTCCAAACCGTCTTTGTTACATACTCTACTGGGTACCAAGCTGATTCGGTCTCCCTCATGGTCCTTGCTCCAAAGCACTTTTCATCTTTCACCTCCTCTTATTGACCATCTACTCAACCCCAGAAAAGTTGATACCATGACTGGCTTGCTGGTTTCTTCTGGCTCGAGTACCAAGGCCGTCGTTGACATAACCAAAGACTTCCTAAGATGCTACAAGAATCACACTTTGGCAAAACAGTCGATAACCGTTCCTGAGCCCGTGTATCCCACCAAATCTTTCAGCATTTCCCTTGATGGGAAACTGCTCTATTCCCCCCCTAGTAGCACGAAGCTCAAGATCTCCCCACTAGCATGTGCCGTCATTGAAGGAGAAAGCACGGTGATTTCTGCGCTCCTGGCCGGTTTGAAGCAGAGCATGCAGAGCACGCAGTTTCAGGATGAGATCGACAATGCTCTGTTTCTGGCTGACTTTTTCGGACAGGAAGAAGCGAACGATTTGCTTCTGGAATACAGACCAGACCCAGGACGTAAGCATTCGTCCAATGGTCTACATGGTGCCGCAGGCCGGGGGCTTGAGGATCCTCGAATATATCTGGTTTTCTGGCGCTGACCCTGATGTTTTGGATGGGTTTGGCGCTACGCCAATCATGTATGCGATGCAGTTGCCGGCACCGCATGATTGGGAGATCATCGAGCTTCTCATTGAGGAAGGAGCTGATCCATGCTACGGTATCTGTATTGGTGGCGTCTCTTGGCCCTATCCCGACATCTCAAAGGCTATGGGCAAGCCGGATCTAACGAAGCTATTGGAAGAAGCAATTTTGGAAATGTCAGAAGACGAGGAAACAGATGTCCCGTCGCGGTGTTGATCAACTTGCGCGAGTGATATGGCTGTGTCCATGCCCATGCTTTCCTATGAATATCTTGTTGAGTTGTTAGGTAGTTACAAATGCTTATCTACTAAGTACCGATTTTATTCTTCTCTTGTCTCATACTCCTCTTAGACATACTCAGCTTTGCACCAGCCATACAATGAATGATCTAGTATACGTTGGATTGCCGTCATGCAACCACCAAAGCATTGTTGTGTTCTTCGTCATGATCACGTTGGTTGCCGGTGCCTCCAGGTTGCCACAAGCGCTTGTAAGTCACCTAGAATCTCTGCTCTACCCTGAGCACATATGTCCTTGCGAATTGGTTTTAGGTCTACCGCCGAACGATGAGCTACTACATTCTTCGGAAAGTCAAAAGCATTGTTATGCCGGAGCTGCTTCGTAAGGGCTACGAAATTACTGACCGGAGCAACACTAGAGGAGAACGGTGTTACGAGAGTTGAACGAGAAGAGGGCTTGCATAGCGAAACTAAGGGAAACCCCACCCAATTCAATGTGATACCGAGACGTTTATACCCGTTGGCTACCATCTACATGTGGGATCCGCCGCCTTGTACATATCGGACATTCTCTGAGGAATAGCTTTAACAGAAACTGTGCCCTACCAATGGTTCATGCTTGGTCCCTTGGAATAATGCCATGCGGACACATTTATCCCCAAAAGCTAAGTCACTAATAAGCTTTTGGAATGCCATAAATGCGTGTCGAATGGAATCGTCTACACATTAAGCAGTTACTCCAAGAAAATAGGATCCCCTAGAATTTGGATACTTTCTCGCGTCAACTCATCATAAACTATTCCTGACGCCATAGCCGTCCAGGATGCTACCAAAGACGCCACTAATGATTCTGCCACGATTGCTGCAACTGGCGCACAAGGAGGGAAGGCAGCCGATGCCAACCCACAACCAGCAGCGCCGAACCAGGAGCCGACAAATCCTACAAAACCACCCGTCATTGCTAGGTTCCCCTGATTTTGGGGCAGGAGGCCGACAAAGTTAAGATGCAGCCTCTCCTCACGTGGATCTCGACGAATGGCAAACCACACAAGGTCGGCACCTCGATGCCTGCCCCCGGTAATGACCAGCGGTAACAGTTCGTCAGCAAAGGCAATGGGATGGTCCATCACAAGTGGGTAGTAGGCCGGAATGACGAGATGGAACACGGCGGCACGCCCATAATCAGTCGTTTCAATAAGAGCTTCTCTATCGGCTCGCATCCTCAGGCAGATCGTCGCAAGATCATGATGATATCCACCAAACGCAGGACCAAGGGGATCTTCTGCCTGTCTTCCTTCGAATGCAGGATACCAATCGCTGTCCGGGTGCCATACATAGAAGAAGTGATGTTGACCATCCTGTGTACCGTCGACGGCAGCCATCTCATTCTGGACGAAGCGATGCACGTAGGCTCCGAACCCACCGTGATCCCAACCTTGTACCCTGGCGACGTTTGCAATCTCGAGTTCCGATCGTATGGCATCGAAGCTTGCACCGACTCTCTCTTGATGGCACTCGTGACATCCAACAGTACCAAAGGTATAGAGCCCAGGGCGGCCGCCTGGTAGTAGGCTAGGAAGGCTGGGGTCGAATTGAACGCGTTGGGAACGACCCGAATTTCCCTCGCTTGAATGCCGTTGAGCAACTGCGGCAGAGCGTCTCGTACCTCCTGATACGTCTGCTCTTGCTGCCTCGAAGCTCTCCGTTCTCCCCTCTGCGTCAGCAACTGAGATAGCCCTAGCGCTAGGGGCCCCCATTGTCTGGCGAGTCGAAGAGCCTGCTGGTAAGTGAGGCTGGCGATGGTGCGGGGAACGGCGAGGTTCATTTCGACGAATATCACGACCAGGCAGGAAGGATTGTCAATGAGAGCCTCTATGGTTGTCTTCCGCAGGGCCTGGTTATCGGGCGGTGAACTGTTGTCCAAGATGATCGAGGAAAGGCAACAAGGTGAGACCAAGTGTATTTATGAACAGAATCCCGGTACTTGGCATCATCAGAAATGAAGTGGGGTAATCCAAGCGTGCTGGCCTTGTGTGTGGTCAGCTGAGACGTGCATGTCGTTGTCCAACCAGACACCTCCACGAATGGTCGTTGGATGCATGGACGTCGAAAATATTTCAGCTGTTTGGTGTGTATCATTAGGTGGTTGCCAGGAGAACCAACAATAATTGTCAGGTGTTGTGTTGTGCTAGAAATTCGGTCTGTTGCCCGCTAGGGAGTCGTGATAAAACAAAAAAAGGTTGATTGTAATTGTTAGTTTTGAGTTGCATATATCCGAGAGGAGCACAGCTCCTCCTGAGTTATCACTGCCCCACTCACTCGCTTATCTTGCTTCGCACCCATGCCAGGCTCTTAGACGGTGCCAGCCCTTACGCGTAACGCGTCACCAGGTACACGACACGCCATACGCGATACGCGTGCGCCATAGCTGATGCATCTCACACACAATTTCATTAACTCCTGCACATATTCATTTAGTACTCCACAAACGCACTAACACATGTACCTCACGTCGTGCGCCCGCCTTTTCTGCGGGCCCAAACATGCACGCTCGCTTCAACTCCGTGCTCCTACCAACTCCGTGCTCCACCCCTTTCCACAAACGGCACTGCTAAGGACCACGCGATAGTTAGGCCTCGACGCTCTTGCCCATGCTCTCCCCGTCACTTTTTTCGGCAACCATACCAGTCCGCATCTTGGTAGAACACAGCAAGTGCGCAGCATCATCCAGCATCTGCTGAATGACCAAGGGCGTGCCGAATCGTGCCGTATAGAATGAGTAGATGGCGACCGAGGCGCAACCCAAGCAAAGCAGGACACCCAATGTGAGGGAGATGAACTTGCATCGTCCTGCAAGTCTCGCATCACCAGCCGCCAGCTCAAAAAGCAGTGACCAGGTCCAGGTCAAGTACATCGTACGAATCGAGACACAGACAAACACCATCGCTATCCCGCCAAACGCCGCATACGTGAGCATCCTTCCTCGACTTCCGTTCATTCTGGTCACCGCAAAGACCGGCACAGCACCCCAGATCATCAAAACAAGGAGTATCGTATCAAGGATAAGGTATCCCAAGACCTCCCTTGCTTCTTTCTCCAGTCCCGAATCAATCAGGGCCGGCCAAAGCTGGTTTTGAGTACACCATGCCAGAAGGCTTGGCATCGCTGGCACGCCGACCAACAAGGTCAATTGGATGACCAAGAGCACGGATGCAAGCAAGTATCGCCCAAACCGCGACAGAGGTGTATTGGCGTCCGGGAAGGGGTCTCTGTGGATGGACCAAAAGACAAACTTCCTGTCCCGTTGGCGAGCCATGTCAACGGCCTCGTTTATGGTTTTTTTCTTCTTTTTTTTTTCTTCCTAATAGACAGCCAGGTCAATAAGCCTCTTGTCTAGATACGACAAGTTGTCTAAATAGGCATAGACGAGGAAAGCTTGGTGCAATGGCTGTGGCTGATTGAGAAGTTGGAGCCAGTTGCGTGCCTGCTGTCTTGATACTCACCTCGACCAATTGCCACACCCGTATTTATGCCCAACGGCCCTATTGCTCGACTGTATCAGGAGCCGAACTACACAGTTGCATAACGCTCCTTCATACAGCTCAAAAGTGACGCTTCATTCCATGGCAGTATGAATCAGAACGCGCGGCGGCTATTGGACTTCTCAGCCGTTCTTATTTGGTGAGTGGATCTCACGCTGCTTCTCGCTATGAGAGACGACCAACTACCTTGATGCGACAGAGCCGCCGTGACAATTTTGACCTGTATAGCCACGACCAAGATCAGAAGCTGCTTCCATTGTAATGGGAAACCCGTGAGCATGAGCCTGGATATGGGATGAAAATCACTTACTGCAAAGCCCATCCATGCACGATGATCGTTATGCACATGGGGCCTCAACAGTTGTTCTCCTGATATGTCGATGCAATAGTTGGCAAGAGAAGCACAAGGATGGTTCATCAGCCTAATTGGAACATCATGAAGAATAAATAGCCATGGGACAAGTGTGGACAATTAAGGGTTTTAAAAACGCGCTCGGTCTGGGAGTACCCTGTACGAATGACACGAACCAGCTCTTTATTATGGGGATGTTGGAGAACAATGACGACGCTGTCATATTATTCGAAGACCTTGTACGCGATTATGAAAGCGTAGAGGTAGTAGAAATTTGAAATGGAAAGGGCGCAGTCATCATTGCTGATCCTCGCCTTGGTGGGACTTCTATGGTGGATTTGCATGGTGAGCTGGAAACTGCAGTACAAATCACGGAAATAAAAGCGGAATACTATGAATAGATCAAAGGCCGATAAGCCGATAACATTATCGATAGGCCGAGTTCGGCAGATAAGCCGATAAGCACGGCGCTACCCACAATCTCCAATCGCACATCACATGTAAAGCGACGTACTGGTCAGCAATACAGGCTTCGATAATTTCATAATCCATGCAGAACATATCTCTACCATAAATTCGTTTCTGGGCTGTTTTATGCTTGGGATTAAGGTATTGTGATGATAGTATAAATGTGTTATTTATTGGTTATCCTTGCTTTGCTGCGCCATGAACAGGCAGATTAGATAAGGGAAGAGTTTATTCAGCCAATCGCTGAAGGCTACCCTATATCTAATAATTTTTACGCTTGGACTAGACCAAAAGCTACTCTAAGAACAACATTATTGGCAGATTTAATCGTCTGGAATACGTCAGAAGCTATGGATAATATCGTTACATAAATAGTCGCCGATCAGTTCGTATTGTAAGTGTCTGCGATACCTGTTTTTTTTTTCTTTATTTCAATATCGTGTAATTTCACAACACTAGCACGAATGGTACTACGTTCTGAAGTCGCATACGTCATCCCGCTAGTCACGTGGCTTACCATTCCATTACCCCGTCAACTTTCCTACTCCACTATTTACGCTAGCGTCATCCGCATGTTTTCAACATTGTCAACACGAACGGCATCACCATTTCGGCATCGCATCAAGATATGGGCACCCTCATCAGAGAAAGTCAGGTCAACAAGTTCAAGTTAGTATCCGACTGGTTACTAAAGATTGAAAAGCCATCCGATGACTCAATACATAAGGAAAAGCGCCGCAAAACAAACTGTAAGGAACGATATTTCAACGCCGAAGATCCTTGCCATCGGATCCCAACACCGTCAAATTCATCTCATGATAGTCAACTTGTGGCAAATCCAACCCCCCAAAGTCTCCAAGACGCTTCAAAATCTATGCCACGGAAACGCACCCGATCGATCACTGAGATGGTCGGTTCCGACGAAGAAGGAGACGCCATAGACGATACGCCCAAGGCGTCATCGAGAGGCTGGAGAAAGAAAGCACTAGATTTGTCCCGGGGCTCAACGCCATCTCATGCCTCTTCTTCCGCAGCCTCGGGTGCTTCATCACCCATGAAACAGCTTCGATACGCAGCGACACAGGACGCTGGTTTTACAACCGTTCCATTTGTAGACAATGTTCAACGATTACCGCCTTCGCTGCAAAAGATACGTCAAGAGCTCGTGAATATTGGATACGGTGCGGCCATGCTACCTCAAAGTATGCGGGAGGAGTTGCAGAGCTTGGGCGACTTCCCAGACTATGCTTTTTACGATCCAGCCCCGCAGCCGAGTCAATGGCGCATCCCTCCAATCCCGCTTATTCGCCGACTCGTGTCTCGTGCTGCTGAGTGCCAGAGGTACAACGAAGGGGAATCATCCTGGAATAATGATATCCATGACAGTGTCCTCGAATGGGTTTTTCGAGAAACAGAAGACGTTGCCATGTTTGATTATAGGTACTGGTAGGTTATCCTACTCTGCCATCGCCGAGACCCTACTGACTAGCGTACAGTACTGGTGCGCAGATAATTCAAGAGTACAGACCAATCGGTACGTCATCCAAGTCTGTCGACTTTTGTATCTGTATCAAACCTCCGGAATCGAGTGTAGAAGGTCAAAAGATTACAGAGGCCATCGTGACACGGCCAGGTATCTCCATCAGCCATACAGAATGGGGGAACTTCTGCAGACATCCGATCGCCCTCTCGATCGAGACTAAGCGTCAGGCCGAGTGGGAGAAGGCATTGCTCCAGATTGCAACCTGGCACTCGGCTCAGTGGCGAGCGCTCCAGTTTAGTACAAAGGTTGAGTCTATTGAGTTCCTTGCTGGGGTTATTGTGCAAGGTCACTCTTGGTACTTTGTAGCGTCAACACTCGAAGACGGAGTATCGACGCTCTACCATCGGATCTCTCTAGGTAGTACTGAGAGTCACTTCGATCTGTTCAAGCTCCTGAGAGCGCTACAATGCTTGGCATCGTGGATCAAGGATACATACTGGCCTGCTTTTCGAGCGGATATCCTGAAGCTGCCGGCCACTGAACAAAAAGGACAATGACACCGCCATGGTGTCTTGCTTCTCCAGCCCCTGAACAAGAGGAATTTGACAACTACAAACACTCTCACCATATGGATCCCTCGTCTGTTTAATCTGCGTATAACCTGCTAGACCATATGTGCGTTCCTACTCAAGAAGATCGATGTGCTAGGTAGATCTAAACCTTGTACTGTTGCTAGGTTTCTTATGGCCACAGATCGAAAAAGGCCGTGACTCTTTTCCCGTAGACATTATGAAATATCTGACGTTAAAAGTGACTTCAATTCGACAAAACGACGAGCATTAAGCCAAGACTTCACAGTGCCTCTAACGCCAGCCGGTCAGAGTTTTCTTGTTGAGACAGTGCCCGGACATGAAGCTCCCCAACTCAAGGCCATTACTTTGGGAACGTTCAGTGTGACTGGACCAAACTTCGTCTTGTACCTAGATGCAATTTTAACTCGTATCCCGAGATTGGAAATCGAGCACCACCTGTCATGGCCGATGTAAGCTCGTGTAGTCATTGAGCAACCTGAGCCTTTTGTCTTCAGAGCGCCTACCTAGATCCGGTGATCAGGTGGTTGACTATGCTTTAGAACAATCATGATATCTTCCTTAGGACCAACCAACATGCTTCGACGATTGATGGACCTTAAACCCCTTTAAATATTTGACTTGTCATGAGCCACTGTTACATGGCTGGCATTGGGACATCTAAACTGTGTTTCTTTAGATCTGGATAATGAATTCGAGCGCCTCTGATCTGAGACAAATGGTAAGAGGCTTACAGTTGCGACCCACCGAGACGATATCTCTGTTGGTCAGAGTCTTGTTACTGGTGGGAAAAGCCTCTTTTGCCATAATTAGCATGCTCTTGCTTGCAGTCATTACGTTGAGTGATAAGGTGCTTAGTGAATCGAGTTTAGGTGTATTTTTGTTCATCAACGGCTATGCAGATCTTAATTAAGTACAAAGTCGTAAAATGTCTTGTCTGGTCTACTTCATCTTTCGATCCATGGGGAACTCCCCCAACGAAGAGGGCGTCTTAATTCCCAACCTAAGCAGTAAGTATTCGCTTACCTAACGCCAAACGCTGTAGTCCAACGAATGGTCCAACCAGTCCGGACCCATTTCGTTTATCATACAATTCAGACACCAAACATCTCCCCTGTTGCACGGTATTCTAAGTATTATTCCTTGGCAAGGAAGTCGAACCAGCTTCGAATTTGTCCAAGGATAGTTGTCCTCACTTGGCACCGCCGCGATGGGTGACTAGCCTCTTCGCTTCGTCAGCCGACGCTTGTCATCATCTTCTGTATCATCGCCCTCATAATCCGCATCCGCCTTGTGGCTCTTCAGATCAACAGCCTGCTCCCACTCCTGAATTTGCTCCTCATCATCGGATCTCAGCCGTTGTGGCGAACTAGACGGCAATCTACGCTTCCTAGAAACCCTCTTCGATTTCATCACTTCGCTGGATTTAGCGGTCTCTTTCTCCAACTGCCATTGCTGGGCATCTTTGAAAAGTTGGGCTAGTCGAGAGAACTTGATGTTGATCTCGGCATCGGGCCAAGTCTTCGAGATTTCATCAGTGGCAAAATCCCGTACGTCAATGGTGAGAACTTCATCAGGATTTTGAACCTGACCATCGGACGAGAGGAATGGCTATGGAACTCGGTCAGCAGAATTCGGAAAAGGTCGTCTGTAATAAACATACCCGGTCTTGGACGTACTGAACCGTTACCAACTCTTCATCATCTCCATCAGTAATGAATTTCGGTCGCCAGGTTGATACTGTCGACGACCCGCCGTCATAACTCAGATCGAAACCAATAAATAACTTAACATCTGCGTTTGAGTAGAGAATGTAGTCTTGAGCCAGCCTTCTCAAATCTTTACCATTTTGCGAGTATGACACCTCAACTACAACACCAGGATATGCGGTTTTGGGGTACTGAAACTGAATGTCTGGTTCGCGTTTGATGGCGTACTTCTTGTAATCGTCTTCTTTCTTGTTGTTATATTCGTTCTCGTCATCTGCTTCATTCTCCTCGTCTAGTTGCTCCTTCTCGTCCACTTCCCTTAAGAATACGCGTGATGAGATAGCGCTCTTCAATTCTTTAGTGACTTCCTTTATCTTGTTAGTGCGGCTGGCTGCGATCTGACTGAGTTCCTTGCAGACTTCATCTCTGAACTCAATGGCAAAGAAGTCATGGGTCGGCGAAGGCATACGAATCGCAAGGCAGCCGCGCCTAGGTTCGTAATCGAAACACCTGAACGTTTTCTCGATCTTGGAATGAAGTTTATGGTACTGTTCCGGACTGAGCTTGAACTCTGTGAGCTCAGAGACTTCTTGTGTTAACGATAGAAGCTTGTGTTGCAAGAGCGGTTCCGGGAGTCTTAGATCGTCGTCGTTGTTGACGACGCACTTCCCGGGCCGCTCCGTTGTAGGGGGCGGAGATGGGGGTAGCTGGCTGGATTTGTCGGGCGGAGTGACGCTGAGCGGCGATAGATTTGATGAATCAATCTGGCTGTGCTTTTTGATCTGCACAGAATTTGATTCAGCTGCATCTGACATGGTCGGCGTTGGGTTGTGATCCAGACCCCGTCGCGGATGTTTGTTGATCGTGAATGTTGAAATGAGATGTTGACATTTGACAACGGGGAAAAGCTGAGTCAGCTTTGGCCGGATGACAAATGTTCCGCTCCGAATTTTTGAACAAGTCAGGTAGTGTTGAACATGCACTGAGTGTCACGTGCAAGCAGGGATACGTTAAGATTACAACCGAAATGGTAAAACCTCTAAGGGGTAGAATTACACAGAACGCAACATGAAATATACCAATCTGGATCAATGGACTGAATACACGTAATGCCTGACAGGTAGACAAGCTTGCACATCGACGAGGTTGAGCCAAAAACGATGTGCTTATTTCGGGATACGCTTTACCAGATCTGGAAGCCTTCAGTATGGGCACTTAACATTGCAGTCAGCAAGTCCATAGAAGGAGATCTGACGAACAGCAATTGACAGCATATCGATATTAGAAACAAACAAAAGGCGAATAACACATGAGCCACTTAACGCACAGCTCTTAGGAGCGTCAATACTTAGATACGGAGCTTTATTATTTTATTTATTTATTTTTGTCCCCCTTCTACCAGTATAGTTTGCGTAATTGCCGGTCATGAATTCGTATGGAATATGCACTTATGGCGACACTGCCGAAGCCCATGAGAGCGCTATAGTACTTGGGATCGTGGATCAAGGATAAATACTGGCCAGCTTTTCGAGCGGATATCCTGAAGCTGCCTGCTACCGAACAGGAAGGACAATAGCAATAATTAGATACTGTGTGATTGGGCTGGCTATATCACGCCATCGGATGATTTGAGTTTTCTATCCGATGTGAGTTATGAGTTGCAAAGGCTGGTGCGATATATAGTTACGGCTTGTTGTTCATAGGATAGACTTGATGAGAATATGATAGCAATAACCATGACACCGTTTGACGTCTTGCTTCCCCAACCCTTAAACAAGGGAAATTTGACAATTGCAAACACTCTCACCATATGGATCCCTCGTCTGTTTAATCTGCGTATAGCCTGCTAGACCATGTGTGCCTTCCTACTCAAGAAGATCGATGTGCTGGGTAGATCCAAATTCTTGTACGTGCTCGTGAGCTTACCCTTTTGCTAGGGGGTTCATGAAGGCTCAAAGCAACATTCTGTGACGTCGAGCGTGCATAAGCTCCGAAGAAAAGACTTAACATGCTTAAGGTTTTCAGCCAGTTTTGGCCCTTGCTGGACGTTAGCGACCTTGAAAAAGACCGATTCGGATCCTTGTTCTCGCACTCTCATACAAGCTAAAGTGAGCTGTGGCAATTGGTTACCGCTGGATCATGAAGCGGCTGGAACAAGCCGTCCATGCACTTATATGCTTCTGTATGGCAACCGACGTCCTGGCTGTCCCCTCTTCCCCTTCCCCTCCCCCCCTTCCTGTGTGGATCAAAAGAATCACCGCATCAATGGAGCTTGATGTCAGTGTCCTAACCATAACGGACTGGTACGGAATAGGGTTGACGGGCTTTCTCGTATTGCTAGCCCTGCGGCGTGCCATACGAATCATCCTCCGTTGCATATGTCCACCAGTCCTCCGTCGCCTGGGAAGAAGAATCTCCCAATGGGCGGTGAGGTTTCTGGCGTACAGAGGCCCATTCCGTCGCGGAAGTAGCGTGGACATCATCACCTGGGCTCATATTCTCATATTTCTCTCTTATCTTACATCCAACCTGAGTTGCATCGTCATCGGTGCTGGGGACGTGGCAGAAGCCTGCTTCAGAGCGGGCAAGCTTGCATTCATTAACCTCATAGTCTTGTATATTGGTCCCTGTCTTGACTTCATCGCTTCCGTCCTGCGATTTCGGCTTCGTGTCCAGAGGCGAATACACGCCGGTGCAGGGTACGTAGTTGCCATTTTGTCCACTATCCACGCCGTAGGAGCGTTCTCCAGACACGGATGGTCTGCCGTAGATCAGGGGCACAATCTTTATGCTACTTTAGTAACGAGCTCGCTATCCGTGATAAGTTTTTTAGAGCTGACATCAAACAGGCTCTTGCCGGAATCTACTTCATCCTCATACCTATCAGGACTTTCCCGTCATGGATTCCTTATGAAATGCTACTGTCCATTCACTATCTTGTAGCGGGATGGTTGGGCTTCGCCATGTGGCGCCACATTCCGACCGACTCGCAGTTTTCTCTCATATTCCTCTATGTGGTTGCCGGCATCTTCCTAGGCTCTCTGGCCTGGCAGGTCGGGGAGACTGTGTATACGAATGGTTGGTGGTTCCAGTCGGTGTCCCTCAGTCAGAATGGTAGCTACGATTACATCCAGGTCAGAATGACGCTGAGAAAGCCAGTCAAGGTCGAGCCTGGGCAATATATTAACTTATGGATCCCGTTGGGCCCGCTATCAGGGCTACAGAGTCACCCGTTCACGGTTGCCAACTGGTCGATCCGTGCCCAAACAGAACTGAAGGTATTTGTCGGGGTCAAACGCGGCCTCACCAGCAAGTTACGGGATGCAGTGAAGCGCGGCCTCAAGTCCAATATCGGTCTTTATATGGGCCCCTACGGAGCTACAATCGCCATGAAAGGATATGAAACGATCCTGTTAGTTGCCACTGGCCTAGGTGTGGTGGCTGTTGCGCCGTATCTACAGGGGCTAGTCCATGCGACTCGTGCGCATGAAATCCGTAGCACGCCTGAAACCCGTAGCGCGCCCGTACATCTGATCTGGCATATTCCATCCTGGAGTAGGTCTCTCCTTCCTTCATTCTCTTCCTCGGTTGACAGGAGTTGCAGAGCAATCGCATGCGGTTTTTGACATTATCGACTTTGCCCTCGCCCTTGACGAAGGCGATGACACGGAGGAGGGAGGCGGAAAACCCCCGCAAATATCGGGTATAAAGATTTCCATGTGCTACGAGGAGGAAAAATCCTCATTGCCCCCTAAAGTCCAGCTGTTCATCCGGGAAATGGAAAAGAAGGAGAGTGAGAAGCCAGGTAGAACCAGGATCAAGGTTTACAACCGTGACTTGCCTCTCGAGACATTGTTGATCAATGATGCAGTGATAAGCCCTGCTCAAGGCGACTCCGAGAAGCCTACCATGATCGCAGGTCAGTCTTTCATTCTAATTTGCGAGCAAGACTGACAGTACGTACAGCCTCAGTTTCCAAAGATATGAGGAATACGCTCGTCAAATTTGCAGGAGAGCATCCAAGCGCGGTCGACCTGGTGTTTACAGATTATCAACCTTGATATAGTGGTCGTTATCACCCATGGGGGTTCAGACAACGATGTCAGAGACAGCCACTTTGGGACGAGGGTCGCGCCTTCCTACATATTGCCGCACTGGGACATATCTTAGGTGTTGTAAAATTAGCTTTGTATTTTCTATGGATCTTATTATAGTACTGTAGCAAAGAGAAGTATCCAACCAAACTCTATCAATCTACTATGCTGCTTGGTATCAGATATGCCCTGGTATTTACTGTATCTTATAGCCTATTTACCAGCCTTTCCATCAAAATCCCTTTATGTTACTCACTATCCATCTGTTTGTGAACAGGACAAGTTGTGTTAGTGCTCCAACCTCGTGCGGTCTGCAGGCCGTAGCCCAAAATGGATGCTTCATTCGAAATTAACTCACTCCCGGCCAGGTGTACATCTTGTGGAATGATCATTTACTTACCTCTTTGACTGTTTCGAATCTGCTATGAAGTGTCCTAGTCTTAGCGGGTAGCAGACGTTCTTCATTACGTTGAGCGTGGTTCAGAGTCTCCAAACACTTGTAAAAGTCGACAGCTGCTGGATATGCCGTCCACTTTGCGTAGTCAACGTGGTCTCCTCGCATGTCTTTCTTCAGATAGCCATTCATGAGTTCTACAGTTATTCGCCAAAATCCGGCGAGCACGTTATCGGTCGTCCCATAGGAACAGAAATGCTGGCCCCCTTTTGTAAAAAGGTTAGCTAGGATGCCAGACTGGTATGTAAAGGAGGTGACTGTACAAATCTTGACCTGGCCAGATGTATCCAGTAGCACGTTGGAGCAACTCAACTCTGGGTGACCTATATCGTGTTCCTCAAGGTACAAAAGACCATCCAAAATCTTCCATGTAAGCAAGAATGTGTATGAATTGGGGGCGTCATTGAGGCACGAACCTGCTTCAGAATATAGGCCAATTCAGGACCACGGACTTTACGAGACGCTGCGATCTCTGCAAGAGATACTGGCATGAATTCATACACTACGGTGAACTCACCTGGCGTAGGCATCGTATAGACCCCGATTCCTTTGACGAACCTCCTGTTCTCAATCTTACGGACTACAGATACCTGTTCTTCACTTTCGGATCCAGACAGGGTCCAAAACAAGACACTGCTTTGTTTCTCGTCAAGTAATGGCGGTTTCTCCTCAAAGGCCGCCGGTTTTGTCCTCGCTAACTGTACGTCCATATTTCGACCTAGCGAGATCTTGTAGTATCGCTCAAAGTGCCGCTCTAGACGGTTGGCTTTGGTTTGGTCATGCTCCAATGATGCGGTTATTCTGTTATCTTCTACGTGCTTTTTAGGGCCCAGGATAGCCATGGGATTCTCAACTATCGCTGGGAGGCCGGCAAAAGCAACTCTCTTGGGAGGCTTCGAGACTTGCTGAGCCTTGGGCGGAATGTCAGGGATGCTCTTGAGAAGGGTTTTGGCTTTTTTGTCGGAGGTGCGTTCATCACCCGAGGTATCTATTTGCGGAGGAATCACTTTCGATGATTGACTCTCACAGTCTGCAATAACATCGCTGCCGCCAAAGAAATCTCCAAGCCGAGTGGCCCTCTTATCCGGTTGCTTCTCATTGTCCATAGCGCTTACAGCCACGCCATACTTGAGTGGACTGAACATTGCGACAGCAGCGTATGATATATATGGACGAGTCGATAATGTCTACCGGCTAGACGTGTAATCCAAAAAGAGTCTGTTCAGGGCTCTTGGAACCACTAGAGAGCCGATTGCAACCGGATCTCTCATCTTTTGTTCCTTGCAACACTGGTGGTGACCATTTTGGCCCTTGTGCCTCGCCTTATTTGTATGTTCCTATCACCTTTTGTTATTTGCACCATGATATTTTCCATCAGCAATGGATTCCCGTACCCGCAGAGACAGGCTGAGCAAAGAGAAGCAGCAGTATTTCTTAGGCATAGCAAGCATCCGGTTTGGAGCCCTAGATTTTGACTGGTGCCGGCAACGGAATCCGCTCAGTGGGAGCCCAGATCAGAAGAATGTGGCTAGTTTGGAGACCATGTTTAGGCGTGGATGTGACTGGTCCCCGGAGCAGGTCAGCCATCAGATCCCGGCCTTGATCGATCCAGCACTGCTCGAAGAAAGTCTACAGAGAGCCGAGAAAAGCCTCTCCCTCGAGGACCTCAAGAAAGAAGACGGGGTATTTGCGGAACTAGATCTTGCTGATGGCAAAGTCATTTGTCTCAAAGGTGAACACCGAGTTCTGGCCTCTGACGCCACAGTCGTAAACCGGAAAAAGCGTTGGATTGTTCGTTTGTACTCAACAGGTATACAAGGCTTCCCCGAAGGATAGATCGAGAAGACTAGAGTGTTAAACTGAAGAAACAGACCTAAGCGAAGATGCAAGAAACGACCTAGCAGATGAAAGGGCGAGCGAGAGGCAAATGACAGATGCCGAATACTTCTACAATATCACTTTGTTCTGGTTGAAGAACGGCGATCCTGATCAAGGACCCCGGCCCAACCCATGGTACGCTCAGCTTATGCGTCATTCCGAGGGCAAAGCGAAAGACTTGAAGCGGCTATGGTCGGGTCCGTCTTCTCAAGGAGACTTATTGAGGCGATTCCATGAGATCCCCGCCCTTTTCTGGGGAATCAGCCTCGGCAACGTAGGAAAGACAATAGCTATGCCGAGACAACAGGTAGGCGCTTCGATGACGATGATGTATGCTTTTCTAAACATTGACGTATTCAGACCCGAAATCAGATTAAACGTGTGTTTGACTTCTGGGACTACATCTGCTGTCATGATGTGAGTATGAAACTGAGATTAGATATGAACACTGTCAAGGTGGTCAGCGGCAGAGCCTCAGGTGCATACGCCGGCCTCAACCTCGCCAACAGCGGCGAGATCTTGCGTAACTTCGACAACACAGAACGAGCCGCCATCTTGTCTCGGCTCGAATCAGCCACGACGGATCGAGTTGTTCCAACGTTAGGGATTTTCTTTAGGAATACCCTATATCTACAGAGCGTTATCGATTGCCTGAGACACCTGGTTCCACGCCACCGTCAGGCGCGGGACCTATGGGACGATTTGAATAACGGATTTGAAGAGAGAGGCGATGGCCGTTGCTTGTTACAGGTATCTGACACTCGTTTCAAACTGGTCCACGTCAGTGAGATTGACCAATTCGAGATCGCACGCAGACAGCTGTGGCTTTTTGCTTTACGAGAATTTCCATCCTTACCTCGTGATGTAACGTCAAAACGAGCTGAGCCCAAGAGCTGCGTGGACGAGGCCAAGCTCTTTGAGCTCGCGGTGCTTGCTCATAGACTCGGATGCCGATCGGACCAGATAGATCATATACGGGCCAATGCGTGCTGGAGACAATCTCCTATACAGTCCGTCTACAAACAGGATTCGAATATTGATTCAAAGCCTTACAAGCACGGCAAACCTCATCCCGAGGACTTGAAGAGGTACAAAAGTTCGCTCTTTCTTTCGAATCTCCACAAGCCGTTCGACCCGGAAAGTCTTGAATCATCTTTCTTCTTCATCCAGCGATCGCTCTACTTTGACATCTATCCAGATAAACCGCAAGGTATCGACGAGTTGCTGCATAGGGCGGCCGAGGTGGGCGAGTGCGAACTGATCGACGACGAATACCGGCCTAGGATACAGGGGGCCAGTGAACAATTAATACGCCAAGAGGATCAGCTACGCGCATCCATTTCCGAACTGCAGGAGAGGTATGACCAGTTACTCTCGCAGGAATCGCAGCGTCAGGGACGAATTGACAACAAAAAACAAGAAGAGAATAAGCTCGACGAAAGCATCAGAGCCATGAAAGCGCAGGAACAGAATCTGGAAAATCGGAAAACGCAACTCCAGACTGAACTAAATCAAGGAGAAGCGGCTAAGAGAGATCTGGACACAGAGTACCAGACCCTGTGTCAGGAAGTTGCAGACCAGCGACAGAGCCTCTCTGCCCTCAACTCCAAGAAAGAGGCGGCCAATGGCGATTTAAAACGCCTTGAACACCAAAAGAATAATGTTGAGCAGGTTATTAACACCTTGGAATCTCGCAGGAAGGAACTCGAATCAGAAGCACGGGAGGTGAGAAATCAAGAGGTAAGAGATGTAGGCTCCATGGCAAGTGGCAAGAAAAAAAAAAAGGACTAATCAACCCTACTAGGAGGAGGCAGCCCTTTTTCCGTTTGAAGAGGACACCCCTCCGCCCATGTCCGAAACCTCAGACTTGCAAGAAATCGAAGAGGACAATCCACCGCTCACGTCTGAAACCTCAGACTTGCAAAGGATGGCATTCCCGGTTGAAATAAGGAGAAAAACAAGGGTTGTAAAGACGGAGGCAGAGTTGACGGCATGGTTAGAGGTAATCGAACAACAAGGCTACAGTATGGCTGACCAGTATATGAGGACGTTGGTGCCTCACTCATGCTTCAGAGCGTTAAAGATCGAAAAAAAAGAAGAGGACAGGCTCATAATTCTTGTCAAAGAAAACCTGATATATAGTGAGCGTGATATCTTGGGAGATATTTATACCTTGAGGGAGAAGAAAAGAGCAAGAGAGGGTTTTCTTCACCGTACGCTGCAAATCAAGAGGAATAAGGTAATTGAAACTGATGATGCTGATGGTACTCTTTAATTGTATCCAATATCTCTGCGAGATAGATCAAGGTTACTCAATCAAACTGTTTCAGCGAGATGACCGGGCATATGTGTGCTAGAACATTCACTGCGATAGTCCGCGTGCACTGGCACCTTAGGTGAACTGGAGCTGGTTAACTAGTACAACAGATGCGCCTGCACACATGGACCAGCATACATGTTGAGCTGGTCTGGGTGTGCTAGTACACAAACTACTCTGGCTCATCTGTGCCGGCACGCAGCGTGTGCTGGCGCGTATACGCTGGTTCAATTGCGCAAGCACACACGTGCCGCCCCATCCATGCTGTTACAGATAAGCTACACCACGTGTGCTGGCGTATCCGGAATGGCACACATGAGCTAGGCTACATCCACTAGTAGTCCTGCTCTGGCCAGCATGCGCCGCTACAAATGTCCTGGCACATGTGCGTCAGCGTATGTGTGCCAGCACACGCTGCGTGCCGGCACAGATGAGCCAGAGTAGTTTGTGTACCAGCGCTTGTATACTAGCATTTTACTTGGCCTGGCACATCTCTGCTGGTCCGCAATTTGCCCCAGTGTACGTAAAATGGCTTACTTTATACTCTGGCACTTGCAAACTGCCATGTTCCTTGCGCTGGGCTGTGTGTACTAGTATGGTTTCTGAGAGTGACACTGAGTTTAAGTTTTTCATGGCGATCACATCTTGTAAATCTCAAATAGGTATGTATGGCATTATCCCATGCTCAATGGCGCGTGCTGACAGGAAGTGGCTGACGCGCCGTACCAAGGGAACGCCATTCTGGGACTAGTGTTTTGATGATGGTATTTTCGAGGTATGCTTACCCTGCGGTCAACAAATTACTATGGCCAAGAACTAGACGATGTATCTGAAGCAACGAGTCACCCTCATGCCGCAATGGCAAGAGGAGCAGAAAGTGGTTTATATGGAAAGTATGATGCTCCCAACGAGTCAGATGATGTATCCACTTCTATCCACGATATCTTGAGGCGTGCCCATGTCATGTCACAGCGCGTCTCGACAGTACTGAGCACTTGCACCTTCCTCTCCAACAGATCCACCTAAAGTAGAGGTCTACACGATGCACTCTCTTGCTCGATTGAAAAAGCGCACATTCTAATGTGCTTACCTGATTCATGCAAGCGAGAGTACTTATGACTCGCACGCATCTGTGTCTCCACTTCCCCAGATCCGCAACCAGGAACTCCAGGCAGCAGCGGTACTTTGAAGTACTTCATTCGCTTAGCCAGAAATTATTTACGTATCCATAAGGCGGCCAAATTCTGACAAAAACGTCTGCTTATGAGGAGGAGCCATGTACCCGGATGGTCCCACCGTAGACTTTGCAAAGAGCATACTGTTTTTGGACCGGAAGGTGCAGGTGCTCAGTACTGTATACCAACGCACAAAATGTTTCAACTTGTTTGCAGAACCGATTTTATCAGGTAAGAATGTCTATTCACGACCCCAGGCCGCTGAATAGTCCTAACTTGAGCTTTTTGACTCTTTTGCGCCATAACCTTGGGCAATTTTGTAGGAAGTGGCCCAAAACAGACTAGGTGTGGCGCCCGCTTCACGTGTCGACGACACCAGTACGATCCCTGTCCTTGCCGCACACTAAAAGCATCCAAATTGGCATATGATGGCACAAATATTTTCAGACTTTGATCAGTATCGGACACGCTGAATAGGGAGGACCAGGTAGCCTTTCAGATATCTCATGCGGTCAAGAGCTAATGTCAGGACGAACATTTGATTGCCGAACGCCGAGAAAGCAAGATGCTGTTACGATCAAGAACTGGTGTAGGCCCGGCCGTGCACTACGTTTGCACCACGTTTAGCCCACCCTGAGGCACTCTCCACAGAAGCATGATAGTGGATTACACACGGTGAACCTGCCCCCCTACTGTACAGTATAGTGCATGGGCATTTTCCTCCTTGCAATAACATTGTCTTTCTTTGGGAAAAAGGAGACGCTCTTTAGGTGCAAGCATCTACATCCAAGCTTACCGTCCAGTTTGGGCTGAAAATTGGCCTGTAAACGTACTTGTATCGTGTGACAAGCGTACCTGAGAAGTAGCCATTGGCATAAGCACTAGTCCAGAAGTGGCTTTGCCTTTTACAGTGCCAACCAGTCGTATAAAGACCTCCAGCAAGCGACGGAACTACTGTAATTCTTCTTGGTCATACTGTGTGGGGCACATGGCAATCAGCAACACCTACGTGTTGTAGCAAATGCACCCAAGGCTTGAACAACGCCTTCGGACAAGCAGACTACTTAATGTCCACTCAGGGCTGTGGAGCTTATACAGCGCAATCGATCAGTCAAAAGGGATGGATTTCTGCCTCTGGCTATTCTTACGTAGGGTACGACCTACTGGATAGCAACCAGATTCGGAGTTGACATGAAGGTGGAATGTCGATATTCCATGCTTGACTCCGTGGGAATGTCCGTCGCCTGAAGTCCCTATTTCGGTCAACGAAGTCTGAAAAAGTCCGTTTCCGGATCTTGAAGCTCACGTTGAGGCGCGCTAGATTGGACGTAAAGATGAATGAGGCTTGCGAGCGAAGATTTAGAAGAAAACATCTCATTCTGGACTTCTAGGGAGTCCGTTATCAACCACTATTCCTCAATCGAGCTGTTAGAATTGGGTTATAAACCCCCCAGCTCGCCATCCCTTGCTTCTCTTGCGTGTCATCTACGATACATGACACATTCTACTTCATCTGACTCAGAAAGCTCTTCGCGAAGCGGTAGGGTGAATTTGAAAACAAGGAAGAAAAAGAAGAAGAAACCGTTGTTGTCGCCGCAGACCTCGATCAACAATATTTGGAGATGCTTCTCAAGCCCCTGCCCTCAACAAGCCCTGACGATCCTGCCACTGGATCAGCCAGAAAAAGCTGCTCTAAACGGCAATCATAGTAACGAATTGCTTACTGAAGGACGTCTCCGAGCAGTAACACAGTGCCAGCGAAAAGTGAACGAGATCGTCAAAGAGTGTAAGCGGGTGAATATGAGATATAGAGACAGGGACTGGGACCTCGTGAGTACTCATAGTGACCCTCGGACGCCGGATTGGTTCTTGGTGGTTAATTGCATAGCTCAGTTATTTGATTTTGCGGATCAAGGTCATTGTCTGAATGGGCTTCGACAGACAATATTTGATCTCGGTGAGATATCTTGCCTCGACACGGAGCCAAATGCACCTGGTGCCGTCAAAAGGGTACATGAAATCTTTTCACTGCCTACGTTCATGAAGAACGTAGATGGGGGGGATGTGAAGCAGGGCAAGCTCAGCAACTGCTGGTTTGTTGCAGGCTTGACCGCTCTTCCGAATCTTGAATATGGGCTCACTCAGACATGTGCGGCGCATGACACAGGTATACCCCATTTCATATCATGTTGCAGTCTCGAAAGATACTAATAGTTGGAGTAGAAGTCGGCGTCTACGGCTTCGTCTTCTACCGAGACGGAGCGTGGGCATACACCATCATCGATGATACACTCTATCTTCAATCACCCTGTTGGGACTCTCCGAGTTTGCAGAGAGCACTTCTGCAACAGACCGATCGAGTTGACGCGGAAAGTGAGTACAAGAGAACGTACCAGACCGGTTCCAAGGCCCTTTTCTTTGCCCAGTGTAGAGACCAGAACGAAACCTGGGTTCCTCTCATCGAGAAAGCTTATGCCAAGGCTCATGGTGACTATGCAGCATTGGCATGTGGCTGGGTTGGTGAGGGTTTGGAAGATCTTAGCGGCGGAGTAACGACTCAGCTACTTACCTCAGACATTCTTGATCCTGACGTCTTCTGGGCTGATGAATTATCCAAGGTCAACCAGGAGTTTCTGTTTGGCGCCTCGACTGGGATACTGGATGGCGGCTACGGCGAACGTGACGGCATCTCAGAGGGCCACGCCTACATTGTCGTGGCGGCCCACACACTCAAGTCTGGCAAGAGGTTGCTCAAGATCCGCAATCCGTGGGCTCATGCCCGTAAGGGCATCTGGGAAGGCGCCTGGAGTGATGGCTCAAAGGAGTGGACGGCAGAAGTCCAGCAGGAACTCGGGCATCGCTTCGGTGGCGACTCTGTCTTTTGGATCTCTTTTGAAGACTTTCTGCGGAAATACTCGCACCTGGATCGCACAAGGCTCTTCCGAGAGGTAGACTGGAGGTGCAGCCAGAGTTGGATCAGCATTAACGTGCCCTGGAGGGCATGCCACGAAGACCGATTCCGTATCATCCTGACAAAGGAGTCTCCAGTTGTCGTTGCAGTTTCACAGCTTGACAGACGGTATTTCAATGGTCTCCACGGCCAATACGCCTTCCATCTTAGTTTTCGCATTTACCATGACACCGACTCAGGGGTTCGTCGGTGTGTAGCGCAGTCTCATGACAACTCTTTGATGACACGATCAGCTTCTGTAGAGCTGCCCAAGTTGATACCCGGTACTTACACCATATGCACGCGAGTAGATGCGGAAAGAGACACATCATTGGAGTCAGTAGAGGACGTCATCAAGCAGGAGTGCAGAGCCAGGACGGAGAATGTCAAGCTGGCACAGGTTGGCTTTGCTTACGACGTAGCCTACAAGAAGGCCGAAGCTTATATTAGCGAAGCCAGCCGCTTAGATAAGATCAAGGATCGAGAGAGAGCATCGAAGTGCCGTCGGGAGGAGCGCCGCCGACGATGGGAGGAACGCCACATCAAACGAGTCCTTACCAAAAAGCAGAAACAGAAGAACAAGAACAAACAACGAACTCGTTGCAAAGCTCACAGAGAAATAGATAGCGCTTCAAATAAGGAGCCCTTGGCTTCGACGCAGACGGGTGAAAGGCCATTGACAAGGAACACCAATGCTGATGTCGAAGGGACAAGAGGTTGCACTTTCCCAGGTGACGTTGAAAAGGGCACTGCTCAACAGGAGATCATCGTCCAGCGTCATGCAGAAGACGGGAAGGTGATCCGGTCTTGCTCTTGCCATGAGCGGCTTGTGGAAGAAGAAGGGTCGTCGGCAAAGCCTGTGTCAGTGACGATGTCTTCACGAGACGATGAGCATTTACTTGGTTCTTCTTTTTGGGATTCGGCTGGCGATTCATCAGATTCCCCGATTAGTGAATGGGAAGAGCTGTACAATACTGACGATGCCACGCATTCTCTGGAGAAAGTGTCGAGGGATGGGCCTCGGAGGAACACTAGGTGTGAGCATGATGTGAGGAAAGCTCTAGTAGGAGAGAGCACAGACAGTGATAACTCAAGTGAGGACGAAGCACCGAGTCCTTGGAGTGCTGTGTGTATTGTGGGTGTTCGGGTTTACTCGAAAGATGAAGCTATCACACTTCAAACATTATTTGACTGATATGCCTCGGGGATGGGCTCAGGCTAATTGACATGAACCACGTTAACTCCCTCCCTAGTATGCGTATCATGATCCATAATATACCCGAATGGCGTTCCAACGAAGGAAGACACCTTAAACTAAGTAGCGGTTCGCAAACGAAGGCGGCTCTGCCTTGCGCAGCAAAATAAGAATGATATAGAAAGTGTAGAAATTGTCAGTCTGACGTCAGGACTAGGAACTGGGACACGGGGGGAAACCAGTCGCGTTCTCGGGCAACGCTGGCTTGATTCGGTCCATCTTCCAATCATTGCCATAGGTCATTGATGTTGTGTTCAGCCTTGGGGCTTGGTCAAAACCCCTGGTGCTTCCCCCTTCACGGCGACGTTTAGATGTGCCTTTCACCTTAAGGTGCGTGTGACACTGGATGTTGTTAGTCAAAGCACCTTTTGAAGAACTGGTCAGACTTACCTTATAAGCGTGTCTAAACCAGGTGGTTCCCTTCTTCTTGCTGCTAACAAGTGCGACCCACTGTTCACAGCTACCACAAAGTCCTTCCCAAACATCAGGGTTTCCATCCATACGCCGCTTCTGCTGAGGTTCCTGGAATGAGCTTCCGGTGGCGGCACTGATACCATGAGAGAACGACTTGTCATACCAGAAAGCCGAGCTCTTCAGCACAAGCCATCGCCCAGGCTTGCAGATTCCACACCAACCCTCTCGCTTGTTGCCATGACCTCGAACCCATCTAGGGGTGTAAAGATCGCCTTCAAAACTCAATTCCTGCTCGCAGGGAATCATGTCGGGATCCTCGGGGTTCATGTCTTCAGGGGGTGGAGGAATCTGCTCCTCACGGAGTGCAGCGTACAGCTCAGGAGGGTCAGAAAGGTCGATGTAGTGTCCGCTGAGACAAGCGGTGTCTCCATTGCTCTGGAGTATTCTGGAGAGGCCGTGAGACAGAAGCGGCTGGGGCGGGGCAAAATTGTTTACATCGGTTTGCCAAGGGTGCTGCTGGGCCGTTAGGGATGAAAGCTGGGTCGGAATTAACATGTTGCCTCTATGATAGACGGGAATGCTGGAAAGAATTAGGGGTGCTTCCTGCATGGCCTGCAGGTTGACGTAGTTGGAGGACAGAGGAGTGGCACCATTAGCGGGGAAAGAATGATCGGAGTTAAAATTCTGGTGGCTGTTGTTGTCATCTGGGCGAGCTTGGTGGCCATGCTGGACAGGCTTGCGGCTTGCTGAGGTGTTGGAAGTGACTTGAGAGCATTGTTCGAGTCTTGAGCCCTCTAACCTGTAAGGAGCATATCGATGATTGTGATTTCGAGAAGGAGAGGCGCAGTTGTTGCGACTCTGACTCATTAAAAGGTCTGTTCTCGGCAGAAGCGTCATTGGTCCCGAGGCAACACTCGAACTCTCAGCGGAAAACATCATGGCAGTACGGTTATCTGAGGGTGAGTAGCTAGGGCTGAAGTAGCATGCCCCAGAGGCCGCTGGAGAGGAGCCATCGTAGTAAGGGCTAGAGGTGGGAGTGAAAGAGGAAGAACCAGACGTGCAATACAGCTTTGAACCATCATCTATAGCCATCTGGTCTTCATAGATGAGCGTGCCTTGCTTGAGGTCAAGCATGGGAATGGCTTCATTAGTAGCCATATTGAAGCCCTCGCCCTGAAGGTTGAATTGCACTTCAACTGGACTTTCCATCCATGACGCTGATTGAAATTAGCTTAGTCATAGCATTTGGCTTGCATTTACCTACAGTCGTTCGTCGTCGTCGGAGGGTAAAGGTCTTGGTCCATAGATCCGGGACGTGATATCGCCTCACTAGGAATTTGCTGGAATGAGACAGAAGGCGGGTCCCAATATGATACTGTTGAGTAAATCTGTGCATCGCAGTTGTGCATAGCCCAAAGCTTGCACTGGGTCGTTGGGGTTGACCGTATCTCGCCCGAGCCCAGAACGGATTCGTTCTCAGTAAAGTCGTTTGAGTTCATACTGATCATAGGCGTATGCGAAAATGTTTGCGTAAGGCAGTTGTGTAATGGTATCGCAGACAGAAGTGACAAGTTAAGCTTCAACTTTGGTGTTACTTCGTGGCGAAGTGTAAGTATTGCGTGGATAGGGCCAAAGACGAAGGTCAAGAAAGTATGAAGCATGAAAGGAGGCGTGATAAAAGTAGAAAAATTGGAAGGCTTCACACGAACTAACTGTCAATCTTTTATATAGAATTTATCGGGCGGGGGCAGGGCGGTGTCAGCATGGATCCGCGATTCGATAGAAGACGACCAAGGCACACTGGTGGCCCTAGCTCACATGAAGGGGCCCTGCCTGAGCTTTCTCAATGTCAAGATGGGTCAGTCTCACTTCTTCCACATATCAGACTGGTCGAAAACGCCAGGGTTGGTCTCCTGGATTTGAGGACAATGTGAGTATTAATGAGGCAATTTGCGCCGCAGCTAGCTGCATGCATACGTCAGAGTTGTCATCTCTCCTTTACTGATTACAGTGCAGCAGTAACTCCAACGTGTGGGAGAGCATCCTTGATCAGATGAATCAAGTCCTTGGACCTCTGCACGACTAATAATGTCGAGTCGAGGCATTCTCCTCATCGGGCAGAGGATCCAAGATGCCAGAATGTTTAGCGAACGACAGCCATCCCAACATCGCCATGGCCAGGAATGCACCAATGCTCTCGATGTATCTGCTGTTGAGGTTGATCATGACCGCGGGTACTACCTGGTGTCAGCGACCTAACGAGAGTCCCTCCCTTTCCGCTGCCCACCTTTGGATTTGTTTCTTTACCAGGCGGACGACACGTTCTGGCAAACCAGTACAGGAACGATGAGAGGTCGGGGCCTAGTTCCATCTTTATCCCCTGCCTATCTGCCGCCATCCTCAGCTTCATGTTCACAAAGGGTGAACCATTATCGCAGTAGATCATTCTCGACCATCCGAACACAGCAGGCTCTGTTGCTGCCCTTCGACTGACGATGGCTTGATCGGGCCGAGGTAAACCCATTCCCACCATGTCCCAGGGCTCCAGCTTGGTGATGCTCCCTGACGGTGATGCCAGAACACACGATGCTGTCTGCTGACACACCATGCATGTTCTGCAATAGTTCTCGATGTCGCTGGCTCGACTCGGTCACCATTGTCTTCTTCTTAGTCTATCGTTCGTGATAGCCATTGCGAAGTGTCCACATTTGTCGTGCGCCTTCTGCAGGATGAGCGGCATGTCTTTCTCGGCCGCGCAGAGTGCCAGAGATTCTTCGCTCTCCAGATAGTGCGGTTCTCCGTCGACAATTCTGTATCTGAGCATGCGTCACTTCATCAGCCGCCATCGCCCCTCTTCCAAACTGCTCAGACCCTCGAGCAGGGTAGAAACGGTTTCGGTGTATCAGGCCTCATGTTGCCAATGTCCAATGTTTCCTTTTCACGTGTCGGTGATCAAATATTTTCCAGGCGCTCTGCTTCTCGGCAAAATGACGCTTGCCGAAAGTTCTGTTAGAGATGTAACGCCCAAGATTCGTCCGATGCCCATCTTCAGTTCAATTAGGCTTGGCGTCTTCCTTCAGCGCCTCATGTAGCCGTGATATTCCGTCTGTCAGGCGCATCACCTTGCTCCTACACGAACGGTACCTGTATTCGAATTCCTACTCCCCCACGACTTCGATCCAGCGGCTAACCTTGCCGTGAAAGTGACCTCTGTTTGCCATAGAGTCGGTCATTCCCTTGTGATCCGTATAAACTTTCACCGGGTGCGAGGCGTGTTTGATCATCCAGTGGCTTTCTTGTGATCCTCGCACGACTGCAAGCATTTCCCTTTCCGGCATCATGTATTGGAGGTCTGCATCGTTGAAGCACCCCGATATCCACATGATAACTCCTGCGTTCTTGAAATCCTTCGCGGTGCTATCCTCACCTGCTGGGGTATCATCTAGCTGGAGAACTCCGCGTGTTCCGTTCTCTGAGGCGTCGGTCGCGAGGTGGAACTGTTTTGTGGAGTCTGCTCCCGAATTTACGTTATCCTGAATACTGTCGCAAATGCTCTCAAGTGCTGCCGCGGCGTTGCTTTCCGCACTGATGTGTCGCGTTTTGTTTCCCGCCTCAGGACTGATGGTTTCCAGGACCTTGCCTTCATTGCGGAACTCAAAGAAGACTTCTTTTATACGCTGAATGAGATCTGCTGTCCCTGGTATAAACTTTCGCACGAATTGTGTAGTGAGGTGCAGAAGTGGTGCGGGGTGGGTTCTTCGGAGGTGTTTCTTTAATTGCGCGAACTTCTCTCTGCGTTTCTGTGATAGCCTAATTCCCTTTTCATCTACCATGAATCCCAAAGGTTTCATGCTAGACATGCACAGGTTTTTCTTATTCAAGTTCGCAGGCGTCCGGCTCTGTCGTCTGCATGTACAGGCCGTCCCAGCTGGTATACTGCAGGTCACCGTCGTCAAACTCTAGAGTTCGCTGCGGTGCCTCCTCCTCCTCTGTTCTCCGCCAGCCGTCGCCAGCACCAACCATGCCGACCTTCCGCAGCGTTCTCTCGTCTACTCCCGGAGTGTCTTGAGCCTTCCAGCTTGCAACCTCAGGTATGCCTGTATTTTCTGCCTGTCTTTTCTTTCGGCGTATTATGCCGGCGCGCAAGATTTCAGCGAGCGGTGTCTCAGGTCACTCCACATCACTTCGCCCGTCGTCGTCGCTTATGCCCAGGTCAGCGTCGTGTGTCCAGGTGTTCTCCCCGCTTTCCTGCTTGTCTATCGGTTCCAATGACATGGAAGTGTCAACTGTCCGGGCGTGCTATTCGTCTGCTCGCTCCCAATCTGGGCAAGCTTGTCTGAGTCTTCCGTGTCTGTACTCCCTGGCCACGACTTCCCAGATGGAGGTGGTGTCGAGTTCGTCTGCGATGTTTGATCCATGAGCCCCACTCGTCGCTCAGCTTCGGTTGTCGATCTCTTTTCTCGCGTTGATGATTCGGCATTTGGGAGAGGCATCCCGTCAGTGGGTGATTTGGTTTATGTCAAGTTTGGGTTTTGCTCTTTGGAGTGAGGTGATTCAACTCCTGCGGCCTGCGGCAGCTTCGATGATGGTGAACAGGTTTCGGTTTGCTCGTGTCGTGGCTCTCAGGAGTCGCTCTTTCTCGCGCCTGGTGTTCGCTCAGCCTCCGCGCGCTCCGGGATCGGTGAAAGAGGTTTGAGCGCTGTATTTGGGCGTAAAGGAGAAGAAAATATCAGATTGCGAAAGTCGAAATTTGTGTAATCTGCAACGTTTGCGGCGATAGCCACGCGCGCCAAGCCAGCGCGGTCGAATGATGTTTTCGTGATGTTGTTGGAGAAAGGTTCTTCCGCTGGAACTTAGGCCTGATAGCGGGGTAGTTTAGCGATCTCGTCTCACACTGCACTCTGGCGTCGCATCGAGCCCAAAACATGGTTCTCTGAATGCATCACAAAATTTTCACTCGCATGTGAAGATAAACTAAAAAAGGTTCCTGGTTTTCTTGGTTTGATACTTGACTACCTGCTTTATGGATTCTCCTGTACGAGTAGAATCCCTAGGTGGCTATTCCGATTCCGACCACTGCATCGTCACAGCTTCACGGATGGTGGCTCATCATTTCCCGAAAGATGATACGCGTCTGTCGCCTGTTCAATGGCGTCATAATTCAGCCAGAATGACCTCTATCTCAGCATTAATCTCAGTTACATCATCCAAATAGATGGGCCCCTCTTCTTCTAGCTCTGCTAGGCCTTGGGGTCCCTCGCTCTCGTCCTTGCGATGGTTGTTGATTGCCTGGAAGTGTTTGGGTGATGGTGAGATGTCAAGGAAGGCTGCCCCTTGAAGCCGATAAAATCCAACTTCCGCTTGTCGTAATGTTCAACCGCCTTGACGCGTCTCAGCCATGGTCGGCCAACGAGGAGGTCCCAATCTTCATAACCTTTCATGACATATGTGGTCAGATGGCATATGATGTTGGCTACCACGACTTCCCCTGGCCTTGCGCGACCTCATTGTTTGCCAGGCAAATAGGCTCTGTGCGAGCCAGCAGGACAGGACCTCAGTTCAGATCTATTGAAGAAGCTTTGGTCGACCAAGTTGACGGCCAAGCCGCCGTTCAGCAAGATGGCATCGGTGTAGTGTCCTGACAAATATTCTGCCAAGTAGCCCAAGGTGTCCGGCACTGCCTCCTCCGGAGCGGCTGTATCTTTGTAGCTCACCAGATACCCAGACGTTCCGGAGTGTGCCGGACTGTAGCATCCCGATCTCATCCCCGAGCTTCCTCCTCACGCCCAGCGCTGAGTTCCGGTTCCAGTATTTCTCTGAAGGGTGCCAGCATGTACACCAGTGCTTCTCTGCTCTTGATCGTACTCGCTCTTCGGCTCATTCTTGTTTGTCGCACACGCCGTCGCGTTCATCATCCGTCGATGCGCAGGAGCCTCTGTCATTTGTCAGAACCGTCTGTCGGAAGGTTGAGTTTACTGCGGGGTGAACGCACACCAATGCCTTCCTGCTAGAGCTGCCAACCAGGGCCTTGAGTAACCCTCGCCAGGTGTCGCTTCAGGCCGGCTCTCACTCGGCAACCAAGGCTTGGAGTAGTCAGCCTCCACATGCGTGAAGCCCGTCCCGTCGAAGCGCAGCATTGTGTTCAGAGCAAGTTGCTGAGGTGGAGTCAGTCGAACGCCAGCCTGTCTCATCATGGTGGTCTTTGCAGTTGTCATCGTGCTCGTCCATTCATCTGCACCGTTCTCTCGGCACGTAATCTTTCGTTCTTCTCGTTGAAGTGTCCTCATCCTTCCCTTTTGAGCATCCCCAAGAATGGTGGTCCCATTGCCCGCAGCGGAAGCACCAGTCGTAGTCAGGGTCGCGTGGTTGTGTCGTCTGTGGAACTCTGCTGGAGCCTTGTCCGGCATCATTGTCGGAGCCGCCAACTCCAGTTCAACCTTGGGTCTGTTGTCGCGTATATGGTGTTTCGATTATCGTTGCTGAAGTAGCGATTACCGTTTCCCGCTGCTGGCAGCATGGTTTCGGCCAGGTCTGATGTGAGCCGTACTATCTCTTGATTCGAGTCGATCAGCAGCATCGTCATGTCCCGCTGCCCTGTCTAGCTGTCCTCTTCCCCGAAAGCCTTCAGAGGTTCCGAATCTGCTCCACGTTAATCCCAAATGACATTTCTCACCTCGTCGAAAGTGAGAGATGGGTCTATGAAGACGTTGTCACGCTTGGCTCCTGTGCAGAGCCTATTCTGGACTCTTTCTGGCAGGCGCTTGCCGTTATCGCCCGTAATTCATGCGGAGAACGAAACCCGTCAGCAAAATTTGCCGAAAGTTTGGTGGCATTCTAGAAAAGTTTGCAGTGGCTAATCTTTTTTTCGGGCTAGTTAAGGAGCCTCAGCTATTAGAGCGCCGTCTTTTACTGTTTTCGGCTTGCTGAACTTCTCCTCAAACAGGAGGATGATCTTTTGGAAGGTTTTGTCTCCAAGCCTCTCTTCTTCAAACCACTGAACCGCGTGTCCCCTCAAGTACTCGCGGAAAGTTTGTAACAGAAAGGTGTTTGGAGTTCGGCTTGCTCCGGGAGCTTCAAATCCGGATTTTCATGCTCAAACACTTTCCTCACGTACGTGATGTAGATTCTCGGTTTGCATCTTCCAGCTTCACCGAGAAGAACATCTCACCTCGCGTCATACTCATTGTGCCTAGAGATGTCTCCGTCGAGGAGATATACAACTCAGCCTGCTTCTCAATGATCTCCCCAGAGTCAAATGGTTAAAGGTGATGAGTGAGCGTAGTGCAAGGTTCGTAGGATGGTGAGTGATGATGAAGGATGAAGGTTCAGAGTTTGTCGAGCGGGGTTATCGTGATCTTCGTATTCATGCCGACCTGCTGCAGCATAACTTCCTGCTCGCCGCCAAAACCTGGCAGGAGTTGCCCCCTGTGCACCACGTCAAGTGTCGCTTACCACCCCCCTCGTCGTCTCCTTCGCGCGATGTGCACAATACGCAATCTCTTGCTCGGCTGTCCTCGATCTGTTGTTATTGTCGTGCCTTCCGTTGCCCTCGGCCGAAACCCGTAAAAACTCTGCTCCTCGCCTCACGTTTCATGGGGTTGCCAGCCTCGTCCAGCTGCTCTCAGCGCGTCGTGTCCAAGCGTTCCCCTCGCTCAGTCAACTGCGAAATTCGGTTCCTCACGGTGTTTCCGTTCCCATTGCCGGATTATCAGTGATCTGTCGATGCTTTTGTGCGTAGAAGCTCGTAGTTGATGCTTCGGTCTTCCGAGTGCTTTGTTCAGCTCCTTGTCGGGTTCCGCTGCCTCTGGAGCCTTCCGTACCGCAGCGCAGGAGGTTCGGTAACGGGCTTGGGACAGGCTATTGACACTGAAGTGTCGAGGTTTCTCTGAGATCTGGTCTCGCAGTCCCAGGGATGGTGTTCTGGTAAAACTGTTTTCCGCCGTAGCGTGCTCTCTCCGCGACGCGTCGCGTGCTTACGATCCCGAGAGCCCATAGTATATGTCGGAGGAGGCTTCTCAGTGTTCCATTGCACAACTACCGCCCAAAGTAGTCACCTGGTCCTCCTCTCAATCTAGCGGCAGATCTCCTGCCTATATCCTGGGTACTGCCGAAGGCACGCTGCTTCGAATGTGATCCGCAAGATCAACAAACAAAATGTTCCGCTTTGCCAAAGCCTTCGTCGGGCAAGACAATCCACTCGGCCTGATGTCGAGCAGACTGCCAATGACATGGGAGCAATTGATCTTGTCGTCTATTCCTCGAAAAGACTTTACCAGCCACTGCCTCTCTATCATGTCCTGTTCAATATGCCAACCGCGCATCTCGTCTTTACGGCGAGTATCCTCCCAGGCCGTCACCTCAAGCCGAAGCTGAGCGATCTCCTGCTTGCATCCTTCCATTCTCTCATTATAATTTTTCATCGCCCGAATCATGCTGGTGCGATCGAGGGCCATTTCGTCATCGTGCTGCTCGAAGAACGCCTTGCCGTCCTCGACGGAGGTCTTGTGGAAGTTGGAGCTCTTGGTGGCGAGGGTCGCGATGGTGTTTCCGAAGGAGGCCTGAGACAGGGACTCTCGATTCATGGAGATGCGGGTAATGAGTTCATCGATCCTGATGCTGTAGCTCAAAGCTTCATTTTCTCTCTCCACGAGGGCGGAGCGGATCGGATCTAGGGAGACGAGCGATCGTGTGCGGGAATTGGACCGGCCGTGCTGAGGTGGAGACTGGCGCAACAGCTACCTATGAACAAAAATCAGTGATGAGATGAGTGTTGGTGATGCCAACGTACAAGAGCCGAGAAGTTGCGTGGTGCTGCAGCGACGGCAGCTTGGGTTGTTGAGCATAAAGCTGCTTCCACCTTCAGAATCGACAGTCTGGGCACGATTAGGAGCTGGAACAGAGAGAAGTGGCGAGGCAACGCGTCTGCCAAGCGCATTCTCGCTGGACGCTTCAGACTCAGACCAAACTGGAGAGCTTGAGTTGAAGGACGGAGTTCATCACGAGAATCTTCTTTATCGCTGTTGACCGCGTGACCACTTCCAGGATCATGATTCGCAGTATCGGTTCCGTGTCGCGGCTGTCGATGCGTAAGAGCCCTCTCCCTAACCCGACATACTGTGCATCGTCGACTTTCAACCGTGAATTGTCCTGGTCGCGATAACAAGCACTTTTGAGGAGATGCTGGCGGATTTGCCTGCTTGTGCACGCGGTGGCGGCTTCATTGGCGTCGGCTTTATCGGCGTCAAAAGTCTTCAGAGGCTTAACGGCAGCCACTATGAGGTGTCCTAGGTCAAGTAGCAGTTCCAGAGTTGCTTGGGCGACGTCCAACGACAATTTCCTAAGGCTATTGGGCTGTGACATGGTGCTACCGTGAGCACTCATAATGATGTGCTTCGTTGTGTTTTCAGTCGCGTTCTAGAGGTTTAGGGACCAGACGCGTCGTTGGGAACGTCGGAAACTCGAGTCGGTGATGCCGTAGCGGAGTTTTCGGTGTTGGAGGATTCCATCTCGTGTATTGCGGAAACTACGCAAGCTATGTGTACGCGTTGGGGTGTCGATTGATTGAGGCGAGTTCAGTTTGTGCTGGAGGCTGTTGGTGTTGGGGAGCGATGACGGATACCTTAGGTTTAGTCTGCTGACGTATGATGCAAAGCCGCCCCATGACATGAGATTCAATGAACTCAACACAGGATTTTGCTTGGCCATGCCAGCCACAGACTTCTAAAAGGTGCCATATAAGATGAAGAGATAGATTGGGACCCATTGGTTATGGATTTTCTCGTTGACATACCCTACACGCCCATCGCCGGTCTTCACGACCAGTGACAGAACACATGCATGTTCTTCTGTCTTGTTTCAGGAGGATTGAATCCATTGATTAGTAGACTCCGAACAGCAGCTGGTCTACCGTGCAGCACTTTCCTGCACTCTGGGAGAGACTAGATCGACTTCTGTCCGATGATAGGCAGTCAAATGAATCATCGGCATGTAAATTGTATGGGGCATACAGAATCGCTTTATTAATCAGATCTAGAAACCATAAGTTGTTCAAATCGCGAAAAAGTCCAGGTATGCCATCTCTTGTCTTGATGATCTCGCTAATCTTGTTGGCTGGGATTTTTGGTCCCTGATCCTCGACAAGGATCGCACTGCTAGCTAGTGTCGTCGGATGACTAAGTAATGGTTGATTGCCAGAGCAGAACGCGATACGCAACACGCATCGCGCAACGTGTCCCCCCCAAATCACTCGACACGCAACATGTACGTCTGTTTGCGCAGTTAAGCTTAGCCACACTTCTTTCTCTTCAAACACATTGCCTCGACAAACAGAGCACTCTCCTTTCTGCCAGCGTTTCCTCTGGTCCCGCGCTCAAACATTCACGCGCCTAGACTCCGGTCTCATCTCCGAGGCAAATGATACGCATGGCTCTCCCGCCTCGTTTCTCCCCATAGCCATACCAATTCGACAGAGCACCTTGGCATCTTACTGTATAGCATGAGCCGACCACAGCCGAGGCGCAACCTAAGCAAAGCAGGACACTCAATGTCACCGTGATCAACTTGCATCACCCCGCCAGTCTGGCATCGCCTGCCGCCAGCTCGAAAAGCAGTGACCAGTTCCAGGTCAGGTAGATCGTCCGCATCGAGTCGCCGACCAAGACCATTACCATCCCGCCGAACGTCACGTACGTGAATACCCTTCTTTGTCTGCCACTCCTCCTACTCAACGCGTGGTTGAGCATGGCATAAAAAAAGCGACATGGCATCATGGTATCAAGGATGGGATATCCCAAAACCTCTCTTGCTTCTTTCCTTAGTCACAGTGTCTCGAGGTCTGACTGAAGCTGCTTTCGGGTCGACCACGCCATGAAGCTTTCGTCGTCGGCACACCAAGCGTCAATCCAGTCACGAACGTCGACCAGACGATGAGAGCTCGGATGCGAGCAGGTATCGTCCAAACCGCGACAGACGGGAAGTGGCCTCCGGGAAGAGGCCATCGTGGATGGAGAGAAAGACAATCATCGTGCCACGTCAAGAGGTGCGGATGCTCGCCTCTGTGTCCGTTTCCAAGTGGCCTCGTCTATATCACTCTTGTGGCGAAGTGTAAACTACCGACGTGTAGCGGACGCCAGAGTGTGTATACCTACCGAGTATGACACCATGGTTCCGCATAGGCACAGCGGACTGGGATGACTGGAATCTCGCGACGTACATTTAGACTTAGCGATATGTTCCGCGTTCTACAAGCAACACGTTCACTTGGGACCAGCGACCCATTCACGCACTGACAAGCTTACCCTATTGCTGGGACTCAGCCAAACTCGATACCAAGTCTATCCTGTGACTTGAAGGCACTACAAATTCAACTGTAGGCAACCAACCGAACATGGTCAGGACTGACCTCTTTCAACCAGCTTTTGTCCTCCATCAGGGTCGATACCCCAACAAAGACTGACTTGGACTCTTGTTCTTGGCACTCCCATACCAGCCAAAAATGAGCTATGAGCATCATCCTCCGTACGTTGTGCTGAGCCTCCAAGCAGTTGAAACAAGACGCCTAAGCATTTATCCGACATCCTGTCTTTGGTCTTTCTCTCCTTCCTGTGCGGACCCAAAGATTCACCCGTCAATGGAGCTAGATGCCAGTAGCCTTCCCTTGACAGACTAGTATACAATAGGCTTGACTAGCTTTCTTGCATTGCTAGCCCTGCGGCGTATCATACAAATCATCCTTAGTTGCATCTGCCCACCGTCTTTACTTGTCTACAGGCTCTCCAACTGCGGTCGTCCGAGAAGAAGAAATTCGCACTGGGCCGTGACATATTTGGCCTATAGAGGTCCCTTCCGTCATAGAAGTAGCGTAGACATCATCACCCGGGCTCATCTCCTCATGAGATAGTACTGTTCGTTCACCGCTTCGCAGCAGAATGGTTGGGCTTCACCATATGGCGCCACATTCCGACCCAAACATCCTTTCCTAGTATCTTTCTCTACATATAACTATCGTCGATGCTGTGCCTTGCAGACCGCTGCTCTAGCTTTCGCCAAATTGTTGCTCTGGGGTTGGTATCTATGGCAGTTGTCTCTTTATGCTCTAGGAAGCCAATGCAACACCTTTGAGAACTTATGATAGGAGATGATACGCAAGTCAAGGTTTTAGATCTAGTCCGTAGCTCAGACATGCTGTGACACTTGCCGCCAGCCCTGATTTTGCTATAGAACCTAAGAGTCTGTTTTGCGGGCCAAAACTTTACAACCAGTATTACTGCATGACCAAACTTCGAGATGATGGGGGGCTGATAGGAGAAGATCGCCGCTGACGTAGCTAGCGTGGGCCATCTGCCTGGATACGTGCATACGATTCGTCGCCAAAAGATCCATGCTGGCCTATGCTCTGATGCAGTCTCGGCATTTTCTGTGAAACGATGCTCCGCATGGGCGGAGAAAGAATGACCCTTCATCCCCTTATTACTGATAGCTAACCCTGAACACCCAGGTTTGCATTTTTGCCTGGTCAAGTATTGGAGGCAACCAGTAAAGAAGAAAAAAAGACAACGCTATTCCATTCGTCTCAGTTACCTGCCAAAAATTCGACATGGAGTCACGCAGTATCCGAGCTGCCTTACCGGCATTCGTGCTTTTGTTCCTGCTAAGTTTGGTCGAACTGATCAACGACACCACGGTATCAGCACGTAATCCGCACTGGCGACCTGGATTTTGGGATGCCGGTACCGCAAGAGTGATCGTGACACAAGTATCCAGTATGTTCAACCCTTCATACCCAGCGCAACTTCACTTTTTTCCCTAGCCTTAGCCAGCTGTTCTAAATAAAGGGCTAGATATGTCAAGCGCCTACATACTCGCCTCCTCTCTCCGCACACTGTCGCCCCATGAGGCCATCAGATTGAATATTGGGAGCATTCTTCTTGCAACTATTGCCACATATTCAAGCTGTAAGGCTGCTACCCGTGCCATTCCCCCCTCGGTCAATGTTGACAAGAGCAGCGTATTTCCTTCCTACCTGGACGTACTTGAATGCTGTGGTTGGCCCACTAGCAAAATTCTTGGGCGGAGGTTCTCACGCTTCAAAGTTCCTCACTCTCACTGTGCTCCATAGTCGGAACACTCCTTGCGCTCGGTATCGTCCCTTCTCGTTCTCTATAGCGTCATCAAGAAATACTAACCGTCTCCTAGAACAATATACTCTTATATGACAGGTTTCATTACTGTCCTGGCCCAACTTCTCGGTCCCATTCTGGTCGCTAGACTCTCACGGCGCAGTTCCCACTGGCCTGAACTTATGGCCGGAATTTTGTGTCTTACTGCAGGTGGCATCGCTATGTTCCTCGACAGCACGAACTACGCTACACAAGAGCTGAGCCAAGATGAGTGTGGTTCTGTCACAGATACCTTGTTGTCCAGCAGGCGGTATTCTCACGAAGGTAGCAGCCATCCAGATGATGGGGTTGTATCTCCCGTGGGGCTTCTGAAGATATGCCTGGGTCTTAAGGCGCCCCCGAGAGAGAAAGTCCTGGCGTTTACCCCTTGGATCTTTTTCTTCATTGCTATTTCTCAAGCATCTCGGCCCCTTTTTGCAACATATGCACAGCTAAGATGCGGTTTGAGTCCTACAGAGGTACGTACACTCCTCTTTTAATGTCGTATTTCCAATCAGCGAACTTACCTTGCAGCCAAGGCCGACAATTTATGGCTTCTTAGAAGCGAGATAAGCCTGTTCATCTTCGGCGTCCTCTTACCCTGCCTGATTTCTATGGAAGGGCATACGAGGTTATTTTCCAACATCAATTTAACTATCGGTAGATACAGTGTGATCTTGATGGCCTTGGGCGCGATCATGATCAGTGTATCAGACTCATCGCTTTCCATTACCATCGGTTCGTGTTTTCTAGACTTCTTAAACAATCTTATTGACGACAATGAAGGCCTTAGTATCAATACCTTTGGCGTATCATCAAACCTCAGTCTGCTTTGCTTCATAGCCAACCGTCTCCCGGGCTCTGCGGTAGGGCCTGTCCTGATGTCCTTCGCACTATCCGAGAGCGTGGGATCATTGGTCGGTATTGTGATTATCTATCCAACTTACCAATGGAGCATAGACGAAAAAACGCCATTCTATGCTGGGAGTCTCCTTTACGTCTTTTGCGGCGTGAGTGTCGATCTTTACCATAATTACATATCCTCGTGTACTCACTGGACGACCAAGTTAAACTACGCCGCCATCGCTGCAGTAATTTGGCGTTTCTTTGGGAAATCACATCAACAGGAAACTGAAGCTTGATTATCGAAGTATGGCTGACCTTCCCCATTCCTAACACATGGGCACTGATAGACTGTTTGAGTCCCAGTTAGTCACGACGTTTGTGCGAACATGTAGTGAAATACTACAGTGCATCCGTGCTGGTTGATGGTAAGCTGAGACGTATAGATGACTACATCTTTGCACATGCAACGAATTCTGGAAGGTCAAAGTAACAAGGTTCTAAACTCTCCGTTTGTTGTACGAAGCTCGAAGTTTTCGTCCTTGGAATCGTATCCACGGTTGATTGTGATATCGGCGGAGTTGCGCGTTTAGTGATGTGAATCAAGAGGAGGGATTGGCTTTTGAACAGCCATACTCGTTTTGCCAAGGAACTACCAGATAATCTTAAGAAGTAAAAGAGTAAGGATTAGGGGCTGACTTTGATAGCACAAACTCATTTTCACAAAATACATTATTTCTGTCAGGAAAGCCTAACGATTCTGTGCACTAGGCAACATGTAGGAGTCACAGAGGCACCAGGCTTTGGCCGTTGTTCAAACTGCCTTAGGTGTACTACTATAGGGCCAACTGCCCGCTGATTATCTGCAAACGTCATTCAGGCTCCCCTGTAGACCCACTGCATAAAGCTAAGACTCATCGGCGGCCTTGGCCTTAGGACCTAGAATTTCTCTGTCGCTACATATTCTCCGCCTGTTGACCCCTGACACAGTAAGGTGATATCACTTACTGGCAAGGGCTATGCATATGCCACTCCCGAACTTGCGCGCATGAACGCTCCACGGAATTTTCACTGCCGACCTTTTCTTAGTTGCAGTGTTTCAAGGCAAGCGGAAGGATTGGTGGAGCTGTTAAGGTGGCCAAGCCGAGGCTCTCACCGGTAGCGTCATTCCTCAAGCAAGATGCAGACATTTGCATCCCTGTGAACTTATCCGCTTTTAAAAATTTCCTAGTTAGGATGTCTAGGGTCTGCTCGGCCAATTATATCAACCGTACTGACAGTGGCGAGCCGGGGCTGATGATTGATCTTTCCATGACTAACTTTACTAGCGCAGCCATGGTGTTCGAAATATGGGGTGCTTGTCTCTAATGCCGCGTGCAGGATAAGCGACCTGTGGGCCTTTGAGACTCTGTTGGAGATGCTGGTCGACCCTGAACTTTTTGTTATTATCCAACACCTGTTGGGTGATCAAAGGCTCTTTTGTCTTGTCTTAAGAAAGAAAGGAACACGATAGACTATATTGGTGGGAGCGAGTATGCCCTCTATTAGACATGTATCGCCTCTTTAATCAAGGTCGATGCTGAAGTAGAAGTATTGATACCAGTATCATCTATGTCGCCATGCTTGTGAATAATCCTATGATCGCCTGCGCTCCTACCCTTTGCACTCAATAGCCGGCATATGACGAAACCGTATTACACCCATATATCCAGACATTGGAGGCGTAGTCAACCACCGGAGCTACGATGGCTGTAAAAGGCTGTCTGGTTGTACAAGGAGCCACCACTGTCAGTCGTTTCAACTCTATCACCTTTGCGATGTTCTGCTTGTGTATCGCGTGAGATGTATGATCGCCATCTTCTCAGCTTCAACTGTTTCGCCGCTGCGTCTCTCCCAGTCGAGAGCTTTGTCAATTATCGCTTATATCCCTCCCCGGTTGCTCTGGGCCATTGGTCCAGATACCCAAGCAATGTAGGCGTCCGCGAACGCGATGGCTCCACCATTCCCGTCGATCTGGGTTTGCACCAGATCTGCATTGAAGAACAGAGACGGCATCGCGACAAAGGAGATCCTTGCGGGAGTCCTTCTTATGGTAGCAGTCTGCTCTCGGAACTTTGACCATTGATCATAATGGTTGCAGTCCGCTCTGAGCAAAATGCATCAACCCATCGCAGGAGGCCATTTAGAATCCCTCTTGCCTCCATACGCTGCAATGGTCTCAAGTTGAATACGCCGTTGTACACTCCCTTCGCTTCGAAACTGATAAGACTCACAACATGACCACCCTGAGAGGCTTTGTTCTTGTAGAAATACGAGGGCTTATTCTGCTGATCGTTGCTTGCGCGAGCCAATGTGATCGGGAGGAGCCTGTGAGCTTCTACAGCGTAGGGGACTTTCTCAGCCACAACGGACTCCAACACCTTGTCCAACGTGGCTAGAAGCGAGATCGGTCTCCAGGCTTTCGCGATCGTATGGTCGTCTTTACCTAGCTTCTTGGGCGGTAAATGATATGGGCATGCCTCCAGTGTTTCGGTATCATGTCTCCCTCTAATGATGCTTGGAAGATGCTGAGGATATCGTGCTTCACCAACGGCCAGTCCTGCTTCCAGACGATCGCGGGTAGTTTGTCTTCTGTTGGCGGCTCTCACGACTTTGTCTTACACAGTCGACGCTCTACGTCTTCTACAGACAATTTCGGCATCACTAGTGGAGCTCTCTGTTGCCTGGATCCTTCATCGTCGACATTGTCTGGCAGTGGGGGAAAGAACTTGGCTAGAAGTTCTTCGGCTTGTTCTCGATGATTCGCCGCTTTCATTCCGTCTTCTCTCGTGAGCTGTGCAGTTATCGAAAAGCTCTCTTGTCTTTAGATTTCGGATATTTAGCCGCCTTCCAGATGTTATCGTTGTCCGCTAGGAAATCCTTGCAATGGTTCATCTTGCGTTATCGGATGGCATCGCGATGTTCCTTCCCCGCCGCGGTTCCTAACCCTCGAAGTTTCAGGAGTTCTGACCAACACATCTTGCGGCTCGCGCCCTGTTCCTGCAGTATGTGCAAACATATCGCAGCTGGGTGAGATCGTCGGTCCGCCGCCTTTTTGCGTATAGGGTGGTTCGACTCTAGGTGTCAAGGCCTAGGCGACTTCCGAAACCGTCAACATCAATTTGTTCGTCTTCTGCTGTACCCTGTTTCTCATCAGTTTATCGCTTACTGTATCCACAATCCTATTATTAATATCCTTCTTGGATGCATTAGTAAACAGGAGTCTTTCGTCCTGTTTCGACGCAGGAACTGAGATGTCGAACACTGTCTCTATCATGCGATGATCTGATCCTTGCCCCGTACCATGTATCGCACCTTTGATACGTGCGTCCGCAAGCTGCCCGGAAGACTGAACCAGGTCCATGTTTCCCACAGTCTCCGCTTTCCCATGTCTTTGCGCCTCGCTGGGGAAGGCCTTGAAGCATGAATCCGTTCATCAAGTCGATAATCCATCACGCCCTATTTTGCCACCGATGCATCGTCTCCTCCCTTCACCTGGTCGTGCCGGTTGAAGTCACGGGTAATCACCCCATCCACCGCCCTTCCTGGCCTTCGCCTCACGTCAGTGATAGCCCTGCCAAGCTTTCTGCACATGTCCTGTAGAGTTTGGGCATCTCCACCGGGTATGTAGACAGACGCCATGAAGACCAGACGCTCTGGCAGGCGATTGACCGTCGCAGTCACGTCTAAGGACTCTACTGACACCTGCTCTGCCTTCACCTCTTTTTTCACCCAAAGCAATACTCATCAGTACCATCTTGAGCCACCCGTGATGTCCCATTGGCACCGTTAGCAGCTTTCCTTGGATCTTTCGTGCTTGAGGTTTTTGGATGGCCAGCACTGCTGCATCCCAAATATCCTTGTAGTTTATCCGCCTCTCGTGTGCCAGTCCTTTCATCCTCACATTCAGCTCAAACAATCGGAACAAGTTATTCATACTATGTTGGATAGAACTTCTGATAGGTTCTTCTGTGTGACTCATGAAAGCCGCCGCATGGGACACATCTTGGCGATCATTTCCGTGCATCTGCTATGAAGGTAATCTTGTGCACACTTGCCGCAGACTTGAGGTCGATCCAACTGATACATTATCGTTCGTGATCTGTGGGCAGTTATAGCATTGTTTTACCCAGTCGCGACGTTCAAGCACTCTTGCGGTGCCAACTCTCGTCCAGCCACTGGAGTCCTTGGCCGATAAATTCTTTGGCTTCGGGTCGCTTGAAGCATACGACCATGGAACCGTACAACTTGAGATCGCTTCGCCTGCTGAGCCATGCTAATCTCGCTAACTTGTGTCATCCCCTCGGCCAAGAGTCTCGGCGTCTTCTACTCGAAATTCGTTGATCTCGTTCGGTATCGCATTGCGGCTGACAGTGTCCACTTCAATCGGGGAAAGACCGTCTCGTAGGACGCGGGTTCCGGTGTCCTTTGGGTTCTTAAGTACGGCTCGACATCGTCCCATGGAATTATCCAGTTCGGCCCGGGTTTGATTCTCCACTGTCGCTCAGATCGTCCCGGCCAAGCGTCTGGTATCGTCATCTCGTATTCGCGAAACATGAATCGTGCAGTGGAGCGTGTCAACCGTGGGGACGAGAGGATCGGTCGAGGTCGCGGTTTGGGGAGTGGCTTGAGGCATACATGTCGAGGGTCATGTAACGGCATTATATGATCGTTAGGATTCCTCCGTTGCAGTCATCGCGATGGTTTTGAGCTGCTCATGGACCAGCTATTATTCTTCGGTCATCTGTTCCTCCATCTCGTCCATTGTCTCTTCATATTTTGCAACAGCTTAGGGTTAGCTTCCGACAATCCCTCGTTTTTTTCCATCTGGCTCTTTAACGCTTCCTGCAATCTTCAAGTCTATCCGCGGCTCTCCGTGAAATTTAGCGACTTCTGCAGCATTGCCCTTCTATCGCTGCTACTGCTGTTGCCACTACTCTTGTAGGCTTCGGTCGGTACATTTCGCGTCCTCTTCCGGGTAGGCATTTGAATTTCTATCGCATCATCTTTTAATTGTCGCGTGGTGTCTCGTCTTTGCTCGTCGGTGTCACCAATCGTCGCGATCGTTTTGACGTCGAAAAGGGGTGTCATCATGCTCCACCACGGTCTCGGCTCCTATTGAATCCGCCATAGCGGCAAGCTGGCCAGCCTTCATACCTATAGGTTAGGTAGGTACCCGCTGTCGTCTATGGAGCTTTGTAAATACATCTGATGATATGTTGGTGAACAGTTATTTGCAAACAATGCCTATAAGAGGCGACTCTATGGAGAGGGCACTCTAGTCACGTACGTCGTTGAGAAGTATCCAGAATTCCATTCTTGTTCTTGGTTCCTATTTTGCAAAACGACTACACCAGCCACATTGATGCCACCTATGTTTCAATCATGAGGCTCCGCAAATCCGCACTGCGCATGCATCCAACAAAACAAAGTCGTTGCACCAAGCCTTGTTGCTTCACAGTTGCATTTTTCTGCATTATAAATCGCAACCTTTATCCAGTGTATGGCCTCTAGTGCCGATGGCAGTTTGGTTGGTATTTAGTGCACAACTACAAGTTCAACTCTTATTGCCGCGCGACCAGCCCAGTGCGCAAACCTTTTGTAACTGCGAGGCTCTTCTAAGGGAATGTAAAAGTCATTACGTTTTGTGTGATTGCCATTCACGAGCAGCAGAAACTGCTGAAAACACATTGAGGCTCTGCGTGTCGTGACTGCCCTATTAGCAAACGGGCTATCCTGCACGATGGGCATCAAATTACCATGGCCCAGCAATGACATTACCTTACGGCGCTGGAAATTATAATACTAGAGCACAGAATACAGTTATGGTTTTGGACTTGTTCACTAGATCTTGACTTCTGCTTGGAGCTACTCTAACAACAACTCAACTTCATCGTTAACGAGTTACATTTTATCGAGATAAAACAAGCAATTCTGCTTCACTGCGGCGGACGGCACCTAAGGCTCCTTTCCTGTCTTATGGAAACCCACGGCTAGTCTGGAAACCCACCACTATTTACTGGTTATAACGATATCGCCATGTGTACCACAGAAATATACACTTACGTCTTCATTCTTGAGGCACGAAAGACAGTACACAAGCTTACTAAATGCGACCATGACGATCCAAACCAGCCTTGCACCATATCTATGACTATTGTTTACCCTGAAGAGTGTATTTCTGAATCTACCCGGAAATGGATATTGTGGAAGATGGGTGCTGTTAGCGGAGAGAGAGAGAAGTTCTCCGTTCAGAGGCTCTTTATTACCTTTGGCTTGAGATCGGGGCTAGCCGGAGTGAGCCACGCTCTTGTTCGTGCAATCGTACATTGCGGAAAGCTTTGGACCTAATATTGCCAGCTTGGATTCAACTTGGACAGGACTCGTCCGCGAGTGTGTGCATAAGATACTCAAGAGGAATGATGATCTCCCTCTGGAATAATGCTGGCCAATCCTGGGACTCCTAATAGCCCACGCTACGGTCGCGCTTCCAAAGGCAGGCTCATTGAATTTGGAGGCTTGATGAGATTGGAAAGCATCTTCTCAGATGGAAAGTTGGCCTGTATCTGATTCCATGATGCAGTGCTACTCACGGCCATTTTCTTGATTCATGTACAGATATTCTCCTTATTATCCTTTAGTACCATCTATTCCCATTGATCGTGTTTATCTGTTGAGAAATGTGACTAGAATATCGCTAGTAATTGACTATGCGCATATCCTACGATGATTGACCTTCATATAGCTTAATATCACTAATCTGCATTCACACAAGTCTTTTCCATGGGCCTTTGGTGCAGCAAAGCTCCATGGCGCAAGCATTTCTCACGTTTGCCCACCCAAGATAATGCAAACGACTTCTACAATCGTGTAGACAGACCCATAGTAACGATTATTACTACTTTTCTTTTGGTCGTAGTGGGCAACTTGAGGAGCATTGTCACGATGCAGCCAGATGGTGCGTGAAGTCCAGTTGTTACTCCACATCCGATACGGAAGCGGCGGAGCGGCACAAGCCGGCCTTGAGGCCCCGCTTGCTGCTCCGATACTAGTCGTCTTGTGGGTCAAAGTAGGCCATATTGGCTTGTAACACATCAAAGTGTTGCGGGGTCCGTACAGGGAAGCACCAGTAGCACTCCAAATTTCCGGGTCGGCAATCTTTTCTTTTCTTGGTAGCCCAATGTTCTGGGAAATCTTTTGCTATTTTGCTACTCTCATGACAAACTCAATCTTATCTCGTGGTGTTACCATGCGTTGAGGATGTACTGTGTGGTAAGAGGGTCGGCTCACCGTGAAGACGAAGACGAGAAACTGTTAATCCAGGTTCGAAAAAATGAGTCTCTGTACATCGCTGGGGAGTCGTTTCAGTAACGATGGCTTGGTCGCTTGAAGCACTTTGGGTAGCCACCCTGGACAACTCGATGCATACTTCTGGGGGGTATATGGAGGGCCATCGAGCTCAGGTTTAAATGTTCGGCCGACGGTACCAGTATGTCGCTTTATAATAGAACGTATGATGGAGGAAATGAAATGTTGGTGGTAATGTGTTTCATCTCAAGTTCCCTTCTGCAGGAGTGATGCACTCTCTTTCACCGGCGAGCAGCAACTTTAGTAATATGGAAAGCTTTATCTCCTTGAGCGGAGGAAATCCATAAACACTAGAACCCCTAATGAGAAGTGTGTTGCGAGTGGGGGTTTTGTTCAACGCTGGCTGTCCATCGCCGGGGCAGACGGAATGCGGGTCCGTAGTGGAGAAGCCGAAAGATTTGGGGCCACGGATGTACTCGAGTACAAAGGGATGAGGCAAGCTTAACAGCCGCTGCGGCACGGTAGCGGCAACGCATCCCCATGTGCAGCGGTGCACCTCGCTAAGCACGGCCCTCGTTCTTCAACAAACCCGCAGAGAAGGTTTCACATGCAGGCATCCTCGCTTCTAACCCTAAAACAGCAACGCAGGAACGCGTTTCATGAATGACAATCTCTAACGTCATTCCGATCGCTTCTCGGGTTTGCGTCGGCAGAAAGATGCATCCAGCGACCCCTCAACGTGGTTTCGCGACCCGGCGGGTTTGCGGCGTAGTATCCAGTGTTGACACAAATTCGCATTCCCTGCGCACATCAAGCCACCTCGAATCGTGGGCAATCGAACATGTAAACGGTTTTTTATTCACGCCCGAAGCAAACAAAGTATGCATAGACCCGGACACTAGGCAAATCATCGCAATTCCTCTACAGCAGTTTGTTGTCGCCAGCCAACACCATTGTTCTCTGTTCAAGACAACCACAGACTCTACCGTGCCTCTACAGGACGCATCGCCATCCTAAACTAATGGCTTTTAGCCGTGAAAGCGCACAAAAGGAACACACGCGTACGGGAACAGAAGAAGCGCGAAAAAATTGAAAGGAAGCTTGGGATGGAGTCTTTCGGAAGGAAATATCCATTGTTCGCCAGTGAAGAACATAGGTTGCTACTCAAACTAGGACGTAACGAAGGTTGCCCAATGCCTTGTAGATCGCGATGGCAGCATGCTTCATAACCAATGGAAGAATATCAGAAGGGAACAGCTGAATTACCAAAGAAGTAGGCTCTTATGCACCTCATGACATTGTACCTCTGTGTTTCTAGATCTGTGGAAGTTAGTGATGACTGATACTCAATGGCTGAGCATGGAAACTTCGACGGCCGGGGAAAAATGTAAATTCTGGCCCAGCTATCATCTAAACTTCGGTCTCCCTATGGCCCTGGGAGGGTCCGAGCCGTGTATGATTGTCAACCGCTTTCCACCAATCCATTCCCTTTTCTCTTTCAGATTTACAAGCCTATTTTCCTCAGCCTGGTAGCGCGTAGGCAAATCTCGTATCAATTCCTGAAGGCTACTATAGACTTTTGTTGGGCTTGGTTCATGTGCTTCGGATCCTTCCACAAACCCAGGTCATTGTTGGCCTCCTTTCCGACGACAGGCATAAGCGGGGATCGCCCCTCCAAAGAGGTTGAGGCCCGAGCAAAGAAAGCACGAACTCGAAGTCAGATTCAAGTTAGAGCAACCGTTAAGCCCTTTGGTTGCCACTCTCGCAAAGCCCCTCAGAAATATGTGAAGTACTTTCGCCGTTTGGTCAGTTCAAAAGATCCCTGTTTCAAACCAGAATAAAGCGCGGACGTACATGGTATAAATACCTTACTTGGCCATATTCAGAGTCTGACTGTTGGTCTCTGTATGATGTTTTGGCCAACGCCATGTACCGAAGTAGCTGGGGACTTGACGGTTCGTTACTCTCCTCATCCGAGCACCTCGAAAGTTTGGCATCCCTGAGCCATGGAAGAGACTACAAATTGCAATCCATCATATCATAGTGTTTCTGGTCTTTTGTGGAAAGGAGGTACAAAAAACGCGGTTTCAAGGCTTGGGAGCACACTGGGTTCCCCGGCACAATCGAGGGGCTCCTTGATAGTATGGTCAGTGTCACTTGGATGTGCAGCAACACCAGAATTACTCAAGAAGCTGCTTGGCAGGTTCTGTTTTTCTCAATCCAACTCTTAATCAGTACCTGCCGTATCGTATTAAGCACCTCCCATACCGCCTTGAGAATATCATCGAGCTCGCACACAGAAATTCTACTCAGATCCAGTCCTTTTGACTCCGGCAGCATCTTTTGCAATTCATCAATCGTGGCATGAGTCTCTTCGCGGCACTGCTGCGCATCAGTGTTCTCGCTGAACGATATGTTGCGCTGAGTCATTGCCCTGGTTCTTCTTTTGATATGAATCTGTTCAGCTTCGGCCCCGCCCTCCTGTTGTTGTTTAATATCCCCCTGTAGGAAGTTTTCATAGATCCTATCAAGGATATTTTGCACTCCAGGGCACATGTCTCGCACTGGTACCTCGTGTTGAATACCGCGGTCAAAATTGGTAAGGAGAGTGTTCTTGTAGTAAATGGTAATCTTCCCGTCTGCTATAGCATAGCCCCAGTCATCGTTGTCGTATGTGACGGAGAGCTTACTACCTCGCGCTTTCTCCTCAGTATCCTGATAGGTATCGTCAACTCCATCAATATGTTTGTCCAGAGGCAGTGTGGGTGCATTCTGTTTGTGATGGTCCTGTTCTGGTCTCAAACACACAACTATCTCATCCTCTGCTGGTTCTGAGTCGGATTCATCTTGAATCAACGTCCCAGGCAGGTCCAATTCATTCTGGAGAGAAGGTGGATTTGAATCTGGAGTGGGTCGTCCTCGATGCGGAAACTTAGAAGGACTCTGCACAAGTTAGTCGCGATAACTAATAGTCTTTCCGAAGATCTCATCACCTCGTTATCACGCCACACTACTTCACTTACCTTGCTGTTGATATTGCTTATGCCCAATGCTTGTAGTTCGGTTGTGCTGTCGAGGCTAACACCGTACCTGCCGACAATCGTTTTGAGGGCAGACTCGAGTTTCTTCCATGGGTAAACCTTGAAACCCTGCTTATTCAGATTGCGGGGCTTCAAGTCAGGAAAATCCATAATGATGTTATAGAAATCTTGGTTCCCTGTACTTTCCTTAGAAATCGTAATCGGTTCAAACATCCTCAACATGTTGCGGATACGATCCTTTTCTGGGCGGCTGAGTTGTCGTGGCGCGGCCATAAGGTACTCGAGAAGGTTGATAATATCGACCCCTGTGACATAACACTCGCCTTTTTTAGCCCACCAGATACATGAGATGCATTGGCGGTCCTCTGATTGACTATGAGCGCTTACCAATTTGCATGTAGCGTTCACCGTCGACCCCACTAGTGTCTTGTAGAAGAGGACAATCCGTCGACTATTGGCTTTGTCGTCCGTTGACCAGTTCTCTCCGATCGATATCAGGTCACCCGTAATGTTCAAAACTACCTTGTTAGGGTCAGGTAAAGTGAGCTCACTGAGCTGATAGTTTGTATTAGTTCGAGCATTAGCACTGATAATGCTAGTTCGAACAGGTTGGGGAGTGTCATTGGTGCTTTCTTCTACACTGGCGTGACCGTAGTCACACTCAGCGGATGTATCAGGGTAGTCGTTGCCTCCCGCTTTTTGGTCAAGATCCGCATCCCTATCATCCAGGAGGATCGAACCTGTCGATAGAGAACATCGTGCTGGATCTAGAGGAGTTGATTCTTGTGAAAACGAATAAGAGTCCTAGGCAAGTTAGTTGTGGTGCCTCAGAGCGTTCCCAAGATCCGACCGCTGTGCTATAGCGCCACGCCACGTCACTTACCTCGCTGACACCATCATTTGTAACTAAAGCTGCTGGCTTGTGACGACAGATCTTTGCATGGCGTGTCATATGGTCTGGTCGAGGATAGCGCTTGCCGCAACTCTTCCACTTGCATATGTATGGACGCTCACGAGTATCTGTGGAGTAAAATTTAGTAATCTTGTAAGTTCAATGACCTATCTGGCTTACGAGTTCGCTGATGGCGTTCATGTTCGCGTTTTCTGTGTCTTCCGCTAAAGGTTTTCGTACAAAAAGAGCAGGATAATACGACCTTGTTTCTTTGCCCCTTCTTCTTCTTGGTGGCTTTTGCCCTTGGAGTCGACTCTCTATGTGTCCTTGCAAGTTCCGAGTTAGAATCCAATTGGACGTTCGACGTCAGCGCTGGGTCAATTGGGGAATTCTTTTGCCCCGGAAGTTGGCAAACAGATACATGCCGTGGCTGGAGCTCCTCCATTGGCTGCTTCGAGTCCGGAGCTTGGCTTGCACGTTTTTCTGGCAAAAGTTCATCAGATACTCCGGCCTGGGGACTGTTCAGGTATAGGCTGTCGTGTTGTGGCACCGGAAAGAATGTTGACTGGGGGTAACTTGAATGAAAAGAACCAAGTAGTATAGCGAATTGTGAAGCTATATAATGTTGAACAAGCTGGCTTCCATCTTGGTGGGCGTAGAATCCTTCTGGAAGCGTGGGGTCATGGAGTGGAGTAACATGATAGGTGTTTGGGTAGTCATCAGTCAATGTCTCGATTTCTGGAGCTAAACACGGAGGATCGGGGAGAAGTTGTTCTAATTCTTGTGATAGCTGATAGCCAGTCGGTATAAGATTTGTCTTATCAGTAACATCTGGGCTTCCTCTCTCGGTGGCAGGGTATGCTTGTTGTGGCCTGGCGGGTATTGTGTAGAGCTGTGCACTGTCACGGGTTTCAGGTGTAGCAAGCTCTCGTTGGCCTGACCCAGCATCAGGATCAGGGGCCGTAAGGCTGGAGAGAACCGTGTAACTGCGAATGATCTTCTCGAGAGCAGAATCAAGATTTTCCCATGGGAATACCTTGACGTCCTCCCCAATACTGAGGGGCTTGGGATCAGGAAAGCCCATGATGATCTTGAAGAACTTCTGAGTATCGGGCTTGGTCTTGTAAACTATCTGTGGATGTAACTTGTCCAACTCACAGTGAATACGGTTCTTCTCCTCGACCCTAAAACAGCTCGGCGCTACGATAAGTTGCTCGAGAAGGTGGATAATATCGACTGATGTGACATAACACTCGCCTTTCTCGGCCCACCAGATGCAGGATATGCAGATGCAGTTGATTATTCGCTCCTTGATGCTCACAGGTTGGCAGATAGCCTCAACTTTCGATTCGATTTGTGTCCTGTGGAAGAGAACAATCCGACGACGGTTGGCCTGTTCTTCGGGTGTCCAGTTCTCGACCGATTTCCTCCAGTCCAAAATCTTCAAAACCAACTTGCATTTTTTTATATGTTTAAGCTGGTCATCTTTGCCGCTAAATGCGTAGCCGCAACCCAACTGGCCGCATTTGAACGGGTAGTTATCAATGTCTGTGGAGGAAGTGTTAATGGTCGGTACGAATTAAAGGGTATGACCTGCGTACCGGTAGATGTAGGCGAACCGGTTTCTCCTTGTGATACATCATTGCAAATGTTGTGGCTTACAAGCGGCGTGGGCTGTTCGGTGTATTGACCTGGTGCGCAAGTATTTTCATAATCGCGTGGGACGCTGACGGGAGCCCGTTCTTGGCCATCATAGTCTTGTGTGATGTAGTGACTCAGCAATTGCGATGCAAAATCAACTTCAGTAAAGGTGTGTATCGACAGCCCATTCGGAAGATCTTGATCCGCGGAAGTCATCTCCTGGGTCGGCCTAGTTATCGAGGAGTGCTGAGGCGTGGATGGAGACTCGTTGGAGTCATTACCGACGGAGTCCATGGAATACTCTTGGATCTCGAGAGAACTCGCTGTTCCTGAGTGAATCTTCTGATGTTTGTTCCGGATGTGCCTAGTTAGAACGCTCTTCCGTGCGAATCCCATCCCACACGTATCGCAATTGTATGGTTTTTCGCCGGTATGTGTATGATGATGCTCCACGAAGTCACGAATTCTAGCAAAACCCTACAACAGAAGTTAACAAAGCCCCGCCGCCATACATTCTTTCAACGGACCTTCCCGCAATCTTGCCACTCACACTCGAAGGGACGAAGAGACGACATGATAATATGTTCAACTTTAATGTGCTTTTGTGCTAAAGAGTGATGTAACGATAGAGTGGATTTGCCTTCAGTAGGACCCTGACTTGTTGTAACGTGATAGATTTATTTGCTGAAGACCAATGAGGCGAATTGTGTTGAGTGAAGAAACAGAAGGTCGATATGTAGAACAGACCTTTGAATCAAGGTTTACCAGTGCACGGTCGCGGTTCAAGCTCAGGCAGCTTGAGTGGCATAAAAGAAAGATGGATACGATTGTTCATAAGTGCGTGCGAGGTTTTGAGTCGATCTGTCCCGTCGTGGTCCAGAGGTTGACATGGTTCGGAAGCTCAAAAGGAAAGCAACCTAGCTTCCTGCCCCCAGTCCACCAAACGATGAAACTAGGCTCGATCCGTGGCCCTGCCGACTGCGTTTAACCAACGTGTGTCGCGTAGATTATGACTCTACCCGTTAACAGACCTCAATCGTATCTCGTGAAGAATCATACGTACTATGCCCTCACCCTCTTCCATGCTCAGGCTCGACTTCTATGATGCATCCCGTTGTGCGTGAGACGTATCTTGTTGGATATGTACTTGAACTCCGTTTCGACCCAAGCCTACTACTTTGCTCCGTGTTCGTAAAGAAGACCACCAAACCTCCTTCTTCTTACAGGTGAGATAACAAAAGGCTCTGCAGGAGCGTCGTCACATCACCCGCGGAATCATGGTGACAACGGTGATTTTGTTGGAAAGTGATTCGAATTGGGCCTGAACCGGTGCGCACGGATGCTCATTGCTTACCAGTATCCCTCCTTCGACTAGCAGATCATTAGTTCTAGCTCACCGAACAGGGGCCAGTATCCCAGAACCTGTTCCAGCGGTTCAGGGCAGTGAGACGGATGACCGGACCCCATCTCCGCTGTCTTCTCCTTGCACTTCCAAGATTTCAAGTGGTGACAATGACATTTCGGGTTACCTGTTTCGCAAGTCAGGGCCATCTAAGTTTGTATCGTCAGACAGCGGTGTGCTCAGATGCTACTGTCAGAGACGTTACACTTGACGTGGGCGGACCCCAGTCGCACTGAGCTTTTGTGCATCGAGAAGCTAAGTTGGATGAAGGCCTGGTCTCTGCAGATGCGACCCATCTTACTACGCCTCTCTCCCACCCCAGAGCCTTTGCCCCCTACCTCATCATCACAAGTGACCTACGCCAGCATCAACCCGTTCGACCTCAAAAGACTTTCATTCGTGATCCTTATTGCAGCCGACAGTTGTTCGCATTGTTGTCACTCAGCTCTAGCAAGGTGGCCTCAATCACATATTAGCGGAGCGGTGAAGTGCCGGCCGCCAAAGCACATCGGCTTGATGATGGTACCTTTGCAGAGCCTCATTTGGTAGAGCATGAGATGATCCTGATTCCCGCCATGTACTTTACGTGCGTACTAGTAAATTTACCATCAGATCTTTGTCAGGCCTTAATGTTCACTGCCTCGCTAACGTCTACAGCACAGGGATCCAGGACTCTCGCAGAATATGTGACTTCTCATCCCTCCAGCCTTGTAGCCTCTAGAACCGAGCGTAGATCTAAATACTCTCTGCCGTTATACCCGCTTTGCGAGTTGTGTGTTACGGTACTCTATACACGGAACCTCGGTAACAGTGAGTCACGAACTATAATTTTAGTATTTATACCGCAATGCTCCCCTCCACCATTTTCTGCTCAGTTAGCCATCTCCACGAGCACGCTATCTATGTTAATTCGTCGTTCAACTTCCGATGAATTACTCGATTTCCTCAACATCTTCTCAGGGATCCCCTTCCCGATCATCCCGCGTCGCATCCTTGTCCATACCTCACAACAACCTCGACGGCCATGACCGTGCCGAACCCCATGACAAGCGATTTTCTCACAAATCTGACCATCCAAGCAATGTGGGCACAGCGGCTACCTCTTCTACGAATCATATCAATGCTCATGATGATGCCCAAAAAGTCGTAGACGGAGTAATGAGAAATGTTTACAGTTGTGTCAACAAAGCCACCAACGATGCACACAAAGAGGCCACATAAATCAACGGAAGAGTATACACACGTTATACACATAGTTCTACTTCCTCGGGATCGGCTTTCATTTCCGAACCTATAAAGATCGGAGCTGGTAACCAGTACAACGGAGATGTAACTGTGGAGGATGGAAAGAGCGACACAAATATCTGAGATTTCGAACGGCTCTACTGCATGGAAGACTGCCGTCTTTCCAACTCAGAGCAATGGCTATGCCACGCGTATTAAAGATTCAGAGCAAGGAGATGACAACATGAGTTGACAAGCAAATATTTGGAGATGAAACATATTCCCCAGTTCACATGCATAATGAGGATTAATTTTATTCAATGTACGTGCGCAACATCATAATTACTGAGGAAATCTCCTCATACATAACGTTACCAGTATCGTAAGTCAAGTGGTTGATCGTAGTAGCAAAATCGAGAAGGGTTGTACTGTTTCTTTTTGTTGTCGCTATGACGCCGTGGACAAGGGCAGGACACTACCAAGCAGCGCAGCGTATGGCGTGTTTCGCAAACAAGACCACTGAGTCTCGTTGTCTCGAGAGCGGAGAAAACAAAAATCTCTACATGGGATGTGAGGTGGCTCTTTTAAGAGCCAGCTAGGTCTTCTCGGTCGCGGAATCGTCCCTGCCAGAGCGCCCAGCACTGAAACGAGGTTCAGCCTACACCTAGACCAATGCGTACAGACGCTAGTCAATAGCCCATCCCCGGCTTTCAACAAACAGGCCGTTCGTTCTAGCTTCTTTCAGCAGGGTCCTGCACTCCGGCAGTCCGGGAGCCGTTCCGCTCGTTGACGGCGGGCGCTAACTTCAGCCTTCAAATTGTGCGGCGATCCGAGTAAGACGGCTGAACCCTGTTTCGTATCGCACCGCTGTTGTGCACTTGGCATCCTCTCTTTGCGCTTCATAAGTTTATGGACTTCAAGTCGTGACGCTGACCTGTCGGGTTACATTTCAGACAGCCAAAGTCCGCCAACATCAATGGTGAGCTACGAGCAGCGGTGTGCACTGCATCGAGGTTACTGGTGGTTTGTAACTGCATGTGGCGCTTGAGGGGTTCATGGTCGTCAATTTAAAGGCCTTGACAGCCATTTTGCAGGCTACCAGCCCCGTCTTTACGGCCCATTGCATTATACAACAAGGATTTAGAACAAACACGGACCTCGTCTAGCTCAAGCAGATCCTCATTATTGGGCGTCTCGCGCCACCAATTGTGCGGGCCTACATCCTGTTCCGGATGCTACCAATGGGGCGCAAACTATTGTGGAGGACTCCGGGGAAACGGAACAATCCTTGTTCATTCAAAATCCCAGTCACCACCTAAGCTATTGGGTACTTTGCAGACGCCTCAAGGTACCTCCTCTCGTTACGCTTCTGTGCGCAGGACGCTGATGTCTTCTCTTTGCGTTTCACATGCTTCGCTTGATGATACTGATCTGTCGTATTCATGCCCAAGCTCGATTCAGTTGGCATTGCTAAGTAGCGGTGTGCTCAGCCCGTAGCCGTGCTACTACCTACCCATAGAATACAGCAACAGTTCAATCTCAAGCCTTGAAGCTGATTGACTTCCTATCCGCAGAAAGAGGTCGTGGTTTTTCACACTAAGTCTTGCTTTTTGGGGTTTTTTTTTCCCTCTCTGACACAGAGCACAGATCTAGACAGAATTTGGGTCTTCATACCAATGTTTACAACCTACACAATTTGTCAACATCCTGTCAAACCAATGGCAAGTCGCGGGCTTGATCGTCCTCGGTCGCCTGTGAATGGCCTTGTGTCGTGGTTTGCCTGATACATCACTTTGTATATCACCCGGCGTCAAAGTTGTCAATGGCGTTGTCAATCACGGTCAATTGCCCGGACAGACGGAGTGCGGGTCCTGGAGCAATACGACTCTGTAGCCGAGAAGCTGAATATTTTGGGGTCGTGGATGTACTCAAGTACAAGGGTAATGAGGCGACATTGCGGCATGGTATACGCATCTCCATATGCAGCGGTGTACCGCGCTAAGCACGGCCCTCCCTGCCCTCGTCGTCTCGTCCTTCATCAAGACCAGATAAAGCCCATTGTGGGGTGCCTTATACGGTAACCGCATCCGTTAAGCGGGCCGATGTCTCATCCTTCAGGCATGCAGGGCTCCAGCGGCACTGACGGTAGTCACACCAAGCACCCGTGCATCAAACGAGCTAAACTTTATACCGAATTGATGGGTGGCATCATTTAGCGTGTACATCCTGGCTCGCTCAAATCTCAGCCTTATGACCGGCCGTAGTCGAGACGAGCCTGAGGATCAACTCACAAGTTTGTTGCGGTATTGAGATCACCGTTGACTCTATTAGAAATGGATTGTATTGAAGAAAGCGTTGGTGGTTCACCAGTTTATTCTTAAGTAAAACCAGGACGAATTGTCAAGATAATGGATTGGTGGAGCTGGGTCAGTTGATGGCGAATGTAGGGAGCTTGAAAATGGCTTGAATGGCGTGACTTGAGCACTGCTGTTCCAGCCTTGCTTCCACCTTTTGAACGTCAGCAAATCCAACGTTAGAATGTCTCATCTTCAAATAGCTTATCGCTGGTTGATCATGTACATATTCAGTCAGCATTAGATAGACGATTCATGAAGGCAGCGTCTTGACCACTTATCACTTATGACACATGCATGCAAGCGAGACTAGTGTTCAACAATTTGCGCTGCTCAGAAGGCTTCAGGACACCAGCATACTGACAACTGCTATCCAGAAGCTGCCAGGTCAGATAAGGTTCCACTGGAACCCATCTTTACATACCGACAACACCGTAGTATTAAATGCAGCTGTAGCCTGAAAACTTTTCACTGACTCTAGCACCGGTCCGCGGTTCTGTCCTCACCTACGCCCCTCCAAATTGAGGACCCATGACCCCAGGACACGGAAGCCTTGTGTGTGTGGACTCTACGCAAGGTTGGCCTCTGCAGATGCGGCCGATGTTGGTACGCCTCTTTTTCAACCCAGAGCCTTTGCTCGCTGCCTCGTTACGAGCGATCTACGCCAGGATCAGGCTACCACGTTCAAGAAAGCTTTCGTACTTGATCTCAATTGCAGCTACCAGTTGTTCGCATTGTTACACCTGAACCCTAGCCAAGGCAGGCCGTCGAGGCACGGCGTCAGACTGATGTTGCCTTTGAAGAGCCTCATTTTGCGGGGCGCGTAAAACTTTTTAGTACCAGCGGGCGCTTGTAAAGTATGTTTTACGCATATGATTGGTGTCAGAAAGTGTTCACATAAATGCACCACGTGCTTCATACGTATGCCGATAGAATGCGGCAACAGTTCAGTGTCGGGCCTCAAGGTTCACCGACTCTCTGACTGCAGCAGTGCAGGGATCCGGGACTACCATGAAATACGTGGCTTTTCGTCCCTCCAGTCTCGCACTCTCTGGAACGGAGCCTACATCTCAATAGTCATTGCCGTTATGCCAACTTTGTGAGTTAATTGCCATGTCACACTTCGAGGGCCAGCACACTGCCCCACAAAGGATGCCGCCGAAACCCTGGATCTGCTGCAGAATCCGGACTCCGAGCCTATCGGATCGCTACCCAGTTGTTTGTGTGTCAAAGGTGTAGTGGTTTCCGGATAGCTGGCATTGTTTTTACCAGCGCCAAAGGCATCGTTCTAAATGGTTATACATGGGACAGCAGACTATACAACTAGGTTCTAGCCATACCGCCCTGTAGTCCACAACGGCACTGGTTGCCTTAACGCTACGGCTTTTATACGTAGAACCTTGGTAATAGTGAGTCACACGAACCAAAACCATTTATTAGTATTTATATCACAAGGGCTCCCTCATCAATATCTTCTGCTGAGTTAGTTATTTCCACGAGCAAGCCATCCGTATTAATTCATCGTTTAACTTCCAATGAGTTCCTCTTATTTTCGAGTCTCTGTTCAGACCTCCTTTTCTCAAACATCCCCCCATACAGTCAAATCCTTCTCCATATCTTGCCACAACTATGGCTCCAGCGGCCCTTCCACTGGCCATCCAAGCGACTTTGGCACAGGAGGTACCTCTTATACGGGCTATAGCTATGCTCCTGACTCAAGCACTGAAAAATTCATCAAAGAGGCGATGAGCCATGTCAAACGAACCACCGATCGTGTCAAAGAAGCCACTGATCGTGTCAAAGAAGCCACCGCTCGTGCCAAAGAAGCCACCGATCATGCGTATGGAGGCGCCACGAACATCAACGGAAGAGTATACACAACGTGTACCGACAGTTTTACTTCCTCAGGGAAAACCCTCATCATCAACCCTGTAAACAAGGGATCTGGTTCCCAGACCAATGGGAATGTGACTGTGGTGGAAGAAAATAGCGAAAGACGGAACTGAGCCCTCGGACAATTTTACTGCATGGAGGACTGATGGCCTCTCAATCGCATTGGTCAAAAGTTCAGAGCGAGCAGATGACATCACGAGTTGGCCAAGCGCAGATAGTGGGAGGATGAAACACATCTCTAGTACACACTCATCTCTAGTACACACTCATATTGAGGATTAACTACATTCAATGGACGATATGCACTGTCATGATTGTTGAGGAATTTGTATCACGTATAACATTGCCAATTCCATAGGTCAAGGGATTGATCATAGTGTAGCTGATTTCCTCATAGTAGCACAATCGAGACAGGTTATTTTGTCGCAGCTGTGCCAAAACGAGAGGTGCATTGTCTTGTTTTAAAGATGGAAAACGAAGATAATTTGAAACTCATTGGGGTCAGAACTCGTACGAGGCCCCTTACACCAAAACCGTTGACCAGCTTCCCATGTATCACTGGATGATCAGCTTGGCGGGCTCAGATCCTTCTCCAATGTGTTTTTTTCTTCCTTTTCTTTCCTTCTCTCATCTAAATAAAGGGATAGATTCCAGCCGTACACAAGCCCTAATCTAACTTTTGGCCCTGCCTATTCAAGGATCCAGATCACTTACCGCGATATTTCGGACTTTGGTGTATGTGCTTGTCCACCACGTGTTGCGCAGATCATATTGGCTCTTGGTGTAGTACGTTTCGCTTAAGCTACGAATTCAACGCCTTCAGGGCTGTGGAATGGCTACTGTGGCGCGTCACGTTTCGCGTGGCACCTGTCTCGTAGCGCTGCACACGAGAGGGCATTCAACTAACCAATCCTATTTTTGCAACCACAAGCCAGTGATGCTGCATTTTGACCAATGCCTACAGCTCTATTCTGTGGTCGCAAACAAGGCCACCAAGTCTCGTTGTCTCGACAGGTGAGAAAACAAAAACCTCTGCATGAATATGAGGTCGCTAATCAAAGGGCCAGCCTCGTGTTACCGGCCGCGGAATCATAGCAGTAAGGGCGCCTGGGGATTGAAAAGTGACTCGGCCTCAACCTGGATCGGTGCGCACAGACGCTCGTTGTTGGCCGATCTCCCGCCTTCAACTGGCAGATCGTTGAATTTTGCTTGTCTCACTAGTAACATGAGGTAAGCGTTCCGGATCTGCACTCCGGAACATGTTCCAGCCGCTGGTGACGGGGCGCCAACTTCAGCCTCTAGATTGTGCGGTTATCCGTGTAAGACGGATGAACCCTGTTTCACACCGCATCCCTGTAACTGGGCTGCCCTGTACTTGATAGTCGCCAGCAGGTACCTCTCCCTGTTGTGTTCTTATGCACGGGACCTTTGACTGAACACGCTTTTATCCTTGGCGGCTTTTCATCGACCTCCACAGCCTTCACGCGGTGACACTGACCTGTCGAATTACATGTCCAATAAGACTGATAACACCTTTACAGGAGAAATCTAAGAAACTCATTATTTGCTGTTTGAGTGGAAAAACATGATATGATTATTAGATGGGGCATTTTGACTCCGCTGTACTCGCGGGGGTCTCCAGGCCACAATGTGACTCAACACAACCGTCGGTGGCCACAGCGAGAACGTCGATTTGTGATAAGCTTGGACTAAGATAATAAACACTGGAAGATAAAAATCCTCTTATATACAAAGGCCCATTGCTATTCTACTGCTGTTCCGAAAAGATCTTTGTTGAGACTTTCGAGAATCTCTATCATCGTTGTCGTCTTTTCCACAAAAGTCTCCCCCCTTTGTAATTTTGACATGAGATTCATAATCCTTGGGTCAGTGACCCCTACCTCAGTGAAAATTACTGACATACAGCCGGAGATGAGGCTCAATGCCATCTTCTTTTCTTGGTATTCCTGGGAGGACTCTTGATCCAGCGTTAAAGGCCGGCGGCGTTTTGCTCGACCTTGATCTTTTGCGTCTGATATAGTCCTTTTGCGCCCGGAAAGTTGAGTAGATTCATCGAGGATTTCTAGTTCTGTTTCTTCAAGACCGCTGCCTGATGGAGCTTGGGTCTGTCGTTCTACCACTTGGTCAGCATATTATTCTTCTTGTCCGTTACCAAACACCAGTATTTACCTTCCTCTTCTTGCGCGATATTCTTGACCTCGGACTCTAGATTCACAACAAACTTCTTTTCTTCTGGTTTTGTCTTGACCTTCGAAATCAATATCTGAACCTCCGGCGTGTTGCCTCCTCGAATACATGCTACAGTGTATCGCGCGAATAGAACACGGCAATCTTTCAGACCATTTGTTAGCCTAAAGCTATGTTTGAGATGAGCAATGAGGTACTCACTGTTCAGGTCATCGTGCCACTTAGATTCCCATGGAATGCCCTTTGGCCAAGCTGCTGGTGATGGTCCAGTCCCGCACTTGCCCGAGTGGCCCTTCTTGAAATAGCGACTTGCTCTCGCGCCGAGAGATTTCCACGTCTTGCGTTTAATACCGGGAAACTTTTCAAATACCTTCAAGAGTTCATCAGTTAGGCTATCGTCCTTATCTGAAGCATCTCCATTGCCGTGAGGCTTCGCTCCAAGTGCATAATATCCCTTGTTTTCATTGTCTGTCAAAAATGTTGCCCCATGCTGTGCGCTTTTCAACAGGCACTGGTCTGCGCTCATAGTTAGATATTGTATTAAAGGTGGCCCTAACCTCCTGGCAATGGGAAGTGGCAAAACGATTCCGAACAAGACAATCACTAACCTTGCCTTGTGCAATGGCCCCAGTAAACCAGGGGAATATCTCCAACAAGGTGCACTGCCCATAGCGCACAGAACTGTTTAGGGTTTCCGTCTCTCATGAGGAGTGCCACAAGGGCGTATTTTGTCAACATGGCAAGGTCGCCAAAGTAAACTTTTGCAGTCGTCTCTCTAGTAATTGAAAAAAAAAGAGAAGCCAATAAATCTGTAAGCTCTGCCTTATGTTAAAATAGAACGCGAGTATAAGACGTGGGAGTACTTTACCTTTTTTGGATTTATTTGCCCAGGGGTCGAATGGTTCTTCAGGCCACCATAATGGATTGCCCTGGTGCTTGGATTGCCTTGTTCCTGAACTGGATGCCTGGCGAAGTAAGATCAGAATGTCTCGTGCTTGACGATAACTGAATACTGAGAGCTCGGCTTTTATAAATTCCAAAAATGTGTCGTTTGAGTGGTCTACACTGCCAGCATCTTCATGTTGATTGCGTTCAAGACTTGATTGGTTGTCATGGGAAAGTTTCTTCGCTTTGTCAAGCAGCGTATCGGCTCGCTCTAGGATATCATCTCTAGTAAGTCTGTCTTCCACCCTAACACGTTCATTGCGTTCTTTCAATTTTGTATCTGTCCAAATTTGTAGGGTTCTCAAGACTTCGGGAGGATGGATGAAAGCGCATTCTTCAAAGGTGGATTCTGACTGGAAACAAATTTCCAGTCTGTCATGGAGCATACTTTCTTCCCCACACTGAACCTTGAGCGTCAGCTCGAAGGGAACAACATCATCTTCATAGTCAATATTAAGTTGGGACGAAAGAATCAATGAGGGACAGACCTGATTTGCGTTTTAATGCTTGGATGTCCATCTCCCATCGAGCAAGATCCAAAAGCATCTTCAATGCTTCAGTAGCAGCCATTGATGCCGGACTTCCCCGACTACCCTCCTTCTTGACCATCTCCATAGCCTCATCTATGAGCCCTTCGACTGTTACTCTCGCCTCTTGTGCCACAGGATGACCTGCCACAGCCAGTCTCAAAAAGTATGTTAGCAAGGCAGTGAGCTCTACAAACATTTTGGTTAACAAGCCATTTATTGGCGTCTTGAAATCCGTACATACCGTTTTGAGTAAAGCATGGATCCCCATTCGTAATCTTGCGCACATCGGTAGGCCAATCGTATGTACTGCGTGAGAAAGCCTTCTCCCATGATATTGCGAGTGACTTCGCGATCCGATAACAACAGTGGAAGATGCCGCAGTATATGCCATTGAGGGTGTTTTCCTGCGTCTCGTGGTCTACTTTGATGTTGAATACACGATAACCCTTTGGTTTTATACGTCTAAAGCGCTTCTTACAAGCGACAGATGTTCTTCCGGGAAGTTGGTCATTAATTTCCTCCCAATGACCTCGGTTCTCATTTTCGAGTTCTCTGAGTTTGTTTTCCTCATCCAGTGACCATGGAGTAAATTGTGGAAGACTAACGACCAGTTTGTGGCACTTCTGGCGGTGACATCTTAGCTCGAAATCTGTGTATTCGTCGGACTTCCCGTGCGTCTCCTGACACTCACTACACAGTCGCAAGTTGTCCGGGCAGTTATCAGGTACGTGGGATCCTATTCGTTTCCGTTGGTAACATTGAGGACATGCGTCGTATCGCATAGTCACCGCACTCTTGCCCTTGACAAATACGGTCTGAAATTGGCTTCCTGTGGGTAGCTTTGAGGATCCTGCAACGGACCGAAGAGGTATATTCTGGTCGGTGCCTTTGACATTGTTTTGATTCCCGCCTGAGTCTTCCGTATAGTTGCCAGAGGATACAGAATAGGAGTCTTCTTCAACCAGATCACATGTACCTTCACTGTCACCACTGGCAGCTGGGTCGGTACTGCCGGGAGACTGGTGAACATCATCATCCGTCAAAGATTCCGGCATTGAGCTAATTGTCCCAAGATCACTCAATGGACTATCACTGGACGCGCTCTGCGATAGATGCCCCGGGTTGATCTCGCTGATAGGATATGCGGGTGATGTCTGGCGAGAAGAAGCACCTAAGTTGCTGGACGAGGCTCTGGATGCCTTTGCCTCAAAATCTTCGACTTCACTTCCAGACTCAGATGATTCAACTTTGCGATCGGCCTCTTCGCTCTCATCGGTAGTTCCATCTCTTTCTTCGTACTTCCAGTCGTTTTCACCTTCCGCATCTCTCAGGTAGTAGTTGCTTTGTGGGAATACCGGGTACGAGTTTGAACAGTTTTCGTCTGGAGATTCTTCCTTTTTTACTCTGTTCGGAGGCTGAGGGCTAGGACTTATCATTTTGATTTGTTAAAGCGGCGAGTATGAATCTTTTCCTTGACTGTTCAGTGTCTCAATTGAATAGCTGGAACTGCGGTATGTTGAAGAAAGAAAGGGGCCGGGCCTGTAATTAAACGTTCTAAAGTCGCAGGGATTTTGAAGGGGAAGCTAGACAGAATGGGGGCGCCAATCTTACGGCGTCCAACCAGTGACGAATATAGGCAAGTACGTACTGGATATTATGCCTAGTATCCACGGTACATATCTGGCCCAACATGGAAGATTTGGGTGATTATTCGTCTATGAATCCGGCTTAGGGCAAACTCCAAGGGCAGAGCGAGACGCCAATGCTCAGGGGTATTGATGCCGGGGGTTGCTATGTAAAGTACTTTCACGCTACACGGTTACCCATTCGACCAGGAATGGTATTAAGAATTGTCTCCAAGGCAAGAGTAAAACTGAGAAAGGAAGCAAAAATAACACATGAATTATATAGTCCCGGCTATTGGCCCGTCGTTATGTGATCCAACGGAGAGTGTATCATTGCGACCATCAATGAGAGATGGGACTTGGAAATATGGACGATGGATGGTAAAGTTGTTCATACATGTTCCTTACCATGTTCTGCTCGTCACTCTAAAGCCTAAAAAGTGACCGTGGACCAAAGGCGCCAGGTTCCTGCCCGCGGTTGTAAAATACAGAACCCCGTAGCGAAACCTATAGAAAAGCAATTCGTTGATCACATGCGGCTGCGCTAAGAGCCTCGCTATGACATACTCATGACAGGGATGTTCAAGGAACCTGGGCTGTTGCGGCCTGGTTTTAAGAGGCGGATTGCAACTAGATAGCATAAGCCAATACCCGTATGTATTGGTTCTCTAGCAGCTGACTGACATTTGTTGAGGTCCCCTTGATATGACTATGGAAGCTATGTTCATCTACAAGGCATATCTACATTTGGCAAGAGCGACAGGAAAATTGGACGCTCGGAGAACACCAACGAAAGTCGAGGTGGGGTGGCTCTGCCTGCAAATAAGGAAGTTCGTGTAAAGACCTGCGTTCATTTCAACAAGGCGATGTGATTGCGCTATGCTCCTACATACGTCAGCGTCATTAATATTCCTGGCCCATGGCAGGGGTGTTCACAGGCATCTTAAAAAAAAACCTTTATCACACAACGCGAACTCGGCCCATCTGAGAATGATCTACGCTTTACCACCCTACCAGAGTCATCATTTCCCGGCCAGTCTCGTCTCAACAGCCATGCTAGTGGCAGGGGTTTTGAAAACTGACAAGGCCACGCCGGCCCTGAGTTAGGGTGCACAGACGCTCGCTAGTGGTTTATCTCCTGCCAACAAGCAGGAGGTATACAGTTAAATTTAACTCATTTCCATGTCACATATGTAGGAGGCCAGGGAGACTAGTGAGACATGACCTTGCACCCCGGAAGCCTTGTTCGGGCTCCCGGTGGCGCTCGCTGCCAGATCGTTCGCTGGTCCATTTGAAACTAGATTAAGCGACACCGGTAGGAAGCCCGACAGGTCAGTCATTTGGTAGCATTAGGGACAGGGCAGGGACTAACGAGTCCAATGGCCCTTGCTATTCATGAGAAAGATTGAGAGGAAGTACCGTCTATATTAGCGTACGCCAGAAATAAGCTCCCGACCGTATTGAACAGCTGCAAAAAAACAGATCCGAGATCTTACAGTATACCGTAAGGTCTACACAGATACCTATGGTAATCTTCGGGCCTTCACTATAAGAAACCTATATCGTGAAAAAAAAATACCGTGTTATTTATTACCTGTGTTAGCTGCCCAAAGTTTATTCTTACGGCTTGCAATTCCTAGGTAAGCAACCTAACATGATGACTCTTTCCTTGCCTCGATGTATACGAAACCTTTGTTCATCTGCCAAGACGATCCATCTAACTCATCACAAAACTACATACAAAATGGCAGCCTCTCCGGCTGTTAAAATGTGCCGCGTGGACCAGGATTCATGAGTCATGTTGCCACCTCTCTGTACGGATATTCGTAACCCGCATGGCCAAAATTTGTTGTGGCTGTCTGAACGCCCCTGAGGTGGAGCATATAAGCGCTGGCGGCTTGTTCGTATCATGGCAATATCCCCGGATGGAGTCTCCTGGAAGGAAGATCCTGGTGGAAGTCTTTGACGAGTTGGCACCTTTCCCCAGCCGCTTCCCCGTGAATAGCCTGTATGTGTCACAACTGCAAAATCGAACGCTAACCTGGTAGCCTAGCGAGCCATAATCTGCAGGCGAGGTCAGGGCAACCAACAAAAGCTCAAGTTGAGTCGGATATTCACCACCTTCATTTGGAGCCCCACATGTCCCACAATAAGGCATGCCCTACCAACTGGACGACGCCCCTGCCCAGCTTATTCATACGTATATCAGAGGCCCTGGCGAACTCGCTAGTGTAAAGGATAATATCCAGATCCCCAGGCCGCGTTATCTTCTACATACTGTAAGTACACTTTACGCTGACCCCTGGTGCAAGACGCGCTACGTCTGGCCGCTCTTCCAATAAAGGATAACCAGAAGGTTGATTAGTATCACAGGTCTCTGCCCACTAGAGATCACATCCGGCATTGTCAATCCTCGGCCCCCTTGGCATCAGTTATTTTCAGACTTCTACTGGAAGTGCTTCCTACTTACGATTGCTCCGCACTCACTGCGTCTATCAATTTTCATCCGGCATGGCGCCTACCACAAGAATGAGAAAGCTTCCTGGCGACGCACCTAGAGCGAAGGCCATGGAAGGAAACCTGATAGCTGAACGAAGAGTACAATCCAAGTCAAGACGGAAAAGACGTACGGACGGCGCTACAAATAAAAAGGTTCAGGCACGGTAAATTCGTCAACTGTCCATCTCATTCAACCAGGCAACTAGCTGATAATATTCAATACAGCCTTCAAAACCATGAAGACAAGGTTACTATAGATCTCACTGTTGGAAGTGCCTGCGACAACCAGTCGACAGAAAACAGTCCCCGCGGCGACCGGAGAGTGTCTACCATCAAGTCAGAAAATACCGGCTGGCATAATACACAATCCAACGGAAATCGAACAGTAGCATCTGATCTTGTACAAGATGGGGCTGAGCTACTTGGCGTTTCGCAGCCGCAGCCATTGGTACCAACCATTGATCTTACAGACGATTTGAATGACGACGAAAGCCATGAAAACAGCAGACTCACTGCTGGTATCAAGTCAGAACCGCTGAACACAGAGGCCACCGATATTATTGCCACTACTAAAGATAGAGGCACACGACCCTTCGCTACTGAAGAGCTGATGGTAGAAAATGAAAGCGAACAGGAAACGTCTGCAATCGAGTTAGGGCCTCAATCGACCTCCTGCGAGGCAGTAATAGCTGCCGCTGGTGATCATGCAGAGGCGAGTACTATAAATCTCACACCAGCACCAAATCCAACAAAGGATACTGGGCTCCAGGAAGGCCCAATTGGAAAGGCTCATCTTGGTGAAGGCTTGGCAGATATTGGGCAGGGAACGCCGCAAGAAGTACAACGGCTTCTCAAGAACAGCTTGAAGGTGGTTCAGCAAAATATCAACAATCTTGAGACGAAATTGAAGGCGATGGATGAGAAACGCGAAAGTTTACAACAGCTTCTCGAGATGAGAAATCAGCACGCCCAACATCTCACCGCCTGCATAAACAAATCTGAGACTGAAGCAAAAAAGCTCGAGAAGCGCCGCAACAAGAGGAAGGGCGCAGTGGATCGTCACATGCTGAAGACCAAACGACAACGTCCATCAGTTCCGGTCGACAAGACTGACCCGCCGGCATGTGTGCAAGAGCCAACTGCAGCTGCTTCTACAACAGTCACATCACCAACTACACATATCGTACTTCAACCGCCTGGCGTCGGATATCACGGCGCTTCCGCTCACGAAAGCAGGCCCTTAGAAACGGGACCCGACACTTCGCGCGGCGTCATACATGATACAGTTAATCCAGCTATCCAAAGCCAGAGCGCCGATGTCGAAGAGGTAGAAAACCAGATATTGATAAATTCTAACGATAGCCAGCTTCCTCACCGCACACCCGGGCTCATTGAGTCTAGAACAACATGGGAAGAAGTGAAACAAAGTAATTTATGACCTACCCTAAGAGGACGCTCGCTGACTAGATCGGATGAGGTACATGAATCCGCCGAAGGACAAACACGCAAAGTAATAGAAAGCTACGGAAAGTGCCAGTGCAATGAGAAGACAGACAGGCGATGTGATCGCGACTGTACCAACGAAGGAGCTTCTTTCTTGTGCGACGACAAAACATGCAGTATTGACAGGGAAGAATGCCGAAATCGCTGGCTCGAAAGCTGGCCCGGTGAGGAAGACGAACTCAGTAACTATCTTAAAATCCGGGAAAATTCAAGGTTTGGGAAAGAATTATTCTGGACTGGTCCTGAGATCAAAAAAGATCAAAAAAAGCGTATTGCCGAATACAGAGGACAATTAGTCTCCACTGGCGAGCTTATGCATCGAAGAGAGGAACAAGATGGCGATAGTATCACTAAGGTGAGGGCATTCCCACTTCTACGACGAGACCTTCTGACATTCGAAAGGGACACTTCAACTTTGAGGTCAAATCTCTATCAGGGCCTGAGAAACTGTGGCTTGATTCAACATACAAAGGCAGTGCTGCGAGGTTTGCAAACCATAGTTGCAAGCCAAACTGCAACGTAATCGAGTTTCTGGATGGCCATGGCCCCAGGCTGTTCCTCGAAACGGTCGAGCGTATCAAAGTTGGAGACGCCATTACCATCAAATACGGCAGACGGGTTCCTCCAACATCTTTCAGGGTCACGGTTGGTCCAATGAGGCATGATGAACCAGTCTGCTATTGCGATCATGAAACATGCCAGTGGCGGCTGTCTGACGCGATACGCAATTTGGAAACTTGGGTTCAAAAAGTGCCAGAGAATTGGTCTAGAGAAAGAATGGCAGAGGAACCCTTCCCTCGAGCCATTGTATTAAGCCTTCGGGGTGCCAGCCACACAATTAAGGTTCATGATGGAAATTGCGAACTTGGGAATGAGAAGTTAACACTGTCGGATGCTTGCGGTAAGGTCCTGCCTTCTCTTCTGCAAATGCTAGGCCCGACCTTGGATCAGAATGGTAATTAAACTCACGTGCTGGAAAATAATTATTTTTTCTAAGAGCTAATAACTCTTTACCTGGTAGCTGGTGTAAACCTCTAATAGTCTAATAAATAAGATTAATAGCATATTACTTCTGGCACCAAGTTTCTCGGAGCTGGGAAACTCCCAGGGTCACGGTTTGAGCAAAAACATGATATGACTATTTGATGAGAGTATTTAGACTCCGCTGTCCTTTTGAGCAACGCGTTGACAGACCGCGACCATCGCGAATGACGCAAGATTGAATAACTTAGTCTTGCCGAGGAGTCATGTTGGAAGCTTTGTCATGCTTGATCAAGTCAAGAAGACCCCTGCTGGGGAACAGGACGTGCTGAGCTAAACTATCTATAATTGCTGTCGCATCCGAACTCACCAAGAACACCCACAATGTCCACTTGCATCAACGGAGAGCGCCGGACGCCCTTTCCCCCAAGTGGCACCTTCCCTACTCGCAGCCAGCCTTACGGTAGTTTCAAGCACATCGTCTTGGACGTCAAAGCAGGTAATCCAAGGAAAGTCCTTATGCAACGGCTATTCCATCTAGTTCATCCAGCATATCATCGGCACAATGGCGCATTACTTTCAAGAGGGCATCCCGTCAGCGGGAACAGATCCCTCTCCAGCCTAGAATTCTCTTGCTCAGATAGACCAACTAGCTTTCCATACCCTAAAGCAGGAAATCCATGACCCCTAAGATCGCCAGTAGCTTCAACCTAGAACCGTGCATCCTTGGGGAAAACCCTCGCAGGAGAAAAGCCCCAAGGCGGCTAGAACGCTGCTCTGTGGGCGAGGTAGTCGCCTCATTCCACAGTCTCCAGGTAAGCTCTGTACCATTCGACCCGGCGGTTTTGTCAAGTGGTGTCAGCCAGTGAGACAAATTGTCGAAGCCCGGTTGCGTTCCGGGCAGCAGCCGGGGCTGAAAAGAAGAAGAGGGTCTCTGGGCAGTATGCGACTGCAGAGATCGGTTATGCAGCTTCCGAGCTGCAAAAAGGGCAGCGAGCCATGTGGGGCCCGTGCGTCGAGGTGGAAAGAAGTCGCAGATAACACATAGGAAATGGCGCCCGGAGGCGATGTCAAGAGCGCGCGAAGCTCAGTGTCGTTGAAGACACTCGTCACGAAGAAAGGTCAACTCTCTGAATCCGTTTCTTCCAGCAGCTGTTAGGGTCCCGTTAGCCCCACAGTTGCTTTTGCTGCCATTTTGGACTGCAAAAATTCTTTACCCTAGCAAAACGCTAACAGCGGGTGCCCAAGGAAAAAGTTTTACAGGAGAGAGTTAGAAGTGAAGGGAGAGGAAGTGGACGATCTCGCTGTAGGGTAGGGGGCGGTAAATATATGGAGCAGGCTTCATGGTAGTGGAGGCTGATAGTCTCGGTCTACTTGGGCAATAGTTTAGCAAAGTCTGGGTATGGAAGACGCTGAAGAGAGTCCAGATTTGTGAACGAAGCTTTTACGTGAACTTGTGCTTGTGGAGTCATTATTCTCTGCGCTCGCAAGAATCATTGTCGCAGGAATGATGCGGGGGGTGATGAGGGGTTGATGCGAAATGATGCGGGGTGATGAGGTTGATCTTGGATAACGGGGCTGGTGGTCTAAGCCCCTCCATATTACAACCCCACTTGGTGGTGGAGATGAGGCTGAAGGGGACTTACCAGACGAAGAAGTCAATGCCGTATGAGTGCGGTAGTGCTTGCGATGGTCTGTAATTTGTTATTTCTTGTTGTTTGTCGCAAAGATAAGACTTGTCTCACCTATTCCAATACCATCGCGGTAAAGCCGCGCGCCGTTCTATCCTCAGCGCAGCCAGACGCTCTGTATTCGCGCAATTGCCGAGAACAAAGCTCATCAGCCCTACGTCGTTTGCGCCATGTCGGCGTCATTTTTCCCGCCATCTCAACACTTTCCCAGCCCTCAACTATCGCGCGCACTGGTATATCCTCCGCATTATAATCCTCGATCGCCAGCTCTTCAGCGGATAACTTTGTGGGTTTAACCAGTGTTTTGTTGATTGCGCGCCAGATATTGGGTTTAACTTCGTGGTAGTTTGATGTGCAATTCGTGGGACTGGAGCAGTGGCAGAGGACAGGGGCTTTGGGGATAATGACGTCGACTTCTTCGGGTGTTGGAGGGAGGCCTGAGAAGAGAGGCTGGATGGGTATGAAGCCGTTGCCGGCGGATGGGAGGATCGAGTTGTCGAAGGCCATTGTGGTGGGATAATGCTGGTTACTCACGGCGTAGTTCCAACCGTCGTAGGTAGAGCGGTCGTGCGGGGGAGGGTTTATGGGGGGTTGTAGTATTGTAGAGTTGCTTGTTTCTGATGCCGATCTTTGCACTATGATTGGGACTACTCGGTCGTTTGGTGCTGATTGCGACTGCGATTTGGTAGGTCCAGCATAAGCTGGCGACTCGGATTTTGTTTCTGACCGTGGCTCGCTCGTGGTAGTGGCGGAGCTATTATCGCCAATGTGCCGACGAATCGTCGAGCTCAAAGAATCGAGAACCTGTAATAGATTGTCCCTCTCCTTCGTGACCTTGCCTAATTGGTCCATTAAGGTAGCTATCTGAGCATTGGAGTCGTCTTGTCGGAGGTTGTCGACCATGCTCTCCAATTGAGCGATGCGACTCTTTGTTCTCTCTCGCGCCAGGCGTTGGGCCTTGCGATCGAGTTCCCGCTTCTTGAGCCGACGGGCTTCGGCGGTTGAGGTCTGGGTTTCACTATACATGATGATCGCCTCCGGGGGTCATACTTGAAGGCAAAGAGGAAGAGTCAACGACAAGAACCTATAAATCAGTTTGTGGTCGCATACCGGACCGGGATTGGAGAGGGAGAGGAACGGGGCTCAGTCTTAGGGAGAAATTTGGGGGAACAAATAGGGGCTTTTAATGGGTGTTGGATAGTATCTGTGCCTCAAGCCAGGACAAGTGAGCTTCGGTGTTAGGATGATCTGGACGGGGTTGCGGTATTTATATTTTGAAGCTCCCCATGTTGGTGGTTGCCAATCAACCATCTCCCATACATTGAAGAGGATGAGTGGCTTATGCTGCCGTTACTTCAGCCCGCCACCTTGGAGAAGCAAAAGGATGTCAAGAAGATGGGATATGACGACTGCCTTGTTTGTCTACAGTACTACTGCCTTGCCAATCGGGTTGTAGATCACGGCCCGCGAAATGCTCTACCGGGACCCCGGACGCTAACAGCTCCATGCACTAATCTTGTTCCCCGTCTTGTCTTCTCGACCAAAGAACAAACAGGAAGTGACAGAGATCTCCTCAATGTCAACCGAGCGCTTATTGGTCTCAGTGACGTGGCAGCTAGCCAACCCAATTAAGTTGTTTCAGCTAAGCGATTTGCTATGTGGCATCTGGATGTCTTACACTTTGACATAGACCCACAAGCATTTAGGACATATGTCACCGACAGATCGTCTACAGGAGCTCAAGAAGAGCGGGGGGTTCCTCCTTGCATACTTTGTGGGTTCCAAGTGGCCACTTTTTGTCGACGCTAGAAACATCCTCTTCACATGATGCTAACATCCGGCCCATCAGCCTTGTTTCCGTTACCCGACGCACAAAGTGGCTTGATCAGGCACGCACAATTGTCAGCATCTTTATGCATCTACTAGTTGTACGAAGCTGGCGAAGTAGGACTTCCGATAACTTTTCTTCTCCACATCCCCTCCAACGTCACCTTACATCGGGCCAGACTCTCCAGGGTAGGCAATCAACCTGATACGACCTTTGTTATTTTTCTTTTTTTTCTTTTTTTTTTTTTCCCTTTTGAAGGAGGGAAAAACGAGGAATGGGAAAAGTTGATTTATGAACATCTTTGACGAGACAGCTTCACCAAGAGGTGTATGACACTTTTGCCCGATCCTATGCAGTCAATGAGTGCCTCAGAACTATCGTGATATTTTGAATTCTCAGAAGGGGGCTCCCCTCTGTTGATTCAGGTACCGCTAATGGTGCATTAAACGAATGCCTCAGAGCCCGAGTCTTGAACACCGTTTATTTTTACGATCCATCAGAGGGTGTGAGTTTTCGAATACCCTAGGCACGTAGTGCTCGATGGATTTGCGAAAATTTGGTACTGAACCGAAGGTGATGACGAAGCTGATCTCAAGAAGACCGTTCCCTGAGCCAACAGGAATGACTTACCAGGCTTTTTGAGCCCAGTAATCAAGAGGGCCAACCGGGCCACAGCAGCACCCAGTGGGAGTAGGCCAATGCTGAAAAATGCCAGGGGAACTGCTTTCTTCTTCCCTGACAATCTATCCTCATGCTCCTGAGAGTCTCCTATCTATTTGAGTCAAATCTTGCTGCCCAGCGGCTGCTCCGCTCAAAAATTCAATTCAAACTCGATTGATACTAGATTGCTAACAACGCGTCGTAATATCATGTGTGAGAATGACAAGCTGCAAAGGGGGTATTCGCAATCTACATCGAGCGGCACAAGTCCACTTGTAGGGACGTCTGATGGACAGCGTAGCTATAATGAATATATTCTAAGTTATTTACAGTATACTAACGAGAACAGTAGGGGAAAAGGTAATACAAAGAGAAAAAGAGAACCAATCCTACACACCAGTGTGTAAACGGCAAGTCAAGCCTAACCGTTGATCGGCCAGTTTTGTATCCACTGTCTGGTTTGACGGTCGTTCTCAACTATGATTTTGTTGAAGATCTCAAGAAGCCGAGACTGCAAGTCTTCTGGAGGGCTACGGTTCAACTCTGAGAGGCAAGAAACAGCAAAGAGAGTCTGCGCCTGGGCATCCTCATATACATCAGATTCATCCTTCTCTTTTAAGCGGAAACGATGGGTGAAATTCAATACGGTAATGACCTGTCTGATAGATTTAAACAAACAGTCAGGCTTCAGTTTTGAGAGGTTCTGAACATTCAGTTTTTCCTCGCAGGCCGCCATCCGGTGATATAGCGTATGATCAGGCAAATGGCTCATCGACAGCAGTGATTCGGTTTGTGAAATGGCCCATTCTACGCCGTGCTGGTTCTCGATACCATCTTCCCAGGTGCATTTTATACATGGCTCAGCCTTCCTCCTGCCACGCCTAGCCTCGTCTTCCTCTGCGCGAAATAAGAGGTGGCAGGCTCGTAGCAGAGCAGCAAGGTCAACATCATCGCCTTGGTGGGAATCTCTCCTGTTTCTCCAGGAGTCCAAGCTAATGGAGGTCAAATTCGCACATGTCGCAACTCTGTTGTGTCCATATTCGCACAAGGTCAAGTCGTCTGCAGTCTGAACCCCTCGTTCCTCTGGAGGAGTTCCGGTAATTGATTGCTCCAGATCGGAGGTCTCTTCAATTATACCCCCGCATTCTGAGGATGGCGGAGTCTTGAGTTGGTCATATCGGCCGTGTGCTGCCGACTTCTGAGCAGACATGAAGTAAATGTTGGACAGTACCCTTATTGGATCATCCACCAATACATCTTTCACTGAAGCCTGGTATCCCAAAGCGTGGTAGCACTCAATGATATATCGGATGGCTGCGACACCAGCGTTGCGATTTGGCCAGTCTACAATGCTTGTTGTCGTTTGGGGGAAATCTTGAAGTCGACGAACAAAGCTCCAGAACGAAAAATCATCAGGGACTTTCAGGAGATGGTGTTCTCCTTCAAGCTCCCTATAATCTCTCAACAAGGTACTGGACGCTTCACGCGTTCCTACACAAGTGGTTTTGAAGATTTGGTCTTTACTCCTGGCTTCAGGGGCTGGCGGCAACCAAAGGATCCTATCGCTGTTAAGGCCAAACTCGCTACCGAATTGCAAATTCAAGCCAACAATCTTGGGGATATATCTTTGGTAGTCTGATCTGGAACAAAGGCCAAGAGCTTCTACCAGCCATTGGTTGCATGAATTGGGGTTCATGGTCAAATTCAGCCTTCTGGTAGCAGCATGCGCAAGGCTGTCTTGGTGAATGCAGATAAGAACATTGAAAAAGCTTGAAACCTTATCAAGATCTATGTTGGATGGAAACATGTATCCAAGGCGGCCGAATGCTTGTGCAGTGAAGATCAACGCGTGGCTGTCAAGATACTTTAAGGGCCAGTCCAAGAAATTGGATTCATGCGTTTCGTAGTGTTCCAGTACTACCAAGCCACCCCAGACGCTGAATTTTGGCTCGTTGTGATTTGGCCACTTATCTTGCGGACATTGTAGAAGACGGAGACGCTGTTTGGTGAGATCAATACGTTCTTCGAGATTGCGGCTAGGTTCTGGGGACAGCTCGAGTGTCTTTTCCATGCTCTCGAGGAGCTGCAAGGCATATTGTTCACTTCCCAACTTCCGAATTTCTTGGACATGGTGTCCAGGGTCAATAAGGCCTCGTTTCCATGCCTCACGGAGACATATCAGCTTGAGTACCTTCCGGCTGGGCAGCTCTTTGAGAGGCGGCGGGTGTTCGAGTCGGCCAACGTCTTCGGAAACGTTGATGCAGGTCCCTTCAGCATCATCCCACTTGTTGAAAATTGCACTGGCTATCTCGCCTCCGCGAGTCACATGAGATGTAACTTGGGAAGCTTCGAAACAACGGCCCTGGTTGGCCGTGAGGGTACTCCGCGGGATTCTCATGGTAGAAATAAGGTTGCATTGAGCAGGAGACTCGAGATTGTTCTGAACTGACAAAGGTGCAAAATGACTTGTATTTGAAGATTAAGGCTTCAGGCGATAGAGGCTACTAATGCAAGGACAGACAAGGGGGTGGAAGGGGGGGGGGGGGGGGGGGGGGGGTAGCATTATATTTCGCATAACCACATCATGCCCCCCTCCCCTCCCACCCAGCGCCCTACCCCTACCCCCAAATAAAGTTTCATCTCTTTGGGACGACTTCCGAGTCTTCTCCAATATGTCCAGGTGCATCAAACTTCTTGCGGTACAAAAATCGGCAGATTTCAGCAAAAGCAAGCATGGGATTTTCAGCACACCGTATTCTCATTAGTCTGCCAGAGGTTGTGGGTCCATTATGCTTACGATCGCCAAGATCAAAGCGCGCCTGGACGTGACTACCGAGGAAGGCATGAGAAAAGAAGTTGATGCCAACGTCAATACTGAATCGGTACTCCACAATGCCATTTCGTTATGAATATCCGCAACGGTACGATACTCTGTTGCGAGGTGTCACCAAGACTCCATCCCAGAACATGGTTCCCGTGCGGCTATCAGCAGATGCTCTCGCGTGGCTCGTCGGGTCTAGGGTTGGTAAAAGTTTGAACCTTCAACGATCCAACCCTTCTCGATTTGAGCATGACAGAGAGGTGATGTGGCATGGAACCGAGGATAGTTGGTACTCATAAGCAGTGCCTGCCAGGTTCCCTTTTTCGGATTGCCAAGGAACTTTCATTCTTTTAGCACAGGTCTGGGGTTCGCTCCAAACTTTATTATGCCGACACAATCTTCTACTCAATCCCCCACATGCTGAATTCGCCTGGAAGGGTGTTAAGTAATCCATCAGACTGTATCAGGTGAAGTTCACTGGCATGGAGGATGTGTATGTGCAAGACAGTCAATCGCGTAAGATTCGGCACATGGGCGTTGCCTGCGCGCCTCAGGGTCAAAAACGATAGGCAGCTAGTCTTAATTCTATGAATCATCTCGCAACGTCAATGTGCATATCTAGGTAGTGTAAAGGTCTTGAGTGTATTCTCTATTGAAATCATAGTCATCGTCAGATCGTTCCAAGCTTTCATCTCAAGCTTTCATCTCAAGCTTTCGCTTGATGCCTTAGCATGACTGTTTCTGTTCCTTGCATACCACAATGTTCACCTTCTCACTACTGTTACAGTGGCACTACTCCCGCGAACTCGTCCGGTCGTTGGATGAATCCCAACTCTGCCAGGAGACGCATTCGTGCCTCATGTGATGGTTCATGTGATGGTTCCTGGTGATGAGAAGCACGGAGCGGGAGTCTTTTTCGATGTCGAGCACTCTCTCGAACGTGGTCGATCGTCACAGTTCCTCTGGTTTGGCGTGCCCTTTCCTTGTACCTGACGTGGGCGGCCGCACGACCACGGTATGCTCACCGACTGCTCTACCTTCACAATTCCAAGAAGCGGTAGAATTCTGGGCCGTGAAAGAGGACAGATCAAGTTATCTATTAGTAGATTTCGGGCTAGCAATCACTGCCTGCGTATATCTCAATGCTTAGTCTCTGCTCCATAGCAATCCGACGATGCTATCAGCCATACATTTTTACACCACGGCAGAAATGGGAAAGTTCACCACCCTTTAGAGTGTCATCCGTCGCTGGCCTCCTTGGAAAAGTATTGGTTCCAGCTGATCGTATTTACATCCTCGCTCGTCTTCATGCAAGGCTTCTCATCGTACTGCTTCAAGTTGGCCATATCGTGTGATGTATGTCATCGCTTGAGGACAGCATTTGCTGTCGACGACTTCTGTTGTCGCTCCCAAATGAGATGGCGTCGAAGAGACTCGGTCAACTCAGTCTCCAACATGTTGCGACGAGTGGCGCGAGATGACAGCGCACCTTGAGGCTGAATGTGGATTGGGCCTGTCATGATGGGCTGAGCGTTGGATCGAGGAACCTCATGGATTGGCTTGAGTCTGGGACCACGCATGCCGTTCATCATGAGGGGAGCCTTATCAGAGACATTAGGCGAGACACCGTGTGAAGGACCCATCGCCGTACGAGAACAGAGAATGCCGATAATTTCGCTGAGCATTTTAGGCTCGGACGTGGTCAGTCTTTAGCCCCCTTAACGTTGCGATGCAACAGCTAACAAGACCAGGCTAAGCATTGCGGCAAACGACTCCAATCCTAGCATAATTTATCTGCTATAAATGGATTTAATCACGACTTTGTCCTACAGGCCCTGGAAGATGTATCCTGTAACTGTTCCCATGCATGAAGGCATCAACCAGGTGCCAACAACTGAAACTGTTGACAAGCAGCTTATTCATGGAAGCGTTTGAAGTCCTAGGATCAACTCCCAGGAAAATTCCAGAATCGCAATAGTAATTTAGCAAGTTTAAGTATTCAATCATATATGGAGAGGTTGATTGTGTACGAGATCGAGCGTTCGCATTATCAATATAAGCTGAAAATAGTCGAAAATAGTCCTGTATTGTTGGGAAATAATAATTAGGGTTGCGCTGAGTTGCCTGATCCACGGTCGATTTGCATTAATTTCCGTGTAAGATGAAGACGGGACCAGAATATGGAGTCGTCACCCTGCCAACAAGCTTGCCTTCACATTACGCTATGCTCATTGGTCCTTCTATTATGTCCCACCTTTCATCTCAGCCACGAGGTCATATAGCCTCACAATGTCCCAAAAAGCGGCCAAGTCGGTCGCTATCCCGAAACCGACACAAGCCAGAGGACAAGAGAGGTAATTGAGAGGCTGGTCGACAGCTTTTGGCTTCGCGTTGCATCCCCATTTGAGGACCAAGAAGCACCAGTGGACCAAAGATAGCGGACTGATCTTATAAAACAGCAGTATCAAAAATACCTTCTTTCTCTAGCTAATTAGCTTAAATCTTAGGTACCTCTGCTTATCTAGCTATGCCACCTTGAGGTTCGTATCTGTGGCGTTGACCAAGAGCCAATCAATACCGGAGCAGGCCAAATAAAAAACGTCACTGGTGCTTCTTGGTGATTGGCGAGGCATTTCCCCAACAAGGTTCAACACTTGGGATTACCTCATCTGCAGTGGCTTCATACTCACAATAATGGCATCTACATTTTTGCGGATGCGATGACCCTGAATAGCAGCAGGATCGAGTGTCATATGGACAGCCGAGGCTATAAAGGTCGGTTGTACGGGGATGTCGACAGTGAGGAGCCCGGATTATCGAGATTCAAAGCAGGCGCGAATGGTTGCCATTGTGACGGCAAAAGTTTTCGGCAATAAAAACGCACCGGAAGAGGCAGAGTGTAGGGTAACATTCTATTACTGCCGAGGTCAAGGCCTATCGTGACGTCTGATTAGCCGGAACTACAGGGCCTGAGAGAATTTGCGCCGTCCATTTATCAATCGAGACAATTTGCTTTCTGCTTCCTAATCTGGTTAGCAGAGATAGGAGGGAATAAAATCTCTCATCGGGAGCAAAACATAATACTGTAAGTGAGTGACTCACAAATTAATCTCGTGAGCGCATTGTTTGAAGAGACTAACCCCTCAGCGGGGAACTTTTCTTTTCCATGGCAGTTGGGCTTTACCTATGTTTGGGAAACCCTTGGGGGGATCATCCGGGACAATGTTAAGACACCTAACGTTTAAACGCCAATAAAAAGTCTGCATTATGCTGTTTGAATCGTCTGACCTGTTAAAGGGGATGCTGAATGTGACCAATGGATATGTCGTACGTGACCATGCTGGAAACGTGGAAAGCTTTTGTGTCGTTAGCAGACTTGCATCACCCTTTCACAGACGTTGTCAGTGTGTATGTATATTTTTCGTCCGGGGGGCCGTAGGCCCCAAAAAGTCTCCTAATGGAGCACAGGACGTGCTGGGCTAAACTATCTACAATCGCTGCCATGCTGATTCTCGCTCGGATCATCTGTAAGGCCTCTTGGATCGGAGCCGTATACATGCTCGAGCGTTTTCTGTACTCATTACCTCCAAGAGGCACCTCTCTACTCGTAGCCAGCTCTCCGGTAGTTGTCGGTGAAGCACGTCCCATGGACATCAATACAGTTGATCTCAGCAGAGCTTCCCCCCAGCAACGCTTCTATCTAGTTCATCCAGCATATCAGCGGGAGCTATTCCTCTCCAGCTTAGAACTCTCTTGCACAGATAGATCAAGTAGCTTTCCATACCCTGAGGCAGGAAGTCCACGATCCCTTATGATCGCCAGTAGCTGCAACCCTAGAACCGTGCATCCTTGGGGAGAACCCTTGCAGGAGAAAACCCCAAGGCGGCTAGAACGCTGCTCTGTGGGCGAGGTAGTCTCCTCATTCCACGGTCTCCAGGTAAGCTCTGTACCATTTCGACCCAGCGGTTTTGTCTAGTGGTCTCAGCCAGTGAGACAAATTGTCGAGGCCTGGCGGTGTTCCAGGCAGCAGCCGAGGCTGCAAAGAAGAAGAGGGTCTCTGGGCAGTACGCGACTGCAGAGATCGGTCAAGCAGCTTCCGAGCTGCAAAGAGGGCAGCGAGCCATGTAGGGCTCGCGCGTTAAGGTTGGGACACCAAAGGGCTCAGAAAATCGAGCAGCTAACGGCTGCTGGTGTTGTTCAGGCAGTCAAAGCTGTAGTAGTCGGTCGAGGCAGCATTAAACTGCAGGCAAAGGCGAGGGTGAGGGTGCGATGACCCTCAATGTCAAGCAGCAGGATGCTGTAAATGTCATCTGGACAGCTGAAGCTGCAGAAGTCGGTCGTACGGGAAGTCGAGGGGCACAGAGCCCGGAATGTCGCAGGCTCGCGAAGCCGAAATGTCGAGGTGAGAAGAAGTCGTAGATAAGACAAATGAAATGGTGCCCGGAGGCGATGTCAAGAGCTCGCGAAGCTCAGTGCCGTTGAAAACACTTGTCACGAAGAAAGGTCAACTCTCTGAATCCCTTTCTTCCAGCAGCTGTTAGGGTCCCGCTAGTCCCGCAGCTGCTTTTGTTGCCATCTAGCAGAACGCTAACAGCGGGTGCCAAGGAAAAACTTTTACAGGACAGGGTTTAGGGAAAAAATTGTTACTGAAGAAGAGGGGCTGTGTAGGGTAACCTTGCCACTGCTACTGTGGCAATCACCCGACGCGACGTCACAGCCAATAATTTGCCAGCACTGCGGGAAATATTCTGGGTAATCGCATCTGCAACAGACAGTCGAGCGTCCCGATATGTAATAAACCAATTGAATGCAGGTTACTTAAACGCAAGATGGTTCGTGCCGACCCGTGTATGCATCTCAAATGCCAAAAGCATCTAACCATCGCTGATTTGTTCCTGATTCCGATCAGCCACGATAGGTTGTCCATTGGACCGCGTAGAACAAATCAAATCATTCGCCCATTCTTGTCCATTTTTCACCTTTCTGAATTATTATGGCTACAACCAACTGCTCTATTACATGCGACTGCTGTAAGGAAGTATTTACTTCAATACATGACGCGAGAGCGCATTTAGATGGTCTTTGGGTAAGCCATTAATCCAATCACGGCCGAATGTATTGATGTTCTCTAACGTTAGGTAGAACCATGTCAAGTCGTTTGAAAATAAGCTTTTGGATCAAATGACATCTTCGGAACCAATTTCTGCCCCAGCACGTAAAAAGCGACGTCGCTTGTATCTGAAGCCGAAACAATGCGATGAATGTAAACAAATACTCAAGGGCGAAGACTCTCTGAAGCGACATGCTCGGACACGTATGACTTCACGACTAGGCGAGATTGACTTGGAAATCGAGCTAATTCCACTAGATGATTCTTGGAATCGGCCCTGTGATGAATGTAACGCGACACATGAGTTCGCAAGTGCATATATCTCACACAAATGTACTGATGGAAGGAAGCCTGATAAGGGCACGGAAAATACCCGGGAACAATTTGTGGAAGACCGGTTGCATCAGCAACATCAAAATGAGACCGCAATAGAGGCCATCTCTATCAGGGCAACAGCGACAACCAAGCCAATTGAGGCGACCGAGGTAGCTGGAGCGATTGAGATAAATAACGGAAGCGTAGAAGGAGTTCCATATCAAGAGTCATTAGATGCAAACAACTCCCGACAATCACTATGGCAAAACGATTGGGACGCTATACAAGATATATTGTTTGATCTGGAAAACTAGCGCTTATTGTTACTTCTTAGTACCAAAAACTATTGCGCGACCATTTTCTAGTCGATGTCCTAGTACCGGATCAACGAAGAGGCTGTTGTTTGTTAGAAGACTGCAGCAAGGTGATAGGTGATATCTTACACGCCGCCTTTTCCTGAGTCGAATTCCTTTCTGCTAAAGCGATCTGCATCCTCACGAGAAAGATGGAAAGCATGGTCATCATCACACATGGTGTCAAATTCACGACAATGAGAGTCCTCAAGACATACGAATTTGGAGTGTGGCTCGAGTAGATATATGACCATACCAGGTTTTACTGTAGAAGGGTTGTCCCAGCAGTAGAAGTCCTGAACCGTACCCCAAAGATGCTTGAACTTGGTCACTTTGGGGTAACAAGCAAGTAAATCTTTGGCCGACTAAGGATGTTAATTATTGTGATTTAGAAGTAATATGCCACTCACCTCATTTGACAGAAGATCATCTTTGAAAAAATGGTGATCAACCTGGCCGGCGCGACCTTCCTGGTATAATCTTGCAACCTTATCTCCAATCTCCGTTATTGGTTCGAAGAAATATCCAACTCGATTAAATTTTTCGACTGAGGATTTGATGTTCTTATCATCCTTCGGGTCAGATTGTTCTGGTGAAGGCATCTTGAGCGGGGTAGAGTTTGACGTCATTGAACACAACTTTGGGTAAGAAAAAGCTTTCAGGTGCTTAATTTATACTGAGTGGATTTATGCACTTAATGAATGCTTTTCTAAGCACCCTCTGCGGCATTTTATAGCCTTCGTTTGAACCTTACATTCGTGCTTTATACCCCAACAGCATCAATATCAAAGATCTTCTAGTATGTGCTTTTCTTCACGCGGTCAACCGGGAAACCACTGATTAGATTACAGACCGATTGATTACAATATAAAGACGATGTCAGAGTCCGATATATGTCAGAATCCAGGATGCAAGGATGGTTGGATTGATGGAACGCGTCGATGCACTCTGTGCAATCCTAAGTAAAGCTGACGAAAGTGGCTATGGTGGGATGCATATCATCCGGCGTGGGTGATCTTCTATCGCCTGCAGATAGTCAGTCCAGGCCTGTATTGAATTTTTACTTTTTTTGATTTAAGCCCCAAGAATGTGTCTTAGGTATGTGGTCATATTAGTTGTTGGCAGGTGTTGGCGGGTATTGGCGGGTGTTGGCAGGTGGTGGCAGGTGTTGGCAGGTGTTGGCAGGTGTTGGCAGGTGTTGGCAGGTGTTGGCAGGTGTTGGCAGGTGTTGGCAGGTGTTGGCAGGTGTTATGTAGCGTAAGAGGTGGGATGGCCACTTTTAACAGGGGGCTTATGCCACCGCTCATCTCGACTCCACCAGAATATGCAAGGGTGTTGGCCTGGAGAGATCAGCGACAGACCCTTGTTACTGGCATCCGCACCCTTGTATCTTCAGCCGCTAATCTTAGAACGTGTCTCCGATCAGCCTAATACAAACCTGGTACTAGCGCCCCCACAACGAACTTCAAGAACACGAAGTTGATGAAGTCGCTGTCAAGGAACTCCAGATGTTTTTTTATGTGTAGTATACGTGTATTTATAATAAAGAGAAACAGATCAAGAGAGGATGAGAAGTGTATTGTAAGAGATCATCAGTCTCGTTTAAGCAAAGCACGTATACAGCATCGTGAGCGACCTTTCGGGCGTTCTCTCTAGACCCCTGCGAATGCAAGGTGCGCAATGCAGGCTCGAGACTGGGAAGTAGTTGCAGGGTACGAGAGAACGGAATGTAGCCATGGCTGACTTGGATGGCAACGTTTTGGTAGAGGATCGACAGCCGTGTCAGGGTAGACGACTAGGAACTGCTCAACGGGGATGCAGATAACATCTCCAGGTCTGGGCTATCGCAGCTTCACCGGTCCGCAAGCTGTGTGTCGCTCATCAGGACATCAGAAAAAACAGAAAATAGTCCCAGCTTTTGATTTTATCTTGTCATGTCAATACTTTGAATGACCTGAATTACAGTCTTCCCGTATTGCCGCCCTGCAATACGATCACTACTCTACCAACGCATCGACCACCTGTCAACCCGCATGAAGGAAGGGTACCTAGCTCCTGAAGCGGAGAAATGGAGCGTTACGAGAAGCGACGTCTCAGTGCGAAATCTAAAATTGCCAGAAAGCTTCAAATTACCTCTGAAGAAGTTCAAACAGCATTTCCAAGTGCTGGCCTAGACTTTCTGACGTCTATCCTGGACATAAGCCACCAGGTCAAAGATTGGAACACCATTCTCGAAATACTAGACCAAGCACGTCAACTTCGGTATAACAAAAAACCTGAGAGAGTTAGCCAAGTTGCCGAATGGACTCCCTGGGATGCTAAGAGAGCCAAGGACATAATAGCCCAAGCCATTACAGCTCGTAGCGACTCTACCACCATCAGCAGCACCGCAGTTGGGACCAGCGCTGCTCAGACTCAGTGCTATTCGAGCTCGACAGCGATCTCTCTATCTGATGAAAACGTAAATACCTCTGGGCAAAGAGTTCACGTCATATTCTGCGGCGTGTCGCGGTATCGTGACCTTGTCGAAGAGAATTCGGACTTTATAAGCATTCAGATCGATCCTGCTTATAGCTCTTACGGTGATAAACTTCTCCAGCGTTTCACTCTAGAGTATCTTTGCGAACTCGAACGTACCCTTGGACGTGGTCTCGTCGCGAGTGTGGCTCCTGATGCATCAAGCCAGGAAGAGCACATCGCAGATCCCAATAGTCAGCACCAGTACCAGTTCGTGGTACATCAAACCGTTGTAGCCATGATTGCCGCTGAAAACACTGGACTTGTCTCCCTAGAACTTCATGGCATGAAATGGGTGTCAGATATGGTGATGAAACACGGATTTGCTAGCCATGTGGCGGACGTTGCTGCCGAAAAGGTCGTGGTGTTTGCACCATGGGATAGCGATTATATAAGTGACAAGATCACAGAAGACTTCTACATGCAAATGCAAGAAGCCACCGCATTCCACAGGAACTTAAGCCTCTATCCGTCCCGGGACGAGAACTACGCAGAAGGGCATAAGCTTCTCGACATTGCTGCCCTCGACGGGATCGCGCGACGTCCAGGAACTCCTCCCAAGTTCTCCTTTCGACCACGGACTTGCTATGGACACGGAAAATGCACCATGGCCGACTGGTCAGGCACTATGGTAGTCAAGCGTACATTTAGTAGTGGAGCAAAGGATGTTTACATCGATTCCTGCGAGAAGCCATCTATGTGGAAAAATCTTGCATGCACTGGGCGCAATCCAGAGCTGAAGAGAGCGAAACCACAACGCAGAGTCACTTATTTTCACCAAGAATACATCAAGAGCCTGGATGACTTTGGCGAAATTCGCGTGATGATGTGCGGGGACGACATAATAGAAGTTTCCCGTACTCAATGGATAACAACAACAACTCGAGATAAGCCTCGTCGGAAGCTTCATGCTAGGGCATTCAATCTAGATGATGATCTCTCGTGGTTTTCTAGTGATCCAGAAGAACGGAAAGGAAAATACTCTGAGCTGGAGGCATTTTGTGTGTTCTGGCGTCGAGCCCTTATCGAGTTTTTTGAAGTGACGAGGAATTTTGAGTCTGCTCGCGTTGGATTGAGGCTGGATATCGGCATCTCACCTAATGGCGACTTTTGTATTAATGAGTTTCCTCGTTGGTTTGGCGCGAACTGGTTTAGCGAGCAGATTCGTGGCCCCGGATCGACCGAAATTGCTAGAAAATGGGGTGAGAGACTTGCTCAGGAGATATCACGCCGCTGAATTGTCCTCTGAATTGTGATGACAGGTGTTTTGAGTTGTTAGAGCAGTAATATTTATCTGGACTTATCTGGACTTATCTGGACTTATCTGGACTTATCTGGACTTGTCTGGACATCTGTTATTAAGATATCCAATTGAAGCTTGACCTTCTTGTAAGGTACTATACCTCGAAGATGGATACTCGGCTCGAATTTAATTCTTATGGATAGTGACCAATTGCCCTTTATATCGTCCGTCCATTTGACCGTCGACTTGAGACTTATTTTAATGAGTGTCAGGAACTCCACTCTACACTCGGTGCTTGTAACATGCTAGATCCCTTGACTCTCTTACTCTGGTTCCTATAATAGGACCCTGTTTTGTGTCCCTAAAGCCAATGCTTCTATTCCCGCAACAGGCAAAATAACATAGAGTTGACATTGTGCCAAACGACCAACCACTGCATAAATTTCCTAAACATCTCACCGAACGGTCGAGTCATATGCATGTTCTGGCCGTCGGTGAAGACATCCTTCCAATGCCCATACATATGCTCGCACCAATCTTGCAGTTGGATAAAAGGATAGTGACGACCGCATTTATATCGAGTGCAATGCAACTCGCCCAAGCCATATCCATTTCCCCATCCAGCCTGCCATCAAGTTAGAAGCCTTCTGCCGCTGTTTCGGAAGATACTTACCACAAACTGACAAATTAACATCTTAACGATGAACTCGTCTGGCAGGTTTTTGTAAAGCCATGATAGTAGTGGAGATGCGAACCCTTCCGGAAGCTTATTTCGCAGAAGCTCCACGGCTACTTTATGGTTCAAGTCCAACTCATGAAAAGTGTCAACATTGAGTCAGAAGAGGGGTATGAGACCTATGTACCTTAGCTTGGACGTCGCCAGTGATCTTGTCAGTGTCGTCTGTTGCAGTGTCGTCATCTGTGTCATCTGTGTCATTTGTGTCGATATAGAGTACAACATAGCCAAGCAACATAGATTTATCAACTTCTTTCCCCATCATGGTCAGGAATGCATGCGTGATCTGCAGGTATAAAAGTTGGGAGGAGTTGGTGAGTATATACTGTTCGCAGGTAAGGTGAAGTATATGGCCAGGGAAGAGAAGGGAACACCAATTAATAAGCGCAACATTTCCCAGGAACGATATGAGCTTAATTATTATGCCAATCACAGTTCATCCACCATTTCTATATACCTAAAGTGTGACAAGACGGCAAACGCGTAGGAAAAAGACGTTCCCGTCTGTCAGCGATTTGATTCAGCTTCGAGAGAAAGGTCGACACGAGAATGTGATGATCGGATTCATGTCTTCAGCTTTACAAGATGGCGTCTCCACACACCCGTCATGTTGCTCAAATCGGCTAATATCTCCTTTGTGTTGTGCGTACATGGACTAGGGATGGGCCTGCTGAGCATGCCTGCTAGAGCTGATAAGGGCTAGCGGAATCTGTCAGGGGTCATAGCGACATAAGGTACTGTGACACCATAGTGTACACATGGCCGCCTCGACCCGCCCCCACGACGCTAACCGTCCGGTGCGACATCCTTGTTCTGCATCCCCAATTTGCGAGACAGTGTACCCAAGTAGGAAGAGCCCCCCTGCCGCGGTTGTTGGAACTAAAAGGTAATTGAAGGCACGGACTAGCAGCTGCACATCCGGCGTCTAGTGCGTTCCGGGACGTCACCTTACCTTGTGGGGCGGAAGTGCATGCGTAGCTAATGGTTGCATGAACCAACCGACAGACCGCGATCGTGGCATATTTTATTGGTGCAGTAGAGAGGGTTAACACGCCCCGGCACAGTCACAATGCCTTGGCAGCCAGAGTGTGCGTAATTCCTATCAGAGGAAGCCGATAGAGGACAGGGGACACTGGCTTCTTAAAAGAATGTGCAACCCAACAAGGCAATCGGTGGATGGCCTCATCGACAGTGGTTCGCCTGAATAGCCCATCGTTTCGCGAGGACCCTGCATTTGTCAATTGATTTCGAAATGAATGTGAGTACATCCCAACCACATTCTCAAGCCCATCAATTTCTATAGCCATGTTTTCCGCCTCTGCCTGGCAATCTGCATCACCCTCCTCACCCTCCTCCAAGCCCTTATCAAAATTATCCTCCTCAACCTATCTCTCATGTCCCAGCTCGGCATCACGATACCAATCGTCACCATCATGAACCAGATCCCTGCCGGCTTGTTCAAGTCTCTTACCGACAGCAACAGGAACAGCAACGCCCACCTGTACCTTCGCCTCTTGGCGCATATACACATAGTTCACCACAGCCCAGTAATTGCACAGGTGCGCCTCTTATCTATCAGTCGCCCTACGAGCAACGTCCAGGTCTCCCTCTAGGCACCAAGCCCTTCTACATTCCACAGGACGCTTCCTCCAAGAAGAAGAACTATCGAGCTTCCCAGGTATGAAAGAGCCTTTTATGACTTGAACATGCGCAAGTTCTAACCGGAGTCAGGCATGCGACAGCTGCCGGCAGCTGAAGGCCAAGTGCGACGAGACGAAGCCATGCGGAAACTGCAAAGAAAGGCGAGTGGATTGCAAATACCGCGACCCGGTGCCCAAGGCGTAAGTTTTGTGAAACTTTTCATTGACTTGGAAGCAACAGCTAAGTATGGTTAACAGGACGGATAAGGCTCAAGCCGACATTCTAGAAGGCCTCGGTTCGGTTCAGACTTCGCTGAAATCGATCATGCCGTATCTGGGGCGACTTGATCAGAGATTGATCAACGTGGAGTCCCTCTTGCCTAAGCATATCGCGACTCTAGGTCCTAAGACGGAACCGTCAGTGGAGGACGAGTACAAGCGTGCGCCAGCATCGCCTTACTTTGTCAACGGCGGTTCTGTAGACCCGTACTATAATGACGCCCATCCCGACCACCCATCATCGGAGCCAATGCCACTGCGTATGATGGCCGAAGATGCCATGGAGGTTGAACCTGGCCCACCCGTGGCCCCTGGAGAGCCCGCGATTCCAATCAACCATACGACTTTGGCAGGCCTGCTGTTGGAATGGCCTTCGATTCGTGAGCTCACCAAACACCATGTTGAGCGCGAAGGTGTCCGATACATCAGCGAATATCCCATCAGTCAAGAACAGAACAGAGGCGTTCTGATCGTTTTTGGCCGAGGTGAAGATTCTCACCCATCGCGACGTGTTCGAGAACCGACGGACCATGATAACTTGGACATGGCGGACGATTCATCCAATATGGTATCTCCTTCGCCAGCATATAATTGGGGCCAGCTTGGTGGACTGAGCCCTCCAGATCAGGTGGAATACAAGGGAGACGCTTTGGTCGATAGTAACCCCGATTTCTCTGAGCCGAAGGTGTGGACATACGTGGAGAGTTTCAAGGGAAACATTCTCAACATGCACCCTATCATTCAGCCCAAGCTTTTGGACTATTGGGTCAGACACTTCCTGGATAATCTTCCAGCATTGCATCCTCATCCAGCAACGTCACAACCCCCCAAGTCCAACTTTGTCGTTGCAGGAGGCTCGCAGACGTCACAGGCTACAGGCTCAAAGAGAAAGCGATCGCCAGGGCCGGACGGCTCCGAGTCACCAATACCTGCTCCACCTCGCACTGCTCGACCAGATCGATCCATCCATACTGCCCTGGTTCTCACAGTTCTGGCTTTGGGTAAAGTGTGTCTTCACCGCGATAATGTGCCCGATGTCGTCCATCCTACAGAGCCTCCTTCTCATGACAGCCCAGTCATTGGCAATGGAGCCATCCCGCCAAGGGCCAATCGATGCTCTGGCCCAGCATATTCATCGCACTCGCACTCGCATTCATCAGGTCTGCCCTCACCACAGGCGGAAGCGGGCGAGAACCCTGACAACTGCCCATCAATCAGTGGCGTGGGTGCTTCCGGCGCTGGTCACATCTCCAAGGAAAACTGCGAGGTGATTCCTGGCTTAGAGTACTTTGCATATGCTACGGATATCCTTGGCAATCACACTGGCGCGTACAACAACATGGAGGACGTGTACGCCAACATCTTTGCTGGGTTATATCATGGCCAGCTGGGTAGACCAATGGAGAGTTTTGCTTTCATTAACAGGGCCAGCCACAAGCTGCAGGTCATTATGCGACCGTAAGTATTAAGATCTTCAATAAAACACAGGTGATGAGTGACTAACAAGATGCTAGGAGCTTGGACAAAATGAGACGAATCAAGCGCAACAGCGAGTTCATTCAGGAAACCAAGTACAACCAACTTGCTCTCGCATTCTGGACTTGCCTGCAGCTAGAAAGTGATCTTATTGCAGAGATGCAACTCCCTCCATCAGGACTGCTCTCGCACGAAGGTGATATGCCGCAGCCCAACATGAGTCTCTTGGAAGGGTTCGACCAGCGTATCTTGGACAGCTACCTAGGCCAGCTGTATCTGCGGACTCATCTGAACAGCATCCACCGAATGTTCTACGCCCCTGAAGATCCGTCTAAGCCAGGCAATCATAAGTTCCGAAATGTCGACGTTGTTTCTAATGCTGTCTCGGGCATGCATTGGGTCGCCCCCAGCTTCGCATTCAGAGAGGATGACCCACCCGCAGGTGATATTCTGGCAGCAAGGTTGCGGGCCAAATATTGGGGAGCCCAGGTGATTACTTATCGCCCGTTCATCGAACAAATTCTGCAGTTCTCGCACTCCATCAAGAACCATGCATCGAGCCCCAACTTTCCCAGTGTCAGCTCCGAGTTTCGACAGGATGTTACGGCGCCTGTCATTCACCCCAAAGCCAGAACGCACGGCGATATCGATCCTCAAATTGTTGAGTTGGCTAAGAAGGGCATCAAGGCGCTCATTGAAAGCACCCGTGCCTTCCACGGTCTAGGAGACAAGAGGCCGATTATCACCAATGTTTTCGGCACAGCTCACGCGTAAGTCTTTTTTCCCCACCAACTGCCTCCACCTCAACTGACCACCTTGCAGGCAATGGGGCAACCTGTTAATCTTATCAGCTGCATTCCGTGACCCAATCCTTCGCACTTACGTGGATAAAGAACTCCTCGGAACACTGTTCCACAAGACGATGCAGTTCTTGCGACGAGTGCACTTCGAACGGACATGCATATTCTCGAAGGCCTACAGAGAGATCTTTTCAGCTATGATCATCGGACCAACTCAAACTTCTCGAGCGGCACAAGCGCGCCTGGCCACCATACTCCAAAGCCTGTTTCCATGGCTGCGCCGCCTCAGATGCCTCATTCAACGGTCGATCAAGGATATCCACGATCCATGCCTCACTATTCACATACGAACCCATTGCTCCGGCAGTGATAGGGTCGAAGATATTTCCCGCCGGGACTTGGAGATCAGTCCTGATGACTCTCATTATCATCTCATCATAATCATCATCATGACATGGCGTTTTGTAACTGTTTCATTTGCGCCATAAGAGACCACGAAGGAGTGCCATTGTTCTAAATGAAGGGTGTCTTCTGTTTCCACCAAATTTAGAACGGATCAAGGGGTCCCGCCATGGCACTTGCTATTTTCTTTCCTTCTCTTTCTTATCAAGGTAATTTCGCGCTACTGTACTTAGAATGAATGCTGAATCTTTTTTCTCTCTATACATAAATATGAATGTGCGGCTCCTGAAAACGGACAAGCCGTCCATCCGATTACATTGATCCTCACACCCTGTCCGTCAGTCGGCCTCAACCGCCAAGACGTGACAAAATAGCACTGCAAAACACATTGAAATCACGCCCAGTCCGCGCGTGAATGCCTTACACTGACTCGGCCGAGGAGCCTTCGACACAGTCTCAAGCACACTGCGTGCAAGGTCGGCATAGATGCAACTTGCAATATGTGCATTCCCAAATCATCCAATGGGGACCAGAGCGACAGTGTTGGCAAATCCACTGGACCAGAGTATTGTCTGATTTGATCATTCGAAACTGGTGGGCACAAGCGTTGGCCATGTTGTCGGCAGAAGCAATGGCTTGTGTGTCTTCTAAAGGAGGTTTACAATGCTAAGGAGATGATATTTGGTAATGTGGAAGCCGTTCAAGTTCAGGCGTGGTTGAATATCTTTGTGTTGCGGGAATAAGATTAGCCTCCAGTACAGAACATTACTCGTCATACTCACATAAGGTGATGCAGGAGGCAACGTGATAGTGACCTTAGGAGAAGCTCCTTGACACTTCCCCGATAGTGTGATAAAATATGAAAGCGAGTCGTTGATTCCTCAGTATCTAAGTAAGCCGTTAGGAGCTTGTACAGATGGGATTGTATGAGAGGAAGACCGAAGCCCGGAAGGTATGACGCAAGCATCTCTGAAGAAGTGATCAAGTATAAGGGGGATTCACAATATTTTAACCGAATCAAAAAGACAAGCGATTCCGAACAAGCATCAACGTTCAACGTTGTTGTCTTCAGGCGGAGTCGTAATATAGAGTCTGGTGATATGTCATTGGTGAAAGTCGTCGAGCGGTAACCAGGGTGGCTAGGAACGAGGATCGAGCAACAAGGTGGTAATGTCGGAAAGGGGGTGCCAATGGCGAATCGAGCATCACGGGAAGGAAAGGAGGAGAAAGAAACGAATAGAACAAGCAAGGTTGATCTCGAGTCAAGGATTAGGGTGAAAGCGACCAGGCCATGGATGTTTGGATGGATGGAAGGACAAGGATGATACTGAAGTCTACGTTTGACTTTGGAATGAGCTATTGGAGCCCTAAATGCTTTACCTGTTGTGGCAGCCAAGACTAATGACACAGTCATCTCACGACAACATGAGGGTTCATGATCGTTCATGTGAAAACACCAAGCCTTGAAATTTTGTCAATGCTATTTGAGTTCCTCAGTAATTGTCCAGTTCCAATAAAGCCAAGAGCAGCGCATCGTCGAAATTGCCCGCCGTATTGATCAGTCACAAAGACCTCTATTGCCTGTTCATCTAAAGCGTGTTCGTTGCTTCTCGTCTCTTACGGTGGCATATTAGTACCCCCCCACCAACTTTCGTGGGCTCAGTTCACCCGCTTACACGACTTGAAAGCACGGTACGCCGGGGCTCCACAATACACCTTAGGGGTTGCTACTCCGTTCATTGTGGATGCAGCGGCCAATATATCAATGCATGTGAGCGCTGTCACGGTTCTCAGCACTCGCGCTCCGCTCGATCTCTTTGCACAGCCAGGATAATTCATCGGGGAAGTGGCCGATCCATCCGTCGCCGCCGGGACCACCGGCCGGTCCTTCAGCTGAAGGCCGGATTCGGGGTCGCGCCGTAAGATGATACGTCAATTCCGCCACTGTCAGTGCTCTTACCCCCTCCACCTTAACCCCACATACCCCGTTAGGTGTGTAGAGATGCCCCGCGCGTACCTGCACATTACGGGCGACAGATCTCGGGTCAAACAATGACGGAATGTTCCTTTGTCTTTTGATAGCATGTCTTTGAATAGTATGGAGCATCAGATAGACAATTGAGCACGCGGAGATGAACCAGCATAAGAGGTCCACAGAGGAGTTTGGTTGAAACGACCATAGTGCGGTCAGCCCAGAATTCATCCATCTTGTTGTGCAATCCTTAACCGACAGCTTGCCCAATGCCTACTACTTCGACCCTCCTCCACATTGAGGATGAGGCAAGCACTTGGCGACTTATCCGCAGTCCACTCTCAGTCGCGACCGCTGGCCAAGCCTCTCAGTCTGGTTTTTGTCAACCTTGCAACCTCAAACGTTATAAGGGGCAGTTCCCCAGTCAAGTCTTCGTATTCTCGTAACAGCTGTCTGCATAATAAGCCGCTCAGTTGTGCTTCAGCTATAATCTATCCCTAAGCACCTGTTTTTGCTTTCAAGAGAACCTCTTTACTCACTATCCATATAACAGCTCGAATTCTGTAACTACTTGGAGCCATTGAAACCGGCTGCCCTACAGTCACCAGCGTTACCCAACCCCTACCAACTGAGATCCAGCAGCATCGTGTGGCATTGAACGTCTTCGGGCATGGACGACTCGAGCCGTATGAGGAGGCAGAATGAACCACCGGTCCATTCGAGCCCCAATCAGAGATACTCACTTCATGATCCGTCACAACAGCGTTGTTAACTCGCTGGAATTTCCAACGACAGATATCTCCTTGCATCCCTTGCTGTCTCTTCATCACCAGGGCGAGGTATGGGAGCTGCGGGTAACTACAATAGCTACTATCCAGAGCCCAGTGCGTCATTCTCGATAGCAAACATGCCTGGCACAGCTAAAGCCTATGGCTCTGACCATGGCCACGACTCCAGCCAAGCGCAAAGCTTTGGCGGCTACGGTACTGCAGCTACGATTATGTATAGCGCTGGCCAACCGAGCACCCAAAACACAGTCTATGATGCTCAACTGTTGAGCTCGTGGCAACCTGCAACTACGCAAATGATGCCACCAGAAGTTGCCTCGAGCTACCTCGGCTCTGAGATTGGGACTTCAGCTGGCTCGAGCCAGCAGCAACCGGCACAGGGCTCGAGCGGATCCGCGATCGTCTATCAACAGATTAATGCCATGAATTATGCGAGTAGTAGCATGTCAAGCGTGAGCGCAATACCACAGGCGATAAACACCGCTGATGTCTCCATGACGGACGATCACGGCTATGCGGAAGGCGCCCTTGAGGAGGAATGGGTCAGTTACCAGCGGCAGCTAGGGAGCATATTTCAAGAGATAGTCAATGGGTCACCATAGTAGAGTTGCCTCGACGTATGGAGATCTATGTGATTCAACGCCTCTAGCGTGATATTTATCTAGACAAGCTCTTCGTTTGTGCCCGGCCGATTCAATCGGATAATTCGCGAGGCTTGAGTATAGAGGAACTTGGCCTACTCTGTTTACAGACCCCATGTTAGGCACAGCAACCGCTATACTATAGAGACATATAGCTCAGAAACCCTAGGGAGGATAATAGGAGTCTGAGATAGTGGCTGGTTCCTGATCGGGGCCAAACATAGTTCTTGTACATGCTGGACTTTTGTTAAATCGGGAACCCTTGGTAAAGGGGGCGGCGGTTCAAGCAACAATGGTGGCCTAATTATGGTTCGGTTGCTGGTAAGCACCGGAGGAGGTCTGTTGTACCAAGTTCGAGGCGGGGCTCCAAGACCTATCGACTTGCTCCCAGCGAAGGCTTCGGCAGTTCTAGTGGTACTGGGAAAAATTGTGCCACGATACGCAGAACTTTCCTGGCCACCAGCGTAGCTCAGCTGAATCAACTTACCCATCCGTAATCCGGTCTGTCGCATGAGATCTTGCTTTTCATCCTCGGTTGGGTATGGGTGTTGAAGGTTTGCCGCGAACCACTTTCTGAGCTTATCTTGAGTCCTGGATAGGGTTCGCTTTCGCATCTGTTGTTTATTGTCGCCGCTGACACTGGCAGGACCAATATGACCGTATGGAGCAAAAGCCTGGTAATGTGAGTTGCACGCGCCCTGAGTAAACGGCGTGTGGTCAAACGAGTGAGCCACTCCTGTACAGAGTGACTGATATTGTGCTGGATGATGGTAAGGATGCCCATAGCTGCACTCGCAATAAAGTGAGACGCCCGATTCAGAAATGGTTATCTGTGAATGTCGTATTGGCTGCCGAGATTGGGGATTGCCATCTGAAGGTACTGGCCCACTACTGACAGGTAACTTTAGTCGCACAGAATGTGGACGACGAAGACTGGGCATTATTGGTCGAGAATTTGCTGGTTCACTGATTTTGGCCTGAAATGGGCCAATTCTTGTGGGAGCCTCCCAATTCTCCTGTTGCATGGGCAGGTTTGGTGAAGTCTGTCTGGGTGGAGGTCGGTCGGGGCTATAGCAGAGACGCGGTGCTTGACAGACTCTCTGAGACTCAGCCTCAGTCTCCATTGATACCCTCCTTCTCTTACTAGAATTGAGTGAGTACACATATTGAGGTGATGTTGCAGTTAAGGCTGCTGTGCCTAGAGGCGGCCCTGTTACGGGCGGCTTGTTGTTGAGATCATGCGGTGGTTGGGTCTGAAGCTGCAGGTCGGGGAATTCCTGCGAGTTGTGAGCTGAATCGTAATATGATGGTCGCTTGTAGGATCGGCGTGGTCTACCTGTCGGATCGGGACAAGAGTAAATTTATCGTTGTATGTCCTCGATCGATAGTATTCGGGACATCGGTTGGGCTCCCACGGACGTGACATACTGAAGGACAAAGGGTGAGGAGAAGGAGATACCATAGTGAGCATGGACAAGTTGGGGAGTTTGGGAGCTGAGTGTTGCGGTCTCTTCTCGAACTGTCTTGAAATATAAAGGCGTCGAAAAAAAAGATTAGGCGTATGCATCGGGAAGACCGGAATTGGAATGGATATAGGTATTTAAGTCGTTGCTTAGGAATAAAAGAATAGGGGTCTTTAGTGCGTGGCAGAAGGAGATGCAATCGGGGATCAATAACCACTAAATATCCCTTTGAGCGGTACAGCCCTTCAGGAGGTCACTCGCCCCACTTTGCTTAGTCACAAGGTTAGTACGTGCGGGGTACCGGAAGTTCGTAAGATATTCAATTTCTACAAAATACCACTAAAAACTCATGCTAATTGATATCTATTGAAACGATGAGTTCCCCACCAATTCTTGATGAGATACATGTGAAGGAATATGACTTTGATGATCATAGCTTTCACATACATGCACAGCAAAGGGGCCTAGGTCCTGCCGGAATAATAATTAACCCGCCTGAAGAAGCCGGCGGCCACAGCTTCATCCCTTTCAATGTAGAAGGTCGTGACTTTCACATTAACATACTGCCTCCAACACCACTCGAGCTATTCCAGCTTTTTACACCTATATCCCTCGTACAGTCATGGGTCTACTACAGTGAAAGCTGGGTCTCTCATCTTATACAAAATGGCGTTATTGATAGCTATAATACGGCCATTTCCGACCACTCGCGGATCAACAAGTGGGACGGGCTCTCGGTTGCGCAAGTGTATGTATGGCTTGGGTTACTGATTTACCTAGGAATTCATAAGGAAAATACGATTAAGAGCCATTGGAGCTCCCCTTCCCTAGGTGTTCAGTCCCCCCTGCATTCAGTCATCAAGTTTATGCCTCTATGGAGGTTCGAGATAATCTCACGCTATATACGGACTTTTGACCACACCCTGCTTGACCTACGCAATGAAGAGGACCTTCCGAAGGCATTCCAAGCTGCTGAGCCGTGGTCTGACCTGATACAGAAGGTGTCAGCCCAGCTCTATTTACCAGGGAATAACGTCACTGTGGATGAGTGTATGGTCCCTTTTACAGGCAGGAGTAAGGATACAACCCTAGTCAAGAATAAGCCTACGCCTGTAGGGTTCAAAGTCTGGGTTATCGCCCAAAACGGCCTCTTTATCCGGTGGCTGTGGCATGTGAAGGCATCACCATATACCGCTATTATCGTCGAACTGCCAAAGAAGAAGCCGGCTGCCAAGCTGCAACAGGGGAAGAAGGGGAAGGGAAAGCCTAAGGAGACTGTGACCCTTAGCAATACAGCAGGAGTCGTTATTCACCTAGTTAATATGCTGCCAAAGCAGACATATCACGTCTTTATGGATAACCTCTTCTCCTCGCCTAATCTCTTCCGTGCCCTTCGAGAAGCCGGTCACGGGGCTACAGGTACAGCCCGCCCTAACTGTGGCATCACCAAGGAGCTTAAGCTTGCAAAAGGGAAGGATAAGGCAAGTGCCTCAGGCTTTGAGTATAATGAAGTAAAGTCAATCCCTACAATTGATGGCCTCGTATGCCTGAGGGACTTATTTATATGCATTTCCCTTACTAATTCGTCCTTCCTAGGTCGCTCAAATCGCTTGGAAGGATAATAGCCTCGTGTTATTTCTCTCTACCGTATACAGCGGTGCCGATGACCAACGCACCCCAAAGACAAGGAAGAAGCCTGCCAACAAAGGGGCACAATCCAAGCCGATACAGGAGACCTTTAGTGATGCCGTAATAAAGGTTATCCCTATACCGACTGTATCTGCTTCTTATAACGATGAAATGAATCATGTAGACCGAGGAGATCAGATAAGGTCCTATACGAGTTATGAGCACCGATTTCGCCGTGGCCCGTGGCAGGCTCTCCTTTGGTCCTTCCTTCTTGATGTATTACTTGCGAATAGCTTCATTTTGCAGCTTAAGACCTCACAGCCGCGGTGGCCGCCTTACAAGACCCTCGAGAGCTGGAAGAGGTGCATTTCTGATGCACTATTCATTAAATTTGCCCAAGAAAGCGGCGCAAGGAAGAGATCTCGGGCAGGGAAAGAGGAGGATATAAACGATACCCAGTCACGGCAAAATCACCTGCAAAGAGATATCAATCATGTTAACAGGGGGATATTCTCAGATTGCCTTGCTTGTAAAGGCTTTAGGCAGGGGCAGCCCCGACCTTTTAAAAAAAGGAAGGTTAAAAATACTCTCTTACAGCCGATAACAGCTAATACACGAAGTCGGCATCGAGGAGGCTCAGGTAGGCAGACCTGGTACGGCTGCCGAGTTTGTGAGGTAGCTCTTTGTAACAATCAAAACTGCTGGGACTTTTACCATCATACAAATTAGTATGTGTGGAGAAGTACCGTTAGTTTTATTCAGTTTGATTGGTCCTATACCCCTGTCGTGACCCCGCTGAAGGGCTGTACCGCTCAAAGGGATACGCTGGGATGCTGGGTGCCATTTACTGAGACATCCTGTTCAAAAGTACACTAGGCCCTAAGCTTTGATGTTTTGCCCCTGCATGCCGCGTAGAGTTAGCGTGAAGTCATTTATTAAACAAGCCTACGCGCCGTCACGCTAGGACTTTATTTCTAAACATAGCGATATCTCGGATATATTGAGCATCCTCGTGAAGCTCCTGTGGCGCTCAATGACTGTGCTGAAAAAGTCGGTCTCTCGGCGAAACTTGTTATTGTCGAACAGATCCAAAGAACCAGAAGCGACAAGGATATTTTGATTAGGAGGCAAAAAACTAAACAGACTCCTCCAAGTCCGATTGTTGAGAAAAGTAGGCGGAACGTGTGAGCTCGTTTACCTCGGCTGCTCCAAATGGAGTCCCTGACAGAGAATGTCAGTTGACAGCAAGCAACACTGGGGTGCTTGGGTAAAATGCGGTATACAGCGCCTGGCGGATTGTCCGCGATGCAGTAAAAGATCCGCGTCTCTGAATTTGAACACGCAGAGATGCGTAGGATACGCGATGAGAAAATTTCCGGTCCATGTGGCCTTTGGTTTATACAGTGACCAACACCTTGATGCATACATCCTGTTCTTGAACTACTGACTCGACCCTGCCACGGGTTGAAGCGAGCCAACTGTTTGACAGCCCATTCGCCAATCGCTCTCGAACCGCCGAACCGGTGGACAAGGATCTCAGCCTCGACGCCTTGCTTTGGTCATCCTTTCAACCTCAAGTCATTGCAGTACCACGCCGACTGATCATACTTTTAGTTGATAGACTTACGTTATTCTCCTTTAGGTTGAGCATAGCACGCCACTCGTGGTCTATCTGGGTTTGCCATTTTACGGTTCGGTTTTGCCCAGATTATTTTCCGTCGGACTAGCTAGAGCTACCCTACATTTTCCATCCTGATTACTCGCCACTGAAACTCTTATTACCACTCAAAGGCCCTTCAGTTATGTGCTACTTTGATCAAACTCGCTGGGCATGCGGCTACTGGCGTTGGGGGCACTTCCGTCAGCAGTGCAACAAAGAATACCGCATGGGCGTGACGTGCGGCCTGAAGCTTGTCTACGAAACCAAGACCGAGAGAGATGTATGCAGACTCTGCCACGACACAGAGAAGAAGCAGCGCCGGTATGACAAGATGTATCGCGACGTTCAGCGCTGGCAGAGGGAGGGCAACCGAAATGCCACCATCGAGCGAACGTGTGCTGAGATGCATGACGTACTTGGTCAAATCTATCGGATGAGAGAGGAGCATGATCATAGGCTACAATCGCTTGGCCACTGAGTATGCAACATGATTTTCCATTACTTTATGTCTATCCGCATTGAGTGAAGAACATCACGCAAATAAGAAGGACAGACCGAGGTAAGGGGCTGAGCTGGACAAAGGGCACAAAGGGAGAAAGAGATCCCACGAGACGGGAAAATAGTGACAGGAAGGCCAAGCATCGCTTTGAGGTGTCTGAGTGGATTGGAATCGGTTGCTATGCTTGCGTATGCCGTGGGTTATGGGTTTCGGAGCATGGGCATCATGTGAGACGAGAAAGAGAACATGAGTGGTTAACTCATAATTACTGTAAAGTAACAAAATTCCAGAAGCTAGATATCTTCCAATAACTAAGAGAGAGTTCCTCTGCCAGGTTTTGCTATGATATACTGTCTCTCCAGCATAGTTAATGCAGTCGTTCATGCGACATTGCCGTGATTTTTCATGATGTCGAGAAATGCGAGCCTCACGACTCTGGCAAGTCGAAGCGCTTGCATCACAGCCGCGCATCAAATACTGAGTGACCGGGCGTCGGTAGATGGGTTAAGTTAGCATGCAGTTGTAGTGGATGTCCGACTAAGTTTGAATGAACATTCCTTTGTCTTTTTTTTTGTTTTTTGTTGCCAGGATCTCAAAACGGATTTGACGGCACACCATATTCTGATGACATAGAGCAGCACATCGGAGCTAGTAAGAGGGCGAAACCAAATCCGCCGAGGGCACGATGGCTCCATGGCGATACCTGGACGAGCCACTTCGGCTTTACTGTCAGCGAGGCTATTGCCAATGTACTGTTACTGCTGACAGGATTGGCCGTCTTTAGTTAGCATGTCAATTGTAGAGTGGATCAACAACATCATGGCGTCGCCGAGTTGTGAAGCAGATTGAGAAAGGCCGAGTAACGACTCACCCCCCTTGGCACGCGCTTGAGATGGATTCAAGTCCTTGCAGCTTGATGACCGCGCTATAAAATATCAAGGTTCAGCGGCGAGGACAGATTATTCAAGACTTGGTATGTGAAATGGGCCTTGACACGTGGCTTATCGCATGATGTATTGCGCTGGCCCTTTATCTATGCGGTATTGTGATGTTGTTCTCCAAATACGCAGAGTTTCCTGCTGTGCTGACTACTTGATTGCCTCTTTGTGGTAAAACTTGACCGTGCCTGGCATTAACCGTACTGGGAATGACTGGCGATCGTGGCAGCCGGCAGAAGAGCTGGGTTCCGGTGAATGTCGGGAATGTTGACCAATTTCGCGGCCAAACGGAGATCTGTACCTGGGCTGCACGAGAGGCGCATTGCATATGCACAACTGAGTGCCAATGCAAAATGATACGTGCAGTACAAGCGTTAAGTGGATTACTTCACTGTCCCCCTAGTCCATGTCGCGCGTAGAAAAAGAGTAGCGTGACGTTATGGGGGGGTTCCCCAGTCTGCGGATGTGCCGATTGGACCCCATATCAATTACGACCCTTTAAAAAGACCCCAGCACCAACACGAATAAGCAAAGACAAACTTCCCTGTTTTCGGGGGGGGGGGGGTAAAGCTGGCGAGGAAAGAGACAATTCAAGTGACTTGGACTTGACAAGGATCAGCTGTTATAACCGTGTCTGTTCGCGAGCGTGTCTTGCGCAAGACAGGAGCTTGCTTGGCAAGGGTTAAATCCCGTGAGACATTTAGAGAAGGGCTGCCCAGCAAAGGAATACATGTTTTATTTTTATTGCTACCGCATCCTCCCATCTTCTTGGTGATGCTGAAATCTTTATATTCTTCGTCGCAATTGTTTCATCTCGGTATTTCTGCTTCAAGCCCCATTCAACGGTTGAAATCCTGGGCCTTTCACTATTCGTTTTAATTCATACGCATCGGACTTCCGGTATTATCATCTCAACAAGGCTCCACCGCAACAAACAGGTTTTCGCGACATGGCTATGGATGCGCTTAAGAATCTCGTCAACAACGTTCCCGACTGGTTGCAGCGACTCGACGACCTCAGCGGCCAAATCGATCAATATCAGGCCGAGCAGGCCGCTATTGCTGCCGCAGAGGGCAAGTGTGCAGAGACAAAGCCGCTTCGCAACAAAGGCTCAACTGAGTCACTCAAGCCTAAAGATAATCCCCCAATCGTCCATGCTGAGGCTCTAGCGAACAAGAACATCGTCAAAGTGTACCTTAGGTGCCTTAGGCTTCATTGGTTTCCGTACCGTCTTTTCGCCGGCGCCATCATACCAAGCCGTACCTCCATTCGTCAACGACAAGAGATCAACAAGGCCGCACAAGCTCGAGCTCGATCTCAGGTGAGAGAGAGGCCAAAGTCACCGTCCATGATGTCCAACGATGACGCCCCAGCCGCCTATCGAACTCGAAGCATGATCACTGTATACTACGACGGATACGCTCAGACCTTCTTTGACGATCTCGTGATGTTCGCCTCGTCCAGTCGAAACTTGATACGCAAGGCCAAGTTAGCCGTACGGGTTGCCCTGGCCAAGAAGCTTGCGGAGCAAGACGTGTCGGATGATGGCAACAACAATAACGCCCTCCCTTCACTACTATACATGAGCAGTAGACCATTTGGCCTAATGTCAATAACTCGACCTGGCGCTGGCGGCCAACCACCAGGTGTATACGACAGGCTGGATAAGGGCCTCGAATTCGTGCAGAGTATGTGCCAGAAAGGTGCTCACCAGTTCCTTCGCGATGGTGACTGCAATGATGAAATCAATAATGCGCAGAAACGACTAAGTGAGGTTCTCGAGATGGCCAAGACCGAAATGGAACGTATCGAGCGTGAAGAGCCCGAATTAGCCAAAGAAACAAGGGAAATGGGCAAGGTCCGGATACGACGACCTATCAGGATGCGCCGCGATATGATGGTTAGCCTTAAAGAAGGCAGCCCGGCACCCACTAAGGAGGAGAACAAGCCGCAGCCGGCAAAGCTAGAAGCTGCCAAGCTTACTTTGGCAACGGATCCCATGGCGCCTATAGCTGTCGATCCAAATATCAAGGAAGCCGACGAGGGTATTGTTGTCGGGATAGAACTTCCCAAGTTACAATACCGATCAACCCGGGCGATGCGCAGTCGCGGGTCATAGAGTGGTATTTTTGTTTCTTTGCTTTTGGAACTGTGATGGGGGTGTAACTTAGAATTATTGAATCGATCTGTTTGCGATTATCCTCGTCGTGATTGCGACTCCATTGCTGAAATATGTCTTGGCGAAACAATGTGCAAATGGTGGTATGAGCTACTGAAGTTGTAGAATGAGAGGTCCTGTTCCATTCTATCTCTGTGGGCTGCTGTACGCAGTTGGTGAGCATCATTAATAAAATTAGACCCGACGCATCACTCGAAGTGATGGTGATAACGCGCCGAGGTGCACAATTCAGAGAGTGCAACCTGTAAGATGTGCCATCGTTTCCAGCTTGGGCTTCAATCAGAGCTGTTCATGTCTTTTATCACCTTGAGAACCTCAAAACAACCATTAGACGAGGCGCTCAGCAAAAGGTCATTGGCCTGCAAGATGGAGCAATGGTTGATATCAGTTTGGCATGGTGACCTAGGTTACCTGCCCGATAAATCAGGAACATCACAGTAATGGGAGCCCATCACGAGTTGCCGCTATCCTTTTTGCATCCTCTCAGTCGAAGGTGTCATCATTGTCATCAATGGCGCTCTTACCGATATAACCGTTAATGTCGGAGTCGACAGCACTTGCGTCATCAGTAGCTAGGGTCTGACAGGTTTGCTTGATGAAGCCTACTTCTTGTCAGCATCAAAAGGAGATCCGAGTTGCGTTAAAGCCATGGCCCTCTGGAGGGTTCTGCTCTCTTTGGACGAACTGACAATCTCAAACACGGGCTTGTTGATAATTGGAACGGTAGGCATGCTGCTTCTAAGGTGTCTCATACGAATGTTAAGTCTGGTAAAAATAACGCTGTGAAAAGTTGAGATCCTTGACTAATATTGAAGGCCGCTCTCCTTGAAGTGACATCGGAATATGCTTTGGAGTACGGCATCCAATTTGAAGACATTGATACCTTGCCTGCGTTGGCCAGAGGGGAGAGCAAAGGAATGTATTCCTGTTTTTACAAGAGAAAGAAACAACAATGTTTCATGGGATATCTGTCTTGCCTGAAAACGCCTTACCCTAGGCCTTTCTGAAGAAACTCCTTGCATTTCTCCTCAAGTCATTCTAGCAGCGCTTTACTTTGCCTATGTTATTCGATGTAAATATGTATTACATATATCCTCTTCAGTGGGAAAGGTCTGAAAGGTCTGAAAGACTTTTCGTCCCAAAAATTCCGAGGTAGAGCAAGGAATTGGCAGGAAGAGGGAGTTCTCACGAAAGATGTCGGTTCCTCCGCACCAGCTAGACCTTTTCTCATTGGCTAGGTTGTCGGCTACACTACTCCGATATAAGTTAAGCTTGAAGAAAGATGTCGCTGAATACGCACTGTCATAGGGCCCCTCAGAACAACAACAACAAAGCAGAGCCTCATCCGAAGAGTCTCACGTTCTCAGCCGACTGACCGTAAGGAAAGACGGGAGATGTAACACCAATCACTCAAAGAAAAAAAGGTCTGAATCCCCTTTTCGCATTGCTGTCTTTCATCGGGCAGGCAGAGTCTCCCAAATATTACGCATTGCCCCGCGATAGATGAATACACTATCATCCCCGCTGCTTCTTTGTGCCAACGGCTTACCGCGCTCGCGTCGCAAGCCTAAACCGACTCGACTTGGTAGCTACTAAGTGCTGACATCACAGGTATCTTGAGTACTGCTCCCGAATACTACCCATCAATTTATAAAAAAAAGCAGGAGTCAGAATACGAACCAATACTGGCATGTTGATTACCTCGACTTGCCTGCATGTATTTGCTACGGTTTTTGAGTCGTATTCCTGTCCAACTACCTCTATAATACCTCTCTTATCGAATTATCCCGTGATTTGGGAACCCGCTTCAACCCGAGAAATGATACATACGATCTGGATGATATGGATTCTCCAAGCCCCGAACTCAAACCTATATGTCCAAAACTCAATCTATCTCGATCTCCTTCTCCGGATATACCTAGAGATCAAATCGGTCCCAATGGCACGTCTCAAGCAACTGGTGGAGTTGGTATGTTGCTCCGACATCTCGGTAATGGATGGAATCCCCCTGAAATATCTCTCGAAGCTGCTCGTGAAAGTCTTCTACGCGACGAAGACTCACTAAGCGAAGAACCGCGGCGAGAGGGGGCTGTCGACGGCAACCTCGCTGCAGACGCACTCCCGATCAACGGTCTGTCTGCGCCGAGATATATCTCCGGTAGCAGAGTCACATCGCCACTCATCCCTTCGTCTAACGGAGCCTTACCGCCGCTTCATCTTGGGGTTCGCGCACCAGCAGGCGAGTCTAAGGAGACTCTTCCATCACGGTCTCTCCCGTCTCTTCGCTCGACACTTGGTGAGCTCCGAAACTTACCCCCAGAGCGCCCATCCGAACAAGATCTTGGTCGATCTCGCCCAGGCCCATCCTCGACTTTCCCTCCTTCGCCAGCTGCCAATCAAGGGCATAGGTTCAGTTTGACTACCAATTTCCCGTCATCACCCCGTTCACCACCAGATAGATATCGAACACTTTCACCACACTCCGTGACAGGTGCGAGTATGCGATATTATCCAACAAATGGTGCTCACCCTCGCGTTCCAACAGAATATAGTAGTAGCAATGCTGGCGAGACTCCGAATACCGATCACCCCGCTTCTACACCCGCCACATCAACCTCGATCAACTCAACCTCAATTACTGATCGGATGGGCATTGATGGAATCACACATCCGCAGCCTGTTTCCGGTTCGAATACATGTACAGTCAATGGATGCACCGCTGCACCGTTTCACATAAAGTATCTTCTCAACTCTCATATGAATGTACACTCATCCGTAAGGCCACACTATTGTCCGGTCAAAGGGTGCCCGAGAAGTGAAGGGGGCAAGGGCTTCAAAAGAAAGAATGAAATGATAAGACATGGCCTGGTTCACGACTCCCCAGGCTACGTCTGCCCTTTCTGCCCTGACAAGGAACACAAATACCCACGTCCAGATAATCTTCAGCGGTATGTTAACTCGCTAGTCTCTCTCAGTGGCACAGCTAGATATGGCATTCTGGAATTTGAATACTGATACTAATTGCTCATAGACATGTCCGTGTTCACCACGTAGACAAAGACAAGGACGACCCGCAAATACGAGACGTCCTCGCTCAACGACCTGACGGACCCAATCGTGATCGAAGGAGACGTGGCCCACCGTCGTGAATGAATGTTATGGGGATACGAAGTGAGTTTATGAGAGCGAATTGTGAACAAGTACGAGTAACGACTTACGCCAAACTGAAGTGATGGGATGCCGTCTTTGTTTTAGCATGATGTGTATAAGTACCTCGCGATTGACGGGTCGGACGACGGCGGGCTTCTCGTATATTATCAGATGCCAATGGTTAATTAGAGAACATTAGGAGTACAGGCTAGGCGTTCGGGATTACAAATACCTGGTTGGATCAGATATTGTTGAGCATATCATTTCTACTGAGTATAGCGCTGACGCCGCTAGCAAGCGTACATTACATTCGATTCTTGATATACAATCCAGTAATGCTCACATCATCCTTCTCTTTTTATGTGAAGGTAGAGCGACAGGTTGCGCAAAAGCTCTGCTGTGCAATGACTCCCCCGCAGACTCGAGTCGGAACCTGTAGTGATACGGAGTCTGAGGTAGCTGATGGAAGATAACAACGGGTATTTTGTGTGTTTGTGAACGGGCTGCATAGGTTTGTGGTTATTCTAAACTTGAACAGGAAACATAGGACTAGAAGAAGAAGAAGAAGAAGAAGAAGAAGAAGAAGAAGAAGAAGAAGAAAATAGGATAAGACTAGACTTTATGAAAAATAGCAATATATTCGTCTGTTGCCCAACAGACGCATCGCCCAAAAGTCCTGTCCGCTAACCACCAAAGCCATGCCAAAAGACTGAACCGTTCCGGTATTCTACAGTAGATGAGAACCCTAGCCTCCGTAACTGTAATGCGCACTCACGCGCTTGCAAATCTCAAACATCAAATTCCATTGCATAAAAGCCTCCGGTGAGTATCCTTTATTGCCCATCCAGTTTCCGTGACGCGAGGCCGAACGGGAATCCATTGACCAGTTCGCGAATCCTGCTCTTGCGTACCTGACCCAGGGGGTGGGCCAGTAGGAGGTCGGCCTTCCATTGCTCTCAAGGGCGGTAACCTTTCGCCGCTTGCTGAGGACGCCGCAGAGGATGGACATGATGGCGCGTCGTAACCTGGAATGGGCATCGGAGGTCCACTTGGGGATGCACTTGGGTACGCGCTCGCAGGTGATCCATATGGTGGTAGCGAGTATTCAGGATGGTCATCGGTTCGACGGCATTTGACCGGTCTCTAGTTCGAAACCGTATCTCCACCATAACCCATGGATACAGATGGTCCTGATGCCAATGGCCCGGTCTCAGCGTAAGAATTGGTTGTCGAAATAGTAGGACTAGGAGGTCCAGCAGCATGGCCACTGATTAATCGGGTTTGTGCGACAATGTCTCGTAAACGGTTGCGGTCTCCACGATAGAAGTCCCGTTGTTGTATCAACTCCTTAATCCACATTTCCATAATGCGCCTTTCATTCCGAAGCTTTTGTAATTGTTTTGTATTCTCTTCCTGCATAATCCTTTTCTTCCTTCTATGTCTGGTTGATGCCACTGCATTTCTCTGTCTTTTCTCGTCTGCTTTCTTAGACGCCTGCGAAAAGTCCATATGAACAGGGATAGGTGCCTCGCTTCCCGGAAGTGCCAATAAAGCTTGCTGTCCCTCAACGCCAAAAAGGGACCCTCCCATCCCATGTCTTCGCAGTGTTTCTGACCATGGCGAGGTAGACTCGCTTCGGGGGCCCGGGCTGGGAAACAGCTGACCAGCTTGCATGTTAGGAGAATATGAAGCTTGGGGGTGTACTAGAGGTTGCTGCAGGCGGCCCGGCGTATGAATTGGGGGTAAAATAGAGAGGGGAGCTTGCGTTCCAAGACAAGAAATCGATGGCTGTGAGTACAACCTACCAGGACCCGACATCGCTGATGGAGGACCACTGGGTACTCCAGTTAGAGGATGCAGATTGGGATACTGGGGCCTGACGTCTTCGGTCGTCCCATCCTCCAAGGGCCGTTTAGCAGGCACCGCCTGCCCAGGAGCTGTACCTGATAGATCTGTTGGTGTATACGGGCTTTGTGGGCATGATGCTCCAAGAGAGGGCTCGGGTGTTAAGCTGGGTGGTTGGGTCGCTCGGGACGAAGATGTGTTTCCGTCAAAGGCCGGCGAGTAGTTTAGAATATTTTGAATGCACAAAGCCATTGGAATATTGCTCCCCTAATGAGTAAATAATTTGGTTGAAGTAGGATGGTATGGCTGTAGTCATGGCAAACTGGCAGATGACACATTGATGGATGAAATGAAGGCAACACTTCCTATTGTTGAAACAGCTTGAGGCCCCTACAATGTTACCATCGAGGCAGATTTTGTCTTTACTTATAAGTCGGACCTTTTATCTGGTGACTAATCTGTGGGAAAGGTGTACACAGACCTTCCATTGAAAGTACACCGGATTACCTGGAATTCCCCTCTAGATCCTTGTTACGTTGTCACTACCTCATTTCTGTTCCCTGTCATCCGGGGAGCATATCCGCTCGCACGCCAACATCTCCGAGACCCCTGACTCCTGCAGAAACCTAAAGAAAGGCAGCAAGTCATCCAAACATATCCAGGTGCATTGGCGGATGTGGTACCCCGCCCCCCGATCAGCACGCAAGGTCGTGCCCCAAGCTTGTTCTCTCGCTAACCTAACTCCAGTGCCTTCATTTGCCCCGCCGACAGCCAATTTGTTATAGCCGAGGGCCTTTCCTCGCCCTTGTTTATGTGAGAACTTAGGCAGAGTCTACTTTTGAACCATTTGACGATGCGATGGCGATGCTGATTTGGGCCGGCCAAAAGAGGCCATATGAATCAATTAGCTATTACACAATTACTTCACATGATGCTATTTATATGCGTGTTAATATGTGACAGATCAGTTAGTAGAGGAAACAGCATTTTCGCGTCAAGATGCTTGCCTTACAGAACAAGCTTCGTCACCCAATAAGACTTTACTACGTAGAATATCTTAGTCTCAGTAAGGCGGCCAATGAGAAAATTGAATCACCTGCGGTGAGCCAATTCAATCAGTGGGCTACACATCCCCGGGACCGCAAGACGAATGAAATGGGTGTGCAGCTGGGCTCAAAGGTGTGTAAGTTGACGAGGATGAGGAAGCATGCTTCACCCCTGGAGGGTCAGGCTAAAGGCGAGAGTGGATCCCATGCAGCAAGACCCCCGCGCTTTCATGGCTGGCTGATGCCGGCTCGAATTGGCGGATGCTACCTACATCAGGCTAATGCAGATATGAGGCGCCTCAATGTTTTAATCTCTCGGAGCTATGAACTAGCCAACAGGGCGAATCGATGGATCCTCAGTCTGCGATACGTCGCAATGCCCTCACCTTGGAGTTGAGCATCCGACCGAGAAACCGTTTATCACAAAGTCTGTAGAGTCTTTGCTGGCTTAAATTATTAAGATCCTGACTTTGGAAGTAGTTTCATGGGGCAATCCGTTCGCACGATTTCATTGGAATTGACAGCAACACTGAGTGGCCTGATTGGTCCGGTGCTACGGGCATTTAACCACCACGGGGGCCGTTTAGAAGACAATGGAACACGAATGCACCGATCTAGCGGTTGAGTCTCCAGTGGATTCACAAGAGGTCTATTTCGTGGTTGCAAAGTTCTGTGGGCGGGCGGTATGGCACGGCAAAGTAGCAAATTGTGTGAGAGCAATTCTTGACGGTTGGCCCTTCATGGCGGCACTAAAATGCGAGTTTCATGAGGAGAGAGACGTGTCATTCTGCGGCATGTTCTATTGCTTGCCGTTAGTGAATGGTAAAGCACCTGCTAGTCAGCGTGACTCTACCCTACATCCGACCAGAAAGGTTGACGATAGGCTCGGTAGTCTCAGAGAGGATAGTGGCGCTGAATGGCACGCAAATAAGCAATCACGTCGCTCACACTAACATGTTGAATCCGTCTCTCAAGTTTGGGCTAAAAGGCTGATCGGCGTGGCGTTACACTCAGGCATATAGCAACCTACGCGTATCAAATTCAATAGCATGTAAGCAACAACGCTAAGGTTTCAGATCGCAACGTTTCATACGCTCATGCGTAGTTTGAGACACTTACGCATAGCTAAAGAGTAGAGATAAATCTTTATAGAGATGGGCAGAAGTGTCAACGCTGCTAGCTTGACTGTTTGTTCCATATCCCTCTGACGTTCTTTCCAAAATGCTTTTCGGTCGGTATTCTCCCATTCCCCACGTGGTAGACAGCGGGCATGGCGTAGTGCAAAAGACAATGACTGCGCTAACAAATATAGTGCAAATGACATAACAGGCCGAACAGGGCCTTACCCATCCTACAAAGGGAAATTACCAGCGGGGTGCCTTTCTTCGCGCTCACAGAGATCACGGGCAAGCAGCTCGCTTGGATGGACAGGGCGAGTGACGACAGGGATGGCGGGGGAGAAAGACATTCATTATCTGGAGACCACGTAGACTGAAAGACAAGCATCTACTTGATCATCTTAAACTTTTACATGCCCAAGTAAGGAAATTTGGCGGGAAACCTATTACCGAGCCCATAAGTCGTAGTTTACTGCGCCAGTTCTTCCCTGCTGTTGTAGAAAGATGCATGGCTTCGGCTGCCAAGTTTATCGGCATGCAGGCACTCGAGCGTTATTGGAAAAACGTCCCTCGATGTCTTGTGTAGACAAATGGAGTGGAAGCATTGCCATGTCAGGGATCAGGGGCCCACACGTGATAACGTCTAGCGGTGGATGTTGACCAGGGCCATGGAATATGTTCCGATACTGAAGGTCACAGAAGATGTTGGGGGCCCTGTAAAGGATAGCTAAGTCATGAAAGATCGACTTGCCTTGCGAAAAAAATGGGTCTGCCGCTGGGCATTGGCGTTTGCGGTGCATCGTGGGGGGGCGGCTGGTCTCAACATTCGACGTTTCCACCAAGGCCAAGGCACGGTATCTGTTTCTGATTGCAGATGTTGCCAAAAGGACTCTCGGGCAGGCGGGGGTGATTGCCTCTTGGAAGGTGATCCACCGGTGTGCAAGCGCTTCACTTTCCTGCTTGTCACTACGCTAACTTATCTACACTCGGACCGTCTCCGGACCTACCAAGCATCACATATGCTCACCTAAAAGGCAATGGTGAGAGCGCTCTCAATCGCAATAACTTTAGCGACGATTCTCTCCGCCAGAACCAGCCCTCAAACGCCATCACAATGTGCTCTAAGTCCCCTCAGCTGAATATTGGTCTGGATTTACACCCTTGTTCATATGTCCGTCCAACGGCTGTCCATTTTAGCTTGGGAATAATGACACCAAACGCGATTTGTCGACAATCACCTGCCTGCCCTCTGTGGCTCCGATAGAGATTTGAAGGCCTGGCATGTTCCATTCACCTGCTCTCCCTTGTCGACGGCTACCTACACCTCCTCATCCGATCCAGTCACGTCACGATACCTACCCCGTACAGCACCATCCGATCCCCTGTTAGCGCAATAGACTAGCGGAGTCTTGATTTCATGGCGATCATCCGCTCCGCCTTCTGTTAGCCGCATTGCCGATAGGGTAATCTTTCATGAAGATGCCATATTGTTACCGCTCGGGTTTCTTGTCCGCCGTCCGTCCTTGTTCCTTGACCCGGCATCGCCCAATATCTTGACCGCTGATGTGAGCCTGATGGTTGCCAAGCTTGAAGCTGTGACGCCTAGCTCACGGTAGATGGTCCATCATATAAGCGGTAACTCCGGCAAAATCGGTAAGACTCGATGCCCAGTGCGTCGCCTTTCACTCCCAGAATTCCTCAGTTCTACCATCTTACACAATCTTTTCCAGGATAACTATCTTGTTGCCCCGAACCCCGCCAGGGAATTCCGATTCAAACTTTGTGAAACGTGCCACGGAGATACATAAATTCCGGCACTTCAATCGGCCGACCATCCTCGGGCTCTCAAAAGGCCCATCACTTCCTCCGCGTGGCCGGTTCGTCGCGGAATCGCACCGTATGAACAATTTTTAGCAGCGAAAGGGCTACAACAATGCGCAAGACGTCACAGGTCCCAGACAGCACCACGATACCTCATGTCACCAATTCAAAGCACTTTGACCCCTGCGCCGCCACTGCGTCTATGTTTCTGTACGCCCAGGGCTCATTCGTTTTGTGCTGTCACCATGATACTCTCACCATTGAACGAATATTTTCGCGACACGCAGCCGAGGTTCACTTATTGGCAGTCGATAATCAGAGTGAAGCCGGCGGTGGTCGATTTGTTGTCAGTTACGATGCCGGTCAAACAGCAATTGTATGGGATTTAATGACAGGCGATGAGATCTCTCAATTTGCCTGTTATGATCAATTGACTGTTGCAGCGTGGATGAAAAATGGCAATGTGGCTTTTGGTAAGTCGTTGAATAAGTTTCCCACGATTAACTGACGATTTTCAGGCAACACAAAAGGTAGTATTATCATGTTTGAGCCTTCAACATCTGAATATGTTTCTTCAAGGACTATTGACCAGATTGCTGTAACTGCATTGGCACCATCAGCTGATTGTAGAACATTTGCTATTGGGTAAGTTCTCATACATCTTTCCCTGAGTCTCGTTAACACGATCTTAGTTATCAAAATGGCTCTCTATTTGTTGCGACCCTGCAGCCACGCTTTACTATCTTGCACAATCTTACCACTTCCAGAGGACCGTCACCCATCGTCAACCTCGCATGGCATGCTTCTTCGTATCGGCAAAAGTCCGAGATGCTTGCCGTCCTGATGCGTGACGGTGACTTGAGAGTCTGGGGGGTGACAAAGAAGTACAGCGCTGATGATCCTGCAAAAGTGGTTCGAAACCTTAGGAAGGCTAAGATCTCCATGGACGGACCCAACTGGATGGGCTGGTCCAAGAATGGTCGCATAATTCAGTATTCCGACTCGTAAGTTTGCAGCTTGCCACCGCCATAAAAACCCCTAGGCTACGCGCGCGCTTGGCTGCATGACCCCTATCATCAACTAACATATGCACAGGCAAACGTGGTCTTGGGATGTTAGAACAAAGCTCGTCACTCATGATCCCATCCCAACTCTCGACCTTGTTCGCGGCCTCGCCGTCTATGGCCCAGGTGCCACGTTGTTCACCCTTGGTTCCAAGAACACCGTGCAGCAGTTCGACCTGAACTCCCCGTCCATCATGGTCGCCAATGTCCAACACCCAGCAAACATTTTGCCCACCTCACCTCCAGTATCAGAAGAAACTCGTGATCGATCAGCGACCTCGGCTACCACTATCGCCCCCAAGTCTGAGACGAGCTCTATTCCTCTGGACATGAACATCTCCGAAAGTGATGAGGATCACCTGTCGCCATTTGCTCGTCTGGCTAGACGCCAAGCTTACGACTCTGGCAATGAGCCTTACGAATCAGCCAGCCCTGCATCAAGCCAAAATGGACTCTCTTCCTTGTCGAAGTCCTCAGCTGGTTCGTCTCAAACCCCTGGCAGATATCCCGGATCTATGAGGTCAAGAGGACTGTCAGAAAATACCTACATATCGGCTGGAACCTCGATCAGGTCGTCACCTATTGGCAATAGTGCTCATGGTAACACGAGAGATTTGGACACTTATTCCATTGGGAACTCTCTTGGTAGTACAAGTATACACTTCATAACTTCAAGCCGTTCACGACGAAGACCTTCTCCCCTGTGCAATGACGTTCTCCGTAGCCCCGACGACAACAAGGTTCACGACCTCTTCAAGTTTACCCGGGCACGTCTTAGTGATATTCCCTACAAGCATGCTATGGGCGCCAACCGTACTAGTCTTACTAATGACGACCTGCGCCGCCAAATGCTCAACACCATCTTCGGGTGGAACAAAGAGGTTGAAGACCTGATCAGAGAAGAGATGAGCAGGCATCCCCAAGGATCTGCGGGTCGTATTCTTTTGGCTAAGTGGCTAGGGGATATTGATCCCAGTATCATAAACGCAAAATTTGAGAACATGACTACTTCCGACTGGATGTTGTTGGCTTTGAGTGGAATCGGCGGCCATGCGTCGCAACAGAAGCTTGGCCATATATATGTTCAGCGCCTACTGGACGCTGGCGACGTGCATGCGGCAGTCACGATCATGCTTGGCATGGGTGACCACAATGGCGCTATTGAGGTTTATATCTCTCACAAGCGCTACATGGAGGCACTGATCCTCACATGTCTCTCAGCCCCTAGTGTTTGGGAGCGCCAAGTTGCTATCATTAGAAAGTGGGGAGAGTGGGCGGTTCAGCATGGTCAGCACCAGCTGGCGATTCGATGCTTTGCTTGCACTGACCAGAAGCCTACTGAGCCCTGGACTTCTCCATCCGCCGCACAGCTCAATTTCGAGACCAGGACCCCTAGTATCCCTGAGACCCTGAGCCCACCTGTCTCACCTCCCGGCGTTCAACGTGGGCCCCAACGCAGCATCGCAAAGACGTCTGCGCTCAAGCTGATCACCTCGTTTGGTGATCAAGCTCAGAAGTCTAAGTTCTTTGCAGATGACGGTGGCCAAACTCCTATTGCCGCCGGTGTTACTCCTATCGCTGACTCTGCCGGCTCACCCGCCTTCTCGCATGCCTCTAACAACGAGGCCACGACAGCGTTCCTCCGCCCTTCAAACAACAGCAGATTCAACACCCCTGTCTCTGCTCGAGGACGCGGACGTCTACCGTCCATTGGTGAGATTCCATCAGACCTCAACAGAGATGCACTTCGGTCAGCTGAGCTCTCTGCTGTTCCTTACGACTACGAGCCTCGATCAGGCCATGCTCGAATACCATCTGGCAATGACAACATGATGATCGGCACCGCATTGCAACGCGCTGCTACCGCAAGCCCAATGATGATGCGAGAGCATGCTCAGCGCGTTGTCCAACCAAGTGATGGAGATTTCCCACCACCTGACCAAGCCACCATGTTGAAGGCGCAACAGGCATCTCGCAACCACCGCAATGGTTCTTGTGGCCGCATTCCTGTGGGTGTGGATTTACAGCTACGGCCTGGACCTGCCCACGAAAACATTACATCTCCAGAGCAGTCTGTTACTTCTTCTACCCGCTACCGCTGGCCAACTCGCCGCCGAGGACCTGCCTCCGTGGCGAGCTCTGTCACTTCTGCGTCGAGCGCTGGACGAAGTCTTCGTCATCAAGCTGTGCGAAACCGAGAAGATTACATCCATAGCCTGGACGCTGCCAGCCACTACTCCAAGAGGCAGCGCAGCCGCCAACGTAGCCAGTCAAGAACTCGGGATGCTCCGCGCAGTCGACCTGGAAGTCGGGAACAAACTGCTCGCTCTCGAGAACCTTCTGAGGAACGTGGCCATGTAAGTGCTTGCAATTGGTCCAAGGAGAAGCGATCATCTCCACCAATTCTCATGTCTCCCGAGGACTTGCTGAACTTAAGAACTCTGTGACATAGCCAAATTGGCGGGCCAATCGCAGCGTGCAAGGTCAGCAGATCAACTGTGAAGCCAAAGAGCCGAAATTTAAGCTATGGAAGCTGTTGTAGGAGTTTAGAAGGTTGCTCTTGCCCCCACAACTCTCACACTCCGTGGCCGGAGTCAAGGTCGAGAGGGTTCTGTACAGCGTTCTCCTCCTTCACCCCTGCCTCTGAGTGCTGCTATCTACCATTACTAAGGCTCTGAGGATGAAGAGGACTACAGAGCAGCCATGGCTGCCCAGAAGGAGTTCAGAAACAAGCATAGCCGCAGAGGTAGCCGGGGTCTTAACTCACCAGCATTGAGCAAGCAAGATGCTTCGGAGCATAGATGCAGAGCTAACTCTGAAGTTGCAAACTTGGACAGGTCTATCTCTGTTCGCGGCAGAGCTGCTTCAACTTGTTGGAAAATCCGGGAATCCCCCTTATCTTCAGGATTCAGACTGTTAGTCTGAAAGTCCTAGATTTAAAGTTCATAGCTCTAGATGAAATCATCTAGAGATATAAACCCGAGAAGAACTCTCATCTCAATAATAGAAAAAAAAAACCAAGTTTCATAAAATATACTTTCACCCAGCACAACTGCGCAATATAAACAACACAACTGAACATGCTGGTGATCTCAAGCAAATGAAGGATGAGCGACAGCGCAAGAAAGAACAGGCTGCCCGAGAACTCGAGGAGCGCCGAAGGTCTCTGGCCGAACGTGCTCAGACACCTTCTATTCCCAATCCTAACGAGTTCTCTCCCGCTCTTGCGATCATGGTTAAGACAGCTGAGCCTAAGCCTCTGACTGACGATATCCCTCCGCGCAGTGCTACTGTGCCACCTCAAAGGAGCATCTACGCCCGTAATGGCCCTGTGATTGGACTTTTAGTAACTCCAAAGGTTATGAGGCTTATCACTGAGGGCAACCATGATCAACCAGGAAGCACCCCGGCCCCGGGGTGCGCACGATTCCAGCCGGTTTTTCTCAGAGATAGTCTCCAGAAACCTCGCCTCAACGGTCGCCTGAGAGACAGGAGCCAGTCGCTAGGCCTAGTCTCACTCTGCTGCCATCGACGGTCTACCTGCAACCAGCGCGACCTCTTATTCCTCACAGCATGTCGCCCCCAATTCCCGATGATCCTGGCCAGCGCAGTTGCCACAGGTGAGCGACGACGTTCTCACGAGTACGCCATGCCCCCTCGCTCTCCTTCAGGGCCTCCAATTCTCAAGGGACTCAGACATTTGGCGTCACCACCTTCACCGTCTCCTGCCCCTCTTCAACACATCCGGCAACATCATCAGGCAGGTGCTGTTGCATCGGATATGGTCGAGATTGTCATGGATGATGACTTGCCAGCTAGTAATAACCAAGTTTCAGAGGCCAGCCCTCCGGCTCTAGCTTCCCACAAGGGCCATAGCCGAGATCGAAGCACTGACGATATTAGCAGTATCTTAGGCCGTATTCACAAGGCTACTGAGCGATTCCGATCTGCCAGCGGCAGTCGAAGGAGTGTGTCCGATCTCCTCCTTTCGAGGCTCCCTACGAGAGAATTCCCATGCCTCGACAGATGAAGTCCCCTCCACCAGTGTCATTCAACCCAGACGCTTTGCGCTCACCCACTGATTCGCGCAACAAGCACTTGTCAACCGGCTTGAACCGAAATGAGATGGTCTAGGACGTCTCTTAGGACGGTGATGAGCGCGCAGTACAGTATTTCACTCCTTTCTACCACTCTCTACAAATTTTCTCGTCGTTGCAAACTCCAGCAGTAATAGTATGACCATTGTTATCAAAGTCAGAATGTCACATATTCTTTTTATTTTAATTTGAAGTTTCAAGTCTTGCTACCCCACGAAAGTATGCCTCTCAGATGTGGCATGATAGTGTGTTGTTCTGGATACTGAACCATTGTTGAGAGGGGCCAATCGAGCCCGAATGCTCAGGGTTACATCCACATTTATTCCATTCTTCAATATACTCCCCGAGCTCGCCAATTAATAGAGAGCAGTCTTAAGAAGATAAAGCGTTAGAAGATTTTGAGTTCTCCCAATCCTGGCCGGTCTGATGGGACCGTTGAAGCAAAGCAGGATATTACCTAGCAATAATAACACTTTGTATTAATTACAGTTTTCTTATACCTACCAATTTTAAGAGGACTACGCTGCTCCATGGCAAGCCTTAGTAAGGCTTTTGAAGGTCTTGAGGTCATTCAAAAGGCTTGAGGCCGCAATAACACCCACAGATTCATCATCAACGACGTGGGTATGAGAGATCAAAGCCATGTGCATCGCCGTTACCCATACTCATCGTCTGGTAAAGTGAAGGGCGTGATCTGACAAAGTTGGCACATGCCTTTGGATTCCCTTCTCCTGGCGAGGCAGACTCGTCGATATCCTGGTTCGATGACCATGGTATCCCTTTTGGTCCGCCACTGGTTTCCAGAAGGGGAGCGGCATCGGAATGGTCATTTGCATCTTGAGTTTGTGCTAGATAATTGGGAAAGCCTGGAAGAACAAGCTCTGGATCGAATGAGATGAGGATGAGGGGCCTCAATTGGCCGGATGCCATATGAGCTGGTGAATACACTAAGATCCGCTCATCCATAGACCATTCGATTCCTGTAATCGGCTGGATGGGGCTGACGATACCTTGGAGCTGAGCCAAGACATTATCGTGGCGGCACGTTTCTTGGTCTTGCGGCCATATGTTAACTGTAGGTTCTTGTTTCTTGGACTGAACTCTGAGTTGCAACGTCGATTCATGGTTGTAGGCCTCGAAAACGAGGTCGATAAAAGCATCGCATGATGGATTATATGAACGCACAAAGCAGTCTTGAAGGGTGTAGGCTTTTACGTCTGTTGGACCGTCACCAGTGTGAGTATTCTCACTTAACCGTTCTTCAGTATGATTCTCGCTACTCCATTCCTCTTCGTCGAGGCTGTCCATAGTTGACCCAGGCGGAGTTGGAAAAACAGGCTCTGTCTGAGGATCTTCCTCCTGTTGACCAAACTGAAGCCTCTTTTTGTAGCACGTCCTCTGACTGCCTGCGTTTCCTGGAAACCATTCCTTTCGTGTCTCAACGATGAACAGCTCCCCTGTTTTCTCGTCTTTACTGAGCTGCAATGAAGTCCAGCGCTCATCTACAGCGCCCTCTGAGTCATGGCGACGCCAGAGATTGCGCATCAGAAGCTTCTCGCACTTGCCATGGGCTGCATTGTCCACAGGAAACCGCACAACCTGGTAAAAGTTATTGCGCATTCCATCGTCAGCCTCTGTTTTAAACGTGTTGGCAGCACAGTAAAACTGCCCATCAAAGATTTCGAAGCAGATGTCAGAACCTATATTTTCCTCGTCAAAGTCCCATAAAATCATCTGCACGTCTTCCCACTTGCGAGTCTGGAGATTGAGGCAATGAAGACCCCATCTATAGCTCCCATCGAGTCTGGCATGTGATTTGGAACCCCAGAATAGGTAATTTTTGTCATTGCGCACAAAGGACGGGTATCTTGAATCTGGCCTTTTCACAACAACCCATCTTGGGGATTCTCTTAGCTCGAAGATGAGGAGCCAGCTGCATGTGGTGAAATCTTGGAAAATTTGCGTGGCGAGGCATGAGAGAATACCCTCAGCATAGTGAAGGGGCTCAAAGGTGTGCGTTTTTTGAGGGTCGTAGTCTCTCACTGCGACCTTGAGAAGCAGTGTAACATCGACTGTTAACTCAGATGTAGGCTTCTTGTCGAGGGTGTTGAGGACACGGAGATGCTTGCTATTAACAGTGTAGCACAAGTGACCATTCGTATAGATGAAACAATCTGCCATGGCCACTATAGCAACCATCCATGGCTCCGCTGCTCGAACAGCCATTCGCCGCTTAGCAAGCTTCCGGAACGCCCTCGGGAAGTTCTTTGTTGAATGTGCCTCCTGCGCTTCTGCAGAATACGGTGCCTTCTAAGGTGTCGTCAGCGGCAATCATCTCACGAAGACGAGAGGTTCGAACGAACCATGAGTGCAAGACGGCACATTCGTTCATCGAGAACGATGTGACTCAGAAACCGGCAGCTCAATGCCATATTAGACACATCGTCAACGTCGAGGAGCTCAACGAGGAGACAAACAATCTCGATGGGCATTTTGAGAAGGCTCATGGCTAGCACTGAATCAAGTCCACGTGCACGTAAAGAAAGTACCTCAGATAATCAGCCGCCGCCTATCACTCAATTTCACTGCTGGGTAAATACCCTCCCCATCTGGACTAACAGACAAGGGGTATCAGCTGAGCCGCATACCCCGCTTTTGTGTACGAGGCAGATTAACGCCACGCGACACGCAACCAGAATACGGTGTGCCTCGCTTTATCCCTTGTCACACGTCAAAAATTCCAACAAATGGCTTATCTTACGTTGTTCTGGGAGAACGTTGATCCGCTGACGCAAACGCTAAGATTACAGTGTTGTTTTTTGAGGCCGGCTCGGTATCTTTCACACTCCAATACCCCGCATCATCTCTCGCTACGGACATGACTGGTCTCATTTCCGAAAACCCAACCTCAAGCCTTCAGGAATCTATGCGTTCCAGTGGCGACTATTCTAGCTCGGAAGATGACATTCCAGGAGATGAGTCTTGTTGTGAGGGTCAACTTAGGGACTCCGCCTTTTATACCAATGAAAAGATTGAAGATGCCGTGAAGCGTATTTTATCTCAAGCCTTTCAACAGTTTTCAAAAGCTACACGGTCCTCTGCGCCACCTGACGAACTCGATCACTTCAAATGCCCCTTCTATGCTTCAAATCCAGAGAAATATCGAGATTGTCTTGCACGTCATGATCTTCGTTCGGTTCAGAGCGTGATCAGGCACATGCAACGCCATCACAAGCAGCCACCATATTGTCCAAGATGCTCAAAGACCTTTGAAACGGTGGCGAAATGCGATACCCATATCATGGAGAAAAAATGCAAAACTGAGCCCGTCATAATTCCAGACGGCATCAACGATTACCAGCAAAGGGAATTGAAAAGCACGCCGAAAAAGAGAGACTACCATCAATGGCCCACCAAGCGACGCTGGGAGCACATATACAAGCTGGTCTTTCGTGAAACACAATCCTGTCCTTCAGCATACTTGGACACTAACGAGATGACGGTATTGCAAGCTCGAGACTTCTGGAAGGCCCACGGTGGGAAATATATCACAGAATATTTTCAGGCTCAGAGCGGATTGGAAATGGAGTACGTGCAGGCAATGCTGTATAACGCGTGTCTACGCGCTCTAGTCGAGCATGTTGTCGATCAGAGGTTGATGGTTTCAGGAACAGGCTGGATAAAGTGCATCAAGGCACTTCAGGATTATCTCTTCTCCTTCTTCATCCCATGGCGATAGTACTTCGTCGCTTATCTGGTCTTTTGGCCCAGGTCTGCTACCTCTCGTTCTCGTCGCCAGCTTCTGGTTATGCCGATACGTGTACATTAGTCGTAGTTGGGTCAGGTTCTCCGTCCATTACCTCTTGGCGAAAGGTCACGGCTGGGCTCGAGGGACAATGTCGTTGATCGCGTCCAACACTACCGATATCAGCACGTCCGTCTGAGCCTTCTATGCTGCCACACTGTAACACTTCTAGCTTAGTTCCGACCGTCTCCTTGATTTCTAATCAAAGTGCATTCTTTACTATTAGTGTGTTGCTGGGCGCTCGTCCAGGCTGAGCCGTCTCGACCGAACAATGCTCTGTTAAAACTATCTCATAGCTCGCCAATTCCTTCGCCAACTCCGTTGCCTGATGGATGAAGCAGAGCTTACTCACATAGCACCAACACATGGTAACGCAGAGACAGTACTAAAAGATGTGTTGCTTCTCTCATTCCTTATGGTTTTCTTCGGAGAACTAATTTCGGTTCTGTCGTCATTTACTCAAGGGAATCCATCTACGAATGTCGCTAAATTCGTCAGAAGAGAGACCTGATGCATCGGGCCAGACGAAATTATTTCTCGAGGGACGTCCACAGGGCATGGGCCGCAGGCCATGAGGGCAGGTACCAGAAGAGAGCGATACCGGGGCCTGTTTTCAAGTCCTTAGGAAAGAGAACATGAGGTACCACGTTAAATAACTCTGAACAACGCCGAAGTTAGAGCGAAATTAGTATCAATAGCCAGACTTGTCAATCGAATGAAAGGCCATTGACTGCCAATCGATATGCAACGCATAACAGCCTCAAGGAAGTATAGCAGTAACAGTCAAGGTTACAACCTGTAACATGTATAACCAGAGGTGCCTAAGTCTTAGACTGCTGTTTTAGTAGAAGGAAGTATATTTGATAGAATTAGTTTAATTAGCTTAGGGTATGCGGGTACCCGGAAAGTGAGTGGGGCGTGGATCGAAGGCCCTACCCGTTGGCCAATACAACCCTCAATTTAGAGCCTCAAAAGAATTTGAGGCTCTGTCGATACGACTTCATGAACGAGATCCGCACTCAATGTATGTAACAAACCTAACTCGACATCCCAGAAGCTGGGACGACAGTGCAGATTAAGCGCCGTTCGACCCGTTGCCTTATTACTTTCCCCTGCAAGTCCATCATTTCCCTTTCTACTGTCGTTTACATTATACTCGAGACAGAACAAGCTTTTCATGATATTAATAGTGCCATTGTAGAAAAGCCACACGCGACAACCTGTTAGCTAAGTGACATATCAAATTCTCGCCTCTATTACAGGGAAACTGGGGGCGGCTAGGAACGAGCACTACCCATCATTTATGGTTTTCCTGCCGCTTCGAAACCCTGTGCTGCATGTAACTACTCCAAGTTGCTAGGGAAAAAAAATATTTTTAACCTTCCCTTTGGTCTGGGTTATTCTGATACGTTTTGGCCGAGTATGGCTTGCATTATCACATGCTGCGTTGTCCCTTGTATGAATACCCAACAATTGTTTCGACAGGGATATAGAGCCTCACCGCCATAATTCACATGGTTACGGATGTTGCTATTGGCGGACTTCTATTGCAACGTTCAGGGGACGCACATTCCGGGTCTCGGAGCCGACGGCGATGTTCTTCAGCCGCAACATGGCCATCCCTGTGCAGAATATGAGCCATACCATGTAAGCTAGAGCTGTCTGCTATCAGAACCACAAGAGTTTGATCACTACTCCATGGTGAAAAAGTACAGTTTAAGTAACTGATACCAGCGCAAGATGAGCTTCTCGATATTTGATCCTGTCCGACGGATGTGCGTTAATGTGACGAAGGCCCCTCATTTCAGGGGCTGCTGTAGAGATTTCCTTCTCATCTCACTTCCAACAATCCGCTACAAAGGTGAGAAGCCGCCAGCCTTATCCGACGGCCAAACATATCATACTAATCCCAGTGGTTAGACGCCGAGGGAGCGGCATGACTGGAGGACATGCATATTGTGTGCTGGGGTCTCTGACTGCTGCAATACATCTGGTATAAAGGATGTCAGTCGAGTATAAGAACCAGAGATTTTAGCTTCACTGTCTTGGTATAGATGTTTGCCACGCCCAAAACCATCAACACCATAGAATCGACAAACCAGCACATTCCATCTCTACCTTCGTTGGCGGATCCTCACCAACGCGCAATGTCAAGCCATGAATTGACCCCTGTGTCGTCGACAACGACATCTCCACGCCCGTCTTCTATCTTTTCATGCAATGTGGACGACGAATTAGCCGAACAGTCATCTGATGACACGGAGACTATGATTGATAGTGAGAATGATAGCGAGGATGAAAGTTTAGAGCCCAAGACGACAATGCCGACCGACGAATCTATACCGTCCATACCATCACGCCTGGAACACCGCACCCGCAGGGCTGCTCTAGTTCTTGAGTGGATTCAGAACATTCAGCATCAGGGAGACTTGATGAGTGAGGAGGTGGTGCCTGAGAGACATCCAATCTTGATTTGCCTTCAGCTACTCCGGCCTGCCATTCTCCTTCTCCCTGAGCTTCAGCAGGCCCTTGGCCTCGAACCGATGGAAATTCCTGAGAAGTACAGCACCCAGACTGTCTGCGGCTGCAAGGAATGCATCGCAACCAAAGAGGACGAAATTGATGCATTCTTTACTGTTAATATCGATATCATTGGCGCGTTGACCTTCATGGGATTTGCCAATCGGTTCGGATCTTGGGAAGCTTGTTCGATTCATGACATGATATTTGGCGAAGTCGGATTATTGGAGATAATGAGGAACCTGCGAATGTATTGCCGAGATTCTGGGCACGTGCAGTCGTTGCCGACAACCCTTCGGTATGCTGCTGCCACCATGTATCTAGACTTTTTCGAATGTTGCATTGAGGTGGTTTGTCGATAGAGACTGGAGGTATCAATAACACTTGATCTTTTCTTGCAATAAACCTCTAAAGGCTCCGTTGCGATATAAGATTTAATAGTAAGCGTGGAAGCTTTTAGTAGAAGCTTATATTGTGGGGGGATCCCCTTGTTGTTTGTACCTGCGTTAGCTGCCCCAAGTTTATTTTTACGGCTTGCAATTCCTCCTAGAGGTGCATGAGACGTTTGGCCGCGAAAGGGGTACTGCCTCTGTCGGAGAGTAGTCCACGAATGGTAACCACAGGATTACGTCTATGGAGAAAGAACGATCATGTAATGGCTAACAGGTTTTTAACAACCAGACAACGCTCATTTGCGGCCGGTCGTTGGGAAGGAAGATCTTGGAGAAATTGCTACCCTGAACACTGTAGTCACGTGTTGGCTCAGTCACTCTGTGTGCCTCACCCAATCATTATTCGATGAGTTCACAGTCTCGGTCAGTCTTCAAAGTGGCTATGACGAGGCGCAGTCGGCAAGGCAGACTTCCATCTTTGCCAACAAGTATTTAAATCAATGGCTGTTGTCCAGAAGCTCAGAATGCAATTTCACTTCTCATTGTGTCATAAAACTTGAGAGCCAGTATCGGAACATCCAACAGCTATCGTTCAGCGTCGTGGTTCAGCTTGCCGAGTACGACCTTTGCACCTCCACCCCAACAGGCAAGTATAAAACGACAGAGACTTGAGAAGGACCGGTCTTCAAGAGGAATCTCACTATCTTCTGACAAGGCGATCTAACAGGCGCTCCGCAGGAGATGTATTAGAGGCTAGTTGATTGATCGCGATCGCTACCAAATACCGAGACACCTGGCTGTTCGCAAAACAGCCGAAAGACCATTTTTGTGTGAGGATGGCCGATCCAAACATCGCGATGACCGTCGCGCTAATTCTATTGATGTCAACATGTTTCCCGACCTGCCTACCAGAAACATACTTGGTTTTGCCGTTGCTGGCGGGAAGACTTTTGTGGACCTCGCCTCCGCCCGCCCTCGCTTTTTACCAACCTTTCCGTGTCGCTGCGTTATCTGAATTGCCACGCAGCAAGGCATCATCAGCAAGGTGCTCCACCAAGGTCCTTCTCCCCGGCCCTACCAATTCAGCCCTAGACCCGCAGTCACACAGGATGGGTTGCAGTGGATGGTACAGTGCGAGCCCTCCTCCCATGTTGGCCAAATCGAGAGCACAGGGTTCGCTTAGATGTGACACTTTTCAGGGTGGTTCGCTCTGACAGGCGACAATAGCCACCCTTGCTTCTCGACAGGGGCCAGACACGCTGCACCCCTGACTCCGCTAACAGAAGTAGCCAGGTTTTGCTCATCCTGCGCTCGCCAGGGCATCCCCGCCAGCCGCCCCTGATTGTGTCTCAAAAAGGAGCAAGACATGCAAGCACACAGTAATTGAGACAAAGCCCGATTGTAATAGCCAATGGCTTGCGTTGAGTAATTTCCGCACCCCACTCTGAGCCGCGTTTCGTTCCTTTTTTCTTTTTCTTCTTCTTTTTCTCTGAGACCTCTAACCGAGCAAACGACGACAGCCAGTAGCCATGCATGACCAACTCTTGATACAAGCATCTGCTCAAACACCCTGCACCACTCACCGCATGGGAGTGAGGTACCTCGCTTGCATGAAGTCAGACGCCGAGGGAACGTGGAACAGACTTGTGTCCCACAGCCTTCACTCTACACCTTTGTCACTAGGAAGGATGGGTCACTGCAGGCTACGGCTGCAGATCTTTCGGTCCCCTGCCATAGCCTTATTGTCTCTTTCCTCTCCATGCCTGGATTCCTCCGGTCGGACCAGCGTTGTCCATCCCCAGCTTCGCACTGATTTACCCGTCCCGCAGCCCAACCGTTACCATGAGTATAAGTGTCTTCGACCTTGCCAACATCTTGTCTCAAGAATAGGTAAACACGTTTGGCCGATCTCAGTTTTCCCTAGTTCTTGTACTCACCTCTTTCATCACACCAACAAATATCGAGAAGCTGTGCCTTGATACCACCGCTTCGGCAATGCCTCACTCGCAACACGACGAAGATGCCTCCGCAGCGACGGGTGGTGCTCCCATACCGGTGACGCTTGTTACCAACTCTCTCGAGAAGCCTTCACTTGACGATCGTGATTACCGAGTTATTCGTCTGGACAACGAGCTCGAGGCTCTATTGGTACATGATCCCGAGACCGATAAGGCCAGCGCTGCGCTGGATGTCAATGTGGGAAATTTCAGCGATGAGTCTGATATCCCCGGTATGGCCCATGCGGTCGAACATGCAAGTGCCCCAATTCAACATTTGTGATGTCATACAACCAGACAATGGACTAACATTTCTACTTGTCAACAGCTTCTCTTCATGGGCACGAAGAAATTTCCGATTGAGAACGAATACGCCCAATATCTCTCCGCCAATTCAGGAAGCTCAAATGCTTACACAGGGCCAACATCGACGAACTTCTTTTTCGATATCTCTGCCAAGCCGGGCAATGACCGGGAACCTTCCGATACCAACCCATCTCCTCTGCGCGAGGCTCTCGACCGATTCGCCCAGTTCTTCATTGAACCGCTATTCCTTCCCGAGACCTTGGATCGAGAGCTGAAGGCTGTCGATTCAGAAAACAAAAAGAATCTTCAAAATGACACCTGGAGGCTGCATCAGCTAGAAAAGTCTCTATCCAACCCTAACCACCCGTTCTGTCACTTCTCAACCGGCAATTTTGAGGTTCTCAAGACCCTCCCCGAAGCACGTGGAATTAATGTGAGAGACAAGTTCACCGAGTTTCATGACAAGCACTATTCAGCAAACCGCATGAAGTTGGTTGTTCTAGGAAGAGAGTCACTCGATGTACTTCAGAAATGGGTTGCTGAGCTGTTCTCCCCTATCGTGAACAAGAAGCTATCACCGAACAGATGGCCTGGTGAGCAACCTTTCAGAGAGACTGATCTCGGCATGCAATGTTTTGCGAAGCCCGTCATGGACTCTCGAGAGCTTAACCTATACTTCCCCTTTATCGACGAGGAGTTCATGTTTGCCACTCAGCCTAGCCGCTATCTCAGCCATCTTATCGGACACGAGGGACCTGGAAGTATCATGTCATACATCAAGTCCAAGGGTTGGGCAAATGGTCTAAGCGCCGGTGCCTACCCCGTTTGCCCTGGTACTCCTGGTATCTTCGATGTACAGGTTCGCTTGACGGAAGAGGGTCTTAAGAACTACCCTAAAATCGTCAAGATCTTTTTCCAGTATATCGCTCTCCTGCGTAAGAGTCCACCCCAGGAGTGGATATTTCAAGAGCAGAAGGGAATGGCTGATGTCGATTTCAAGTTCAAGCAAAATACGCCTGCCAGTCGCTTTACCAGTCGAATCAGCTCGGTTATGCAAAAGCCTCTTCCTCGGGAATGGTTGCTCAGTGGACACAGCCGTCTCCGAGAATTTGCTCCTGATGAGATCGAGAAAGCCCTTGCCACGATTCGCCCGGATAACTTCCGCATGGTCATTGTATCACGCAACTATCCTGGCAACTGGGACCAGAAGGAAAAGTGGTACGGAACTGAATATCGACATGAAAAGATCCCCAGAGGTCTTATGGAGGAGTGCAAGAAAGCGTTTGCAGTCTCTCCCAAGGATCGACTGCCTGCTCTTCACCTGCCTCACAAAAACCAGTTCATTCCCAACAAGCTCGAGGTCGAGAAGAAGAAGGTGGACGAGCCGGCACTGAACCCCCGGGTTCTTCGTAATGATAGCATTGCCAGGACATGGTGGAAGAAGGATGATACCTTCTGGGTTCCCCGCGCCAACGTTATTGTCAGCTTGAAGACACCAATTATCTATGCTTCGGCAGAGAATAATGTCAAAGCTCGACTTTTCACTGACCTGGTCCGTGATGCGCTCGAGGAGTACTCATACGACGCGGAGCTGGCTGGCCTACAATATAACGTAAGTCTCGACTCGCGCGGTCTGCTCTTGGATGTCAACGGCTATAATGACAAGCTGCCTGTGCTCTTGGAACAAGTCGTCACAACAATGCGAGACCTGGATATCAAGGAAGATCGTTTTGAGATTGTCAGGGAGCGCTTGATCCGAGGATACAGCAACTGGCAGCTGCAATCATCCTACCACCAGGTTGGCGATTACACCAATTGGCTCAATGCCCCCAAACGGGATTTCATGGTAGAGGAGCTCGCAGCGGAGCTTTCAAGCGTCACATTGGAAGGTGTCAGGCTGTTCCAGAAGCAGATGCTTGGCCAGGTTTTCATCGAAGTGTACGTACACGGTAACATGTACAAGGAGGACGCTCTTAAAGCAACCGACATGGTCGAGTCCATTCTGAAGCCGCGGGTTTTGCCCAAGGCCCAGTGGCCTATCCTACGGTCACTCATTCTGCCCAAAGGTTCCAACTACGTCTTCAGAAGGACCCTCAAGGATCCTGCTAATGTCAACCACTGCGTCGAGACTTGGTTTTATGTTGGTAGCAGAGAAGATCGCGACGTTCGAACCAAGACTCTACTTCTGGACCAGATGTTCCATGAGCCAGCCTTTGATCAGCTCCGGACGAAGGAGCAACTCGGTTACGTCGTTTTCAGTGGACCTCGAGCCTTCTCGACGACGTATGGCTTCCGCTTCCTCATCCAGAGTGAAATGACACCAGAATTCCTTGACTCGCGTATCGAGGCCTTCCTCATGAGATATGCGGACACTCTGGAGAAGATGAGTGAGACTGAATTCGAGGGCCACAAACGAAGTTTGATCGTCCGGCGTTTAGAGACGCTCAGAAACCTGGAACAGGAGTCCACTCATCATTGGACCCAGATCACGAACGAATACTTAGACTTCGAGCTTGGTAAGTTAACAAAAGGCATGCTTTATCTGGTGGACATCTACTAATCCTCTTCACAGCCCAGCGCGATGCCGCACAGATTAAGCTTCTGACCAAACCTAAGGTCGTCGAATTCTTCAACCAGCGCCTCAACCCTGCCTCCAGCCAGAGAGCACGGTTATCGATTCATCTGCAGGCTCAAGGCAAGGCTGACGGGGTTGATAAGCGACAGGAAGAGGCTCAGAAGAAGGCCGATGAGGAGTCCTCCCCTGGAGATGCTGTGAAGACGGCCGAGGAAATCACTGATGTTAGACTTTACAAAGCACGTCTCACTGCCAGTTCCGGAGCCAAGCCCGTCAGAGACATCAGCGAGTATGAGGATATGGATGCGAAGCTTTAGGGGGTGTTATGTTACCTTACTTCTGGGCTAACCACTTAGCGTGGATCGGCAACTCATTCGATGGAAGTGAGCATTCTATGGAAGGACAGAGGGCTCATGTTGGGACTTGAGGGAAGGACCATATTGCATCCACTCCTGTTGACATGAGAGTTGGGTAGCATAGTAGGTTGTCGAACAATCTCAACAGAATTGGAGGGGGTAGGAAAGGCTTCAAAACAGTACAGATGCAGTTCTTGTCCTTCTGACTCTTGCCTCAGAGAGTACCTGAGGATTGGGACGTATGGGTCAGCCGACCTTGGTTCAAACGTAGTATCGTGGAGGGGAATCTCAACTTGGTGGGATTTAGTAGACTCTTAGTAAAAGTTTATATAATACCTTAATCATGGCACTCTCAAGCGGTAGACAACAGCCTCGCGGAGGAGAAGGGATTGTCGGAAACCATGGTGAAACCGGAGTGTGCAGCATTCATTGACATGGACGACGACGACGAGATCTGGATCCAAGCAGACTGTGAACTATCCAATTTATACAGAGTAATGAAATAGCCGACAGACAAACGTCAACTTGCAGGAACCTCAGAGCCACGATCTATGATGCTGTGACGATGCTGTGACGATGTTATGGCTGGAGCCAGGCACAGCAACTCAATGATTCTTCTCATGGAGAAGCATTCATGCCTACAAATCGTCAGATTTTATACCAAGGAAACCAGGAAGTTTATTCTTACTTAGCTTCTCCTGCGTCGCCGACGCATTCAGAGAAAAGTTCGGGCGCCGCATGACGCGAACGTCAGACGCCAGTAGAAGCCTTTAATTTACCCCCGCTATCAGACCTACGTTACAGAGGGACTTCCCTCCGACAACTGCACCAAGACACCGTGCCATTTCTCAAAGGCGCTTTCGAGCCGCTTGCTCGCGCAGCCAATATCACAGATCACATACATTTCGACGTTTACTCTCTGAGGTTTCTCCCTCAGTTACACCGACGCGCTCAACCTGAAACTCCTATCAACGAACCTAGAGCGCGCACCGACGACGATCTCACACCGGAGTCAGAAAAGAGCAGTGCTTCCTCAAGAAAGCTCATAACGATCAGAACTCTGTCCATCATCTTTGGGGCAGCCACCAGCCGCAGAAACGGGCCCATCTCTCTCGAAAATGCAAAGCAAAGCAACTCAGCCCTGGGCCAAATCCTCCTCTTCACGAGACTCGAAAAAATGAACTGTCGGCGCGAGGACACGAAACCTGAAATCCTTGCAAGATTGGTTACTTGAGAGGCTTCGCGATTGAAACACGAGTCGACAAAACGAGAAATGCTCCCAACACCGACATTTGAGCTACAGGTCAACCTACAAATCAGCTACCGCAGGTGAATTCTTCGCACGATCGACTTAGACGCTCTGCGAAGATGTGAGGGAAGAGGCCAGCCCAGCCACATTGCGGAACAACTGGGCAGAGGGTCTGGGGGGACACTGCATACCCTGACCACACAGGACAGATGACAAAGCTAAAACCGGAGGAAACAAGCACAACACGCCATATTGAACTAAGCGTGTGTAGCCCATCGGCCGGCAAGACTCTGAACAGGCTGAGACACCTAACCTCGACGACAATCCGGCACTACGAGCGGTTTGAAAATGCGAAGCAACTGAGTTATTTACCGGCGCTTGACAGGGAATGGAGAGGTTCAGCCTTAAAGCTGAAAAGCAATGGTATATGCCGCCGGAAAGTGTGCAGAGCTGGGAAGCTCAGTACTTTGAAAGATGGGCAGAGAGAGAGTCACAGAGATGTAGACTTGTTGGGAATGGTCACATCCTGCATCGATAACGTCTGGTTTCTATATCCGATCTGCAAATTCACAGCGTTGGCACGCGACGTTTCCAATCCCGATGCCATGGAAAAGACTCAGTGGAATGATGTCACGTCCTGCGCAGTCCACGAGACAAAATATCGAGGATGTGCCTGTCCGATGCCGAGTGATGCGAGGTGGAGCTTTAGGGAGCGGTTGTACTCTCCCGCTCCCCTCATACCACGGGTGCACTTGATAAGAGCCCTTCAAAGGTCAGGTTTGCACTGAAGGGACAACATCTGACCTACCAATAGGCACAGGCGACCCAATAAAAGCTCGCTTCTAGTATCGACATCTGGTCTTGCGAATATGGACTCTCCAGCATACGCTCACGGGCGGCGGCATCTTGCCCAGAAGCCTAGTGTTGGGGAACAGCCCCTTCACCACGATACCACTGCGTCTGCTGATCTTGCTGGCGAGATGAACTTTCCATCTGCCAGCCCTTGGATGATCTCACAGGTTGTCAACAGCCATGGTGTCTTACGCCATCGAAGTCGTGACGAGTAGAGATCCCAATGTCAACGTTTGTAACGCTGTCGTCCTCATCCCCAGGGGGCAACCGAACCTCGGAGCTGTCCCCTTATGAAGGCGATGGAACAAACCATTGCAAGTCACTGCAAAAGAAGGCGACATTGAAGGGTCGAATGCCCATTGGGGATCGATTGATAGACTATATCGAGGCGTTTACTGCACTTCAAGGCAATCGCAACTCGTGTCAAGAGAGCACCAAGGGGAAAGCAGGACGTTACTCTGATACTGTCCATGGTTTGGTAAGTTGACGACAACGAGACTGTGAATTCATGCAATTAAATACAACAATACCTAGAATTAATAGGCGTAGTAATGCAAGAATTGTTGTCGGCGCGTCTTTGCTAACATGGTCTAGCATTCTGATGCGTTGACGAGATAGGACCGCGATGCGTAAACTTGATGATGATTTAAGGCTTAATTAGGACTTACACTTGTCGGAGCAGCCAGCAGGGAAATTTGAGCATTGGCAGCATATTTCCCATCCTATTCTACATGCCTATGATGCACTCGCAGTATTGAAGACCGGCGTAAGTCCAAGCCATCTATCCCACCAAGCAAGATACTCCGTCTCCATCCAAACCGCTCACTCTCTCAGCACCGCAATGCTATGATATAACCAAGGTAAATCGCCTGCACGCGGCCCATGACACCCGAGCTACCCGCTTTTCTTCTAGACCGGGCTACGGGAGTATGCGTTCCTTCGGACTCAAACTCAAATACCCCCTGGACCCTTGTTCAACAGCGCTTCTGGGGCCTTCCTCTACTTCAGCCTGCAAACACAGCACCCTCTTGCTTTGAAACGACAGTAACCTCTTCTTATGCTGTTGACGTCGATCCCGTGTTGCATTCACCAATCACCTCCTTGACGATGAGAACAAGGTTCACTACCCGACGTGACATCCGTCACATGCTGTGAGCCCCCAGTCCAAACCCCCTCACCAGAGACATGTTGGAATCCCCCCCTTTATAGAAGCCGTCCCGCACTTCCCGCGAGATGTGGCACATTGGCAATCGTTCCCTCAAATTCTGTTCGGCATGTTTCTACAATCGACCTTCTCGAATACCATCCACCTGCGCGACTTCGTCGACGCCGTCACAGACGACCCGAGTCGGGAAAACGCACCCAACTACGTGGAAATACAGACCGATGCCAACATCTTCGAGGAAAGTGGCTTTTATAGTTCTAACGTCAACGTCGAGCCTATTCGTACCCGCATCCATACTTATCTCACACGAGAAGACCGGGAGCTCTACGTGCCAAACGCCTTCTTCTACTACCTTCCGAGACCGGCCTCCGTCCCCACGGCCACGCCGACGCCATCCTCTACTCCGACTTCAAAGCGGTCCGCCCGCTGGGAGGGTCGTGCCACTCCGTTCACCCCTTCTAAAAGACGACGAGGCTCTGACAGCGCCTACCTTGCAGAGTCTTCCTACAAGAACCAGCTTCCCCAATCCACAGAAGGCCGATCTCATGTATCGCTTTCAGAAGATAGCCCAGATTCTCCGGCTAATTCCCCCTCCAATTCCCCCTCTCCATCGACCATGGTCAACACTGGCGAGACCAGTATCACTTTACATCCTTTCCCAAGCTCAGACCGCGAGACTAGGCCGCATCGCAATCGTCATCCCCCAAAGAAGTATCCTCATAAAGAGTAAAAAGTTGCGTTTGTGCTCAAGTCCTCATGTATTTCCTACGATTCAAAGCGGTAACCCAACTATGCAGTTTTACCCTTTCCCTGCCATTCTGGCGTCTTATTTTACTATGCTCTCTCTCTTGCGATTCTTCCAATTCATTCTTTTGTGATCTTTCCTTCAGCATTCCGCCGCCTTGCAGAACGGCTGTGATAGGCGATCCGCAACTGACGCAAAAGGATTGGACGCTGCGCGACAACTGGCCTCGTGCTCTTACATGAAAGGCAATATGGCACGAAGATAAAGACCGGCGAAGGAAGATTCTTGACAGCCTTCGGATACGGCGGTGATCAGGCTCTCTGGGGCTGGATTGTTGAAACTCAGCCCCTCAACTGCCTTGTCGCAAAGGAACTGGAGCCGAACTGAGCACTTCGCCACGTTTACAATAAATGATACCCTGTAGATTCTGAGATTCGGGCTGTCGTCAAATGAACTGAGCATAAATCTACTGATCGTGAGCTTTTGAGGGATTCATCTTTCTAAGAATCCCGCTTTGTGTAGGGTCGTTTTAGAGTTTGTGGGGCATGTTTCACAAAGACCCGGTGTAACCATTAGCATGGTGTTTCAAGCAAACCTGTCAAGTAGAGGTAGAGGCAAGCGAGGCTAGAACGGAGATGGTGCGGGCAAAGAAGTGGGGCTCTCTTAGGTGTGATGGGTGGTAACCTCAATACAGCAAAAAGCTAGTTTCCTGTTGAGGTTGCATTACACATAGCTTGCAGTCATCCGCAGAAAATGTTATCCCCTGCCCAAATCCCATCTTGAATTTCGTTCCTCAAGGCTCTTTCTGGCAACCCGCTTGCGGATTGCGTCTCCTGTGCACCAGATCTGCTGCTCCACAGATAACACTAGAATGATCATGTGACTTCGCTACGGTTTCGCGTTATATTTAATTTAGTGACACCGCCCTCTCGTACCCCGCGACACGCAAGGATTAAAGCGACAAACTTTAAAAAGGATCGTGCTTCCCACTTCACCATTAAGTGCTATCACCGACTCTTCCCAATCCCTCCTTGACATTTTAAATTTTCCATCACTGGTACGGATGTTAAGACTCTTCGATCGTTTGATATTGTTTTTGTCTATATCCCTTCTTGTCCCTTATCAAGAATCTATCCGCCGTCTCTCAAATGCCATAGAATCTAGGAAAGGGACTCAAACCCTTGGTTATTCTTATAAGACGGCACTTTTCCCGAATGCGAATTTCACTGCACAACTCAGCGGTCGGGCAGACATGCCAGCTTCACAGTCCTCTACCTCTTCGACTTCACCGTCGCGCAACGGTAACGGTGCATCACTGGACACAACGCCTTGTACTTCACAGGCGCCCGTTGTCACCCAGCGAAAAAGGCGTCCGCAGCGCATCTACCAGCCCGCAAAGAACTCACTCTACGATATCTTCCAGCAAAATGCCAGCACACCACTGTTTGTGCCACCTATTTGTTGGACAGATTTACACGCTCAACTACTCGGTGCGAAATGGGAGGAACTGCCGTCATGCGATACGCCTCAGCCTTCAGCAGCCCCAGGCACGCCACCAACGCGAGGACACTTGAGTCCATCGAATACCATCATCAATCTTAGCAACGCGCTCACGCAGATTCTCCTGCCCGACCCACTGAGCCCTATTCTATCCTCCGACGCTGTCAAATCGGTTCTCAACACACTGTGGCCTACACCTTTCAACAAGCCGCAGCACCTGCCCGAACTCCATTTATACTTTGGCGGTCGCGTTTATCGTGATGCTGTACGTGTGCAGCTTATGTGGAATTATCCTTCTGAGGAGGCAAAGTCCTCATCCTCTTCATTCAAATCAGTTTCAACGCGACCCGCTGAGTCCTTCAACATCTCATCGCAATCGTCTCCCAACTACAGCCCCGCCAACCTACCCATGATCTGTTACATTGGCAAGACTCAATTGGCTTCAGTCCGAAACAACCTTTTTCGCGTCGCATCTGGACCTGGACGAACATGGAACGAGCCCGTGTTTCGCCTTCAGCAACTGCGAGCTCGTATCCTCGCACCCTCAAATTCCGATCACGATGCTCACTTTGTGGGCGTCTTTCTAGGGATGGCACAAAAGCACTTCTACCCTGCCCCACCTGTCAGTGGCAGACGTGACTCGCGCATTTCACCAGGACAAGGCATTCCACCAAGCCCCAACTTCCACGACATCAAGTTGAAGATTATCACCCACGACATTGATACATCCGAGTTTATTGTTTACACTGGTCACATCACAAAGGAGTTCTTGGAGAAGTTCCACGATCCCTTCAAGGCTCCGGCCGACGATGATGATGCTATTGTTTCTGGTCTCAAGATTGAGTACACAAGAGTTCCAATTTGGCCTATTCTCGGTCTTAGAGAGAGACTGGGTAAAGCCTTGGGCCAAGAGATTGTCGGAAGTTTCGACCCAGATGAAATAGAGACATGGGAAAAAGACCCCGAGAAACCAGGTTGCAAGAAGCGCAAACTGAATACTCTCTCAGAAGGTGTTAACAGCGACGTCGGCGGAGATACCGAGGAAGATACTGAGGAAGAATCAGAAATTGGTACAAAGAAACGTTTTCTACATCAAGACGCACCTGTGGGCGTGACGACGTGAAAGCGGTCTACACGCAGTGTATGATGTGAATTGAAGATGGGAGACATGTACCCCTGGTTCAATGTTAAGGACGACAGGATGCATTCGATCAACAAACTACATCGGCTGGGCCGCCTTTGGGATTGCATGGAGATACTCCTTGTGTTGCAGACATGTATGGCATTGGCAATAGCGCAAGGTTATCAGGGAGTTAGGTTATGTACCGCTGCATTTCACTTTTGAGATACAAGGTTGGCGAGGGACTCAACATATGTAAATATCCCTTTCTTGATAGGGGCAGAGAGTCTGAGCAAGAGCCAACAAGAATGGTAAAGCAAGGGCTAGATGAGTGGATGCGACAACTAGTTAAAGCAGTTGACGAAACCGAAAGAATTCAACCGCAAAAGATTGCATTCCCAGTATGGTTCAATTTGAAAAGGTATAAGCAATTAGTAACTGTACAGTTGCGCTTATTGTGGCTCAGTGACCAACACTCGAATCGCATAATAATCATGAACTCGTCACATAAATTTGTATGAGTCTGAATGCCACTACTCTTATTTTGTACGGAAGCAGTACTTTCGAATCCGCCGTGGCTGTCCAGAAACGACCGCCGCTTCCTACAATATCTTGTCTCGTATATCACAAGTCATGACGTTGTTCTCACTAAACGGCCTCGTCACACCCTTGGGCGCTATGAATCGATCTTTTTGAGCTTCGTGCTCAGCAGCGAAGGTATGTCAATGGCCAAGACAAGTTCGAATTCAGCAATATCAATGCAATCCAGAGTAACCCCGAATATAGAGGAGGTTGTACAGTCCCGGCCGAAATTAGAGGCCGCTTGCCTAATTCAAGAAATGTAAGATAAGCTTTCGCGCACGGACCGAACCGTAGCCCATGTGGCTTACGACAGTGCACCGAGCGCTGCAAAAACCGTAATGTTGACCCTATCTCCTTGTAATGCCTGTCATTATCGCATATTGTCATCAAACTAACCAACTATAGGTCCCAAAAGGTAGAAGTCATCTGATTATATGTAGACGCATCCAGAATAAGTCCTAGATTTCTGGCTTGAAATGACTTTCAAAGAAAGGCCAAATCGGAGAGCAAGACCTTGCTCTCCGTGATGTCATTATGGATAAGCAATCGACAACGAAAGTTAATATCTTCCCTTGACTGAGGTCTATTCTGGACGTGGAGGGATGATGACATCTGCTCATTTGAATCCATAATCAGCCTCCATGGAGATTACGGCACGTGCTTGGACATATTCCCAGCATTTCCAGTCATACACACTGTAAAAGCCACATTAGCCACTGCTGTGGTCCGTGCGCGAAAGCTTATCTTACATTTATTATACTAGGCAAGCGGCCTCTAATTTCGGCCGGGACTATAACCGCCTCACACCAAGAATCCTGCTATGCCCGCGGTCGAGGTGCGGCGCCCACCGAGTGAAGCAATACCAAAATGACATTGCGGAGTACCCCAAAGCCATAGAAAATGAGGAAGAATACTTATCAGCACAGCTTTTGAAGTGATTGATTAGGATGATCAAGTTCATGCCAATGATGACTACCCCGAGGCGGAAGGAAGCAAGGTGAATATATGTTGAGGACCCTCCAGTGGTCCAATCAGTGGTCAAGCCCGACTCGACCCACTTGCTATTTAATACAGCGGGCAGGTTCATATCGGCACCAATATTCACGACCCAATTACGAGCTGTGTTTCTCATGGTTGTGTTGGAAGGGAAAACTTCTTCTGCCGAGCTAGGCTGCACAATGTATCAGGGTCCCATTCAGTCGATCGAACAAAAAGAGGTACAGATGCTGTATGCTTGATATAAGTGCTCGTACCGAGTGACCCTGAGACCGACAGTCTCAAGTTGCCTCTTGATAAGAATACGTGAGGTGTGGATATGACGGCACGTCAGAGAAAAAAGATCTGGCTTGCGTAACCACTTCCTCCTATTTCTCCCGCCGTGCGTATGTTTCAACCATGCCCTCGTAGTTTTGCAGGTACTAAAAACTTGTTGAATCAAGTCTCCACATCACACTCCCTCTCATAGCCAAAACCTTTGACGTGCTGAAAACATTCCCCAGGCCGGATTAGGGATGTACAGACTCTGACGAGGCTTTAGCATAGTACGGCACCCATCATCAAGACAAGGGAAGTCTCCTGAAGTCTATAAGTAAAGAAGATTTCCCAAGCTCAACAACCAGAAACAGGAACTTTCATAACAAATTTTGTTGTATTATCTGCGGTCAATTATCACCCCAAGTCCTTTGCATTGTTTAAGATTAAGTTCATTTATTGTTAACGTAATCCATAAGCGAGCGCCGCAGACAAGCGAGCGCCGCACTACCCTATACACCTTAAATCCGGTTTTTAAAAAACTCTTTAAAAATCCAAACTAAGCCTAAAATAGCTATAATTTTAATAGCATATATATAAGTCTTAAAATAAGCTATTTTATCTTCTAAAGAAATTTAAGAAAATCCTATATAGCTATAAACTTTAAAACCTATTTACACTATATAATACACTGTATAATTAAGCTTTTCTTTATGAAGGATTTTTTTTTAAAAATCTAGGAAAAATATATAATATAACTATTACTATACTATTACTAAAAATACTTTTTCTATGTTTTTAGCTATTTTATTTAAGGTTTTAATTACTATAGGGTAAGCTATTTTTAGCTATACAGTGCAGTGCGGCGCTCGCTTGTCTGCGGCGCTCGCTTATGGATTACGTTAGTGCCCCTTTTCCAGCACGATATCTTCGTGGTGACCAAGCTTACCATCTAGCTACCACTGTGTGTATTATTACCCGGTGCCACAGCTTCCTACCCTATACTTGTTGCCCATTCTGGTTTACCAATCCGGAAACTTCCTTCAGACGAAACGAATCCTTTATGATATCTGCTCAGCCCGGTTCCATCAATATCATGAAGTGCTTAGGTGATTTTGCAAGCAAGTCGAGTTACACTTTAGCACGTCTTGTTAGTGTCCTAGTGGATACCTTGGCAAATGCGCACCAAAGTCCGTTCTATTTGTTAGGGCACTAACAAAAAATGCAGTCGAAACAGTGGTGGTGTAGGGTAGCCTTTGCGTGACATGATCATTAGCTGACATGACGTCACGCACTGCGGGGTGTGAGGGAATTGCTGTATGGCTGCGTTTTCGATGCTCAAGTTGATGGCCTCTTTCTATAAAGAATTGGGTTAGAGCCCCGATATACAAAGAAATTCAGTACTGCTTTTAGGAGATATCATACCTAAGGCCGGTGACACCTGACAAGCGCGTTCGTCGAATAACCAATTGCGACTGTTCAGTTTGAAGCGCGTTGAACATATGATCGTCTGATGCTACCCTAGTACTACTGAACTGCCTACCTTTATCTTTTATCTTTTATTTTTCTCAAATACGCATCATGCCTCCGCGTCAGGATCAAGGCCTTCCTTGTCACACTGAATGTTTTATACCCAAATAGAGAAGATACCTCATGAAGCTCAACGGTAGCCACGGCTTATCATAAAACCAGGGAAAAAAGCCAGTTATTATTAGTTCTTTACCAAAACAACGCAACTTCACCACTCAGTACAACCCTAGATAGTAGTGCCACAATTCATTGTGTAGATCAGTCATCCGAATCCGATGCCATCATCACAAACGCATCTTCATCTCAACAATCTTGTGCGGATCGCTTGAACAACCCAGCACTTTCCGGACCTTTTCGCCGAAGTGACGAAGAATTCATCGCCTATGCCCAAACTGTGATTAAAGTAAAGAGCCAGCAGTGTCCGATATACGCCAAGCATCATGCGTTGGGTCTCACTTCTGCTCAAACCCCTTCGATTGCAGGGCACTCCTGGCCGATGGCTGCATTATGCTTTGCTTTACCCCCCTGTCGTTGAAAATCAGGAGTTGGACATTCGGAAATCTGGAGGTCACCAGTTTCACTCGCAGCACAATCAGTTGTCAACGGGTTTTGTATATCACACTCTAGACCTACAATGCGGCGGTCGAGGCGGCGCCGCCTGCGCTTGACTTCGAAGCTGGGAATCGAGCAGCTTCCCAAGCGCCAAATCCGAAGCATAGGACGATATGGCCATGCAAGACAAAGTTTGGCAACACAATAAAGTAGTAGTAGCATGCTTTATTTCTATATGAAGTACCGGTATGACCTTGAAAAGCTGAAAGCAGACGCATTTTCTCCAAATTTACCATCCCCAATAATTACCTCCCCAATCCAACATCGACAGATTGTTATAATAGGACATATGTGCCGTTTAATACCGGGAAAAAAAATAAAACAAGGTAAAAATTGAATGCCAGTAAGAGAGAAAAGCTCAGAAGCATAAGATGCTATTAAAAGATCCAAGCTATCAAGGCTTCATGATATGGGGTGCTGTAACACCAGCCATCCAACGTCATTTTCCCCAAGCTGGAAATGATGGCCGCAAAAACCAAACTTCTCCCAGATTCTACCAAAAACAGGAAGCAGGACGGAAACGCCCAATGAAATGCCTTTCGAACCACAAGTCACATCATTCTTGCCTGTACATACTGCAGAACAGCATGTTTCTCCCATGGCGTCCAATGATGTGTATGTACTCTTCGATAATGAGAATCGAGTTCTTAATGAAACAGAGATTGTCGCGTGGTCCGGGCTTGGTATGATCGTGATGTTGCAAGTAGTTATCATAAACAAAAAAAGGGGTAAAAACATGCGGGATATGACATCGTAATACATATAACGATTTCAAGACAGCATTCATCACATACTCGCTAGTCTGCTGATGGGCAGTTGCAAATAAGGATCTTCGAACTCGATCTTTGGCCCGTAGATATCGTACACTGCAGTCCCGTATGCTGGTAACTGCCCGATGGTTGTAGCTTCGATCGGTGGGTCGTAGTGTGACCACTGTTCTTGATGCGGCTGTCCTGATGTTGGAGCGTAGTGTCCAGTCGTTGCGGGAATATGCTGAGGTTGGGAAAACACCGGCTGTTGAGGTTTAGTCATATGATGTTGAATAGGTTGATGGTATTGAATCATGGCTGGTTGAGATTCGGCTGCTGTGTATGTAGGCTGGTTTCCAGGCTGGTGTGCGTAAAAGCCCTCAGGAATCATGGGGCTCGGGACAGACGTAGCGGAAAAAATGACTACTTTGAATGGAAGTTGCAGTTCCCGATGCAGTGTATGGAGGTTCCATGGGAGGCCGTTCCACTTGTTGTGATAGTTGATAATGAGGCGGTCTGGTGCTTGTCATGGTAGCAACACCTGGATTCCCTGCCTCGGTGACATAGTATGCTTGACGTGGCATGGCTACTGTCCGATGGACAAGCTGAACGTGCACATGTTGCTCAGGTGCGGGAGTCCCACCATATTCGTGAGGAACACTGGCGGGTATTCTCTGCCGGTTACCGTAATTCTGCGGCATGTGGTGACCATTGAATTGGGATTCAAAGTCGGCATAGGAGGAGGCACGATGTAAATGTCCGTTTGGCGGTCCTTGGTTCTTGGAGACCATCTCATGGGGCGACCAGGTCATCGAGGAGTGCTGAGGAGTGGAAGGAGACTCGTCGTCGTCAGAGTCTGAAGAGCAGTCGTCGATGTCGTTGGGATTTATTCCTTGCTGGTGCGATCTCCGTTGATGTTTGACCATGGTGGTTTTTCTACAAAAGCTGAGTCCAAGGTTAGTATGCGATCAATAATGGGATTATTAAGACCTGCCTCTTCGAGCAGCCATCATGGGCACATTTATAAGGACGTTTCCCAGTATGAATACGTCGATGCCGCGCAAGACTGGACGACTGTGAGTTTTTGTTAGTCCCGTACTGACCGTGGACTGGTGATTGTGCACTCACATCCGAAAAGCGTTTCCCACAACCGATATGCTGACATTGATGGGGTTTCTCTCCTGTGTGTGTTCGAATATGAACAGTCAGGGCGCTTTGCTGGACGAAACTCTTCCCGCAACCAGGAATAGAGCAAGCGTATGGTCTTTCATTAGTATGTGAACGATAATGTCTCTGTAAATTGGACTTTCGATCAAAGCTCTGTATCAGAGATTAGTAAAGGAGAACTACCACGTATCGTTGGTAACAACAAACTTGTGTGCACGATTGCCAATCGCACGGAAAGGGACGGGCAGTAGGCTCGTCCTCGACTAATTCTATAAGTTCCATGACAATCTTTTTGACTCTGGCGTGCCTCCGGGGCAATGCGTTTATAATGATGCAGGGATAGATAGGAATAGTAGTTGGCAAGATTTTGACTTGTTACAGCAAAATAGGATTATCAGACACTCGTGGGTGGGGAATTGAAGGATCGATGTCTAGTTTTGTTGATGCAAAAGGCAAGTTGACAGCTCGACAAGGTCTTGGATCAGTGATATAAGGGGCAGCCGGTGAGGTCCAGGCCCAGGCGGTCTTGAATTATGGAAGCCGTTGATGGAATAGAATACGACATGCGTGCACTGGCTTTATAAGTTGATTTGCCTTGTCACACTCCAGAGATCAGAGTGCCGCCTCGCGAAGGGGCTGACGGGACGGGTAAAACGTGCCGGAGCAAAATAAGAGACTCTCATCAAGACTTTTTATAAGGTTCGCTTGTGCATCAAGGCTAGTTCAGCACTGATATCAGCTGTGATGTGGACGAGCCACATGCATTCAATCGTTCTTTCCCCAGCCGTTAGAGCGACTATGACAAACATCATACCATCAAACTAACAGTAGCCTCACTCTGGGTTATATACATAGCTAGGTGGTGATGTACCTGAAAACATCGGCAAGCACGGTATGCCTGTTCACGAGCTAGTGTGTACCACTCTGTATGTATGGAGAGTGGGTCCACAGACTTCAGGCCGCAAGACGAACCTATCGGGTTTAACCCCTGAGCTCGCTTGAGTGAGTCTCATGCACGGGCCATTGCATAATCTGGCAGCTGAAGGTGCACTCTCACGGCTAAGAACGGGAATTCAGGGGTACAGGATCCATATTGCACTAGCTTCAGCCTTCCCGTACCATATGAGCTAAATTAGTGCTCCTTATGATAAGAGATCGTCTCATTTTGAGCGCCCGCCTGCATTAGTTCAGACCCCGGCCTGTCAGTTTTCAACCCCCCTGCGGCATCTCAAGAGTTCTGGATCGTCGCAAGATGGAGCGTGTTTATGCTTGCGTATCACGCCGTGATATCCAGATAGGTTTTCTCTAGACACCTAGCCTAACCCTTTATGGCTTCTCCACCACGGGCAACAGGAAGATCATGTTGGGCACGTCCACCATATCAGTCAGTCATGCCATGTCGGCACACACGGATGTAAGTCTCCAGAAGCAAAACACGCAGAACATATCAGAAGTTGCTGCTTGCCAGTGAGTGTTTTAGCGTTAACAATACATCCTCAATTGATCAATCATGTCTCTCGCTGAGAAAAGCCAGGAGGGTCTCGTTCTTGACTCGATATGGACCTACCGGGTAGGCTTCTCGTCAGGGTGACACCATCTTGGCGCATCCCTGCATGAGGTAGTTAGCAAGAGTGATTGGTCAGACTCTCACTGAGCAATGGAACCAACAAGGCCGGAGTGTTGAAGGTGGCACATTATATTTTTGTGTTGGCACTGGATCATTGTCAGTCTTTTCGCGTTTGTCGGTCTGCCATTCCATTCATTTTCCAGATGGCATTGCAACTTAACAACGAGCAGCAACGGCGGTCCCCACCAGAGTCCGAAATAGCGGGACTGTATTTTAGTCTATTGTTACGCGTGCTGAGATCGTAGGAAATAATACAGGTAATATACCGCGCTTCTTTGAGCACCGTGGGGCATATTGGCAGTGGCACGGACTGGGTTTGTTTGCGAGCCAGATCCAGTAGGGGCGACTCGTCTAGGCCATACACAAAGCCGGATGGTTGATCGTACAAGATCGGAGGTCGGCCTTGGTGGCTCGCAGCCAACAGGGTCTGGGGTACGCACACTATGCCCAGGGCATCTGGGCGAATCGCAAAAAGATGGTGCATGCCCACCCACAGATCGACCCAGTGATCTCCACAGAATTGCGCGGAGTGGAGCTCATCGGTGTGGTGGCTAAATGAAGATAGGCTCCGATGCGGCCGGAATTCGTCCGTCCCAGCAGTAGAAGGTAGGTTGCCTGCTCAATACATAGAACATTGTTTCCAGCTGACTGAAAAAGCGAGACGAGATGCATCGCTTGCCAGAGGAATAGGGGGTTGGACTGCGACCTGTTAGATACGCACGAATACGATGGGGTGAGTGTATCCAAGTGTGGACCAGAATGTTGTGATGTTATTGATCGTCGACTTGATTCTTTGATCAGTCTGTCAAAGAGGGGTTTCACCCCTCTTTTGGATACAAGAATAATATTGCAATAAGGGAAGTGGAGCCCATTCCTGTTGGATTAGTGATAGCGCCTCGATAAAAGAAACATGTATTTTGTGGGTCCCCGGATATATCAATACCGGGTAGCCGGGAAAACACCTAAAAGGACAGAACAGAGACAGAAGCTCCTGGGGACGAGATTGATCCTAAAGTGTGAAAATTAACCCTATTTTAATTGGATATTAACCCTACTCGCGTATCCAACAATTCCCAGCCGCCAGTCTAACACGACCTCGCCCCACCCCCATAATTCTATTGGCTTGCAGGGTCAGTACTCCCGCCACTTAATTTCTCCATTTGACCGTTTCGCATAAAGCGGTAAAGACGGCTCCATGTCTCGGAGCTGTGACGAATCGAAAGTGGACTGGTGTCATTGCATTTCCCAAATCTCGCTTCTCCCAAATCTCGTCCCAATTCTCCCCAAATCTTACTTTTCTCAAACCTCTCTTGCCAAATGACCACCTATTCCCTGGATGAAATTGTTAATACTGTGGTCGATTATTTCCGGTCCAATCGTCGTCCGCATGGGGGAAAAAACGCCTTGGCAATAGCAAAGGAGGCCTCTAATGATTCCACAGACAGACTTATCCTAAATCACGGCGATTCGGTCTGGTATGCATACTTCGCTGCGTCCAAGTCAATACATTTGAAACACCGCTTTGCTGGTCAAGCTACAATGACATCCATGCTGCGATTTCTCGAAGAACAGGACGTCAACACCCGGGAAGAATTCGCAAATCGACTTGCGCAGACAATGAACGAGCCACGTACCAACGAGCCAACAAGGTCTCCGGCCAAGCGCCCTCGTGTGTATGCAATGTAATAATGATTGAAACTGCTTCTAATGTCATACCAGGCACCACCGACCATAACATCACGGATTCTATACAGCCACGTACGACTACACAGAGCACAGATACCCTCTCCAATGCTGTTCACGCCTACGACCCGCAACAGATACCTAACCATAATGTACCCATTGGAGATGTGTATCTTGAAGCCTCGTTAGAGGAGGCCAAAAAGCTGTTCGATAAAGACTTTTGGGACACGATTAAAAGAGTACCAAGCAAAGAAAACCCTCAGGACTTGACGGCCGATGTATCAATTATATTCCATGAAGACTTCAACCGACACATGTTCGGATGCCAGGTAGAAATTGGGATTACCAGCGTGCTGTTGTCATCTACTCTTTTGGAACTCTTTAGTGTCTCAATACGCTCTATGAACGGTTTCATATCAGCGGTTCTTCCAGGTGGTTGCCTCATCGAGCCTGGCGACGGAGGGTTCACATTGCGGCGGTGTCAGCGTGATCTCTCTGTTATATTCGAGGGTGATCTACACAAAGGTGTCTGCTCGTCACCTTTGTACATGGAAGAAGGAAGACAGGCACGGAACTACACCGAGGCTGTCTCGATTCGCATACAAAGGCTCGAGGAGCACGGTGCCACAATAATCGTGCATGTCGCAGAATTTTGGGCAACGAAAATGATGCAGAATTTGTACAAAAGATGACTGAGTTCTTAAATCTCCTTCACCTTGCCATTTGCGAATGCAACAAAAAGACCTCGCGGCAAAACAGCCTGTCCCTTTTCCTTATAATGCCGATCCGTAATCTGCCGTTTTGCATCGAACTCTGTAATAAGCGTACAGTTCGTCCAATATAGCATCTGGTTTGATCCTTCAATTAATTGGCGACCTTCCTTCGCGTCCGAGAAGAAATCGTCATTGTCTTTGTCCTGGTCGAGGTCTCCCGGTTGGAATTTCTAGCATTTGTTAAAAAAAAAGTCTTATGTATGGGGGAGGGATAAACTTACTACCATTGGGATCCGAAATGCGGAGAAGATAGCTCAAGTGTCAAGTTCCGGTTTTGTCGTGATAGCAGTGCTTGGGATGCTGTTCTTAAACCGAAATAACGCAGTCTGTATGTTTATGAGAAAGTTTTTTTTTGATGCAACTCGTCCGTAGATGGAGCTGGTTATTATCGCGAGATAATACCGAGAGCCTGGCAGCTAGCAAGACGAAAAAGACAGGACATGAAAACAGAGTGCAAGAGTTGGGCAGAAAACGAGTTGGGCGCAAACGTGCGTCGTACAGAAGGCTGCGGACACGAGACTTCGAGGGAAAATCTGGCGGGGTCAGGAAGTTGGAAAAGAGAGTGGAACTAGCGACTATCATTACCTAACAAAAATTAGGAACAGAATGGAAAGGAGGGGGGGTATAGACAAAGTGAGATTTGGGAAAAGAGGGGCACAAAAAAATGAAGGTTGGGAAAGTGAGATTTCGAAAAAGTGAGATTTCGAAAAAGTGAGATTTCGAAAAAGTGAGATTTCGAAAAAGTGAGATTTCGGAAAAGTGAGATTTTGGAAAAGTGGGGAGAGATGAGGTTAGGGAAACAACTCACCCCCAAATTTATTTAACAAACAAGCATTGTAGTTCCACGCCTTGCCTACTAGCATGAATTCATAATGGTGAAGGCGTGTCGCTCGTACACAGTTCGTTGGCTAGACAAGACCCTTGTAGAGAACTCTTCGTGGTACCAGGGGTAATCTGGGGCATGGACCACCATTAGAGCTGAATATCTGATTGACGATGTGGACACTGTATCTGATCGTGACCATAACAGGGTTCTGGAGAGTAGAGTTATCGTTAGGTTCTTATTATAATTTTACAACATGCGAAGAATTTAGTTTCATCTGGGCCTCGAATAGTGTGAAGGACACTGATTCAAGCTCTTAACCAGGGCTTTCAGAATACTGTTTTCTATGAGACCTGGAATATGTCGACGTCAAGCTTGAGGGGAATGCAAAGAAGCAAGCTTAATTGTTGTGGCCGCGTATACGGCCGCAACTCGACAGGAACATCTTTCGCTTGGCCTAGTTCAGAGACCAATGGACAGTGCCGATCGAATAGGGTCGTGTTGCTGGGGACGGCTCATCGAAACTAACTTGGCACAGAATACAAGGCGAGCTGCATATTGCAACCTTTGATGCCGTATCTTGTGAGAGTAAGGCAAAGGCGGCCCCCCATAAGACGATCTCATGCAGCCGCCATGAACCCGTCGCCTTCAATCGATGCCGCACCTGCAGGGTTAGTGTGAGATTTTGTGTTGGTTGAGTATATCATCTTTGAGGTCGGGCTAGAGTCCTCAGTTAGTGTTATTGGCGGCGATGAAAAAACGAGGAAGGAGACAACTTCCTCCGAAGGTCTTTAATCCATAATCAATATTAAAAGACCAAGCCCCCGAGACCCATCTGTTTCTTTCTGTAACTCGCATTGTTCTTCGTTCATATATCATCCTATACGCACTTCTATATTAGGCTTCGCGCTTCCCGTGCCTAGGATACTGTTATCTTCCCTATTCGCCTCTGGCAACAATCCCTCGTAGCCCTGCCAGACTTTTCGGAATCTAGCGAAGTCGCTCCCAAATACGATGCCTTCGAATTCGTCAGGAAGCCCAAAGAGACAGAGTTCCTCCGAAGAAGCAAAGAAGTCATCACCAGTTCCAATAGTTAAAGATTCAGAGTCAGTGTCCACAGAGGTAGTCATGCAGGATTGTGATTGGACGAAGCTAAAACGCAACGGTGAGTAGTGTTACTTTATAAGTTACCTATAACTACTAATTTCAATCTAGACACTCCTTCGTCGCCAAAAAAGACCTGATAATTTTCTTTATGAGGCTTGATGCTGCCAGAAATATATAAATAGCGCTTGGTCTCAATTCATTGCTTCATGGACTCTGGTGTTTGCCTTATGAACGGGTCGAACCTCGGCTATATAGTTTTTCCGAAAGCATCGTATTTTTATTTTATTTTTCCTTGCCCAAATTGCGTCATCACGTAGCAAGCTGCACTATGAAAGAAGATACCACTAACTAGGCCTATCCACCGCACTACGCCTTGCGATATATAAGTATCAGAATAAGGCCCTTCCTCACCAATTTGCTGTCGTCAAAATGCTTTCATCTACCAGTCACGATGGGTACGCTGAGTTCGATATACCGCCAGTCCTTCAAGTTGAGCTCGATGCTGCAGACACCACCTCTGCATCGACCGAGGCAGAAAAAGTTCCTCGTGGCAATGGTACCCTTATCCTATATCGGTACCCACCTGACCCTCAGAACCTTGCAAGACAAAATGTGTTAAAGAAGCTCGTGGAGTTATTAGTAAGTATTACATGTCGCAAGCCCATCTCCACGACTAGCTAACTAAGAAGGAGCCTGTGGTTACAAAGTGGCCCGGAAAAGAGGATCTTCAGTTTGAATGGCAATTCAAGGAACTCCGTTTGGAAAGGGGCGGATTAATCACACCAACTGACAGCAGGAACGTTTTCATTCCTCGGCCATTACCCCCCACCGAAAAAAGCATAGTTACCATTTTAATCAAGAAGTCAAGGTCCCAGAAAGTTGTGGAGTGGGATTGTTCGAAGGCATATTTACTGGAACCTGACAACTCTATTTTTGTACCTCCACATGATAGCAAGCCATGCAGAATGTGGCTACTCACATTCCGATACAAAGAAAAGGACAAGGAAGAGGTGAACCGAGATGCTGGAAATAGTGGGAGGGTTGTTGGACAATTGCGGTAGCTCATGCTTAAAGGGGCTTAAATACCAAGGCTATATATATCCTGTCCATTGCCTATTGTATCGGGAACCAAGGGTCATTAGAATCAAGTTCTGTGTATGTAAATCCACTGTAGTTGCATAATTGTCCCATCCACATGCCTAGTGGCTCATCAGCCACGATACCCCAGCCTTGATCCTGGATCTCGCTGTGTGAAGAACCTGGCTGCTGGTCTCCTTCATCTTGGGCCACTAATGGGGCAGTCTCTTGGCCAGTGCCCTCTTCGTTGATATTCCGGCTCGATTCAAAATATTCAGACGCAGGAGTACTGACACTAGCAACTGTGTCACCCATATCCATGTGACCGATTATTGTACATTGTTGAGAGGTCTGGAGATCATCTCCATGGAATTGGCTGTGCTGCTGTTGTTTATGCGAGGACTGTTGCTGGGACGGCATAGAATTAAATTTGTCGGGCATGGGTGCACTGACGCTCGATATGTCCGTATGACTTGGGCTCTGGAGAAACGGGGGTGGTTCTTGGGGGATCTCGCTGTTAGGATGACTAGATGCTGTATGGCCACTGCGAGGCGAACCGTCTGCTGGTAAGGAGTTCGAGCTTGACGAGAGTGCACTTGATACTGCGTCAGGGTTTTGGCTTTCTGTTTGTAGACGATCTGACAAAGTATTCTCCCGTCCGGGCTGCGTTTCCGCATCGGTATTTGATGCTGGCGACGGGGTTAGGGTTGTGCTCATGGTTGCAGCAGTTGTTTTGGGGTTCGACGGTATGACGTTTTGCTCAAGAGACTCATGTAGACGGTTACGAGATGTAGGCTGTGGAGAGGGTGTGCGGAGCTGATCATCACGTATAACGACCGCTGCGTTTTGGGGCCCAGAGCCATCGTTGCGACCATCATCGGCGACCCTTCCTGTGCCAGGTCCTGTCGAAACGTGGCCAGTGTCGCACGTGAGATCATCCTGTGTAATAGAGGGTTGATCAGGGCCAGTTCGCCGGCAAACTTTCTTCGATCGTGTCTCGCGTGGATCCCTGGACAATTCGTCGGCTGCCCTCTTAGTAACTCTCAGAAGTCCAGCAGCGATCTGCTTCTCTTCCATGTATGATGCAATCTTGTCGGCAGCTGGCTTGTATTTCTCTGAAACGTCCCCAAGCTTTCGACGATCGAGGTCTCTGAGAAGTGTTTCATAGGCAGGGCGGTTGGGTTTCTTCTCCGTCGGTAGAGATAATTTTCGAGCGCTTTCGGCAATGTTAGTGCCCATCACAGCATATCGTAGGACGCACTTACTCTGGCCGCGACACAACATCGCAAAACAGGCACCCAATACCAAACCTTCTACAGAGCAAATCGTAAAGATGCCCTTCTTTCAACCAGGTCCTAATCTTAGACTCTTGTGACTTTGTATAATCATTGGCCAATGTTTTGTTGAACTCATCCGTTTGGTAGCGGGCCCATGATTCTCTGGACAGATACAGCTGTCGAAATGTGTATCTCAGTTTGATCGCATTTAGATCCTGTGAATTTTCAATGTCGATGACAAATTGATAAATCCCAACACTTAGGTTGGTAGAGGGGTCTTTGTCGAAAAAGGTCTCGGGCCATTTGGCCCAGTGATCAAGGAACTTTGAGTGGCCTGGCTGTACCTCAAATAAGTCCTCACCCTGACTTTTCTCCTCAATTCCAACGAGGGCTCCCGATGGAGGAGCTGCTGTTGGCAATGGCGCTTCGCAGGTAGTCAAACAGCGCTCATCCTGAGACGTATCCCCATCCCCATAAGCTCTTTCGTTCGACTCGGCACCATCACCATCATGTTCGTTTCTTGATATATGTTCATCGTGTTTGTCGGTGGACCCACGGTGTACCAGAGATTCGGTCACTAGTTGGTGGCTCGATATGGACTTAATCTTGTCATAGATCAGCCCCCGGATACGGTCAGGTAGATTCTCAAAGAGCTCCCTCAGGGTCTGGATTCATGTTTAGTGGGTAAAGATTGGGGCTACAAGAACGGAAACTTGCCTCCTGTATTGACACATCGTCCAGATTGCTGTGTCCGTCAGCAACAGCAATTAGGCTTTGCCCTATGGACCGAAGCTTCTCAGCATTCATTGACGATGCTTCTTTGACTGAGAGGAGCGGGTAATACAGAAAACGAAGCACTAGAGCGCGACCATGGTGGCACTTTCTTGTCAAGTTTTCTTAGCTAAGCAAGCTGCGCGTGACTATGGTCGCGCCCGCTTAATTATCCTAATAAAGAAGACTGCTTAAGCGAGCGCGAACGCATTCGCGCTCGCTTAATTATCCTAACACAGATGCTTTTTTCCTCAAGGCTGCCGGTAATTCTATCCGGCAGTCCCGGCCAGTTCGGTTCCCTGTCTTGCACAGATAATTCTGCCAGGATTTTGAGGGGTAGCATGTATTCAAGTAGTGGCGTTTTCTTTATGTATATAACCAGGTCAAAGTCCATGATCAAATGCCCTTTCATGCAAACCTGCTGCAGTTGCCTTACTGGCCTCGACAGCCTTTAATCGCCACATAAGGCTCGCCTTCAGAAACATGCTACAACTCAGCATGCCATCTCAGGGTATCAAAGTCGAAAAGACGTATGCTGTTACTGTACGCCAGCCATTATTCCCTCCCGTCCCGTTCTTGAGGTATGCTAACCTCGGAAACGTCAGTTTCGGAATAGATCTCAATCTTCTTTCCAAGAAGCCCATATCATCCTCTGTAGGAACTGGGAGGGAAGTAACTACCAGATAGTGTTCTGTGATAAACCGGTAGCAAGCATATTGCAGAAGAGGATTAGCAAATGGAACCTTGCACATTATTTTCGTGGAAGAGCTGGAACCGCTTAGATTAAATGTCGGTGTGATTCAACGCCGCTGAGATGCATAGGGAAGGGGGACTTGAAAGAGCCTCCCAGCCTGATCCGAAAGTATTGAAAAGCTCGCCCCCTTTGCTTCATATCCAATATGATGGCCACTCCTCTCCACTCTCCTTTGCTCACAGAACTATGAAGTCAGAAGCTGGAAACCGTCAAAGAACCGCAGCTTCTACTGGCGACATCTCGACAAGACAAAAGAACCAAGCAAGCAATATCGATATCCTTCCAAGAAGCTGTCTCTAACTTGCCAACCCCATACCTCAAGCACTCTGAGCTACCTCCCTCACGACGCCTACCACTACCAAGTCTAGATGATTGAATAGTGGCTCTTTGTAACACTTTGAAAAGCACCGAACCTCCTTACCCCAGTGATCTTCTGTGATGTCGCAGAGCACTCCTCTCTATGGGCCTGTCGGCTCGCTCAATATTGGACTTTGACTGACGGGGACAGGTCCGGGCCCTCTAGAACGCGATACGGAGGACTGGTATCGATGCAGCGTCACTAGCGTTCAGCATCCGATCGCGTTCTGCTCTTCCGAGCCGGAAATGGTCCATTTGCAGGGTCCGTCAAGTCGCGCTACGGTTCGCATGGGACGTCATCGGACATCTTCTTTGACCCCTGACTACTCCTTAATGCCATGAAATAATATTTAACCTAACATAGGTATCTCGAAACTTTCACCAACTTCGTTTTTTATGTCTTCTATTAACCGATCTGTCGTCGTCAATGGTTTCGTACCTTCTTTCAACATCGTTACACAAAAGGTCCTCTCCCAGCCTTCCATCTACGACAATGGTCTCCATGCCTCAACTTCTCAGTAGCAGCGGCGAGCAGCTTCCTGAACTGTCACAGCAAGGCGGCCTGGTTAGAGCCCATGTCTCGACCGACATGTACATACCATCCTGGCCTGGGACACACGCCAACGATTCCACGGATCTCGATACAGACAGCTCAACGATCGGCTCCAGCGAAAACTCTGACCACGGGTTCGATCATGATATTTACGACCCAATGGATGATGGACACGTATCCGAGACCGAATACAATGACTCAGACAACGACGGAACTATGGGCGACGAGGGCGAGTCGGATACCTCATCGACGATGTCGCTCAGTTCTACAGTCGAGAATTATTTCTTCTTGTGTGGACGACGCTACCCTAACCAGGATACAGGCTATAGTTAGTAAGTAGAAGATGTGTGATCAGTCACAGCTTACTGAGATTTTCGTTGCAGTGAACCGATCGATCCTAAACGAACGGAGTTGTGGGAAGAGATGTGAGTGGCCCCTAGAGTTTTATGATGCTATACTAACTCTGAACCAAAGCTATTATGTCTGTTCTCATGTTGTGGGAGGCCTTCAAAAAGTTGTGATATCCGAAGATTGTCAAGTATGGGTTTCACGTTCACCCTCTGGATCGCACCAACTGACCACGAAAACAAGCGCGTTCTAGACATAGGAACAGGAACAGGTACCCCCATAAACTTGACTCTCGCTCCCATTTCCTAGTCTAACGGACAGATATTCAGGTGATTGGGCGATGTATGTCTCCGTGACTTATTCAGGTGCCTAGGATATTATTGACCATAGCATAGTGATCTGGCCGACAACAACCCTGGCGTTGATGTTATAGGCATTGATATCGTGCCCATCCAACCCGATTGGATCCCGCCCAACGTCGAGTTGTGAGTTTGCAGATCTCTTATTCTCCAGCACACCACTAATATCTGCTGAGCCAAATCGACGATTGCGAGCAAGAGTGGACCTTCAACGAGTCATCCATCGACTATATACATGCTCGGGGCCTGAATGGGAACGTCAACAGGACTAGGCTCACGAGGACTGTGTTCAAAACCCTCAAGCCGGGCGGTGTTGTTGAGTTTGACGAAATGGCTATCGACTTCGGGGCTTGTGAATGGGACTTGGAAATGGAGACTGTGCTGGGTGATTGGAAAGAGTTCTTCGTGGACGCAGGAGAGAAGCGAAGGACTCCTTTCATCTTTGTGAACGACACAACACTACAACAGGAGATGAGATCTGCCGGGTTCGAGGACGTAAAGGTGTATACGTATCAGGTAAGGTTTGCTACGCGACTCTCTGTTTGTTCATTGCTAACACTGGGAACCCCCAGATACCACTTGGTACGTGGTCTCGATCGGAAAAAGCTATAAAGTTAGGAAAAATCTTCCTAGAGACGTTGACAAAGGACATGGTAGGCTCAGTCCTTCGTATAGCGACTGAAGACCTTGGATGGAGTGAGCAACAGGCCCAGGTCTTTGCTGCCACAGTCCGGAATAAGATAAACTTGGATTGTAACAAGTGCAAGATCTACACCACACGAACCATCGTTTTTGGTAAAAAGCCGGGATGTAGCTGAAATGCTGCTGCGTACAGGGAAGGCTTTGGTTTCCAGGTCAAAAGCCATGACTTAAATTATATCCATGTTTTAATTTGCATCCTCTTAGACAGTCCGCTATAATTCCTTGCTGTGTTGTCCGTGAGCAAGCTTGTTCAATTATCTCTACTTGCCAGCGCGAACGGGGACTGATTTGAATTGGCCGATAAAGGCTGGCTGGGCAGTGGTGTGCTGCTGTCTGACTGCTTAGGGTAAGCTGCAAGTACCTGCACGCTAGTGCGGGGGCTGGAACATTGGCTTTACAGCGCATGGGCGGTACCTTCATGGTACCAGCATCAACGCAGCCACAGAAAGAGGAAAACAACAATGACGTTGTAAAAGACGCAATCAAACCATACGGGACTTCTCCCAATGCTTTCAGTCCTCACCTAATCATAAAAGACGAGGGTATAGAAGATTGTGCCTGGGAGCATTTTCTTCCCCGCGAAAGCCGTCACAGACTGAGGTTCGCTCGCGCTGAACTTGAAAAGGTTTCATGAATCAAGCCATGCCCCTGCACCTAATTCGAAGGATGCGGAGCCAGCTGGAGCTCATGTTTGCTCCTGCGGGCTTGGTTGGGAAGATGACGATGCAGGCACGGCAGACTAGTGGTTCGGTTTGAGTAGCAACTTGGAATCAGCTGTCGCAGCTTGGATAGAACGAGGATGGCTCCCAAGCTTTAGGATTTGGTTTTCGACACGTGGGCGGCATGTATAAGAGATGGAAATGATAAACTTGAGTCCGACCTCGGACAATACATTAGCACCTACTTGCAAATTTATCCAATTTACCATTCTATGATTACTTTTATTCTTATATACAATTTGCTCCTAACCGACCAATTCATTGTATCCCAAAGAATAACACAAGAACTCAAAAGACCAAAGTGGTGCGTGAGGTGGAAAGTACAAAGAGTGGTGGTGTGCTTTCTTGGGAGATCAAGTTTGGCTACGAAGCACCACTAACGCAAAACAAAGGTACCAGGCACAGTGCAGAGACGGAGTGCCATGACAATACACGCACCGACGATTCGCGGGAGCTAGGACCACATGACAACGTTTGTTCAATGGGGACTTGGCATGTGGGGTGACTCGGGATGTTTTGCGACAAGCTAGTGCGCTGACAGACGTGCGTCCCAGGGATTTGTTGTCTGTGCGTTTGGGGCGATGGCACTAAATCGTAGACCCCAGCAGCCCCGGCTGTCCTTACCTTAAGTTACTGTACGTACTCGCGCCAACGGTAACTGTGCTAATGTGACAATGTCTTGCCTCGATGGGGGTCAAGGTGCATACGGGCAGACAGGGTTATGGATGGATGCATCTCAAAACCCTGTCAAAACCGCAAGGGATCTTACAGGCTATCTCCACAGCTAAATGCATCCGCGGCCAGTCATCGGATTTGCCTTGACGATGCGCGGCGTCGATAGCACCGGTGCTCATCAGAATCGCATGCATCGGCAATGCCCTGGCGCTCACCCGTCAGGGCTTATGTATTTGCTTTTGCTAGGGATCTCGGGTCGCTAATGCATTTCTCGCCTTAAAATCAGCATTGATCCCTTGCTGGTCCTGCGGCTGCCTTGTGCCTTCAAACTTTCTCTTGCCCCCTCATTTCTTGCCTTGTTGTGAAGTGCACTTTCAGCAAATTTGACTTCTCATTCCCCTAGCGAACCAGTTGCCACTAGCCCACCCGGTGCAAAGTCATTGAACGAGCGAAAAACATACCCGATTCTCTTCCCGAGGGCTAAATCAGCCTAACCTGTTGTCTCTGCCGAGCTCCACACTTGCCATCACTTCTTGCCATGGCTCAGGTCTTGAAAAGGAAGGCAGACACGCACCTGCCAAGGGCCGCAGAGGTCACAAAGGTCGCTAAACGCTACTTATACCAGGAGGATTATCCGATAAGCCCTAAAAGCCCTAAGAGGGATGGTGAACATCTGGATGTCCTGTTGGACCCGATTCCGGCAAATACTGACAACAGCTGCGACACCAGCTCCTGGGCCCCTCTCTCTCCAGGTAAGGTTGTGAAGATCACCTCCTTCTCATGTTTTCTTGTCCTTTTCTCCTTTCCACATTCACTCTCACCATACCTATAGTGTCCATATCGGGGACTCAAACGTTTGTTTCGAAGGACGTGTGCGTTCAGAATACACTGAACTTATCCTCTTCCCACTCTTGGTTGATACTCATTGCCTCATCCATCGTGGTCTTCGATTCTTGAGCTGACGTTCCGTGTAGACTCCCAACCTGTGCTGCATCTTCCAGAGGCCATAGCCCCTCAGCCCCGACCTCAACTGTCTCTATCTCAGAAACAAAGCCTACGTCGCCTTTTGCCTGCGGTCGAATCTGCTTCCCAAGAGCGGACTGCCAAGCAGAAAGAAAATAAAGGACCCGTTGTCAGTCCCTTCACTTCACGTGGGGATCACTTGCCTGTGTCTTCTTACCCTCGCTATGATCGCCCAGAGAATGGACAAGTGAACGGGTATGTCAAGTTCAACTGGCCTTCGCGAGTTCCATCGAGACGATCGTCTGAGCCTGTACCACTGCCATTGGAGGATGGTGTGGAAGACATAACGGCAAACATAACACGAGTACACCATGTGGATCGCAGCCGCGGCGTATCGACACTGCCTGTGACTTGGCATACGCATGGGATATCCCCCGCGCCAGATGGGACTATTTCCCTAAGTCATATTGAAAGGGGTCGGGCAAGTGCTTCATCGCAAATATTGATGACAGGCTTGTCAGTATGTTCTCAAGACGCTTCACCGGCCCTGACGACGGGTGAACCGAGAATGCTACCATCTCAATTCGGGCTCGAAGCCAAAATGAATACTATCGACAGACGATTGTTTGAGTTTTGTATGTTCTTTTTATCGGCGCCCTGGACTTTCGCGAGGCATTTGCTGATCATCATTCGACAGATATCAAGAACTGGTGCCCAGGAAGGAGTGTGCTAAGCGACACAAACTTGTGGTTGAAGGACCTGGCCCCGATGCACAAGGACGAAGGCATCCTTCATGCCATCCAGAGCCTGGCGGGCATCTACATCTATGATTATGTGCCAGACGAGCGTATTCGGCAGCGAACCAATCAGCTATATGTCGAGGCCGATCAGTATTTCAGTACGCTCCTCAACGCACCCGAGAGCAGGGAAATCGGGAAAGGGCAGGAAGTTATTACCATGGCTGTGCTTCTTTCGATGCAACACGTACGTATGATTGTTCTAGCTTTCTTGCTGTTATTGTCATGTCTTTTATCGTGATAAAATCTGATTGGCTGCAGGTTGTCCTAAGTAATCAACGTCTGAAGGAACCCCACGATCCACGATGGCTGAAAGGCTTTAAGCTGGCCGCAGACTTTATAGATGCAACCGACCCCGGCCGTTGTTATTGGGAACCCGGAGATGCCCAGTGTGACAACCTCCGCGCCTCCCATTCCATCATCGTTGCTCGGGGGGTGATTCTGGCTCAGCCTATGATGGCTCTTCCTGCACCAAATGCCATGAATCCCGAAAAGGAATCAGACAGATTCAGATGGCTCACCTATGGTTCGGAGAAGGACATGTATGAAATCCACGGAGGATGCGGGTTCTCAAAGAAACTGTTGCATCTAATGAGCCAGGTGACATATTGCGCAGCTCGACTGCAGCAAGAACCCGAAAGCGTGATGGTTCCAATTACGGCAAAGTTTATATTGCGCATACTGGAAGAGATGCCACAATGGAGCCGTGAAGGCAAAGACTGGTGGACGGCTCGAAATGGTCGCCCGACGATAGAATGGGTGCGCGAGGCAGACGGTATGAAAATCGATTCAAGTCAAATCATGACAGAGGTTACAGCTGAGGCGTGGAGGATTGCTGCGATAATTTATTATCAATGCCGTCTTTTGAGGTATGAGAATATAGAAGGAAGAGGAGGGAGGTTGAGTGATTGTGTAACAGCCCAAATTTTCTCCTTCCTTCTCCCTTCAACCCCAACACCTACAACGCTCCAGTAACAATAGTGTAAAAGCGCTGACTGGACTTTTAGGCTACCTCGAAATCACCCTGACGTTCTTGCCAAACTAGAGGATCTTGCCAAATGCATAAAAATTATGCCGACATCGGGATCACACTTCACAGCTCAAGCACCTCTATTGCCAGTATTTTTCCTGGGTATACTGGCCACCAAGCCCGAACACAAGGCTATTGCAGAGGATTGGTTCGAGGAGGTTGTGTTAACACCAGTCCGTAGTGTAAGTGCAAAAGAAACGCAATCCTTCACCTTCCTTAGCAATCTATGATTAGTAGCAGGCTTGTTCTGCTCTCACCCAGGTCTACTACGTAATACTATGCTATAGAGTCAGGATACTAATAGATCACCCCAGACCGTCCCTCCGTTGTATGAAGCACTCAAACACATCTGGAAATGGATTGACAAAGAAGTTCAAATCCAATCAGACCCAACTGCTCTCCCCGCAGCTATCAGTAAGAGGCGTCCTTGGTGGGAACACGTCGTTGCAAAGGTTCTCGACGAAGAAGAGGAAATCCTGTACCTGACTTGATAGTCATTGTGTGCCGAAGGAAAGCTCGTGAGAGATCGTGTGGGATGCGATTACGCTTCATGCAATGTGCTTCATGGACCGATGGCTGCTTTACAATTGCTGGCGAATGAAGGAATCCTCCATTATCTTGTTGGCTATTTGCCGAGGCTGATTTGGATATTTGTTGCATTGAAACTGTTCAGACTGCCTGTAGTAGCACACCCGCTGGTATGAGGAGGGAAGGAGCGTCGGGGTATGGAAAGGACTCGATGCACCAGACAATGTATGAGAGTGTTCCTGCGGCAAAATTTCCAGACTACCATAGAGCTGTATCAAATGGCTGACTCCATTTTCTCATCATACTGATATCGGCCGTGAAGATACTTTACAGTCAACGCAGACTTCGCTGGAGTCGAAATTGAGGCTTGTAACAAATGTACATCTAACCGTATGACATGACGAAGTTAGGACGGGTTGTCATGGTTGACTTGGATATTCTAAGTCGCTGGTGAGGCTTACGGTGCATCCACAGCAAGTTTAGGATGTACAGAAAGGAGTAAGCCATGAGAGCGTAGTCTGATGTCCCAGATGAATCAACGGCCACGGTTACGTATCCTAGTTTTATGGCTGCAACGTTGAAATGTTGGCCAACTACAACGTGTTCCCTTTGAACTTTGAATACGCTCAGCGGCCTTCTGTTGAGTTCCTACTGACCAAGCAGGATGACTGAAACCTGGGCGGCTAGTTTATTCTTGCATCGTGTAGAAAGAGGTCTCTGCGGCTCTGCCATTCCTTTCAGGCAACAGCGTCTGCTAGGGTAAAACATGCAGCTTGTAACGTAGCATGCATCCTGAGCCGTCCACAAAAACGATTTGTCATAAAATTTGGAGAAGAAAAGATAAGCAGGCCAGAAGAGTTTCTGCCTAACCATGAGTGCGGGATGGAAAGGGGGGTTTAGTGTTATGTTGCCTGTGACACCGAAAGGTTCAATGAGTATATAAGCGACCTCCCAGACTTGAAATTGCATTCATTTCTTTGTTGTCGTACTTCTTTTATCCTCTTTTCTCTAAGTCAAACCAATCTCGACCGTTCGGTCCCAGAAACATGTCTCTCTCCCAACCCGGTAACACGCCGTCGGAATCTAGAGGGCATCTCAATGAGCCAGATGATACCCCTACAAACAATGCTGACGGCCTCAGTTGGTGTCAACTCAACTTTCTTGCCCAATCATTTTCCATCTTTATCGCTACGGAGAAGCAGCCACGCGACCTGGGATATTTTATACGACATTTGGAAGATCGTGGTCCGCAAGGTTTTCTGGACTATATCCGCGGAAGGCTTCACAAACGCACCAATACCAGTCCAAGACAAGACTCAGGCGATAATTACGAAGAGAATTTGACTGAAGAACTCAAGTGGTTCAAATACATCTTAACATGGAAAGATAACAAGACATCTCCTGTAGCCTTTACGGATGACAAGAGTTGCGATGTCGAGGATATCACCCTATTCCACCGTTTCGAGGATATACGACGACCAGACGTTGATTGGAGAGGTATCCCGCCGGACGGCATTGAGATAGCTTTGGTGTTGATCCTTAGCTACTTACTTGGCGAACGAGGCCAATACCCAGAGCTCAGCAGCGGCAATGCAATTCGCCGAGCTCTTTTGACAACTCTGGATACCTGCCAGAGTGAAGGCCGTATCCTAGAGGAAACAAACACATCGACTCATCGAACTTTCCCTTTCAACGCTTCTCATGCAGCATACATGAACCTTGGGCCCGGTCTGGCACATCTGCCTCCGCCTCCGCCTCCGCCCCGGCAGCCCCATATGGCTTCTAAACAAAACATATTCACGGCATCGGTTACCTTCCAGCCTAGCTGGAACATTGAGAATCCCATTTGCAAGTCGTCTGGTAGCTTCAACTTCCAATTCCGTCTGCCCAGTCTACCTGAGGAGTCTTGGTTCAAAGTGGCCGTGATTCTTCTGTTGATTCTTCAATTTTTCAAACTTTACAATTAATTCTTGCGTATCTGTCATATCGAGTTTGTTCTTCATGGTAAACGTTAGGCTGAGATCTGGGTTATCTATCGCCGTTGCGATGCGCAGGTGTATGCATATCAACATGGAGGAATTGCAAATGCCTCCTTACAACTTATTTTCGAATACATCTATCAGTCAAAATAATTTAAAACCAACCAACTCTTCCACGTATTTGCACCATCGTTTTGCGACCTGTTTGTTCCGTCCTTGTTACTTATGTGGTCTTTACCAGTAGTAAGTAAGATTGGTGCTGTTCTCGAAACCGACTCGGCTGAAAGACGAACTTCCAATTGGCATTTTTATCGTTCCCTCTGTAACACTGATAGAGCTATGAGCTGGCGTGTCATCAATCAACTTTGTCTCGAACCCAGTATGAATCATGAAATTACGCACGTACAGTGACGATTCAACTGTGTGCAATGCCATTTAACTTTTTGGAAGAATTATTGAAAAGCATATAGATAAGCACGCACTAGGAGGCTTTTAAAGATTGGAGCATGCTAAATGTATAAGATATCCCATTTTTAACAGTATTGTTGCTTTTTGGAAGACTTAGCAGTCGTAAGACCTTGAAATAGAATGCAGCATTAAATAGTGCCTTGTTTAGAGCATCTACGAGAAGTTGGGTGAGTATCATCTTCAACTGACAATACCAGGGACTGACGCATTGAGTGTGATGCCTAGCGGATCGTCGCGACGTTGACGAAGGCAGCCCAAAGATCTACTTTGTCGGAAGGAGGGCCGCCAAAGAAACACGTGAGTATCGACCCCAACTGAAGGCATTAATAATTGCTACGTTGACCATCAACCTTAGGAGAAGATTTTGAACCTTCTGTAAAACCTGAAAATGATCGCAGTTGGTTCGTCATACCATTCTACGGGGTGGACATGCCAACTGAAGAACCAGAGGACAAGACGGGGGGTTGGGAGTTTGAAACAATGGAATGCGGTTGGCGTCTTATTGTCCACGCCGCAAGAAACAGAGGTGACGTTTATTTGGGGTTGATCAAAATAAACCAGTGTCCTGAGGAATGGGAATATTTAGCAGACTGGAAATGTCATTGAATGCCAATATTAGGACGAACGGATACTAGAAGACCGTCATGAAGGAACAACATGCCTGGAAGGATGAGCTTAACCAGCGGGCCTTCAGATGGACAGTGGAGGGCCGGTGGAGTACCATAAAGCGGCAGGAACGAACTAGATCCTGAAAGTGTCGACGTTTGAAAGCGTTGGTATGTACCAGTCTCAAAGCAAGGTGAAAAGCGTCGGTCTGATATAGAATGGGTTCCGCAGAAACGTATGTTTGAACTGCCTTGAAACCGGCCGTGATTGGGTGGCACTCCTTCGGTTTGGATGGGCTGTCACCTCCGGACCAGGCTCGGCTAGGTGATAGTACAGGGTCTCGGGGTCATTTCAATCCACTTTGAGAAACACAATAGCTTCGCCAGTAGTCAGCAGGCCATATTCAAGGCCACTTTCGATCATGTAATGATAGGTCTGCGTCACGGCAGATGCCGTCAGCTTTTCTGCGTGGTACTGAAAGCGTGCATCAGGGTCCACCGAAGTCGGAATTGTCCTGCGGTTCACCACTTCCTCGTGTATGTCCATGATGCGCAGACCGGCACGCAGATGCTGAGCGCTCAACTTGTGCGGCGGCTTATACTCGGAAACGTAAAGCATGGTGCGCCGGGAAGACGCAGTATTGTCGGATCGATAGACGCAGATCTGATCCGGTCGCAGCTGCTTGAGATCTCTTCGATGGTCCGGCGTCCGCGGTAGTATTGATAGCGTCTCCCTCTCGATGGCTTCCTCCGCAACGTCGCTGAGCGCATGCGGGTGGTTCTCAAAGATGACACCATCTCCAATCTGGAACGACCTCCTGACCTCTTCCTCCTGTTTGAGCTCTTGTATGATGGCTCTCACAGGATCCTCCACGCTATTATGCAGGAAAGATTCGAGCGTCTTCTCGTCCGCAATCGGTCGTTGAGCGATTAGATACGTGCCTTTTCATACCTACATCAGCAGTTCAGTATGGGCTATGGCGACCGAGAAACTGTCTCACAGCCAGCCAGGCCGAAAACCATTACATCCCTCTATTCCACCTTTACTTCACCAGCGTCGTTGGCCTTCCAGCCAAGCCCATCTCTGGGCCTGGCCGGATCGGGGATAGCCACGAGCTATTCTTTACCAACTGGGCCTCCTCCCACCTCGCAAACATGTACAAGGCATCGACTTCGACCCAACGCTTCCAACAACTCTATTCAAGCCGGCTTTTTCAGGGGCTTGGCTTGGAGGGTCTGAGTTGAATTTAGTTGAATTTTGATTGGCCGGCTTGCGTTGAGTTGACTTACTTGAATTAAGTGGGTCTATCCTAATTAGGTAAGGTCAGGCCTGCAGGGCCGATTTTTCTATGCTTCGGCAGAAAACAACGTCAAGGCTCGACTGTTCTTGGATCTGGTCCGTGATGCGCTCGAGGTGTACTCATACGACGCGGAGCTGGCTGGATTGCAGTACAACGCCAGTCTTGATTCTCGTGGCTTGTTCTTGGACGTTAGCGGCTATAATGATAAGCTCCCTGTGCTCTTGGATCAAATCGTTACAACAATGCGGGACTTAGATATCAAGAAATATCGTTTTGAGACTGTAAGGGAGCGCCTAACCCGAGGTTACAACTGGCAGCAACAGTCGTCCTACCATCAGGTTGGTGACTACACCAATTAGCTCAATGCCCCCGAGTGGGACGTCATAGTAGAGGAGCTGGCAGCGGAGCTTTCGAGTGTCACTTGGAAGGTATCAGGTTGTTCCAGAAGCAGATGCTTGGCCAGGTGTTCATTGAGGTGTACGTACATGGCAACATGTACAAGGAGGATGCTCTCAAAGCAACTGACATGGTGGCGTCCATATTGAAGCCCCGGGTCTTGCTCAAGGCCCAGTAGCCTATCCTGCGGTCTCCTATCCTGACCGAAGGCTCCAACTACGTCTTCAGAAAGACCTTCAAGGATCCTGCCAAAGTCAACCACTGCGTCGAGACTTGATTTTATGTTGGCAGCAGGGAGGATCGCGATATTCGAACCAAGACTCTGATACGTGGGCCAGATCCTCCGTGGGCCAGCCTTTGATCAGCTCCGAACTAAGGAGCCATTTGGCTACATTGTCTTCAGCAAGCCCCGGACTTTCTATATGACGTATGGCTTCCGCTTCCTCATACAGAGTGAGATGGCACCAGAGTTTCTTGATTCTTGTAGCGAGGCCTTCCTCGTGAGATATGCGGACACATTGGAGAAGATGAATGATACAGAGTTCGAGGGCCCCAAACGGAGTTTGATTGTTTGGCGGTAAGAGAAACCTAGGAACTTGGACAAGGAGTCCGCCCGGCACTAACACGAACCGATAACAACCCAACGCGACGCCGCACAAATTAAGCTTCTGACCAAGCTCGAAGTTATAGAATTCTTCAACCGGCGTCTCAACCCTATTTCTAGTCAGAGAGATCGCTTATCGATTCATCTACAGGCTAAGGGCAAGGCCGAGGGTGTTGATAAGCGACAGGAAGAGGCTCAGAAGAATGCCAATATGGAGACATCGGCTGGGGATGACGTCAAGATGGCCGAGGAAATTACTGATGGTAGATTCTTCAAAGCTGGTCTCACTGCTAGTTCATGCGCCAGACCCGTCAAGGACATTAGCGAGTATGAAGATACGGATGCAAAGCTTTTGGGGGGGGGGGGGTTGCGTTACGTTACTTCCTGGGCTTCTTCTTGGCTAGCAACTTGAATGGAGATGGGGTTCTCGAGATAAAACATAGTTGTGATCTTGTATTTCAGGTGTGACGGACTTCTTCTTTTCACTTCACGCAGTTGAAAGTGAGGAGGTGAAAGCGTATCCTTCATATGGGCATGTTTGCTCTTTGGAATGGACAGTCAACTGGCAACATCTTCATATCCCTCACGGAGAGGCACAGCACCAGATTGGCCAACGATGGTTCTATCGATATGTCTCACATTATTAAACCTGTCACTCTATCATGACAGAAACGTGCCGCCGTGACATTCAAGAGAAGATTCTGTCTATGGTAAACAATTCTAAACCCACTAGGTTCGCTAAGTAGAATGATAACAGCCACAGTTGATCACATGTAATCGTAATCCGACCCCATAGTAGATCCTAACGCGTTACTGACAGAAAATCCTGATCACATATTAACTAGGCAGAGATTAGCTAAGGGACATGCTAAAGGTTACGTGCTAGAATTCTCGCCTCGTGGTGGCATACTCACATGGACAACTGCCAAAGCTACCCATACCGCCCATGTGTTCCATACCCACACTAGCATCCCAATGGGCGGGAGCAAGCATGATAGGGAGGGGCAGCGCGGGGATAGGGACTGTTACTTGAGTTGAGCATTTGCGCTAGTCATAGAGAGAGTGAGTGAATGCGGGAGTAGGTGACACATCGCTCATGGTCATAGGACTTGTGTTTGAGTCGGCCCATGATGGGATACTAGGGCTTGAGGGAAGTGCACTCCATGAATCCACAGCAACGAGGTTGCCGTAAATACCATGTTGCGACCATATATTGTTGACAAGAGAGCTAGATAGCAGGATAGGTCGTCGGACAACTTCAACGACACGGGGGAGAGGGGGAGGTAGCAGAGGCTTTATAAGAACACTGATGCAGTTCTTGACCTCCTCACTCTTTTCGCAGAGGAGTTCGCCGGTACCCCCCTCCTCAAGCCCCTCAAGGGCAGCGACGTGGGTGCAAAAAACAAACTTATTGATGCCCTGGACAAAGTCTTCATGAAGCTTCTTACACTGCTGCTCCTTGCCTGTCCAGTCGTATGTGCTGGCATTTGCATCGACACAGTGAATCTCCTTGTGGTACTCAACGAGCGCATCGATGGTATCTTTTGTGAGCTTGTAGGAGACCTCATTTCGCAGAACCATGTCGACATGAACAACGTAAGCCTCAACATGGATGAGCTCATAGTTCATGATGGCTTCGAATAGAGGATTGCTGGCATCGCGCTTAAAGCCAGACTCGGGTGTCTTGGGTAGCATAAGCGATGTCAAGGTCCAGATGGCATTCGGCGACGAAAGAGTTTCGGTGAGACATCGCTGGTGCTGCAGTACGGAGTTAAGAGGGAGTTTGACCCTATTAATACGCTTCAGAGTTTGTGTGAGCCACGGTTCAACCTTTGAGCCCAAGGCAACATTAACCGATGAAGCTCGAGGGGCAAATGCAGCAGCGGATGCTGGTAGGAGTTGCACAGGCATGATTCTTCGTCAGATGGTAGTAGAAGCAGGATGGATGTTGGACCTGATTCTTGTAAAGTACTCTAGATGCACAGTCGCAACTTGAGAGGGATATGACCAAGATACGTAAGGCATTTAACAGAAAAACGAGAACTCTCACAATACAGGCAAACAGTTCGGCGGAGCAGATGAAACGTCGTTGCTTCGCGATGTTTGCTAGCGCCAACAAACCTGTCAAGGATCACCTGGATGAACATGTCAACAAAACCCCTGCATATTCCTCATATGCATCATATTCCTGTAGCGTTTACATGGAAATATAGGTCGCCTCTCCATGTTTTTTTCCACATTGTCTAGTACTAATTCGAGCCAGGCTAGCTAGGACACTGCCAAGTAAACCATACAACTCCGTGTGGCTTGACTCGAGTGAAAGGAGGTTCGACAGTCAGCACAAAGCGGAAGGTATGTAGGATGTGTATCCACATGCGTATTTCCATTCTGACTGTAGTAGCATTAATATCCAGAAGTTGTATTTACTTTTGCTACCCCATAATCTTCATTATGTCAGTAGATCATGCCCCTGTTTGAAGACGCTAGCAGGCCGATAACTACTGATTTGTGACTCCATTTGGAACGTTTAATAACACGCACCAGAGCTTTGACAGTTTAACTTACCGAGAAAGCTTGATTTAGGCTGGCTTGACCATTCATAGTAATATGGCTTCCTTTCTTGTCGTTTAAGCGTTTTTGCCACTGCCTAAAAACAGGGCTGAGGTGTGGAGTCGGGGAGTGCATCAGAAATTTGTCACGGGATGTCCAAATAACAAGGTCGACAAATTTAGTAGATGGTTGCCGTTCAACGAGTAGGTGATAAGAGTGGCAACGAGATATTTTGTAAGCAAACATCGAAACTTGCCTCCTGGACCTATGCGCAATCAAAACACCACCTTTTTCTTCCCATTCCAGGGCCTGAGGCCATACGACTAAGTAAGTATTCTCCTCTCGAGCGATTGGAAGTCTCCGCCTGTTGACTGCTTCATCCCCTGTCCCATACCCACCTCGGATCACCGACCACCCGTTAGGGGGACAACAAATCACCCGCTTTAGACTAGGCTAATCCTAACAATCAACCACAATCGCTGCAATGTCGCGCTTTGTTTCTCTCCATCCAAGGGTCACCATATGGTGCAATGTGAAACACCGCCATGGCTTATGAGAACCACGACGGATCTGCCAACCATCACAGCAACACCAGCGACTGTCCAACACGCCCCTCGATCGATCCGCGTCTGTAGAGCTTCCCTCAACCTTTCAGCACCACCTATCACCGACGAAGCACCGCATCATGCGATGAAATCTAAGAAGAACCGACCTCCAGCAGGCCCTATTGAACCAGTCAAATTTCCAGTCAATCAACATGGACCCCGGCATTCGAAAGGCAGTGAAAAGTTCAAGAATTCAGGCTCTTCTTGACGATATCGATGGAACAACAGCAATACAACTTCCAAACATATTAGGTAAGCCCTCGTCTATCCGCGCAAACAGAGGACCTTGGTGCGGGGTCGGCTGTTTATCACGGCAATTTTTCAGGAAATTGAATGGCATTGCAATCAGTTGAATTGTTACCAAACCTAGCTTCATGCTGTAGATGGGGTTCAAGACAAAATTAATTGGTGACATGCGATTTGACAGTTCAATCAATGCTACAGCGAGAACGAGAAAATGCCATTTTGAGGCCATTCTTCCATCAGAAACGGAACATGCCAGCTCTTGCTGTAATCACAATCGCCAGCCCTTGATTGTTGCTTGTACAGTCACAATAAAAACCTCATAGCTCTGGACAAAGTGGGAGTGCATAGAAAAAATAGAGTCCTTTCCTTTATCGGCTCGTGTCAACTTGGTTGTAGATACCAATGTACTGGCCTGTTGCAATTGACCTGGCGACTCGCTCCGGCTACCTTGCTGCTAAAATTAACTGACCCCGCTTTCCGATACCAGATGCCTTGAGGAACGAAAGGCGTCTAGAGGACGGACGAAAAAGCGGGGCCAGGCCAAGTCCCCCCTCAAAAATTCACGTGAATTTGAACTTGTCATCGCCGTGGCGAACCCCACTCGCGTAGTTCGCGCCGTCTCAAAATTCCTCAACGTTCCTCTGCAACGTCTGCCCTGCACCAGTCCCCAGTGTTGTCTTCCGACCAAATCATCGACTCTGCTTGCCTCACTGTCTGTTCGCTCATCTCCTCCAATCTCAGCTCAGCCTGTGCCATCTCCACTGGCACCACGTTTCCCACGAAGTCCCTCTCTCGCGCCTCGGAGAGTAGCGTGATGCCGTCAAGTGATCTGCACCTCGACAGCTGAACGTACAGACTGTATGGGTCACACTGGCTTGGGACCAGCAGGCCGTCGATGTTCGTGGTTCTCGTCCCCCGGAGCTCTAGCGCGACCGGTCTAACGTTCTCGCCTGTACCTTGTAGTCCGTACATGCGAACGCCGGGGCGCACGGCAAGCCCTTGCGGGAAACGTCATGTTGCTGCCATGGCCGCTTTCTTACGCACTTGATTTTGACACTTACAGGCGTCAAGAGCATGATACCTGCAGGCATTCCGACAAAGCGGAGGTCGCTCGTCGTCTCCGACGCTAGCAGGAGCCCCGCGGGCGGCCCGAAGTGGAGGACCGTATCAGCATTAATCCGATGGCCCGGATAGGCCTTGTCGAGAACAACCCTCACTGCCTCATATCTAGCGCCGTTGACACGTTTTAGTCCTTGATGCATATTCTGGTTCACGACGACCGGCATGCCGGGGACAAACATGAACACAGCAGGCATCGATATAGCGCTATCATCGCCTTGGCCCAACATCATGACCGCTTCCTCCTCCGTCGGCTCACCGTTTTTCCACTTATGCTCGGAAACGAAGATGCGGAGAGGGGCGTGTCGCTGCCTCTGGAACGCGAGTGTTGCCTCTACATTCAGGTCCCATCGGTTCCTGTTGAGTGGCGTCACCACTGTGATACCCGACTCCCATGGAATGCGTCTCCCCTCGTGATAGCAGTTGCTGTTCAGAAACTCGACATCCGACTGATCCTGGGCTCCCTGCCGAACACGCGTTAAGAGTCTGCGTAGTCGTGGATCTTGCGCGGCACGAACTTTTTCCTTGAGCATCACCACGGTGAACTTCCTCCACAGGGCGTGGGCGACGTCGTGTTGCCTTTGCTGCGCGGGGCCGAAGCCGTGGCCTTGCCCGCATGGGAAGCTTGAGCTTGGGAGCGGTATTGACCTCTCCTGTACTGGATGAAACTGGTGGAAGTCCCCGCAAAATATAATTACTGGGATATCGCCGAAATCTTCAGTTGACTCTCGAAGCCTCCGCAGCTGCTCATTGACTGCGTATAGCGTCCTCGCATCCAACATGCTGACCTCATCTATTATCAGTGCATATTTCTCTTGCCAGTCCATCTTGGCCTGCCCGTCGATACGAAGGCCTGCCGAGCTAGATGGCGCGAAGCTGTCCGGCTCCCCTGCGCGGCCTGTTCTCGTAGTCGTGTCTTTGGAGAAATTGCAAGCTGAATGGATGGTGATTCTATTAATGTTTGCCGCCGCTGTGCCGGACGTTGCAGTCACGAGCAAGCGATGCGACTGTGACCTACGGGCGAACAGCTCGGCGATGGCGGTGATGACCCGCGATTTGCCGGTACCTCCTTCGCCTCCGATGAATAGGCATAGCTGCGAGGTGCAATGCTCATCTCGGCGCACCTGGCCAAGTTGGCGGCAGATCAGCCAGAAGGCTATGCTCTGTCTTCTGTTGAGCGTCAGGGACTTGGCCACTTGTCTCCCGACCTCACAAAACGATGTGGACAGACCGAACATGATGCTTGTTGATGGGCCCGTGTCCTCCATCCAGTCGGCAGTCGCGGCCTGCCCGTTCTGTTGCTCTAAGCCTTCAGACCCTCCGCGCGCTGTGGCTCTGTCGATGGCTATCGTAGCGCCCGGCCAACTCTGCATCCCCTGAATAGCCTTTTCCCGCTCACGGGAGAGGCTGATTTGCTGCGACTTGATAGCCCTTAGTTGCTCTTGCTCTGGCGTTCCCGTACTCGAAACGGTCCCTCGAAGAGGGCTGAGGCCATCGTTCAGGATGATCGCGGTATTCAGGTCCTCCTCGGACGTCAATGCGGTCTCCTGGAACTGGAACATTTGCTCGACCATTGCGGAGATCTCTTTCGACCCGGCCGTTATCCCCGTTCGCGTTATCGCATTCCTCAATACATCGATCAGGCGGGCCGCTCTACCAATGCCTTCCGGCCGATACACTGCTGCGTTCTGCGATCCATCCCTCTCGGTGCTGTGCGATCCGGTCGCATCAGTAATCGGATCGCTTTCGCCAGACAGGACCCCCCACTGCCGGGCATCCAGCGCCACATCCTCGGCGGATCGCCGCAGCAGCTGTATATTATCTGCTAGCCATGCAATGCGCCTGGGAAGACACGCCTTGTGTCTTTCCCAGATGTTGTTGATGTCATCAGATACCTCGCAAAGTAACATGTCCCACGGGACAAAGCGCGCAAGGTGTTGTACTGCTGCTCTGACGCAGGTTGCGTGAGTCAGGCTTTGCGTCGCGGCCCTCCCTCTGACATACCTTTTGTGATAAGAATCATCCTCCTCGGCGAAATCCATGGCTAAATATCCGTCGAGGCAGACGATGGCCTGTTGTTTCGGCCGCCGCAGCGTCTGGATCCATGATTTGGATGACGGCCAGGACCTGTCTAGTTAGGCGACACCCTGCCCCTTCCGCTTCAGCTTAACGACCGACATGTAGTCGTATAGAGCCAGACCCTCCAAAGCTCTGCCGCGGTGCGGATACGCTTGTAACAATGAGATCCTCTGTCCCGCCTCACCCAGCATGACCGTCTCTGCAGCCTGCTCGTCTCCGTCAACCCTACCAACAGCGAGTCTCAAGAGGTGCCATCGCCGGAAGACATGCCAATACATGGTGCATAAGTTCAGAAACGCCCAGGCATTGCTGTTCGTGAATTCCGTGCCATAACCCTGGAAATAGGCCACCACCTCGACCTGCGACAAAGTTCGTTCCGTGAAAATTCGGTTGGCGACCCGCAGCAGGAACTGCCATGTTTGGTTTTGGCCCTCGGCGTTTCCAGTCGAGCTTCGTGTGTCATTCGGCTGACTTCTCGCCTTGCCGTCACCCAGGAGTCGGATCAGCTCTTTGGCTGCCACGATCCTCTCCACACCGGGTCCTCGACCTTGGTCGCATAATTTGTTACATAATATATCAGCGACAAACCCTTGCATTTCGTCACGATGAAGGAGATGTCGTGGTTGTGTCGCAACCCCACAACCATCGCTTTGTTCCATCGATTCACTAGCCTGTGACCGCGTCGAATACGCTGAAGTCCGTCCTCCGTGAAACAGGTCTTCTCTACCACTTGCCAAGGTGCGCCAAACCGGCAAGGATTCCGTTTCTGTTGCCTGCCAATGACATACTTGACGCACGTTGGACGATGCGTGTGGACTTGTATGGCGCCGGCACTGTAGTTTGCCTCCTCCTCGAAAGATGCGGTGAATTGACGCGTATTGCCTATCAGCCCAGAAATCTCTGCCGTTACCGACCTCTCCGCTCGCACGACAGCTGATGCTCCTTCGTCAAGATCCTGCTGGACGTGTCAGTTGTTCTCGGTTCTATGCCTCGACTTGGTGAACGACGAACCTCCGAGAATATGCTGTCCACGTAATCGATCACTCGTTTCCGGTATGCGACGTGCTCCTCTCCCTAAACATCCCTCGAAAGGGTACTTAGATGCATGTTTCCCTGGAGCCAGAGGAGGCCGTGAAGGTAGAGAGCGCCCCTCTCGTTCGTCTCTACCGCCCCGTAGTACTGGCTGACGAGGCCTAACACCGACTCCTCCCCAACGTTCACGTAGTGTTCAAAAAAACATGGACACCTCCCGGTGGAAGAACATGGCCGAACTGACAGGATCTAATATGGCGAGTCGGGCCCTCTTGTACGCTTGATTAAGACTTCTCAGAAACTCTTCGGCTTCCTCGGTTTCGCGGGTACGATACGCCGTCAGCTTCAGCTTGATCGGGTTAGTGATATCGTTCGGGTTGAGCGTGAACCAGATCGACAGGGATGCCGTAACGAACTATCAGGGACTTGATCTTCCGCCGCATGGTCAATCGACTTTCCCTTGACATTGGTTGACGATAGCCATATAATGACAGGCTCCTCAGCAGCTGGTTGACAGTCGGATCTGCAGTCTTACCGGAGGACTCCAGCTCGATACTCGCCTTTTCGAGCCTCGCGGCTGTCAATTCCTTGATTGTGCGCTCTACTTGTGGAAAATCGCTTTTCCGCATGCTTGCCATACTCGCTCGGCGGTTCCTCGACCGCACCCCTATGTTGAAGACGAGAAAGAGGAAGACAGGATGCGACGCAAATCGCCCACCGTGTCGCTGCACTAACTTTGCCCATGCTTCTAGGGTCATGTTCCGCGATGAAACCAGCCGTCGCGCAGCGAACTTTGCCTCGCAAATTTGGAGAGCAACCTCTCTCTCAGCAACGACCCATTCTTCGACCTGTCGGGGTCCACCTATACCTCTGGGGAACAAACTGGGGAACGCTCTTGCCAGGTACCACGTATCGAAATGATCAGCAAAATCCTCGCCGCGAGAAATAGCAATGCAGGGCTCGGCAACTCGGTCATGCCGCACCTTGACCGACGCTCTCCACGCATTTCTGCGCCCCTGGTCCTCGACCGCGGCCTCGCCCATGGACTCGAGAAGATATCGCAGTTTTGCAGCGTCAACTATGTCGGGCCAGCCATCCAAGTCGAATATACCCGATGATCCGGTCTCGTAAACGCGCTCGCCCTTGTCATCAGCCCCGCGCCCATCGTCCCTATTGACGCAATCGTAATCGGTGGCCACACCAGGTGCGTTCTGTTCCTCTAACAGCGCCCCAACTATCTCCTGAATGTCGATCGGATCGTGGTCGTCAATGCCACGCTCTGTTGGCGGAACGATATGTGCCGTCTGCGTCTTCTCCCTCGCCGATGGCTCGTTCCGCTCCAATCGCTCAAAGACTTGGGACGGCACGCCGTGTGCTGGTGTATCCCAGCTATGTCAATACTGATGTCGTCATATAAATGGTTATGCCTCTTCAGCCACAGCAGCGCTTTCTTGACGACTCTCCGCCGCACCGATAATAACGCCAACAGATCGCTTGGCGCCGGTTTTTCCCTGGCCCTGCCACGACACATGGATATCATCCAGCACCTTTAACAGCGGATGGGGGAGAACATTCTTTACGAGCTCCTGAACGTTGTTCGGGAACACTGTAATGTGCCCTTTCACATGCCTTGGGTACGTGACGCCCCGCCTGTGTCCGTCTGAGATGCTATATCTGGTGATGAAGCCGTAACACGAGTTCAGCGTGATCAGCTTCTCTTCAACGGGGGTAAGCCCTTCAACTGGTCGGGAAACATATGCTCGCAACCCAGCCACGTATGGAGCTGCGCTGCCAGAGACAACACACCTCGCCTGAGGTGCCTCAAGCAGTCCGCACAACCGCGAATATTCTGCCCCGCCGGCAAGCACCGAGGGCATTTAAAGGGTGAGTCGCCTGGTTTCTTGATAGGAATTGCTGTCCACCAATCCCACCCGACATCCTCTAGCTCGACCGCGCCGTACTTCCGATAACAGAGCAGGCAAGTGAGAGTTGGCAATGCCTTCATGTCATGGAACGCCTTGTAGAAGTTCTGAACGGTCTTGACCTTCTCTCATGCGGCACAGGCTCGCACCATTCCTGCCTATGAGACAATCGCTCCTTCTCGGCGAACTCTACTTCCAGCGCCTGCAGAATGTTGGCAAAAACTTGGACCTGGACTTCCTCGCCAATGCTCTGGCGGTCTTCTCTTCTGATACGCTTCGGCACCGACCGTCCTGCCTAGCATTTCACCCTTTTATGCCGCGACCATACGTGATAGAAGCTATGGGGGCTTCGGGAACCTTTTTGGCAAAGCCAGTACCCATGCTATATCTAGATCCTGCCCATTTGTTATCTGTCTCGACAGATGACCAGCCAAGCTAACACGCTGCTAAGCAAGACGGAGATCAACCCCAGATATGGGAGTCCTTGGGCTTCTTTATTTTGCAAGTGAAAGATTATTTGTAATGAAATTCAGCAATAGGGCTCACATAAGTGAAGAGGCTTCTACCAGGAACCAGCCATAACAAACCAGCGGTCAGGTCGCAAAGCATAAGGCATATTCGATAGACGCATCCGACCAGGGGATTCTGTCATGCCACGTCTATTATACACCTCCAGATACGCTTAAGAGCGTGATACAATGGAGTGGCGCTATCGGCTGATTTGTTAGCATTCTAATTCTGTACTAAAGCAATACAAAGTAGAGATGGGCAATGTAAGAACCAGCCTGCGTCTTGCCCTAGATTATTAAATAGGAGGACTATAGTTCTTGTACCTACACTCTGAAGTGGTATTCGCACTACCAGCTCGAACCGGTCTTTTGGGACACCCTTGTCTGTAGGTTGGTAGCAAGTAAGCCCAAGAAGAACACGGGCAATAGAAACTGACCCGCCAGCGCGGAGACTTGGGATAAGTTCACCAAGGGTGCCGAGACCATGAAACATGGGCACGAGGAGAATTGGGCCGGGATTTTGGAGAAGTAAAACAAAGACAAGGGGATGCGAGAGTAACTGAAGTGCAGTTAACAGCACTTTAAACTTAAAGTCTAGGATATAGTTACGTAAGATTGAAAACCGCTGTGTATCTTATACCTGTTTAAGGCAGAATTATCAGTCGACAGCCAGCAGTAAATAATGATCATTTCAAATGCGAATGAAGTGATTCATGCGACATTACGTAGAGATAATCGAACAATACAGGAGGGGAACCTATTATTCATCCATTTCATGGTAGAAAGAGTAGCGGCATTGTCAAGAGGTTATAATAAGAAGGCGTTTGCGTCGCGATATCCTAATTCATTGTGTAGATGTACTATATAGGTGCTCTTAACTAGCTTTTCTTACAGCTATAGCCGTTCGAGTCTAGTGAAGTAGACTATAATGATACGAGTAACTTTACATAATGCCCCCATCTCAAGCAATTTCCTCGGCTATGTCATAGATTTCGTACTGTATGTCTTGCATATCGGCTCTCATATCCTCTATTGCCATTGCTAAGTCCTCAAGTCTTCTAATTAGAAAGTAAAGGTGGAACTGGCCTCGTGAGCTCCTGTGGACGTCTCGATGGCGTGTATTTGGTGTCGGAGACTCGCTTGAGCTGGCGAAACTGGCTCCCTCAACATTCTGGGGTGCCCTGCGTTCGCCGCGCCTTGTTATACGTCCGTATCTTTGGCTCAACGTTGATTGAGGGACTGGGGGGGTTTGCGGAATCGAGATTCCACTATCCCCATCAGAATCAGGGACAATGAAGGCATCAGAATCACCGCTATCGTCTAGGCCACGCTCGCTATGTTCTACAGGGTATTAAGATCTAGTAATATGCAATTTTAAGATTAACACCCATACCTAAGGCTGAAGCCGCTTCGCTCATCGAATCGACGAAGGCTTCGTGGTCATGAATGCGGCGATACATTGTTGGGTGGTGTAATAATATTATACTGCCACTAGCAAATAAGTCGCGTCTCTTAGCCAAAAGGAAACACTGGAGGGAAGGGGGGGTTCTATAAGATATATACCACAGGTACATCATATGTATTGTTATGTCATTTGCTCGCAAAGCTGTATGGTCGTACTACTTCAGCGTCGATTTGCGGCTCAAGCAAAGTTTGGCCCTTACCCCCACCCCCCCCAGGGGTCAGATACCGTGGAATCGCACTGGGTAAAGCATAATATGAAATGATGCTTTTCATGCCAGATTCACTTCCAGTCTAGTATCAGTCATCTGCATCTACATTGCAGTAGCGGATTGTAAAGGCTCAGAGGATCCTCTGCTCTGTCTGCGTTTTATGTAAAGCGCTATTTTGAACCGTCTTGCTGTGTGGAGGTTAAGGGGGGACAGAGGACGTGTAGTTTTTCGACAGTTTTTTGTTTACTTGAGCCAGTATAAGTCATCACGAGTACTTGAGGTCCTTTTTGGCCAGAGCAAAGATGACAAATAGATGTTTCCGTAGGAGCTATGTGGTTTGAAACAATGGCCAGCCGATTACATGGCGCATCAAATCCACCACTGCACGTAAGTGCAGTTCCATTGGAAATTTTTGGATTTTGACACTACTGTCACTTAGCCTATAGTCTTCGTTATTGTGCCGTATCAAGTACACACATTACCTTGTGCTGGTCACCTTTCCAGTCTCGAACAGTGGGGTTGGGTAGAGCCATATGTGGCAATTAGACTAGACGTTCAGAGAGTCCGGGAAGGGACACCATGCGTGACTCGTGCTCGTGCTTTAAATATCAATTCCAAAGAGGAAGGTTTACGATATGTACCAGATTACAGCATCAAAGTTACCAAGGCAGGATAAAATTCATCACCAAAGCTCACCATGTCTGGTATCTAAATTTGGAACTCTATGCATCACAAACTTGCTGGCTAGAAACGAAATAGTTCATGACAGCATTGTAGAAAATTATGAGCCCACAACCAACATATCCACTATCCTTTTAAGTTAGGAAGACTAGCGTGCAGAACCTTATCGAGCAGGAAGGATCAACACATCATCCGAGCTGCGAACAGCCAATGCTCCATCACTTACAACATGCATCAGGCGTGAAATATACAGATGAACTTGTGACTCCCGAAGTCAACTACGAAGAACGGCCATTCTTGGATGGGAAGTCAAATATTTACGAGGGTACCGTACAAACACGCATAATCCATCCACATCACTCGAAATTGGCAAATAATCCAATAGGCGATTTTGCAACGTTGTTTCATGCCGAATTGCACACCAAGAGCCAATAAGCTGTGGTTTCAAATACTATAAAATAGATGGTTTCTCTCATAATGGCGTTTGTTTTTGTGTTTAGGCGCGAAAGAGCGTTGATACTTGCTCCTGACCTCAAGTATCTTCCTCCAGGTCCTACTTCGACTATCAATGAAGGAACATGTTAGATACGGGTCTTGTCCCAACTACAACAGTGAAGGATCGCAAATCTCTCGTAGAGTAGATCATCAAGTGCAGCAGCTTGGGGGTAGAACCAGCGTTTCCCACAGTTCTATCACTTATGTGAATCGAGGTGACGATCAAGTGTCGCTTCGAAGAAGGATCGTAGAACTCAACCGAGAGAACGGGAGACTGCATCATGAGGATAAGTACTTTGCTACACTGGCTAACGATGTACTAGTATCTCTTAAATCCTCGATCCAGTCTTGTCTATCCAAAATCCCTGACGCTCTGCTCTATGATAACACAGCTACCTTGCACGGCAGCGAAATGGGGAGTAGCATCTCGCAAGCGTTCAGGCGCCAACGCCCGCATACCGACCCTCTCTCGAGCCTCAATCAGCGAAAGGCTCATATTCACGGTCTCGCTGATGCACAGGATCCTCAGGTAAATTTGGTGTCTTCCTGGGGTCAGGGTGCAAGAAACCGTCTATTACCGCCGATTCCACACCCTATGTTGAAGTCTGCGCTCGAGACGTTGGAGATTAATCTCATACGACAAAATGGGATGATGAGACAATCAATCGCACTGAATAGAAAGCTCGTTTATCGGGTGCTACTGCGTTTAGTTTCTCAGATACGACAATTGGCTTCTGCGCTCCGATCGGTTGTCACGGAGGCAAACCTCTTGATTGAGCAATTGAATACCGACTGGCGACAATACATTGAGGATGTTATCAAGGAGGAAACAGATCCAGAAATCCAGGACTCAGGTATCGATTTAGCCTGCAGCTTAGATGCCAAATATCACGCCGGCAACATTGACAATAGATCAGAGTCAAGACTACGGGATTCGGGTATAAGTTTGAGCTACGAGCCAGACTCGATGGAGCCAAACTATATAATAAGTGATCATATACCTCGTTCCGCTACACAGGCAGGTGGCAGAGATTTCAATTCACTAAACAGCCCATCCATGAATCGAGGAAGTTTGAACATGGGAAAGAGCAAGGAGGATCAAGGTCAAAGCTGGCCTTATGTAGAACCTCTTCGAATAGCTCATCAGAAATCTCAGCCTTCCCCTGGTTGTGATACTGTGTCCTCGAAGGCTAAATTGAGGCAACGCCTCGCCATGCTTCATTATGAGCGCATGTACTACAGGAGACTGGCCAACGAGGCAGTCGTCCGATTTGTACCTACAATAAAACATCACGTCCACGAGGTCCAGAATCTTTTGCACGAGTATAGCACGGAGGAGAATAGACTCAGGAGTTTACTCCAGCAGCAGATAAGCCTTCGAACCACTGAGCATTCTACTGGCGATGGATAAGGACCAGATTTGTATGCGTCATACTGTACCAAGATGAGACTTTATTTCAATACTGTACCGATAATCGCCTAGATAAGTTGCTCGTTTCGAACTCCATCGTCTCTCCTTTTTGTTGTTGATTTTGCTGTTTCTGTCTCTTCCAGAATCACGTTCTTTATGGTGATTCCTCATCAGTAATCAGAGAGCATTTCTATGGAATATAACCTTTGAATGGAACAGTAGTAAGGAGAATACAACGTAGTAGGGATGTTAAGCGTATAGATACTCATCAATAGAACTACATTTGGTGCAGGATAGTGGAAAGCACCCTACAGTCCATCAACACAATCAATGCCAACGTTTTCGTAGAGGCAAGGGCAGTTTTAGAGCTACAATGGAGAGGGGGCCTCAAAAGGCCGTCCAGTTTCAAATCCACACTAAAAAATATATCCGCTGCTATTGTGCTGCTATTGTCACGCCCTCAAGTTTCGTGGAATGAGTGAGAAAGGGCTATCGCTTACAGTACATCTCCGAGTCAAGTCAATCTTGCCACTACCCTCGAGAGCAGCTAGCATTTCGGAGAGTCCAACAATTCAAGTTCGTACACAACAGAAGAAAGCAGCTGTTCACATGCGACAGAGAAGCCGAGAACGTAAATGGACTCCTGGGTAGAAGTCGACTACATATCACATTCATTGCGCGCGGGGATGAATATTTATACCGTCTCTTGACTTTCAACGTCAGTGCCTTGAACCGAACTGACTTTATTAGTTTTTTTCCGCTTCTATTTTTCTCAACCGCCAGCCAGCGATTCAATGGGAAGCAGCTCGCTCCCTAGCGTTCCTTCGCCAACGCGCGTTGCGCCACCGCACGCAATGACCGTTGAGCAGCTACTCCATTTCCTACAAGAGAGGAGCCATCTTCTTACGCTGGAAAATGAAAGATTGCACCCACAGTACGAGTTTCTCCAGGCCTCAGTCGATCAGAAAGAGGCTACATTGAAATGGCAACAGAGCCTCATCCGCTTAGGAGAGGAGCATGTGACCTTGCTAGAGAGAGTACTTCAAGGGCAGTCAACTGAGACGGTGTCCGCGACGGAATCGCCGCCACAGTTCATGGAGCATCAGTTTCGGCAACAGACCTGCAGCTCACCTCTGAACACTCCACCGAACCTGAGACTTGAGTCGAACCAAGACTGCGACAGTACATCGTTTGTGGCCGGCGTAACAGATGATGATGGCAGACGAGGGATCATTCAAGACGATTTGGAAGTGATGCAGCGATGCGCCGAATCAGAAGCCCTGGCTTATTTATCATCCTACTGTTAGCTTCATTTGAATTGAGTGGAGAGAGATTGCCTTTTATTGTTTTCCCGGTAACCGCCTGCAACGTATAAACGTATATATCGGCGCTTCCTGCCGGCGTGATCATTAAATACAGCCTACGTATCCGTCTCTACCCGCGCAACATATTCAATCTAACTCAGTCATTGATAAGAAAACTCTTGTTTTTCTCCCCAGCTGGCAAAATTCTCCATTCGCCTAGCATCGATATTGCTTTAGTTTGGGCCTGCCCTAGGAGGTCGTCATGAGCGGATCGAGGTCTGCATCCCTTCTCTGTCCGGCACAGCGAAAGGCGGTTGTAACTTTGCTTTGCAATTTGGAGATTCACCATGTTATTATTGCATCACCATCCAATTGTCTTTGCGAACTCAAACCTGACTCGGTATAATATTTGTTTGTTGAGCCATGTCAATAAACTTATCCCCCCGTCGTAACGTGATACCATTTCATCTCTCCATGTATGTACAGACACATATGTATACATAAATATGTGTAGATATCCATTCCCAGTGCGTCCAGCTAGACCTGAGGATCGCCTTCGGAACTTGGCCTTTACGAGCCGTTATTTTCAGTTCCTCCGGTATTGCTCATCAGATTGGAAGGGTCCACGGTAGAGTCCAATCCCATCTGGAAAGGAGCGCCTCGGCCTGTGGCTCCCTGTGCATGAAGGTTGGTCTGACCACTAATCGTGCGTACTATGGTCTCACTTATCCGTTGCGGTAATTGATTGTTGCTGTAGATCTTGTTAGCTATATTAGAGGGAAATTAGGAAGAAGAAATGCTACAAAGGGTAAATGGAACAGAAAAGAGAGAGAAGAAATCCCTAGTGATCAAGTCAGGACTAAGACGTACTCTGTTCTAATTTGCTTCAAGGCTTCCAAAAACTCTTTTCTCATTTGCTTCATGCTTTCAGAAGACTCTGTTCTCATTTGCTTCATGTTTCCAGAAGACTCAGTTCTCATTTGCTTCATGTTTTCAAGAAACTCTGTTCTCATTTTATTAATGCTTTGGAAAAAAGATTAGCCAAGGACGAACGACAGAAAATGAAAATGAAATAAATAAATAAATAAATAAATAAAAAAGGCTCGACCGATACGACGACTCACAGTGTCAAGGTTGCTTTCGATCTGGGGTAAAGCTAAGGTGTCAGCTTCAAAGTGGTGCAATGGTGTAAGGCTGACTCACTGCTGGCTTATTAGGGCTTCCAGAACATAACGGTCGTCGTCTTGCGGGTCTTGCGGGTCTCCAAATTCTTCATCGTAGCAAGGTCTGTACTTCTTGTCAGTCTAACTTCGTTTGCGTGGTCCGTGTGATTGACGTCGTGGCAAGGCGAGCAAAACGAAGGATTACGTCAAACAGTGTGGAAGAAGGCAAATATAGATGGGATGAGAACAAGTACAGTGACATTCAAGAGAAGAAAGGAGGAACGAATGGAAACAAAGAGAGAGAAAGTAAAAAAGGTCAAAGAGAGAGGGTAAGAGGGAAGGGGGAAGGGATGAGGGGGAAGACAGAAATAGGACAAACTCTTCATCATGGTAATCCATCTCGTCATCTTCCTCGTCCTCGGGAGTAGCGACAAGCTGAGGCTGCCTATCATACATACGATCACGAACTGGCATCATTCGACTTTGCCGAATGTTATCGACCGGCCGCCGATAGCTCCCCAGCGAACTAGATCGGACATCCTGAGGCGCCTTAAGAGCAGTCCGTTTAGGCCTGCACCGGATGGCCCTCCCAGCAATACGCTGAGCCGCCTGCGGTGCTAGCACTGGACGGCGCGACCGGATATAGGCTTGCGATGGTCTGGGCTGTGAAGACTCCATTGAAAGAGAATTAGATAGAATAGATCCAGGCACTTGTATAAAAAAGAATGACAGAAGGAGTAAGGATAGAAGGGGAAAGCAAGAGCTGGCCGGTCAGGAGACTGATCGAGTGACTGAGGGACTGTACCAGAGCTTACCGTGCAGGTGCAGCGATGAATGTATCAGCGTCCAGTTCTTCCCTTCAACGCAGCTTTATATGTAGGAAATGGCTGTTACCGACAGTCTGGTTCAGCGCAGGCAGCTGTAGCCCTCCTGTTGGGCGGGCGGTTGACGGGTCGAGTACTCAGCTATCGTGGGAGGAAGATAACCTTTCACAAATATTGTGTACCTTCGGAAAGTCCTCAGCAACGTGCCTCTTTTGGACTTGAATCGTTTTTGCTGAAGCCATCCAGAAATCGACAATGTACAGTCGCGATGCACGCGTCCGTTTTCTACGCTTGCCTATCTACTGTCCTACAAGTTAGCACCGTTTGGCACCGTCCAGACTTTGGCGTCATTTCGCTGACGAAGCGTCCTTTCTGGACCTAGGTACTCGCGCTCTCTCTCTCTCTTTTTTTTTTTTTTTTTCCTGAAATTGGACATTTTGTCCGTCCGCCCTGGGACGACAAGCCGATCGCTTGCTTCGTTAGCGGAAAATCGCAGCTGCTTCTGGTATGGCTGTTGAGGATGAACGGACGATCATTTCGGGGGACTCGTCCGCTCACTCCTAGCGCATGTTTGGTGGTGGGGTTGCTGACATCTCTCCTTCCATGTAGCTAACCTCGCGTCTTGATGTTGGGATGTTGCAGTAGTTCGTCACCGTAGTGGATAACATAGGGCTATGGCGCTTTGAGAAATACAATTAACTGCCCCATTTCTCAAGGGTGGAAGCGGCTCCGAAAATCTTCGGACGGGCACAGGTAATGCTGAAAGGTTTCGGGGCCATCCTATTCTGCAGACTAGTTTCGTTGCAGATCTTCTAGCCGCAATTCACTTCCGGCCTGGTTTGACCCCACATGCACAACGTCAGCCAAAATTGGCTGGGGGCCGTTGAAGCCAAGTGCGGTTTCTAAATCCAAATTTGGCTCGGCAGCTGTCGCACAAGGCGCGCACGCGCTTTAGGCACGTCATCCCACGTTGTCCAGCACCAGCATGACCCCATCATCCAATCACTGCCGAATGAGACTTGGCTATCAGCATGCTAAAACAGCCGGACGTACCAGAGCCCCCCCTGCCCCTCACCGTTGATAGAGTCAACCAATGACTCTCAAAGGCCACGGATGAGAAGTCAGATGAAAATGGCGATAAAATAGTAAATAAATAAAAATTTAAATAAAAAATAAGAAACAATAAAAAGAAGTAAAAAGAAATAAAAAATACAGGAGGGTACACGCGCAGCTTCCTTTTCCATGATTAAGCTTCTTTTGTTCATCTACCTGTGGGAACTCCAGGGTAAATTAAATGAGTTAAAAAAAGTTAAAAATAAATTAAAAATAAACTCGGTTCTTCCTCGCTGCTGTAGGAGGGCGCACTACAATATCCACTGACATGTGTCGCCTGCCTTCCTCCCTTAAGCAACTCCGCGAAATGTCATACCCCGCATGAGAGGAAATTAAGAACAATCAATCAATCAATACATTGGGTTTGCTGCTACTCATCACATTCACTTTAGCCCCTCAAGCACGCTTAGTGCGATTATATGCCCCCGCTTCATCATTCGCGTTCACGCTCATTCCCAATCCTGAGGACCAACAGCGAACACGAGCATTCCTGGTCTTCTCCGGCGGAGTACATCATCAACTCTGCAGATCAATTGTTCCACCCGCGAACGACAGATTCTGACTGCCATGATACCCCTGTGCTAGTGCGCGTGTCCGGGTAATTTGCCTAGCTTCAGTCTAACTTGGACGATCTGCGTGGTCCGGCATCACTTCTTCAGCGCCTCGCTTCGTTCGACCTTGGTCGCTAGTCAGTGTCAAATTTTAGCTTTTCTGCAGTTCACATGATATCCCGCAATGTGGGGCCATATGCAGTTCATTCATGATTCATGTGAATCACAGCATCGATCCATTAATAAACCATGAAAGTGGATAGAGAGGGGAGGGGGAAGGAAGTACTGCGAAATCGCTTACGCCGAAATACGCTTATCTCCTGCCTATTTCCTTTCGCTGTTTTATTTCCCCCACTAGAGCCGAGGCATTCGGAATTATTTCCGCGGAGTGATTGTTTTACGCGAAAGGATTTTCTGTTCTGAGAGTACGGAATACGGAGCAAAATTTCCTTCAACGGTGCGAGAGTCGGAGCCTTCCTTTCGACACTAAATCAAGAGCCACAAGAAAATACAGAGCCACGCTGTGCCATAAACTGCTTTCGGCGCCAAGGTTCTTTTTCTCCGATCGATCATGTCCACTGGATCTGCCGCATCTGCTTCCGCTTCCCCGGCAGTTTGTTACTTTTTTATGAACAAAAAGTGGGCCCGGACACTACAGACATCAAGCAACGGAACAGAATGATATCTTAAAACAGTCATCAGTAAGAATGAGGGCAAAAGTCGAAATAGAACGAGACGAAATGGATTCTCTACTGATCATATGGTTGCCAAGACGGTCATTGTTGCTGGCAGCGACATTCAATTGTAGAACGAACATGCAATCGTGTATCGCACCAAGTGGCATGAACAAAACTACAGGCAACCCTATACTACTACTACTACTACGAGCTTTGTTTCGATCGGACGAAAAATATACATAACATAACATAACATAACTACTACCAGCTGGTATTTTACAACGGCAGGAATGGGCCGTCAAAAGCTCAGGCCCTGAGCCACTAGATCGGTGATTAAAAGTCCGTTTTGACCGTTGCGGTCCCCCACGTGATGTGGGTTCAATGCAGAATATGTCGATCCTAACTACCGATGTAACCTCAGCGCTGAGCGGACTGCACTAAGGGGGGGGGGGGGGGGCAAGCAGAATTCGGAAGAACGGAAGGCCGAAATAGGATGTCGAAGAACAAAACTGACAGCGGCGCCGTACAATCGAACCCACAGTCAGGGTTTGAAAAAGATGTTGGCTCTAGCAGACACTTGATCCACCTCTATCATGGATTTGCGTCTCATATTCATCGTCCATCCCCTCGCTCCAACCGTGTTGACCTATCTCGACGTCGATTTCGTCCCGACAGTCTGGCACCGTGATGGAGAGGTGGAAATTAAACCTGGATTGCCTGAGGACTTTTTGCAACGACCATGGAGTAACACCGACATCACCCGTTCCGCTGCACGACAACCGACCAACAGTCCTTGGTAAGGCAAGTCTGGAAAGTTCGGCAATGGCTCGACAGCGAAAGAAGGCCGAAAATGAACTCGAATCAAGACATTGGCATGGCAAGAAAGCATAGCGGGCGAAATGGGTCGTTCTGTGCTGCAAGAGGGTCGCGAGTCCGGTTTGGGACAGGACGATTCATCCACTTAATTCCGCCGTTCGTTCAAAAGATGGTCTGCATTCGATACATACACAGCTTCCATATCTTGGAACAGCATCGAGACCAAGACGATACTGTTTCGTCTCTGCTTCCATTCCGGCTGAAGAGGCAGACATGGCGCCTCGGAAGACTCGTTCCAGGTCCCCCCACCCAGAAGATCGAGCATGGGTGAGCCAGACCATGCGCAAGAGAGGCATGACGGCGATCAAGAAGAACTATCAGTTTGGCGAAGACTGCGGCACGATCGCCGTGCTTGTGTTCTACAACAAGATCCATGGATTCTGGGACGGCTCGGTGTACATCCCGGACGGGGAATCGCTGCCGGAAGACACAAACGACGTGGTAGGTTCAGAAGCACAGAAGGGCGGAAACATGAAGAAGCCGCTTGGGCGAGTCGCTAACCGGGATGGTGGTTACAGATTCGCGATATTTGGCGGAGGCAGGTTGTATCTAATGGCAAGCTTGTTCTGAGGCCAGCAAGACAACGGAAGCAGCCGGCCAATACGAAGCCGTGTCGGGTCACCAAACCAGCGCCGAGGCCATCACCCCGTGTGCTCAGTCTTCGTAGCAGAGGCCGGCAGGGCGATGGCTCATCAGGGCCTGGGGCCTCACCGACCCAGCCGCAAATCACCGTGGCCGGCGCCGGTGATGAATCCGAAGCTGAAGACGATGACGAGAATATCTGGGACGTTCCAGACAGTCCAGCCCCGAGGGTGACCCGACGACGGGGTCGTGACAATGCCCGCCCCGGGGAGACCGCGACAAGAATCCGAAGGGAAGCACCCCTCGACGCTTGCGCGGATCGTGCTGTTCGTGACCTTGGCAGTACCGACAACCATATCAGCGACAACGATACCGATAACGCCAACGGCGAAGGTGATGACCATCACCACGTTTATAGAGGCGATTGCCGTCGTTCTCGGGTTCGCGACCGGAGCGAGCCGGCAGAACCAAACAACGCAGCCTCGAGTCATCTTCGCGATCATGCGCCAGATGGCCAGGACGCCGTGATGCCGTACACTTCGATTGAAGATGAGGATGCGGAAGGCGAGCCGTGGTGTGAGCCGACGGCACCCTTTGCTTCCATGGCTATGAATGGCCAGTCGGATGATGCAGTCCAGCGTAGTCACGGCGATGAGCCAGGATCTGTCGATCTGACGACGATGATGGCAGAAGATGACTGGATGCAGTCGGCTATGATGGACTTTGGCCAAGTGACAGATTTCCCTGGCGCACATCACTGGGGTGACATGCTGGAGTTTGATCTAGACAACATGGGTATGGACATGAACGTGGACTTGGGCATGGAGATGATGGATCAACTTGACAACGGTCACCTGCCCATCGATATGATCCATCTTCCCTCAGCCGACCCACATGTCGTCCCTCAGGCTCCCATCGAAGCCGAGGAAGGTCTGGGCGACGGTGGACTGGCGAACCGCGACACCGACGCTATTGCTGATGCTGGCAATGATGCCGCAAAAGTTACACAGTCCACGGCTGCGACAGCCAGTGACAGCCATATGCCCTCCGCCCAGTCGAAGAGTGACATTGAGATGCAAGCGCGGACTCCATCAAACGAGACTCATCCCAGCCCGCGGACGACCGCTGTGACAGGTTGGCCAGACAGTTCGAAGCATACCACGACGACGGCAGAGGACGGACCGCAGTCGGGTCACTTTGCTGGAAACCCGCTGTTAGCGATCATCACTAGAGCATTGTCTCAGATGAATTGTTACGAGGATGCTGGACCAGATATGAACAATAATACAAGTTGGCCAATGGGAAGTCAGGGCATGGTTGGTATGCCGCCCGCGATGCCGGCCTGTTGAGTATGAACATCAAGCGTACACCAGTCTTCTTGATCGGTCTTCTCTGATGTGCTCGTAGTTGTACTTTCTTTCTCCTCTCTTTTATTCATTCAAGAACGAAAATGAAGAGGGCAGAAAAGGAACAGCACGATAAGTTTTGATGGATGTCTTGATGGATGTCTCGATGGATGTCTTGAGAGAAAAAGATGACAAGATGCGTAGAAGAAGAAAGAAAGGAACGATAGATCAAATAGATTTATTTATCGGCCTATGTACTGTAAAACTAATGCGCCTGACGTTGTTCCATAATCGCTCCCGCTACCTGGGATGCTTCTTACCGTTTAAGGAACAGCCTGATTCTGCATCTGGTATGGTGAGAAGTGCGCGTGCACAGACGGTCGTCGTAGATGTCCCAATACATGTGAGAAATTAGCAAAATCTAATTCATAATGTCGGAAACACCCTTATGTCTTTATGCCAAGTACTCATACTGAGTGAGAGCTGACAGAACATAGACCATGGATGGCATGAATAGGAGGAAGAAGCCAGAACCAGACGAACTTGACTGCAGCATGTACAGGATGAACGGTATCAAGCTCATAGCGTTAGAAAGTAAGAAAGGTCGTCGGCTTCGTCTCGCTCCATGTGGCCAAAACAAAGTCACTCGTTTGCTATTTAAGCCCTGCTCGCCGTGCCGATGTGAAACTTGTCACCTCCGCATCCTGTCCGCTCTCAACCTGGCATGCATATAATAGGCTTAATGCGAAAACAGAACGTAAGGTCACCACCTGCCCTACAGTCACTATTTCCGCGTAGAGAAAATCCTCAGACGCTTCGTCAGCAAGAGAAGACCGAGAAATCTGAAGCTAATCGAAGACATGATACACAAGTGGCCGGACAAGCGATGGACACTAGCGCTCAGTTCGAGCCGATGGATATAGACAATGAAGAGGCATCAAGGGATAACGAAATGTGTATTCCCACGATCGTGTTATGGCCGCCACCGGATGATGATTTTGATATGAAGGAGGACGCAGAGGATGTGGAGATGACTTGTACCGAGAGGAGCACCATTACAAACAACCACTAAGCGCTACAATACTATATATGAATACTTCCGACTTTATTGTCATCATAGACTTCCTGAATTTTCTGCCCCCCCACTAAATCACTTGCATTTCAAACCGCCATAGTGAATCTGGATCGTCAGTATTCGTACGTGACAGATTAAAGTCACCCTTGACTTGGGGGATGCATATTCCGCAGCCCTGTGTCTAAGCCCACTGCCGACTTGTATTGTGATCCCAGCCGGCCAAAGCATTATCGTCTCGAAGGCTCTACACTGGATAGATTGCTCAGATCAGACGGAAAGCGCAAGATGCTGGACCAGGTTCTGCTATAACTGCCGCAGAAGAAAGGGAAGAGAGATTTGCGAGCAACAGCAATTATCCAGAGGCTAAAATAGGATGAGACGCGGCTCAATCGAAAGAACGAATCTTCAAAGTGTCGCATATCAAAAAGGGAAGTACTTACTGTACGACCAGCTAGGTTCAGAAATTGGAAAAAGGCCTCTTGGATCCCCTTGGAATGCTTAAATATGCACTATTGCCATGTTTGGCGATATTCGTATCAATCACTCTAGGAATCGATGACTCGTAGTGAATACACTAGAATTGACAAGAAAAGAACTCTGCGACACCGCATTGTGGATGAGACGTATGGCCCTACGAAAGAAGTCAAAGCATGGGAGAGGATCAAGAAGCTAGTGAAGGCACCAGATAAATCGCCAAATCTTTACGTTCAAGTACCCAGTCGTGAATACATTCACAGGATCGATGACTCTGTGACAAGTCATACACTCGACTCGCTATCGCATGCCGAGGGCAAGGCAGAGCCGAGAACTACAAAGGATCGTAAAGAGGATAATGACATATCCATATCCATCGAGTTCACCCATAATCATCCATGTCGAGAAGATGGGGAGGATGATGATCTCCGCTGCCTGTGGATCCCCTCAAGTGATGATGAGGAGGATGGAGAAGCGGCGCATGTCGACGCGGTGTCCGTGACGACGTGGCCTAGGCGGAATTGAACTGTATGTACTTGGTCTAGTTATGACGAGTCTTCTTTTCGCACAAAACTAGATGGTTATGTCTACGGTATATGTTAGCATGGTGAAGTTCGTCTTTTTAGGGACTGACTCGATCGATTATCGCTGAGGGAGCACACGTGCTTCCACTTTCCATGCTGGGAAAGAGAGGCTGGTAGCCAGAACTGCTCAATTTACAAATCTAGAATTGGCCTTTTCTTCTTCTTATTTTTTTCTTTCTTTTTCTATGGTCGAATTGATTTTGATTTGTCGCAAAACATGCTGTTCGCTTTCATAAGAAATAAACCCTCCCTTCCTTATGTCTTTGGCAGTAGCATCATCTCTTTCCACTTCTCATTCTCCAAAGAACTACCCGAGGACTCTGAAATCCGAGAAGATAACACGAGAGCATGCCCCGGATTTCTCTGGATCTGCCGACGCATCTTATTGATGTCCCGGCTGGTCGTAGTAGTGAGCGCTACTACATTCCCATATATAATGTAAACGAATTCTGTGACGGATTTCTATACCTATCCTCCGTCACAGTGCATCAAATCACTTACAAACCATCAGATTCCCTTTGGCTGTGCACGAGAGCTCATAAGTTACTGGTTACAAGACTGTGGCGTTATAGATTGGCAATTTCACAATGACGCCCGCTCAGGATGGATTTGTTTCAAGTACGAGGGGGACTTTGGAATTGCACTTGGTCCGTCTTCACTTTGCACCTGTCACTTCTGTTTGATGATGCCTAATTAGGTGATTATAGAGATTCTACAAGAAGTGAAGCAACTTCACCCAAAGCTGGAATACTCAGCCGTCAACAAGCTGAGGAGCATCAAGCTCGAGGTTATAGATTGCACGTTGACCCAGCCCAGGTTTGCCAGGATATACTCTAGCCACGTCAAAGGGTCACTGCGGCGCTGGGACGATCTGATCGACTGGATCAGGTTGGACCTGCCCAAAGCTAACGTGGAAGGGACGCAGAAAATATTGTTGACAGGGTTATCGTCCCGTCCAAACATCCATGAGCTCAATCACTGGATGCGTTCGAGACTCGGGTCAGACTGCCTGCTGATTGTTGCCTCACGCATCGCCCGGATAGGCATGTGCCGCGCGCTGGTCTTTGTCTGTACCCTCGCTATGGTAAAGGGCTTGTCCGAGGATAGAATACATGACGGTCTCGAAGGAGCGATGTTCGGCAATGAGACCGTGCGAATTCTGGTTGAGCGGTCTGATGGCCAGGCTAGTGCAACGAAGTGCCAACAAGAGGCGGCACCTCTGGTCGTGCTGGGATCGTCGAGACTGCCACCTCAGTGGCCTAGTATAGTGTCCAAATGGAATGACAGCATGGAGAAGATAGACGAAGATACTACTTAGGAACACTCGATGAATAGTGTGCCGCAACTTGATGTCCGGTGTCAGGGCGAAGCCTTTTCAGATCCCCAAGTACAGTTCTGAAGATGCCGGTACAAGTTGGAAGCGAGAACAAACCAGACTACCACGATATCTCGGTCGAGGAAATCTCTCAGGGGGCAGGTAGTTTTGCTGTAGAATCCTGTTGTTTTCCGAAATCCAAAACTTGCTGTTTGCAGTACGCATCGTCCAGAATGGACCAACTTGTATCTTTCACATGGATGGAGCCCGCCTCACGTCTAAGACTTCGCTACATGTATCGTCCAAAATACACCTCTACGGTTCTGTGTCCTACAGGTAGCGTATGAGAGTCAAATATATACAGCTGCGCATACAGATATAATAGGCTATACTGCAAGATAACTTCGCCATTCAACAGCACCACAAAGAAACTGTATCGACTGTCATACTCCTATGCTTGTGTATTCCGCACACACTGCCAACAATTCTATCGCCTGCAAGATAAAGCTGAAAAGCTCTATACAATGACAGCACCCCATTTTCCTATACAAGCCGGAACCCATCAGCCTGGCCCTCTGAGCATTCAAAACATGGTTAAACCAGTGGAAAACCAGGGGATCTCTTCTTATAGCAACACTATGCCGCAGCAGTACGGGTTGATTCCTGCCGCGAGCATGTATGTCAGTCCCGCTGTCTTGCAATCCATGGATGTCCCTTCAGAGAAGAGCCTGCACCCAAAATCAGAAACGTGGCAAAAGGTCATGACAGGACAGGGGCAGCACAACCAGGAACACCAAGAACCAAGGCCGTTCATGCCCGCTCCTATTCGCGAATCAGATATGCCAACGTCGGCTTCAGCCTGGATTAGAAACACCAAACATCGGCGGTTGAAACCAGGATACGCGCCTGCGACATTCGGCCAACAAAGATCAAGGGCATGCCACGGACAATTACAAATGATGTCCACATGGCGGTTTCAGGATCATCAGGGAAACCAGCCGCAGGGAGGCTTATCAACCCATTCTGTCAAGCATCGGGTTACTCGAGCCATGGCCTCGCGCAGAAGCGGTGCGCCAAGAAGCCCCGGGGCCCAGACAAGAAATGTCGAAACCGATTGCCATGCAGAATGGCTTCAACGTCCACTGGTACGACGTGTACCTTCAGCCCTTCAACCTCGACTACCCTCGATTCGATCGCTTATTCCCGAACTCCCCGAAACCTTTGCAAATCAAACAGAGGTGTTCGACAGCACATCAAAGTTTGTATAGTGCAGCGAAACGGCAAGAGTAGATAAGATGCAGCAGCTAAGCAGGCATTCGGTTGCAGAAGCGACCCATGTGCAGTTATCTTATTGATGCGCCGCCTGCATCCTCCACGATGGGGCTACCTGTACAATGTACTCTATACCATAGACTCTAAATCGCTATGAAAGTAATTAATTAGAAAAATAATATTCACATGAGGTCGTCATCTTGCCATGTAAAATGTAAAATGTAAAATGTAAAATGTAAAATGTGGAAATTAGTGGCGCAGCAACTCGCTTTTGTTAACCAATAGCATCCCGCAAGAGGAGGCTGGGGCGACCGGGGGAAGGAAAGGTTTTGTCCAGCCCCCTTTTACTTGCATGATACATATTATAACTTACTCTGCCAGAGCAAGCAGCCTATTCAGCCCCAGTATCATACTTCTCGCAAACCATCTTACTGTGCAGCTACCTCTTGTCTTGAAGCAATTCTTGCCCAAATTTCTGTTTAGCATGTCTCGTCATGAAACCGGAGATTTGCTACCAGCTGTTTCCGATGCTAGTCATGCCTCGGTGCCTCTAAACTCTGGAAAAAACGCTTCGACTAAGCGAAAGGCGACCAAACCGACATATTACGATAAGAGGAAAGCCAAAATCTGGACTGATTTGCAGAAGTTTATAGGAGAAGAGCGTTGGCCTAGCGTCCAGTCTATACTTGAAACAGGAAAGAGTGATACAACCCTGACGAGCATATACGATTGGTTGATATATGCTCGAAATAACAACCTTAACGCAGAGAATGTTTTCGAGAATCAAACCAAGCCCACCAAAGCAGTTCAGACGGGGGTGATTGATATCCTGAACGCCCTTGACCGAAAAGAAGATGGTGCTGGCTTAGGCACAACCATCGAAGCCAGCTCGGGAACGGGTACAGAAATAACAGTCGGTTCGGATGCCCAGCATACGGTTGGTCCTGACTCCGGAGTCCGCATGCCATCATCACCGTCGCCGTCACCGTTACCGCCGCAGTCACAGCCATGGAAGACAAGTCAATCTGGCAGACCGCAGAAGAAATTGAAAGGGACTCATAGCGACTGCATTGATATGACAACTCAATCATCACCGGACGATGAGGAACTGCAACGAAAAAAATCACTAGTTTCAGTGGCTGAGAGAGCCAAGGGTATCCACTCACGGCTGAAAGACGACGAAAAACTGAATGACGAAACTATCTATATCGTCAGTCAAGTCTTCGAGCTTGGCTTGCCACCAAATACCCCTACGAGGATTCTGGATACTATGAGATTTAAAATTGATGAAAAGAACATTCCAGTCAAGCTAAAGTACATACCGAAGAGCGGCGAGCCGATATACATCCCTTTACATCATGAGAGTGCCGAGCACTGGACGCTATGCGTTCTGCTATTCGAATCCGACTCTGAACCCAGCTCTGAAATCAACTCTATTCGCTTGGAATTCTACGACTCTTTGGTAGATTTATCCAGGTCGGAGAAAGTTGAGGCCTTTTTTACAGAGTGGATCAAGACGCACTATCCCAATTTCAAACTTACGTTCGATCAGAAGGTATGACTCTAGCTCCCTTTTTAATTACTTAGTGTGCCTGACTGCAGTAGGAAACTGCACAGCAAAATGACAAAACGAGTTGCGGAGTATTTGTTCTAGAGACTATAAGGCGTTTGATGGCATCGGAAGATATAATGCGGACTATAGAACCGATGGATGCGAAGAAGCGCTTCCTGGACATGATTACTTCAACTGTTACAAACTCGCCGTCTCCTTCGGCGAATCTACAGGTGATAGGCGCAATCAAAGAGCTGGAAAGAAACTGCGACACATCAGCGATCATTGACGACTCACTCTCTACAGCCCAAGAGCCAATAAGCATCCAGCCTTCTCAAGGAATCATCACCAAAATCAGGAGCCTCTGCGAATCAGAGGGAATACCCATCACAGAACGGCTTTCTCCTGCCAAAAAAGAGTACAAGCGGATCACCGAAGAAGAGGAGCGCCTCAAACTCGAACTTACAGACGCCCGAAAGGACTTGGGTTGTGCAAACGTCAATGTACTCGCCGTGGAAGAGGTCTTAGCCATGTTCTCAGAATCCATCGCAACGGATGAGACAATAGACGATTCGTCGGCTGGTGTGCATTTGCAGACCATGAAAGATGAGCCAATGTCTGATGGCACGCCCAATCTGAATTCCCTGGTGAAGAATCCTTGCTCGAATGATATGCTTGATACTTTCTCTTGCGTGGTCAAAAATGCAGCATCGGACCTCATGCAAGCAGATCGAGCGAGAATGAAGGACAAGTTGGCGGAAGCCATGGAGAAAGCCCGACGTACGCCTCGTGAGGAGGTCGAAAATGCGGAAAGAAAAGTGGAGCAACTAACCGAACGAGAGAGGTACCTTCAGATAAGAAAGCGTCATTTAGATGCGACTATTAATTTGTATGAGAGCTTGCTATATCTCGCATCGGATGGAGGAGGCAAGCTGGCTGACGAGAGCCTGTCAACTGGTGACGTGACGCCATCTCGATGATATTCCCATATCTAGGGTAGGGTAGGTTCCAAGAGCAGAAACTCGAAGGGTCCATGGACCAAGCTTTGGCTATTCCGGACTGCTTCTGATTGAAATAAGAGCATCTGTTCTTTGGTGAGGGAGGCAGGATTAATTCTTCACATTATCAATAAAATAATAATAATAAATAATTCATCGCTCTGTTATGCTCTCGATACAGCTAGTCCTGTGCGTTAGCTCTATCTTTCTACCGGAAGCAACGTCTTAAGCGATGACAATGGAAAGGCGAGAGGGCAGTACCGCGAACGTCGCACCACCACGCCTGAGGTCATAACTGATGCCAAGGTATTTAGCTCCGGCCAGAAAACGCCCAGCATGGCAACTTTCTGCGCACACCATCAGTACAGCATTCTCCTGACCTGGTCACTCGCTAGTACTGCCAGGAATGCTCGCTCCCGCCCGGACATCCAGGCGTGCCATACACGCCACCTACCATCCATAGAACAACGTCGACAAACCACCAAATCCCACCGGCACCGAGAGTTGACAGTTTAAACACAGCTAGAGGCCAGTGGCGGGCGTAGAACTGATCGATACCGAAGGATCCCAGAAAAAAAGCAAGAAGCATTGCCGTTCGTTCCTGTCGATAACACTTGGCGGTCGTTGGACGCTCGTCAAATCCTCCCCAAGACCTCTTTGCCAAGTCGAAAGGCCTCTCGATGGCAACTGTTCATCCCATAATTAGTCACGGGATGGTCGCGCTTATTGAAGTCAGACCAAAACAACGTACCGGTTATCCCACATGCGACAATGATACCTAAGACAATCACCGAGTAGACTGTTGCAAACAGTCTCCAGTGCCTCTCGATGAGAGATATGCCTTTTCCGACCAAAGGAGCGCTTCCGGAATGTACGGAGTGCCTCTGAGTAGCCCGGGAAGGATTCATGGTCGAACTGAGCGTCATTTACATGGGGTAACAGCAGCAGCGACAACAGTAACAACAGTACTGTAACAACAGGAACGGCAGTGATAGGTTTGAGCAGATGTAGACCTCGGTAGCAGGAATTCAATCAACTTGTCACCTTTCAAGCCAATCCAAGCAAGAAATTATAGAGAGGGCTGACTGGTTAATAGTGGGCGTTCTGTGGATGAACCTGAATCATCCTCCGAGATAATCCCACTTCGGCTGTCCGAAAGATCTGTTCGCTCCCGGTACACTTGCTGCAATTTCTAGCCTTTGCCTGCGAACACGCCGTCTGTTTATACCCCGTGATGCGATAGAGTAAGCCCTGGGTCCGATTTCAACCTCTGGGTCTATAATTCTCCTTCCACCGGTCATTCTTGATCAGGAGCGGCTGGTGCACATCCGCGACTTTTAGCCTACAAGCTTGGCCTTATTTCGGGTACGAAGCTTATGGCGGATGAGGGAAAGCCTATTGTCAATTGACTATTGTAAGTTAAGATGGTGAAGATGAGCTTTCAGCCACAGGTCTCAGCTATTGTACTGTAACCGGTCTCAAAGTTTGAACTTTGATTACCTTTGTGCTGTAGTACTGTACTGTACAGATTGGGCCGTACTGTAGCATCGTTGTTGAACTTGAAGTCTTGTCGCTCAACTGCATGCTGGCCTTCAGCAAAGGCTACTCAGATAGAGAGGGGGAGAGAGTTATGATACAGCTTACCATTTCACTCATATGAGATACAATTGCAGGGTCATATTCTTAATCCATATTCTGTGCTGTAGGTTCCTATGTTATCCAGGAACTACTGTAATGTAGCGTTCGTTGCACAACCCTTCACGTCGTTGTCTTTTGAAAATGAAAGAACAAGTGACTGTATTGAAACCGATTGCACCTCTATACTACATGTCTCCGAAGCTAGTCACCTATTCAGACATCTAAAAGTTGACCATTGACCACTTCGTTCACGCTCTTCGCATGTGAACATCCACGCTTCACGTTAGAAACAATGGAGTCTCGTCTGCTTCTTTCTGGTATGACTAGCATATGGACTCCGGAGTATCAGGTTCATCGTTCCAGTCCAGCCCTTCGACATCATCAGTGTTCAGATAGGCCATGCCGATCAGCGTTTTAATCTTTCCTCTAGCCCAAATAGATGCTATGATCATAGCGATGAGCAAGACCAGTGTTTCTGAAGCGAAGAACGCGACGAGTTCGCTTGGGGGGTTGTTGGTATGCCAAAGCAACAAGCCCGCCATGGCTTGCAGTATGACGACATCAAGCAAGAACAAAGGCACCCAAGACATTATAAGATCCAGTCTCTCATATTGACCCTTGATCGACCGGAAATTGAATTGAAGCATGGTGATGATGGCGACTGCAGCGACCGCGATGATTGCGGTACTGGTCAGTAGAGCTGCTGCCGTGAACTCGAGGCCACTCAAGCTGTCCGGTTGGGATAGGCCAAAGATTGTCATCCCTAGAGACAAAATCGCTAACCAAGCTACAAAGAGTAGAAGGCCATTGTAAAAACGCACGACTAGTCGAACAATGAATACCGAGCGAGGGCTGACTACCCCTAACTCTTCATCTATCGTAGGCATTGATACAACTTGAATCATTCAGCAAGGGAGTGAGCCGGGTTTCTCTGAAGACTTACCTTTATGCATGTGAGTCAGAACGGAAAGGGCTGTAGCTGAGTATTCAAATGGAAAGTCATGTTAGAAGGGGGAATGCATGCATTCAGCGGAGCTTTGTACATATATGATCAGCGAAGCAGCCAAATAAGGAGATAGCATCGGTCTCTTGCTTTTTTCTTTTTTTCGCCTTCCCTCCTCTTCCTGTTTTCTTCTTTCCACCTTCTTCATTTTCTGGCAGTCTGAGTAGGTTCGTCTGTCGGTGTATCCCGTACTGCTGGAGTCTCCGCGGAGTACAGTCTACGGGATAGCACGCCCTCGACGGAATGGCCATAACTAGCCAGTCCAAACCCCGACTTTTCATCTATGGATATGTGAGTTTCTTGCTTAGACATGCAAGGAACTCACGACACGCCTCGCATTTGGCCCAGAACGCTAGGTAAGCAAAACGTCCTCCGAAACTAACGTCAAGGCGGACGTTCACGACCTTCAGAAACACTGAGATAACGAATCATCTAACCCCATCAGATCTCACGACAGGGCTTTATCCAAATACGAGTTCTGATTAACTACCAAACAGCCCAATAGAGCCACTTAGCATTGAGACCGTTCATCACATCAATGGAAAGTGGCAAGCCTACATAGGACGCATCAAACAGCATCAATATCACTTCACCTGGGCCGCTTCCCCATCGTATAAGAAAGTAGTGTTGTTACTTGTCCAAAAACCCTTTCCTCTCCCCATTTTGAAGTCAAGAGTGCGGTCGAAAGGTGCTCAACAGACAGCATATCATCTCGAGGCTCACATCAAAATGACGAGAATGTCATGTTCCTCCTATTCACAACCACCCCAGCCTCAAGCTGGAATAGGACTAGGAACCATTCTAACCATTTACATAACTTGCATCATCAACGGTATGTTACCGAAAGCGTTTAGCCAAGGGAGCTAGCTGATCGGTACTGCTAATCACCGTCATGCCAGGGTTCGACGTAAGTAACGTTGCCAACATCCAACCACAGCTTTATGAGGCATTCGGTCATATCGAGTTTCTTCCTTGGATTGGACTCTCTTACTCCCTTGCCAACTTTGCTACATTGGCCTTCGCTCGCAAAATCATCGATGTTTTCAATATACGTTACGTGTATATTATCAGCATCGCTATATTTTTCGTTGGAGCGACCCTAGCCGGCGTGGCGGGCAACATCTCCACGGTCATCGCTGGCCGAGCGATCATGGGGATTGGAGGCTCAATCTGCCAGAACTGGTGAGTAAGAGCTTAGTCTTCTCTATTTCGTTCCGTCGTTGCCGTCCCATGTGGCGCATACTGAATGTTCATTGCAGTGCCATATCATACTTTGCCATGTATGCGACCGACAGTCAAAGTCCTCTTCTTTATGGCGTCATGAGTGGGTTGTGGGCAATTGGCCTTGTAGTAGGAGGCCCAGTAGGCAGCGCCTTTGTGCAGAGCTCTGCCACGACTTGGCGTTGGGCTTTCTTCATCAATCTACCTTTCCTGGGCCTTGCCATCATCTGCGCCCTGATTTTTGTGCCAGGCAGACCCGAAAGCAATACTCTTCCTCTGCGAGATCGCCTTGCTGATATTGACATATTGGGCATTGTCCTTCAAGTAGCTACAACCGTGCTCTTCGCCATCGCGGCCACCTTCTCTGGCCCGGTATGGGAATGGAGATCGGCGCCCTGTATCGCCATGTGGACTACGTTCGCTATTGTTTTTGCTGCTTGGGTTGTTCAACAGGTTTGCAGTTACCAGAAGCGACCTGACCATCAGGTGGTCCCCATCACGATCATGGCTCGGCGTCATATGATACCTCTATGGGTAGCATCAGGTTGCGCCGGTGCTACGTACGCCATTATGCTCTATTATATGCCGCTGTTCTATGCTTTCTCCAAGGGGCTGGGCGCGCTACAACAAACTGTGCGTCTGTTACCTTTCATTGTCCCTTTCATTGTCACCGTGGTCATCGTCGCTGCTTGTCTCCCAAGAGTAAATCACTACGGCCTAATCTACCTCTCTGGCGGTGCCGTCACACTCGGATCGGCAATAGCCCTTGCCACTACTCTTGCACCAAATGTTTCCGAAAGTAAGGTCATGGGCCTTACAGCTCTAGTGGGCGTGGGACTTGGCCTACACTTTCAACACAGCAACGCCATCTCGAACCGGATCCACAAAGATCTCCGAGATCGAATTGAATGCGCTGCGCTTCTGAACATGAGCCTGATGGGTGGTATCTCTATGGCATTGATCATTGCAGGCGCTGTCTATGAAAACCGCGGCATGTCTTTGCTAAAGTCGGCTCTTGCGTCATTCGATTATGATGAAGGAGACCTGCGCGAGGCACTTGCAGGCGTCTCGAGGGATACGGGGGGAGGAGATGAGGCTCATAGTATGATAGCGTATGGCGCTGACGCAACATGTAAAGCCATTGCTCTCTTGTTCTACATTGTCGCCTCCAGCGGCGCTCTTTGCTTAGCATGCGGCGTACTCGCCGTATTTGGTCGTTCTCGAACGAAGAAGTCGCAATAGGGGATGTATGTTACATAAGCAAGGATCAGTGGATCATGGCAGAACGGTACAAAGACTGGTAGAAGGGTCATAGTCGTAATAACAAGACAGAAGCTATTAACTACCCGAAAGCTTAAGAAGACCTTGTGCCAACTAGGTTAATGTTCCTGATGTGGCTATTTGGTCAGGCTTCGTACGGATCTTAGTCGGCACCAAGAGTCACGGTCACACATAGGATACCAATCTCGTAGTTATAATCGCCATCACGGCCCGGTACACCTTCCAAGGTGACCCCTTCAGTCTTCTATTTGTAGAACAAACTTTGTGGCGAACAGGCATCGTTGATCACGCGAACCGCTGATAAAAATGACCAAGGAATTACCGCCTTCTGCTCCTCCTGCCTAATTCAGCCTCGATTCCCGAATCATACCTTGACGAAGGCTGAGAACGAGTAGTGTCGTGAACGGGTATTATCACGTACCCTAGACTATTGCACACGGGGATGGCTAGCATAATCTTAGGACGTCTCATCCGAGCTCGATGTATCAGAATATAGCGTAGATCGTTTACATAATCTATTATAGACGCGGATATCGTGTAACTGAAACTCTGGGCTAACTCTAAGTCGCTAATCTGCTATATTGCTTACTGAGTTTGAAGTATATAAAGGATATGTTATGGAAACAACCCCCAAGTCCCATTTTAGCCCTGCTTTCATCCAGGGCCAAGCAGCCACTTAATTCATCGCCAAACCGGCTTGAAATCCTTAGCCAGATACCATCAATTATTCCGATATTAGTCGCCCTTCACAACGTCGTGTCAACTGACGATTCATATACTGTACCAACGCGATGAATAGTATATTCCGACTGTTTCAACTGAATGTCAGAAAGCAAGGACCGGTACATGATAGTTTAATGAACGACAAGGACATTCAGGATGCAACCATATTAGCCATCCAAGAACCCCAAGCACGGAGGATCCAGGGTAGGCTATTAACAATACCGATGGGGCACCACAAATGGGTCAAGATGGTACCCACGACAGAGAGGGAAGGTAGATGGGTGATTCGGAGCATGCTATGGGTGAATAAGGATGTGGAAGCCGAGCAGGTGGCGGTAGAGTCCCCAGACGTGACGGCAGCAGTTATCCGGCTGCCAGATCGTCTGGTCTTTACGGCGTCTGTCTACGTACCCGGGGGAGACGCCCAAGCTCTACAGGACATATGCACTAAGCTTCGTAAAGCTATTAGAGAGGTAAGACGGAGATCGGGGAGAGCGGTAGATCTGGTCATTGCTGGCGACTTTAACCGCCACGACCAGATGTGGGGCGGAGACGATGTATCGGTGGAGAGACAGGGCGAGGCGGATCCGATCATCGACTTGATGAACGACTTCATGCTTAGGAGCCTCCTTCGCCGAGGCACAAAAACATGGCAAAGTGGAGACTACGAAACAACCATTGACTTGGTTCTGGCTTCCGAACAGCTTGCAGACGCAAACATCAAATGCGCGATACATGGCACAGAGCACGGATCAGATCATCGCACGATAGAAACGGCATTCGACATCTCGGTCCCGGCGCCAAAACAGGACGAAAGACTCCTGTTCAAGAACGCACCATGGAAGGAGATCAGTAGCAGGATTGTGGATACACTGAGAGATAGGCCAGTGAGAAACACGGTGCAGCAGAAAACGGACAGGTTGATGTCGGCCGTGCTGGAAGCAGTCCAAGCACTGACACCCAGAGCCAAACCGTCGCCATATGCAAAGCGGTGGTGGACCCATGACCTCACACAGCTGCGGCATGTATACACGTACTGGAGGAATCGAGCTCGAGCTGCAAGGCGTGCGGGACAGAACGCTAAAGATTTAGAAAACACGGCAAAGGCTGCGGCGAAGCAATATCATGATGCCATACGGCAACGGAAGAACACTCACTGGAAGGAGTTTCTAGCGGACAATGACAACATCTGGAAAGCAGCCAAGTAGATGAAGTCTGGGGATGAGGCAGCTTTTGGAAAGGTACCGCAGCTCGTCAAAGCAGACGGAACAGCAACAACAAGCCATAAAGAGCAAGCTGAAGAACTGCTGGCGAAGTTCTTCCCGCCATTGCCAGACAATATCGAAGACGAAGGACCGCGGCAACAAAGAGCCCCAGTAACAATGCCAAACCTGACTTTGGAGGAAGTGGAACGTCAGCTGTGGGCGACAAAGTCATGGAAGGCGCCAGGAGAAGATGGACTACCAGCGATCGTCTGGAAGCAAGTCTGGCCGTCGGTGAAACACGATGTCCTCGCCATCTTCCAAGCATCACTGGACGAAGGCGTGATACCAGACCAATGGAGACATGCTCGAATCATCCCACTCAAGAAGCCAGGTAAAGATGATTATACGGTCGCGAAAGCCTGGAGACCGATCTCGCTTCTCGCTACGTTGGGTAAAGTGCTAGAGTCGGTAGTTGCTGAGAGGATCTCCCACGCGGTAGAGACTTACGGACTTCTTCCGACCGACCATTTCGGTGCGCGCAAGCAGCGGTCAGCGGAGCAAGCCCTCGTACTTCTACAAGAGCACATCTTCTCGGCTTGGCGTTCACGTCATGTCGTGAGCCTCGTCAGTTTCGACGTGAAAGGCGCATACAATGGTGTGTGCAAAGAGAGGTTGCTGCAGCGGATGAAGGCGAGAGGGATCCCCGAGGGTCTCTTACGCTGGGTGGATGCTTTTTGCTCCGAGCGAACGGCAACCATCATGATTAATGGGCAAAGCTCCGAGAGCAGACCTCTACCACAAGCAGGACTTCCGCAGGGATCGCCCCTATCGCCGATACTGTTTCTATTCTTTAATGCAGATCTAGTGCAAACTCAGATCGATAAGAAGGGTGGGGCTATTGCATTTGTCGATGACTACACTGCGTGGGTATCGGGACCGACAGCCCAGAGCAACCGGAGAGGAATACAAGCAATAATTGACAAAGCTCTCGACTGGGAGAGACGCAGCGGCGCGACATTTGAGGCGGAAAAGACGGCGATCATACATTTCACCAGGTACACAGGCAGGGTAGACTCAGAACCATTTACTATCAAGGGTGAGAGAGTCTTTCCGAAGGATCAGGTCAAGATCCTGGGTGTCATCATGGACTCGCGGCTTCACTACAAACAGCACATCGCAAGGGCAGCAACGAAGGGTTTAGGAGCTGCGATGGAACTGAAACGACTGAAGGGAATGGCTCCCTCGACAACGAGGCAGCTTTTTACAGCCATGGTAGCGCCTGTGGTGGACTATGCCTCCAACGTCTGGATGCATGCGTGCAAAACAGTATCGGCGTATGCCATCCATCGAGTACAAAGAGTAGGAGCACAGGCGATCATAGGGTCCTTTACAAGCGTGGCGACAGGAGTAGCTGAGGCTGAAGCCCACATAGCGACCATCCACGAAAGGTTCTGGAGGAGAGCAAGCAAGCTCTGGGTAGACATACACTCTCTACCACGAACCAACCCGGTCCGGAATCTCTTACGAGGAATCAAAGCCTTCAGACGCTTCATATCTCCTCTCAGGCGTATCGCGGATGTATGCAGAGAGCTACCAAAGGATACCATAGAAGTCATCCACCCATTCACCCTCGCGCCATGGGAGGCACGCCTACAAGTCATACTGAACAGCCAAGGAGAGGAAGAAGAGGACAAGAACAAAGAGCTAGCCAAAGCAGGATGGGCGGTCAGGATAGCGACAAGCAGCTCCGCGCGGAATGATCTGGTCGGCATGGGAGGAACTATCAGAATCCCCATATCCGTGGCAAGAGCCGGCAAGATCAGCGAAACCTTTTCGGTCACCCTGGGTACGAGAGAAGAACACAACCCGTACACGGCCGAACTGGCAGCTATCGCTCGTTGTCTCAACCACCTGCCAGAGATGAAGTATCGAGCCATTGTGATCGTGACAAGTAACAAATCGGCTGCACAAGCTATAGGTAACCCTCGCCAGCAGTCAGGTCAAGGGCATATACGAGAGATATATGATGCTATAGAAAAGCTCAAAGGAGACATGAATAGAGTTAGGCTCATCTGGCTACCATCTGACAGTGAGCTCAAAATCCAGAGGATAGCCAAGATGTCAGCCCGCCACGCAACAGAGCCGTACGTCACACCACGCATAGGAACAAGCAAAGCAAAGACGACAATTCTCAGTCGAACGAGAGCAGACTTGCGAAGGGAGAGGAAACTACCAGACGGAGTTGGCAGACATTCGAGAAAGGTCGACTCAGCTCTGCCTGGTAAACATACTCGGCTACTGTACGACCAGCTACCGTGGAAGGAAGCCAGCGTGCTGGCACAACTCAGGACCGGAATGGCACGACTGAACGGCTACCTGTATCAAATTAGAGCAGCAGTGACCGATGAATGCCCATGCGGGCAAGCAAAAGAAACGGTAGAGCACTTCCTCTTCCGATGTGTAAAATGGACGGCACAGCGCAAGGAGATGATGCTTCAATGCGTAGAGGAAAAGCGCGGCAACCTCTCCTTTCATTTGGGGGGCAAAGCTGCATCAGATGGACAAAAATGGACACCGAACATGGAAGCAGTACGAGCCACAATCAGGTTCGCAATCGCCACAGGTCACCTGGAACAGAGATGACAACCATAACACCACTAACTCATCGGCCATAAACTTATACCTACTAACGACTGCCCCGTGCAACCAGAAGCAGGCACCGCTTCAGCCGCCGAAGATAGGAAACTGAACACTTGGAGGAATTGGGCTTCAAGTTGACTTGCTACTACTAACAACTATGGGGATCAAGGAGACAAGCGATGATCAGGCTGGAAAGAACAAGAAAAGAACTGCAAGGGCTTGGCGAGATCAAGGCAATAAATAGCGAGATGCATGTATTTTTAGCTCATAGAGCCCTCTGGGCAGTGGCCTACCGGGCGTAATAGACTTGTGTGTGTGTGTGTGTGTGTACCAACGCGATAATGACGCAACAATCCGAGAACCATGCTCTCAACTTTCATGAAGAAGACTCTTCATGCAAGGGAATGACAGCGAACTTGGCTCTTTTTCACCGAGACGCGATGAGGCGTTCTGATACGTATCATAGGATGATACATAGAGTTCTTGCGTTCGGGCATATTGATGTTTATGTCCGCAACCATCTCGAACGCCATTCGGCGAGAGTGATTTGGACCCTCGATCCGAGGTTCGACACGCATCTTACGAGAATAGAGATATCTCGCAGCGCTATCGAGGCCCAGGCTTGCATGGTCCCCCAAACTCAACGTTTAAAGGTTATCGAAATATTAGCCATCAGTTACCTTATTCACGGCGTTCGCAAAGCCTTGCGATTCGATACACAGGAGAACCCACTTAAGGCTGCAGGAAACCATCAACCAGAAGACGATAGACTCTTCATAGTGAGAGATGAATTTGTGTTGCAGCAGGAGCGAGATAGCACCACACTCTCATACCCTGATGGAGAGGATGTATTGGGAAGCTCGTCTGCAGACACGATTGGCCGCATCTGTGGAGAGATTCGAGAGCACCGTATATTGTTATGATTAGTCGAAGCAATTTGGTACCGATGAAGTAGGGTATTCAGAGCCAGCCTTCAGCATCATCAAATCGAACACAACACATTCTGGTTCTAATTGATCGCATTTGGTCCCCTTTCTAAACTGAACGGACCCTTGTTTCTTTTTCTCTTATTTTTTTCCTTCCCTTTCGTATTCTTTTTCCGTCTTTCTTTGATTATTGCATAGTAAAAGTTATCTAGAGTTCTGATGCCATTGCTGGAGTTGAAGAATATGAAGGCCACTTTTGCTGCTTCCTACTCTCCATGCAGCCTATCTCGGCGTGCCCAATGGTGTTGCTGATGGCCAGCACCGAATAAAGTGAGATTTGGCCTTCGTGAATGCCAATGCGCATAATGATGGATATACCAACGCTCTACGTATCATCAATCTATAGTGTCTCGTATCCACTGCCATATTTTAGTGCCATTCACATGATAATTGCATCGACTTTCCAAGATATCGGAATCTGGTAGCGCTCAACGAGCTTTGGTGTCGATCGGGCCTTTGATCTCGCTTCCCGGCTCCCTGCCGACCTTCCATTTTGGACGGTGGAGCATCTTGCCACCAGCGAAAACGAGGCTACCTCAGGATCTAGCGAACGTCCTTTAACAGACTTCACAGCGAGAAGCAATAATATAATCCAAGTCCTTGCCCTTCCACCAGCTTGGTATCATTTTCATCGTGCTACTGTAGGGCAATACCACGATGAAGCCAATCATTGTTCTTCCCTTGGTCGCCCTGGCTCACGCGAGGTGCGATTATCCCAGCGGTATAGGCTTGTGGCATCCAGAGAGAGGCCAGAACTTTGCGGTAGTCATGTGGGATTTGGGGATCACTGAACCAGAATTCGAGGCGCTCAATCCAACCACAAATATAAATTTAATTTATCCCGAACTAAGCTACAATGTCACAATCAGACCATCCCGATCAGGAAAGTGGACCGATGGATGTCCGCCTTCCCTTCGCATTAAGGATATGTCGGACACCTCCATAGTAGATCCAACAACTGAGACACAAGAAACTCCCGAATCCACGTCCGTTGCCGATGCTGATGGGCATCGTCATCGATCAACTGGCACCATGTATGAGACGGTAGAGACTAGCACTAGATTCAGCACCATGTTTGCCGATGGCTCTCATCCATCGTCTCCATCGGTCGCGGGAGAAACTCAATCTTCCGACACACCCGACCAGCCGTTTACAGAAGGCAAAGGGACTGGCACCAGACCTGAAGCCCATACGCCAACAGAGTCGATAAGTGACGTACCGAGCAGTGCAGTGTTCAAGACTACAGCCACAACATCCAAAGATGAAGAAGACAACTTCGTTAATACTAGCAAGATTTGGCATTCAGATGTTTCGGCCACGTCCGTGGCCGATCAGTCGGAAGATGTGCATGAGGTGCCATCCGTGAGTAGTGACGATGCGCAGCAGGAGACGGTCCTATCCTATGCCACTATGGACGACGAGATGACAAGGACAACGACACAATCACATATCCAATCCACTTCCGTCGCAGCTGAAGCCACTAATACAGTGAACGAGAAAGAGCAAAAACCAGAGTCGGCAACCGAAGCGACATCTGCTCCGTCGTCTATCAGTGGTGCGACCAAATTGGAGACGGCCCCATCATCAACATTGTCAACGACAACGACGCTTACACAGACAGATGACTCTCACGTTATCAAGACGGAGAGATCAAGCGGTACCTCGTTCAAGGAAGAATGCACAGATTCGTCCAAGGATCTTTCGGCTCACAAGTCTTCAGGAGGAGCGCATACTGGCCCGGCATCAATCTTGACTACAGATACAGCTACATCTTCAATATCACAAACCAAGGAAACAACTGGATCGGCAACAATTTCGGGGGGCACTACTGTAACTGAAAACACCTCAACACAAACAAAGTCCGCGGATCCGGATACAGTGTCTGACCAGTCCACCTCGACTTTGCATAAGGCGTTGACGAAGACGACGGACGAGGTTGTCACTTCGTCGTATACTGATTCGACCGAGCAAACAGGCAAACAAACCACAACTTTGTCGACAGAAACAAAAACCACATTGGTAACTTCGCCATCAAAGACAACTTCGGAGACCACGACAACTGCAATTTCATACAATGAAGAAGAGACGCGCCGCGCAATGTGCTCTCACGATTCAACCTTGTTCGGCCTCGGACAGACGGATGACGATATTGTATTCCAGATGGTAAAGGATTTCTGCGGCAGACCAGATATTGATAGAAGCATGAAACACGGTGATGAATGCATCGAATTCTACAGGAGAGACTCGTCCAAGATTGACTATACGTTCGAAATCTGCCCGAACGGAAACTGTCCAATCTACGGCCAAAATATGAGAAATCCTTTCGGACAGAATGGCCTTTCTTGCGTAGATATATTCTTTCATACGATTTGGCGTTGGTGTAAGTCTTTCTAAAATGGCCCCTGATCGTGAAATTGACAGCTCGTAGGTAATGACATGAATCAACGAGGAAATGGAGGGTGGTGGGATACGACATGTCTGGAATATAGTTTACAAATTGGTACTAAGGGTAACAGTTGAGGAACCGTCCAAGTAGTGATGAGGTAGGATGTAGGACGTAATGCTCGCCGGGTTTCTGCCTCTTTTTGGACTCCACCTTCCTTCTCTCTTCTTAGTCCTTCAACTAGTCTGCTACGCTACGAGCCCAAGAAATTGAACGTAACAGGAAGCTCTTGATGTCACCTGAAGGCAGCTCGTATGTACTGTAGCACAGATTGTCACGCGGCATCTGTTATTGCCGAGGCCTGTATATAAGCCTACTCTCTTCTAGTCCACTTCTGCACTTTTCCCATAGTATGGTCTGCTTCTTTAGCTTATTGGTGTCTACAAATTGATAAACATTGAATTTTCTTCTTTTCTTTTTTTCGCTCCCCTTTATACGTTGTCATATATATGACGTCTCCCAAAGTTGCATTCAAATATCACATCGCACCTCGCCGCCTTCACTATGCTCGCTAGCTCTCTTCTCATCTTTACTTCAGCTGCTTTGGCTCTAGCCTCACCTGTTGAATATCATGGCCGATGTTCTGGCTGTGAATATGGAAAGCCTGTACCTGTGCTTCCTGTTAATGGCGGTCGTAAGTGTTGATCCACCCTTAACCTTATGTAACGTCTTGTATCTCACCAACACGACCAACAGCTTCCGAACTCCCCGCTCCTCCTCGAGATGTAACTCTGAAGCACATTGCCCTTGGGTTTGGTATTCAGAATTATAGCTGCGCTGAGGCTGGTGCTACCCCTGCAGCTATCGGTGCTTTGGCTGTTCTCTACGACGTTACCAGCCTCTATCCAGGTCAAGCTCATTCGTCTTTAAAAGCCAAGAAATGGGCTCTCTCCCTTCTGATGTTCTTAATACCAGAAAAGTCCCTCTAACCGCAATGATGACAGTGGTGCCTCGCTCACTAATCCTTTCCCCAAGAAACAACCTCTCAAGGTTGAAGGTCTCCGCAAAGCATCCCTACCTTGGTCGCCACTTCTTTAACGCTGCTGGTGACCCCGCTTTCGACCTCGACAAGGCCAACCAGCTCCTCATTGCTAAGAAGATAGACGGTATCAAGGCTCCCCTTCTGCTCCCGCTGGCCCTGAGGTACCAGCGCTGTTGATTGGCTCTACCTGGGGGATGCCGGTGGCAGCCAGGTGTCTCCTTGTTACCGCGTCTTGACCGCAGGGGGTGCTTCTCAAGGTTGCAAGGCCAAGGCACCGACAGCACCTCTTACACGCTCTCTATTGGTTTACGGTTAACTGAAACCAGTCATTGACGATAGAACGGCGGTTTATTGCGAGTTTATGAAAAGCCAGAATTGCTTTTAAACATGGACACTTGCATTTTCAAATAATCGTTTATGGATAGATACAGGATCTCTGGTTTCCCGAGCAAATACCCATATTATTGGTGTGAGTCAATGCCTTGAGGATATTTGACGGCTTGTTTCTGCAAACTGCATGGCTTGGATGGCGCTATAGTCGATGGGAAGTAGTAGTAGGACAAGTAGTTAGTGCTGCAGAACGGGTTGAAGTGTATTATCCTGACATGGGCCATATTGTGAGCCTGAGTATATATCAACTACGATGCAAATAGCCTGGGGCTTACTTATATGACGGAACCGGGGCTACACAACACATCCTTTCTGCGTTCAATACCGTAATTCCTCTTTTCGATTTTCTCTCTCTCTGTTTCTTCGGTACAGAACCTCAAATTCACCTCTATGCCTTTCTATCTCATATTTCTGGATCCTGCCATTTACTGTGCTACTAGGTTTCAATTCTCTCTGTCACATTATGCAATGTAAACTATCTCTCAAGAAGCTCAAACTGCCGATGAGGTCAACCCAGTTATTTGTGATCTCGCCGAGGGCATGCATTTGGGACCATCTCTACTCATTGTTGCGTAAGTCGACTGTTATAAGACATATTGGGTTGCGACGTAACAGGAATTCATTGCATGACTCGGCTGTCTTGTTCAAGATATGTACATATTTATAACAATGCTAAAGTACGAACTACTCCCATTAATGTTCCATTAAATATAAAAATATCGCAAATTTCTTTTTCCAAGTAGAGAATTTTAGGGCCTAGTGTGGCGCGCTGTTAAGTGTTCACATTCAAAAGGAAAATTGTTGGCTGCGACTAAACCATGCATAAGCAAGAACAGTGAGACCGTCCGTGTAAGCGATGACAATTCCCTTCCCTTATTGTGACGCAAAAACCTGCAAGCGTTTTGTGTGGACAGAGTTTGATCAAGAGTGCCTTGGCGGTTTCACGTCCATGGGATACAACAAGGACAATTGCAACCATCACGACGTAGATTGCGGAGCAAGTCGTACAGACAGAAGGCCTATAGTCAAGTCTTCATTCATTTACGAGTACATACAGTCGTATCGCCACACCCGTACCAATTCTGCCACTCCTCTTCGTACATTCGTGGTATTTATCGCTATAACTGGCCGGCCGCGGCAGAGCATACAGGCGATGTGGCTTGTCACCAGACACACTCTTGGACTGCGGCTTTTTACCGATCCTCGAGGATTACGCCGCTACCACGAGCTAGATGCTGCATATACTTCACCGCGATAAAACCCTCGGCATCGCAGGAGCGAGTGTCGTTCCCGCGCCCTGAGTTCCAAGTAGCGCAACTGATGCGTTACCTCCAGCAAACAAACCGAGATCACACTCCCATCTGCCCTCAGTACTCTTGCGAACTGGTCAGTCTGAGGACCGCCTCTCGTGCCAGCATCACCGGGAAAGATTCTGATGCCATAAAAGGGGCTTTCCTTGACAGGGCCATGCATGGGTTCGGCACCACAGTTGGATCACCGATGAACTGCTGGTACTTGTCCTCGCCCCTATGGAAATACTTATCTCGACCTTGATCACACATTTCATTCCACTCGTCCACCGTCGTCTGCAGGTTGCGGCTCGGCACATGCATCTGCTCAGCTAGGCCGTCAATAGTGTCCGAGCGCAAGAGCAAGCCTTGTTCGACAGCCTGGTCAGTCTGCCAGGCGCTCTTGAGGCTCCCAATGGGATATCTTCTTCTGTATCTCCGGTCAAACACAAGCCAGAAGGTGGCCGCTTCTCGTCCTCATTCGCTCTCTCATACATGGACCTAACGGCCTCACCGTAGGGCTGGGACTCGGAGAAGAAGCGGCGGCCACAGCCATCGACTACTATAGAGAACGGCTTGGATATGGCAAACATGGCCTCCGTCACTTTCCCTGTCCTAGGATCGATCATGGTGGGGATGCCCCAGACTTGACCGAGCTGTGCACTACCAGCACCGATCCTTTGGCCGGCTCGCAGCGCGATACCGGCGTCTCCGTCAGATGCAAGGCTCCATTCCGCCTTGGTCGGCATACCTGAAGTTGTTTCGCTCGTGGCTGTTCCCGCTAGGTATGCATCCCTCATCTCCTGGTTCTGAGAGAAACCTCCTGTGGTTAAGATCACACCCAGCGATGCGTGGATGTCGACAGATTCGTCACTGCCTCTGCGTTGAACCCTTGCTCCTATTACACCACCATCATGTCCAGATAGCAAAGCTCACTCAGCTCCCATCCAGTCCAGATTTCCACATTGTCGTGTTCCTTGCACACCTTGAGGAGCTGAGCGATCAGCGATCGACCCATCGACACAGGCCTCGACATTCCCTTTGGAAGAGCCGAAACTTCTGCACGACACTGCCCCGAGGAACGCACCTTGTCAAGACTCGAAAGTCCTCGAATCGGGGGATCACGGGTGCGCCATCTGGTTTTGGAAGGTATTTCTGGTAGTGACCTAGGCTTGCCGCATCAAAAACCGCGGGGTCCAGGGTGCGACCATGGTGGACCGCACCTTCGATGTGCGGGTGATAGTCTGGAAACTGGGACGGTTTGGCCATCCATCGGAAGCCTTGGTCTCTGAAGTATTTCATCATCTCGGGTCCCTGCGTCAAAAATGCGTCGAGACGCTCATCATGCAGGTCCACATGAACGTTTGTTCCTCAAGAACGGCTTGCAAGTTTGCCACAGCATTGTGTAGCGTGCGGCTTGTTCTTTGCTATCTTCGATGCCAGTTCCTTCATGAGGAAATTGTTGGGCATCCACATGCAGCCACCGGACCTGAAAGTCGTGCCGCCAACGTGATCTTCCTTCTCGGCGAGGATGACTCTGAGCCCGGATCATGCGCGGCCGCGCCGCTGCTAAGCCGGCAGCCCAGCACCTATGATGAGAATGTCGCATTTGATAACTGATGTTCGTTGATGGTTGGGCGCTTGGTGATGACCAAAGTCTTGATGACCTGTGGCGCACGTCATCTCTTGGTCAAGCGATGGCATGGCTTGGTTCGTTTGTTTGTCGACAGGTGAGATGGACGTGTGGTTCTTGTATAGGCTTATTCTTCCTATATTCGAATTTATGCCATTGAGATGCCTTGACTTCATCTTATACAACTATACGCACAGCTCTCGCGTCACCATCCACGTACCCCAACCAGATCTACGGTGGTTATTGAAGCTGTTCAAAATTGGATCTCGGTCATCGATATCGAGAGGAATTACTCTCGCATACTTTAGGCCATAAGACCACAGGACTCCGGTAACATCGGAAGAAAAGAGTGTAGACAAAATTGACCGAAATTTATGTTATTCTTAGAACAGGGTATCCCTGGCAAGCACCCGTAGAAGTTGGTCCCCGTCCATAGATGCGTCCGAGTTAAGTTGTCTTATTACGATGGGATGCGCGGCAGCCCGATCGAGCGGTACATCTCAGTGGTAAGGGCATTGATCCAAACACGCTCTCGATCCTGAAACAGACAGGAAAGGTTGTCGTCACATCGTATTCACACTCCCTGTCTCTACTGTACGTCTACACATGTAGTATTCATTCGGATCACGATTGCTTGCTTGTCAATATTCGTTCTTCTACTGTAAAGAAGATGCGAAAATATGTTTTGATTGACAACGCACCAGCTTATTGGTGTTTGTACACGATGTCGGCCAATTACATGTGTTGGTGAGATGTGTTGTTCGCAGTTGTAGGTACAGTCTAAAAGCTAGACTCAAAGGTGTCCGAACCATCACATAGATCTGCTCGTCGAATCACCCGTCAAGATTAGTGGTGTTTCCTCCTTCTCTCTCCCCCCCCCTCTCTCTCCCTCCCTCTCTCTCCCTCCCTCTCCCTCCCTCTCTCCCTTCCTCGTTACACCTTGAGAACTAGTCGAGATTGGGTCGGCCACCTCCCGATCGCATCGCGCTTCCCATCTTGCTTCATAGGGCAAGCGACTTTCACACTATTCAGGCTTCGTAAGCAGCTGTGAGGTTTGGTGTTTTACTTCAGGTCTATACTCACTGCGCGTTTCCAATCCTGAGAATCCATGAGCCAGCCGGCAGGCGCCCCGATAGTGACAAGCCATTGTTCCTTGAAAGGGTCGAAACATTTGAAACGACAAGGGACACCATATGCTTCGACGTATTTGGCCAATCTATTATGTAGAGAGCGCAACGATTTTTGGAATCTCGCTCTCCCATCCTCGAACTTTAGGACATAGTCAGTTTATCGGGTAGTGTTTGGTAAAACGGCCACCACGCGGACGTACCTCTCTAATACTGCGGCTTATCGCACCAGAAGGTCGAGGCTCCACGCCAACCCATGACGAGCAGCCCTGGTCCCAAAAGCACAAGTCTAGAGAAATGCCGTCGAACCTCGCAAGCCTGGCCGCTTCTCGGAGCAGGGTGCTTCCGTCAACGAAAGCATCTCTCATGCTGAGGCGTTTGCCGGGACCCCGTCCCCTGGCACCCCGCCTTGCGCGTCGCACGGCAGGACGAGCAGTCCGTTCCTCCTGCGGTGAGGTAGTATCGAGCCTTGGATGCTCAAGCTGTTGTGTGGCATGTTGCATAGTATTGCAGTGAGTCTCCGCCAGGTCTTGGATGCTCATTGTGTCAGGGCTCGATTGCTCGCAGCTATGAGTTAGATCCCAAGATAAAATTGACTCGAGCGCAAATGGAATCGTTTTGTACGTTTTTGTACGACAGGCCGCGATCGCCTCCAGAAAACACCCAACGACGGCGATTTTTGGACTTTTGGAACTTGGTGTTCACGTGCAGTTGGTTACCTAGTTGACACATAGCAGAAGGAGCCCAATTTGGCCGCTTCTACTCATCTAGCCACTTTTAATCATATTGCCCTTTTTTGGACTTTTGACACATGATGCCATTCAGTATGATGTCACCAATCAAACACAACAGCCAGTAACCGGGCCCTATCTGGCTTGTCATCCCATCTTGTCCAGCTCAATCAAAAAAGCCGATTTTGGAGTCGACAGCATGCGGACGACAGCTCGTGGTTCCCAATTGTCTTGTTTCGTCAGGCCGTGAAGGTCAGGCCTGGCGACAACATGTAATGTAACTTAAAGAACTATTCCACGAAGTCGCACTGCGACTATGAATGTTGCAAGCTTATCCGGAAAGGCCATTTTCATGTTATGAATCTGATTATGAACGGGGTATCCACCGCAAGTCATGGGATCCAATAGACTCGACATGAGCCAGTCGGCGGGCGTCTGGATGGCGACAAGCCATTGTTCGTTGAAGAGGTCGCAGCATGGAACAACCACATTTGCATCAGTTTTACCCAGATAAATAAGTAAATAAATAAATAATCCTATTCGGCCTATTCCTTTCTTTTTCTTCTATGCATCATGTCGTCTTTTCTCTCAAGACAACAAGACCTATCTTGCTACGCCTTCTCTACACTTCTTCATCTCGATTCTTCAATGAATGAAAGAAAAAGAGAGGAGAAAGAAGTGCAACAAAGAGCAGGTGAAAAGTATGGGTGTTCACGTCTGGTCCAGCATCCTCGTAACCATTCATCTGAGTCACTGCTGTAATGATGATCGCTAACAACTGATTTCCAGCAATATGACCCGGCTGCAGTCCGTTCTCTACCGCCGTTGTGGTATGTTTCGAACTGTCGGGCCAACCTGAGACAGCAGTCGATCGCGAACCTCACGACAACGGCGACCGCCTCCCTAACCATGGTTATGGGTCATCACCTATGCCGTTGCCATTGCCGTTGCCGTTGTCGCTGATATGGCCGTCGATACTGTCAACACCGCGAACAGCATTATCCGCACAAGCGTCGAGTGAGGCATCATTTCGGAATCCAATCGCGGGCTCATCAGTACAAACGTTGTCACGACCTCGACGTCCGGTCACCCTCGGTGCTGGCTTCGTGTCCTTGCACGGCTTCGCCTTGGCCGGCTGCTTCCTTTGTCTCGCTGGTCTCAGAGCAAGCTTGCCATTGGACACAACCTGCCTCCACCAAACGTCTTGAATCTGCAATCATCGTCGCGGTCAGCGGCTTGCCAAATCGGCTTCTCCAGGCTCCTATACTTCCAAACCTACCACGTCGTTCGTGTTTTCCGGCAGCGATTCCCCGTCGGGGATGTACACTGAGCCGTCCCAGAATCCATCGATCTTGTTTCTCTTGATCGCCATCATCCGTCTCTTGCGCATTGCCGAGCTCACCCATGTTCGGTCATTTGGGTAGGGGGACCTGGAACGAGTCTTCTCGGGCGCCATGCTCTCGATGATTCTTTTGAGCCGTAAGGCGGTCTCTTCAGCCGGAAGGGAAGCAGAGACAAAATGCTATCGTCGCTCGATGCACAACCGTCATATTTCGGAACAGCATCGAGACCAAGTAGATCGACCGGCTCTTGAATGAACGGTGGAATCGAATGGGTGGATCGTCGTGTCCCGAACTGGACTTGCGGGTATCTTGCACAGAACGGCCCATTTCGCTCGCAATGCTTTCGTGCCAGGCCAAAAGCCCTGACTCGGGTTCATTCTCGGCCTTCTTTCGTCGTCCCGTTACCGGGCTGTCAAAACATGCCAAGGACTGTTGGTCGGGCGTTGTGCAGCGGCACGGTCATGTCGGTGTTACTCCATGGTTGTTGCAAAAAAACCTCAATCCGGGTCCAATTTCAACCTCTCCATCGCGGTACCAGACTGTCGGGATGAAAGCAACGTCAAGATAGGTCGAAAAAGGCCGAGCAAGGGGCCAGATGTCTGCTAGAGCCAACACCTCCTTCGAACCCTGGCTGTGGGTTCCATTTTACGGTGTGCGCTGTCAATTTTGTTCGTCAACATCCTATTTCGGCCTTCCGTTCTTCCGTATTTTGCCTGCCCCCCCACCTTGTGCGGTCAGCTCAGCGCTGAGGTTACATCGGTAGTTGCGATCGACACAGTCTGCTCTGCATTGAACCCACATCACGTGGCACAATAACTGCCAAAACGGACTTTTAATCGCCGATCTAGTGGCCGGGCCCTTGAGCTCCTGGCGGCGGCACATTTCTGCCGCTGTTGGATACTAGCTAGTATAGGGTAGCCTGTAGTTTCGTTGCTGTCAAATGGCCAAATCCGATGGGCTGCGGGATTTTCTACAATTCAATGTAGAGTTGCCCAATAGCAATGACTGCCTTGGCAACCCTGTGTAGGGGGTAGAGATTCCATTTCACCTCGTTCTATTGCGACTTTTTCTTTTTTTGAGCTGCCACTGATCACAGAAGCGGAAAAAGCCGCGGCAGAAGCGGACGTTGTCGCCTGGAGAGTAAGCACTATTGTGCTGATGATCTAGGGTGTTTATGGCACAGCGTGGCTCCGTATTTTCAGTGACGCTTGATTTAGTGTCGACGCGAAAGCTCTGACTCGCGCACCGTTGAAGGAGACTGTACTCTCAGATGGGAAGAAACCCATGACGGGGACCTCATTTCATAGGCCGCGTGAAACAACTCGGCACGCTAAATTGATTCGTGTTTCCAGCCTCCGGATTTTTTCCCTCCGCCTTTTTAAATTTCTATTATTAATCTTTTTGTCGCTCCTCATCTCTGCGTCTATGCTTTTCTGGCTTGCCTATCCACTGCCATGCTTTGATGGATCCA